ATCGCGTTTGAAACCGTTAAAGTGTTTTATTTAAATGTGTACTCGCGTAAACTACAGTCAGTATTTAGAGGGAAGTTATAACATTTAAGCAGGATGCCCTATCGACGCGATTAAACTTCAAGGCCTATTCATAACCTTATAACATTTAAACAAGATAGTCCGTAGACCTTTCTTAGCTTTGGACATTCAGATCCAACTAAAACCGAAACGCTACTTTCCCTTTACAGCTTGCAGCAAACTACAAAAATATAATTAGAGCGAACCCAAGACCTCTCGAATGATTAAGTGATTGACCTCTTGAAAGTTTCAGTGCCCAGGTCGAATCTACGCTTCCTGTGGATACATTTTACAAAAATATTCGAATAGATTAATTAAATGTTGCGGGTTCGGAGTAAAAGCACCCAACAGACGAGTATTGTATGAAACTTTAATCTGAAGGCGTAGGTCAGGATCATGGCAGATGGATCCCGAGGGGGAAAAGTCGGGAAATGATAGAGAATTGTTTATAAGCGCTCTTTAATTTTTCATCTTAGAATTCCATAGAGCTCTAGTATGCACGTTAAAGAAAATACTAACGATTTAAAATTTAAAGTTTTTTAGGCAAATCACAACGGTATCTAAATCGTCGGGTCAGAAGAAAGTAAATAAAATAATGTGAGTTTTAAACCTTGGGACTGTTTGTCTTACGAATAACTGTTACCCTGCTCGACTAAAGCTATTTATTATATTTTCTCTGGATTAAGACGCGGGTTATATAATTATAATAAATAATATATAGGGTATTAAATACATTATATTATTATAAATTTTCAGTTATTAGATTAATGTGCAAATAACATTATCATATGTAATTGCAGACACTCCAATTTTATTTATTTGTTTAGATATAAAGCTGAAGAGTTTGTTTGTTAAAACGCGCGAGTCTCAGGAACTACTGGTTCTCTTTGCTAGAGCATTTATTAAGAAAGGCTATAAAGCAGTGGCGATTCATAGGAGCGAAACAAGAGCGGGATATGTGGAGAAAACGGGGAAAAGTATTCAGCTTTGTGGGTTTCCGCTGCAAAAGGGGACGCAACGGAAGATACCCAAAAACATGTATAAAAAATGGTTCCTCTTTAAATGATTAAAAGAAACTCCGCGATACTATAGGTCTATCTTTTGAGATTGATTTACATGAACGGGACGCGACCGACGTCGTTGGCTTAAATCTATAAAGGTGGAGAGGAGGTTTGTTGTTTGTTGAAAGCAAATTTAGATGCCCAAAATAACTATTTTACACGGACGAAGTCGCTGACACAGCTAGTAACGGAATAAAAATTCGCTGCCGTCTCACGAATGGAGCCAGATGACATTTCTGTCAGAATACAGTCGGTAATCGGATAGCAGCTTTCAACTAAAATTTTCACCTTTATGACGTCGCGTCGGAAAACCTGAATGATTCAATTTATTTATTTACATGTTAAATTACAAAAAAAAAACATTAATTTAAAACTGCGTCATCGTTTTCTAGGGTTCAAGACTCGAAAGGTGAAAACGGAAATATCAAATACTATTCGTGTCAGCGGCTTTTATATAATTCTCCCCGTTTATTCCACATTTCGCGCTATTTCTTCGCTCCTAATAGTCACATCGCGATATTTTATAGTCTTTTATAGTCTAGTATAGCCTTCCTCGATAAATGCTCTATCATAAAAGAAATTTTTCAATTCGAACAACATACAAACAAACAAACAAACAAACTCTGCAGCTTTATATATTCGTATAGATAATACATTTTTAGCGCGACATATTAACAGAATACCAATTTTTTAAAGCTGTAAGACCGTTGTTTGTTTTTGACTCCATATCAATAAATGGTAACATTTGGCCATTTGACATAACTAATAAAAGTTGCAACATGAATAATCGTAAACCTACAATAGCCTACCTAGTCAAAAGTTTGAAACCCTTTGCGCGCGACTCGCACTTGACCGTTATTACTTTATACGTCGTTTATGAACAAGGCAACATCAACGTAGTATTAATTTAAGCCGATTCAATAACGTCTTCCTGCGATGCATTGAAATTATACGAATTCCTCTTTTTTTCAAGAGCACCCACATTACTGCTTTGTTTTACGTACGAATTTTATTTACATAAAGTAAGTAAAATATCAGCATTATATATAATATGAGGTTGCTAAAGACAGAGTGGCCTAATACCAAAGAACATGATTTTCAAAAAGGGGGAAAATAAAATGGCGCAAATAACTTAGGCAAAAATGAATTTGTACTATTTGTGGAATAATTATGTTAACAATTTTCGGTCACTGTGCTCTTGTAGATTTACATTTTTATACTAAAAAAATACGAATAAGTTATAAAATTACAGTTAGGCTACTCTGCCTCTTGCGGCATATTAAGATAACTTTTACAACTGCAACATGTAATATTACATATAATTTCCATATTACGAAACACTAATTAATAGAAATAAATAACTATGTTAAAACCAGAATTCGTTTTCAAACTTGTAAATTAAGTAATGTGAGCTGAAATAATATTTTGAATGGAGCCATTCACTTGGATTGAAAACAAACTGAAGTCCGCTTGAATACTAACTAACTCAGCACGTTTCAACGTCAATGGTGACTGTAGAAAGTGTAAGGTTTTGGTCTCTTATAAACGCCGTTGGTCGCGTAGAACGTTACGCGTTACGCGTTATGCATTCGCGTTGTGGAAATAATGCTGTACTCGACTCTAATTGTATGTCGACTACTATACAGTAGTACAGTGTACATACGTACAAGATCTCCTGTCTTCTATCTTTTTATTATTAAAGAAGACAGACAAGCATAGAGTTTACTTGATGTCTTATACCCCAGCTTTAAGCATCTAATAAAGATGTGCCGTCGACCTATTATGGCTTAGGACATTCTGAGATCCGCAAATTGCAATCAAAACACAGATATACACTTCCTTTTTTTCAACTGTATGTGACGGAATTTCGTTGTTCGTTGTCATCTTCTATACGAGGTCAAATATGTTAAGAAAAATCATGGAAATCAATCGCGACTCATTTGTTATTAGTCATGGTAGCATTGGAACAACAAGATAATTACTTTTACACGAGATGTAACGACATGTAAGTAGAATCTAATCCTATGAATGCTGACGTGGTCCGTCGCGGTACGCAGTACGTTTGACGACGTCTATATGAGCCAACGACCTAACATCAATTAGATTACCACCGGCAACTGTTAAGTACATTAGCGGGAGCTCATTATAAACTCACGTTTGACAAATTCACTTAGATTTTGTTCATAACGCCGCGTCGGGAAGTTGTTAACTGTGTTAGTTATACAATCAAGTTCAAACTGGCTGTAGGTTGTAAACATCCCGGATGTATACTGCGAGATTAAGATATGGCGATTCATCTGGGAGTTGTAAACTTGCAACTTGTTTAAGATTTATACGGGTTCCATATACATCACTTACCGGTTGCGCGATGCTAGGGTTAACTCCGAAGCTGTTTTACGCGATAATGTTATATTATTTTACGAGCACGTCTTTTCGCTAAACTCGACCTAAGCGTATTTTTGTGTAGTCTATAGCCGTCGAGCAAATGGGGCTTGTTATTAAAATGCAATCTTTAAGGTATGTCATTTGCTTTGAAGAATGGTATGTAAGTTAAAAGGCATACGGTGTAAAAACTTACTAATATTTCTTTCAAAGTACGTTTCGACTAGAAAAATCGTTTCCGGGTATAAAGCTGATAGTAGTGTGATGACGGCATAAACACGACTGGCTGCTAGTATTCATAATTTTGGAACAATTTGTACCTGTACTTCAAGTAACTTCATTTATTTATCTGGCTTTCTTTTAAATAATTGACAACAGTACGTCAGAGTTAATATTAAAATTTGGGTTAAAAAAATTTGATGATGACGTCTATGACACGGTAGTGCAATTAGTTCGAGCAGAAGCACGGAACGATGTGGATATCCTTTCGATGTCATCGAATGTTTCTAATTTGATTTTGTATTATTATAGTGACGCAATCCTCAGTGTTGTGTAGATGTCGCAGAGAATGTAATAAACTTTATTTTTATAATAAATATTAGAGGCATTTCCGTCAAAAAAGGTTCTATATTTCCAACAGTCTAAACTTTCTTTTCACAAACCCAAACAAAGAACTAAAAGTCGGGCTTTGAAACTACGACGGCCTGTAAGCTTGATGAGTATGTCCGTCAGGATTTTCTGAATATAAACGTAAGTTCTGTGTGTAACTTATTAAAAAATGAGAGAGAATTTCCGTCAGTCGGAGCAAACTTTAATTCGTGTCATTTTATTGAATTAGGTATAAAGTTCTCACTTCATTGATCACGAGGAAAGCTTTCATTATTATTTTCGGGACGTATTCAAAATACTTACCGCAATTGTCATTATATTTCTCACATTTAAAATACTTTTATTTGGGTGTTATATATCTTATTTGAGTTAATTTATTTTAGTCAATTTAAACGATAAAAAAGTTTATTTAAAAAAAGTTTCATCTTAATTCATAAAGATCGCATTTACAATATCAAACTTTAATGACATCTTAACATAAACAAAATATTTAATAAAACAATATCCTATCGTAATAATAATAATTCTTTAGAATTATTGGAAAATTTCATCCGAAAGTCTTGGAGCCGTGTCGTTTCAGTCTGTGGATTTCTAACTGTCCATAGTGTTAGGTCGGAAAAACGATGTTAAACTCTTAAATATTCATTTATTATCCTAAATTAGGCTTAACCGACAGAATGCGCGCCAACGTTCGTATTTGACAGTTCCTGAGCTAGTGTCGGGACGCGCGCGGTAATCGCATCGCACTAGTGTTGTGTCGTCCCCGCTAAATCGGAGGATTATTCATATCAGTTCGGCCATCCTGTGTAGTCCTTCGCCCTCGAAGGATGAAGTAGCGCTCCCGCTAAACCGCCGCCGTCAGGGCTGCCAGCGCAGCCACGTAGACTCGGCTCAGCCACCTAGAGGAAATAGCCTCGTAGGCAGTAAATAGCCCCGTAGGCAAATAATAGCCCAGTAGGCAGATAATAGCCCAGTAGGCAGTAATAGCCCCGTAGGCAGATAATAGCCCCGTAGGCAGTAATAGCCCCGTAGGCAGATAATAGCCCCGTAGGCAGTAATAGCCCCGTAGGCAGTAATAGCCCCGTAGGCAGTAATAGCCCCGTAGGCAGTAATAGCCCCGTAGGCAGTAATAGCCCCGTAGGCAGTAATAGCCCCGTAGGCAGTAATAGCCCCGTAGGCAGATAATAGCCCCGTAGGCAGTAATAGCCCCGTAGGCAGTAATAGCCCCGTAGGCAGTAATAGCCCCGTAGGCAGTAATAGCCCCGTAGGCAGTATTAGCCCCGTAGGCAGTAATAGCCCCGAAGGCACAACATAGCCCCGTAGGCACAATATAGGCCAGTAGGCACTATGCCAGAGGGGTGACAGCATCTTGCTTTAATTCGTCCTCTGATGAACAACTGTCTTGCGTAGTTTTCAAAACCTTCATTTAGTCACCTTATGACCAACCTTGTCACAATTGTTACACTTGACCACCTTGTTTAAGTTATTATTTTAAGCATTAAATGAATCCCAGGATTTCACTTCAACGCAGTCAGATGATGTTTTCATACAGGCCAGGTACTTTAACAAAGAATTAGTATCATGACAACCAGCCGACAACGCTCCAACTTCTAACAATTTGTCTCCAAGTGTACCCACAATTGCTTGAGCTATCACATCATCACTCATATTACATGACATGCCAATACCCAGCTTATCATAGTAAAATTTTATTGGGTCTTCATCTTTTGTCTTGATACGGTTAACAAGTTTCCTAATCTGTGACAACTTATTCTTAGTGAATGGAAATGCTGTAATTAATTTTATTTTCCACTCATCCCAGCTAATGTCATAGCAAGTTTGGCGTTCATACCAGCTTTTAGCATAGCCACCCAACTTAGAAGTGCAGTTGCAAATCAAAGTGCGTTCATCCCAGCCATGCATATTAGCAACACCTTCTAAGTTACGGAGCCAATGTTCTACTCAGACAGATGATTTTTGAGGATTAAACTCGGGTATAAAATTATTCCGCCCCACATAACGAACCACTGACTCTACTCTTGGTGTGGTGACACCATTATTATAATTTTTCTGTTGTAATTCTTTAATCAACCCTTCTAATGTTTCGATTCTCTTATTCTTCCTTTTAAGTTCTTTTTTTTGTCGTTTACTTTTAGATTGTCTATCTGAATTACTTGACCCTGACGAAGAACCACTAGTAGACCTATTTCTCTTAAGGTGTCGACCCATGTTAACAATTAAAACAAAGTCACACACAATAAACTTTTACTGCTGTCTCCACTAATAATTCTCTTTGAAGAAAGTAAACTTCTTTAACAAAAGTAATTAAATTCAGTAAAAGTTCATTTATCAAAATAGTCCTTAAATTTAGTTTAAAATTAGCACTTTAACAACTTAGAATAGTTTACTTTGTTTATTTATGGGTTGCTGAGCATTTTAACAAATATTAAAGTATGCTCAAATTATCAGTCTACTTATGTAAATACAAAAGTTCATGGAACAATCTCACCAAATAACCAGGAACATTTCAACACGCAACTGATGCATCTTTAAGCACTCTGAAATGTAATCGTCACCGTACCAGGATAGTTCACACAAATAAACCAGTTTCTCAACCAGAAAATGTTCACCAAAAACTTCTACAAACTTGTTGTACTGGAGGTTAGTGACCCTTAACGGATTGACAAAATTTGTGCAAAAATCAAGTATTAAGTACCGAACTGCATTAAACTTAGTTACTACAAGCGTTCTTCATATTGTTCACACCTAATTATATAATAAAAGCGTCTTTTCGCATCCAAAACCGCCAGTTTTATTTTTTCCCAAACTTTGCACTTTAAAACTGAAATTATCGTCCAATTCATCAAAGTTCACTCGTGGGCAAGATCACTTATCGCACTTCTGATATTGTTAGGTCGGAAAAACGATGTTAAACTCTTAAATATTCATTTATTATCCTAAATTAGGCTTAACCGACAGAATGCGCGCCAACGTTCGTATTTGACAGTTCCTGAGCTAGTGTCGGGACGCGCGCGGTAATCGCATCGCACTAGTGTTGTGTCGTCCTCGCTAAATCGGAGGATTATTCATATCAATAGATATAATAGTTCGACAGCGTCCTTTATCATAAAAAAAACTAGGTACTATAGGTATATTAAAGTTTACGAAGTCGTTATTAACCATGTTTATCCATGTTCAGCCATGAGTATAAATATTTAACAATGATTATAAATATTTAGTGATTGACATCAGACCTAATTTCAGCCACACGCCAATGGCCGAGCAGGGCGGCGCTCGTTAAAGAGAGCTTTTCAATCGGTCCGTGTTTGAAGAGAGCCTGATTGCGTATATTTCACATGCCAATTTGTTACGATTTACATACAGACGCATGTTTAATTTTAAATTAAACCTATTTTCCTAATAAAATACTATTAGTACAGTATGCCTTTATTGACATGTATTATGAGAAAACATTTACACTATCCTTCGTCTACAGTAGCTTAACTAGGTAAATAAGGGCACCCGAAAATAAAGAAAGAATTGGACCCGCATCCCCTTTTCCGCGTGGATAAAAACTTATATACGTCTCCAAAATTATAGATAGAAACAAGAACAATAGAATAAAACACTTTAACGGTTTAAAACACGCAATATTACTTAAATTTATTTGTAAATTATTTAGATAGTCCGACGCTACGGATATTTTCAGCAACCGTGGTCACGGGTGGACTTTATATTTCGCTTTTTGAACCGTCTATTCGCATAAACTACAAACAGTATTTAATGTTCAACTGCTATACCCCACCGTGGCGAGTGGCTTAGGTGTAAAGCTTAGGAAGTACATTAAACGGAAGAGGGCCAGGGTTCGTATCTCAATAAATCAATCCTATAACTGATTCACACTATATATTCTCACGCCATACATTGTTTAACAAATAACGCTTACAATATAAAATAAACATAAAATCTAGGGACTGTATATCTATTTTTTAATATAACTCGTCTATCCTATAACTAACACGGTTTTGAGTGGTTCCCATAAGACAGGCATTGCCTAGTTTGGGATCACATTAAAAACAAATTAAATATACATCCACTTGCACAAGTAGCACATATGTTTTTAGTATCACATACTCTTTAGATATACTGTACTACACTTTTTTATATATAGTGAGTCTATAAGACAAAGTTTATTGTGATTAAAATAGGTAAATCTTTATACCACTATCACTAGTTTGTATAGATTTTAGTTTTAACAGATGTGTATTAAATATGTAAAACTTGTGTATAAAATAAATAAATAAAAAAAATAAATAAAATCCTATAACTTGTAAATCAACGCATTATTAAATCGGACACAAAACTGTGTTACACGAATATCGTCTCTAAGGCCGAAAGAAGTGTTTATATGAGAAAAGATTTCCTATTGTTTAAGCTCGAAAGAGGACCAGGATGTTTCTTTTAAGTATATTTTTATGTTTCATTTCCATTCTTACAGTTATATTTTTAACCCCATTTATAATTAACTGTAGCTGTATAATAAACTTTTGGGTATATCGGTGCTGCGAGTATTTTACTCTAGTCTGGAATAGAGTATCAATATCTATACTCTAAGGTGAAGAGTACTATGAGGAGAAGTTTGTTCGTTTGTTTGTAGGTTTAAACATTGTTTGAATTGAAAAATTATTTTTGTGTTAGTTAAAAAAATTATCGAAAAATTATATTATAGTCTATCTTTTAAGATTAACTTGCAAACGACCGATGTCGTGGGTAACAGCTTAAATTAATAAAGATGAAGAGGTTTTCAAAAACAAATTTGGACAGCCAAAATGACTATTCAACGCGAACGTAGTCGCTGCCACAGCTAGTATATTAAAGTATATTAAAGGTTATATTGTGGTAATTCATGTGTGTATTAATATTAAAAACAATCTGTAGAATACTATTTTATGAAAAAAAATCGCAAATGAATCAGAGTTCTTTAACAAAGCGATGAGATTTAAATTATTAACATCAGAAACAAATCTCTCCCTCCCTTCATGGATAAATAATGTCCATTATGCAGTAAAGCGACGAGCAAGTAGGTAACTACAGTCTGTACAAAGTGAATTATGGAAATGCCCGTAAGTAAAAAATAGTATAAGTAGTTACAATATTTATTTTTCATTAAAATACCGTCGAAGCTGTAATTACATCATACTTTTATGACAAAACAAACAAGTACAGAGTCCACTTGATGGAAGGTGAAATAATCCAGCTACATAACATCTAAACAAAATGCGTAGTCGACCTATTTTGACTTTGGATATTCGGAAATCCTACTATAACTGAAACGCGGTTACATTTCACAGCTTTTTCGTCCGTGGATTGTGGTCCTTTAGCCCAGCGAAATTTCGTCAGATTTCAAGTCCAACGTATTTCTGAAAAATTAAAAATTGATTACAAACCAGTTGGAGCCGGTGGGAATCAAACCCACGAACCCTTCAAAAATATAAAAATATGAATTAGTATATAGAGGTTTTAAAAAAACACTTTAACGGTTTAAAACGCGATATATTAGTTAAAACGAAGTTAAAAATAATTTAATCTAATAAGTTTAACTAATATATCGCATTTAAAATCGGTAGTGTTTTATTTAAATGTGTACTACTCGCGTGAACTATAGACAGTATTTAATACAGAGGTTATTTAATATGAATTTGCTAGAGTCACATATTTTTGTAAACTTGAGCAACACGAGTTTCACATTTGCCGTTATTAGTAATCCATCACATTGCGCTGATTTCCGATGTTCGGAATTTTCGGAAGCATCGACGCGTATAAAATGACTGAAGGTTACATTATATTTTCATTTAGTTAAAACATACTTCGAAATAAGAAGTGAAATTCGTTTCCTAATATGGGACATTTCATTGTCCACTTTTAAATAAAACACTTAAGGGTTTTAAACTTGCAATATATTCGTGAAAGTTATTTGATTTATTTTACGGCACAACGTTCCGAATGTTTAGCAAGCAGCCGCGGCTTTTATTTGAATGTGTACTTGTTAATCGCATAAACTACAGGCAGTATTAAGTGTCCACTTTACTTATCGATTATATTCACTGGTAAGCTGGTAATCTGAACGTGATCGAACGAAAGTATGGAATGAAAAATAATGGTTGATATAAATCAAATTTATTTAACTCATAAAGTGCAATGGACAAGCATCGATCTTTACATGCGATCTCTCTGGATCCCGGGAAACTGAAATAGTTAAGTTAAATAAATAAAGAGAAATAACAAGATATGATAACCCATTAAGCCTTATATAATAATATTCTCCCGATTTGAATCTAGGGCCTTCGTATTACACATTTAGTAAAGTAAAAGAAAGTAAAATATAGTTTCGCGGGCACGTTTATCAAATTGTAATTTATAATTTTTCTGAAACATGTTAGACTTCGTTTGGAAATCTAGTCTAGTCAGTTTGGTTCACGAACCACCGTCCACAGATAAAAAAGAAGTTTAATTTTGTTTCGGTTGCAGTTTATGTATTTCCTAATATCCAAAGCCAATATAGACGAAAGTGAATCTTGTTAAAAATGTTATATAGCTGTATTTCACCTGCCATCAAGTGAAAGACCGTCCGTCCGTCTTCCTGTAACATAAAAATATATTTTATCCAGCGCTTATATTGTTGTCCAGCGCTCATCAAAAATAGCTTCAGAGGCATATTTTAATAATATTGACCAAATAATTCTCGCTCTCATAGAAAATCCTCTCATAAAAGGAAACTTGGCGCGCTCCAGGCCGTCGGCGTTTTATGAACACTCTTAAGAAAAGAATCACAGATTCTTTTTGAATTGTGCAGAATTGATCGCCATCTTTACTTATTTCTTTTGCTCAAATCTTATCTCTGTGTCACTCTTCATCCTGATATATAGTTAAGAATCAATAAGGAAAATTCACGCTTATACCAAAGTTACTTGTCTTTTATGGGATCAGCACAATATATCGCGGATTATGCTTATACCCTGTCAAAAGTCACGGAAATCTTATAACTTTTTGTATTTTTTATGATTTATTTGAATTGATATTAAGCACCTGAGCGTCACTCTTATTGCCAATCATAATATTTGTTCTGAGGCGAATCACAAATTCGCAGCACAAAAAGTGTTTGAATGTATGAACTTGGTTTAAGACATGTATTATTACGAAATACGAAAAGACATTATTAAAATTTAAATCATTGAAATAAAACGTAATTTAAAAAAGGAAAATAATGAAATGAGTTTTTTACATAAATTATTTATTAACATATAATTTTTCTGATTAAGTACTTTGACACAATGCAAACGTGAGGCATAACATTGATTTAAGCGCTAGAGGTTCTGAGTTCAAATAGTGGGAATGTATTGAAGTTTCGTACGGGTACAGAAATGTTAAGTACTAAATCGGTAAATAATTATTAGTAAAAAAGACAAACAAATGTGTCTGCCCGGTGACAAAGCCGGATTTTCCACACATTCTAATTAATATTTCTTGGCTTTTAACCCTTTGGTTTGTTTTACTGTCAAAATGGGAAAAGATTAATCTTTGTTTTTTTAGAGTATAAAAATAACAAGATATTATAAAATATTACTACGTGAGTATAATTAATTTCAACCAGGGAACGATGACATTTCTGTAAAATTAATTGAGCATTAGAACAGAGAAAAACTAGAAATTTAATTTAACCTACAACTTAAATTTAGAAAGAGAGGCATCTCAACATTCTCAACCATATTGTAAAGTCGAAAATTATATGTATAAAAGCGCCATCTACGTGAACGTAGGAAAACCTCACATCGCTTCTATTTAGTTGTAGACAACCTTACGAGGTAAACTACCAGCCTGAAATATTTATTACAGTGATTACAACACTTTCCAAAATAGTTGGATGTGGACTAAGTTCTTTTGTTTTCTTATAGATGTCTCATTCATAAAATAATCTGTGATAACTATAGTTATACAAATATAAATAATTATTTACACTATTTTTAAAAGATGCATTTTAAATATTTTATCATCAATCTATGATAACATACAGGTAATACACCTTCGTCGTTTTATAGATCGTGACTGAACTGAACTAAAATTATTTACAGTCATGTAGTTTATTGTTAATTTTATGTTCTGATTGTTAGGTTTCTTCAGAATACCTAAGTCCGCCTGCATTTAACGTAATGCTGCGCAATATGTCTTACGTTCTAGCAAAACAGGCGGACTTCAGTTAATTGTAACAAGTATGTACGAAGAAACTCGCACCCTAATAAACGTAAAATTTATATTAAATGATTACTTTCCTCATACAAACGTGGACTAGTGCTTTTACTTTCTGTTACCTGTGAAATTCAGTTTGAAATAAAGGCTTCGTGCCCTAGATTGATAAAATGGCGAGGTGCCAGCATACTGGCTTACAAGTTGTGGTTTAATAGGAACATTTATTTGGTCCAAATACTTTAAAGACGCACAAAAATCAATGAAGTTTGGCAACACGAAAAAATTAACCTTACAGCGGCTTCAGCGCTGACACGTACGTTTGTATAAAATAAATTAATCGGTGTATAGGAAATAAGAAATCCACGTCTCTATGTAATTCTTTTTACTTAGTTTTACATACAATAGTTATATTTTAAATTAAATGTAAGGTGTCGTAGATGTGTATGATAATAGTCTATCTAGTTATATAACAAGAAAAAACTCTTTTATTATATTTCAAATATTATTTAAGGTAAAACTTAGCACAGTTAATAGTATGTCTATTGTATTTGAAAGATTGATTTAAAATAAATTTCCCATGAGAAGAACAAAAGATAATATCAAATTATAATATTTTATATATCTGTGTCCGTACAGTTTTTTTTTCATTTGACATATTGCATAAAAGAAATAAGAATTAGTCATGAGCCAGTTAATCTATAATATTGTATGGTGCGTTTTTTTCCGATAACTAGGAAACTTAGTAACGTAGAAAATATAAATTTTAAGCGCTTAATGTGCTTGAATGTGTGAAATAAGTTGTCGACGACAGCGCCACTAAAGCAGTTTCAGGGGCAAAACGCTCCCACGCGGCTGTTTCAACACTGTGATAACCACTTCCATTTCAGTGTAAAGCCTTTACATAATGGAATACCTACAAAATCGTTAAACATTGTCTAAGGAAAGATCACGGAATTTTAAAAGTAAGTGACATTCGTTTTAAGATAGAGAGACCGGGAGAATATTATTTATTCTTAATCGTAAAGTAATACATTAATTTTCTTATTATATATGATTGTTTTTACATAAAATATATGATAGAAAAGAAATGTGTTATTAAGAACACGTATCAAACCAGTTATTCCATATTGCTTTGTTGTTATAATTTTGTACTACTTACGCTCTTGTTATCCATAAACCTTCCGGTGTTTTATCGTTTTGGCTTTAACTATTTCTATATTTGCCTAAACATTGTAAAATTAGTTTATTACTTATGCAGTTTTGTTTGTTTTGTGGTACCTATAATAAGTTTGTGATTGCTTATTTTTAATTGTATCAATGTAAACTAAATAACTCAGATAATTACGCCGTTGGCAAATAATAAATATTATCTTATTTGTTCATCGAGTGCCGAGGTATTTTTTTACACCGCGCACCTTGTTAGCGCAGATATCATTTCTCCGTTATAGCTCGACGACCCAGAAAAAGTAAAGTTTTTCTACGTTCATAACTCGCTCTATATATCTTAACTAAGGGATTAGCATAATAAAATCTTTATTGCTAAATATACTCTTACACTGTTTCATAATAACATTTCTTGCTATTTAGACCTGTAAACGAATTAATTTCTTTTTAATTTGTGTTTTATTAGTATTTAATCCTATTAAAATGCTAAAACTTATAAAATAAATATTTAAAAGCTAAAGTTTAAAATCTCAATATGAAAAGCCCTTGATACCTATTTAGAATATCTTAGATCTAACATGTCTTAATTTTTTATTATTAAAAGTATACAAAAATACCCCAACAACATATAATATTTAGATTTTGTATTATTCGCTGAATATTAATTTCTGCACGACCATAACTTGCTAGATGGCCTTATTTTGCCTGTATACATCGCTAAAAGTAGTTTAGTGGGACCCAGGAAGTGTCTACAAAGTTTAAAGCTAAAGTCATCTCAAGATGATGTTTCAGAATTTTGGCCTCATTCCAAGTTCTTGAACGTTGTTGCTTATAAAATCTGGTTTATCTTGTGCAGGTTTGTCTCAAGAATCAACAGAAGTTAACATATTAGCTTAACTAAATCAGTTTAATTTAACACCTTTTTATGTCCGCGTAAACACGCAATGCATATTTTGATACTACTTTAAAAAATATATTCTTAATTTTTTTTATTAATATACACACTTTCCAACATGCTTAGAAACCAAAAGAAAGAAATATTGTCTACAGTTAACATGAGCAGCACACAATTATATAACATAATTTAGCGGTTTATAATGCGAAATAGCGATTATTACATATGTTATTGAAAACACTGAATCCCAAGAAAAGCCATCCCGAGAACAGCGTGAGTCAGTTTTCTAAGGACCCAGTCAGATTCTCCAAATAAAACTACGACGAAACAGATGGCGCTAGCGTAGCAGATTTAACTTTGACATTAGGGACACCCTCCATCTTTAATCCCCCTCACCATCATGGGTGACCACGGTTGCTGACAAGCACCCGAAACTATATACTGTGGTTAAAATGATTTGTGAATATTATGTTTATCCCGTTAACAGTATTTAATTTACACAAAAAAATATTAAAAACACGTTTGACGTGATAAGAAATTAACCCATGACCCGTTCCTAATTGGCAATTTAAACATTACCAATCAAATCTAGTTCCTAATCTTGAAATTGCGTCTTTTATATTATTTTCTCAAACATGCGCGGCAATTTGAGCATTATATTGACAAAAATTTTAACGAGATAAATCGAACTTGCCGTACTGTTCGAGTTGCGACCAGCAAAAGTTATATGAAAATCCATACGGTCTTGTTTTACGGCCAAATAAATTACTAAGTATGTAAAATCATATTTATCGTATAATTTAAAAATGAAATGATCTTCTACTCAGCAAAAAGGTCGTTTGTCGGTCGTTCGTCGTTGAAACTCAAAAGTTTCAGAAAAGTCACAGAAAGTTTGGGAAAAAAAAGGGGAGAGGGGAGTAATGCAAATTTAAATAAAACACTTTAACGGTTTAAAACGAGATATATATTAGTTAAACATATTTGAAAATGATTTTAACTGCAGCCCGACTTTTTGGGTGCTTTGCAACAGCCGTGGTCATGGGCGGCTTAGTCTACTAGACTTTGTACTACTTAGTTAGGCATTATTTAAGAAAATTACTTCAAGCCTTGGCCGCAACCAGGCATAGATGGATTTATGAACGTTCGCCTCGGCCCGTGTGAGTGTACACGTTTGTCCATCAATTATTGCCGGCCACTGCAGTAATGAATATATGAATAGTTTGTATGTACTTATTTCTTATAACTCATTAGGTTCAAGCCCTAGTTGATACGTTAAAACAAAAAGCAAACTTGCAACTGCCGTTATATTTTTAACACGCATGGGCGGCGAATGGCTTTGCATGGTCGAATGGAAAAAGTATTAATAAGTAACAAGTAAATCGCGAAAGAGGGTGTTAGAAAATAAAAATAAATAATACCTCATTACAGGCAAGTATAGGTTGACCGAGATTAACTGTGAGTTATAATGTTTTTCCGCGGTTTGAACTCTGAACCTCTTGTGATAATGGCAATTCCCCCTTTAATTTATTTGTATGCTTTATTATTGTTGAAAGAACGACCTCAAAATTACTTAATTATCATATATACATGATATGGTATGATTTGTGTTTTCAAACTATTCACTATTATTAATTAAACTTTAAACTTAAGACTGAAAGACAAAGGCCCTATCACAATCAGTCACATAAAGTTATCTTCGAACAAATACCTAAGCAATTGCCCTCAATTCCCGGTCGACTGGAGTATTGCGATGTTAACGAACACGATAACTATCTATAGCTCTTAGAATTCAAAACGTAATATCGATTTGATAGAGTATACTAATACTAGCTGTAACAGCGACTTGGTCGTCATAGAATAGTTATTGTACGCATCAAATTTATCTTTGCAAACTTCCTGTTCATCTCAGCAAAATTTAAGCCGTTACCCACGACGTCGGTCACGTCCCGTAGTTCTTACAAGTTAATCTTAAAAAATAGATACTGTCGTGGACAATTTTTTTGATAATTGATAGATAAATTCTTCTTACCCACATATTTTTTTAAATCCCAGTAAGTTTCAAACGAACAATTTTCCGCGTTTTGTCCACATTTTGACTGTTTTTTCGCTTCTTTTTTGTCCCAGCTCGATCTTAAAGCCTATAGCCTTCCTCCATAACTGCTCTAACCAACACAAAAATAATTTTGCAATTCGAACCGGTAGTTCCTGAGATTAGCGCGTTCAAACAAACAAACTCTTCAACTTTATATATTAGTATAGATTTCATATTGTATAATATTATAGTTTAATTTTAAATTCATACCTATTTTAAACTACTATTTCTATTCGAATTCAATGAATTAAAAATTGGTCAATTAAAACATAGACAACATTGACAATTAGGCTTTAAGCGAAGTTCGATGTACTGTATCGTGTCGTATCTACGAAATTTATTTATAGTAGGTCGACTTAATTACTATCGGATATTAATATAATTACTATCATTGTGCAATGAGTAAGCATATAAATGCAAAATTGTACCATTGTACCATTATCTTTAAATACTGTTTGTAAATGTTTACTCTCGCGTAAGGTAGTATACATTTAAATAAAAATTTAACGGTTTAAAACACGATATATATTAGTTAAGGTTATTTGAAAATATTTTAACTACGGCCCGACGTTTTCCCGTGACCACCGCTGCTGCAAAGCATCCGAAACGTCGGGCCGTAGTTTAAATTAATTTTTAAATAACTTTAACTAATGTATATCGCGTTTAACCGTTGTGTTTTATTGAAAAGCGTTATTTTTCTTTAATTTTGTATGTAGTATATACATTTATTAGTTTTAATCAAAGGTCACTAGATCATTCGGGTCTCCTTGATCTAATGGCAGCAATCTGTTGCTAATAATAATACCAGGTATAACATGTTTCTTCCGTCCGGTCACGAACCTGCGTTCACAGATGGAAAGGCGTCTCGGTGACAGTCTGTGGATTTTCGTAATAGGTCGACAGCAGATCGCATTAAGTATCTTATGACTGGGTTATTTTAACTTCCATCAAGGGAACCTTTTCGTTCATAATAATCTTGCGATTGAGATGCTTTTCGTTAATAATAATCATTCTGCGTGAATGGGATTTTCGGGCGAGTTATGAAACAATTTCAACGGTTTAAAACGCAATATAAAATCCTAGTTGTTTTAATATATCGACGTCGAGGTCTCTCTCTGTGGATATATTTTTTAATCAGTTAATTCTTAAACATATTGTTCTGTAATCGTAAGGGCCCATGGTTCGATTCTAGGACGTTTCATTCAGAGTATTGGCATTCGCGTAAAGAAGTACGCAATGTGTGACGTAAACGTTTAGTTAGGGAGCTAGAGAACAGCGGAGGCGAAGTAGCGCGCAGCAAAATCGATCGGTTGCGCGCGCATCTTCGCCATCCCAGCTTCTAGCACAAGAGACCATCCATTCCCGATATCTTTGGTGGAAATGAGACTAAATAGTGCTTAGTGTTAGCAGAAATAAACATTTGTGACACCCCGAAGTATTAAGTTAGGATATCAAAGGTCAGTTGCTTATTTCAGTAAGATATTATCAAACGTAAGTACCTTTAAAATCTTTATCGCCTAGGCACATATATTTTAATAATTAAACGTCTTGGGAGTTGAGACACTAAACTACGTCGCGTTTATAAATTCCTTCGTTGAGCTCGGAAATTCAGTTTTGCGACAAAGGCGTAGGCAGCGATCGATCTTTTAGAATTTTGTTTTTTTATTTTCTATACGAATTAATTCCTTGAATAAAGAATGCAAAGGAATAACCTAATGGCTGAAAATTATAATAAAAAAAACCATTTCTGCTTATTCTAATCCTGGTCAATATACTTGGGGTATGACACATAAAGCTACTTAAATTATCTGTTAAATACAGCGCAAAAATTATATTTTAACGAAATTATTACAGAATCATATTTATACCGCTTTCTAAAAAAATGTGTTTTTCTTACTGTCAATTTCAACTTTTTTATAAGATAATAATACATTTAACAACTCTAAAAATATACATTGTAAATTACAGTGCATGTACAAAATATTTCTCGATTCACAAGGAGAACTCCAAAATCTAGAAATAAAACTGTTAATTATGATAATTTCGGATTGTTTCTCAAACGCCTAACCCAATTGCCTGTTCGTTTAAATTAGAAAGTGCATAAATACGAGTGCATAGGAGGTGATATTCAACATTCCACTTAATTTTATTCTCTAAGCAATAGAACTTATATTATTTCCAAGATAATATATTAACGTACTAAATCAAATTAACAATGCAAGCGAAAAACAACAATCAATGATAATAAACTAACTTAATATCAAAAGATCGCTAATCTTCAATATAAAAAAAGTTTTTCCCGAAAGCCAAGGCCAAAACGACGACAGCACATCTTGTTTAAATGTTATATGGCTACGGTATTCCATCTTCCAACAAGTAAACACCATGTTTGTCTATCTCCTGTACCATTTAGAAATAAGTTTGATGCATAGGTACTATTGTAATTTTTCTGTAGTTAAAATTTTTAAATGTTAATAATATAAGCTTACTAGTTCACCCATTACGATTTGAACAAGTTGCATTTTGCTTTTCGACACATTTTCATTTCTTTAAAATGTCGTATTTGCTTTTCTCGGTATTTTACCTTCTGGATGATCCGTTACTTGAAATAATTACAACAGCAAGAGCCTTTAAAATATGAAACGGAATTTAAATTATACAATCTTTTTGTTGGCAGTCATGTCGCCGCATCTGCGATGGCGCCGGGAGGCAGATACTGCCCCCAAGGTAGAGCCAAATGCCACCATCACCACCCAGGCTCCAGGTTTGTCTCCTTCGTCTTATAAATAACTAAATGGCTAACTATTTATTAAATTTCATTTAATATTCAATGAATAGAATAATTAACAACCTTCACTTTTTGATTTGACTAACAGTGGGTAAATCAGCTTTTATATGAATTGACATCATAAAATAGTAAAAAAAAACTATTTTACTAAAAGTAACTTTATCGCTGAAGAATTATTGCAATCACCGTAGCAGTACATATTGTATTATAAATCAGTATTAACAATTATTGTTTACATGGATTTCATACTCTGTAATTACATTTAAAATAAATATGAACTTTCCTATTGGGTAAGTGAAAAGTTTTCATCATTAGGAAACATTAGTATTTAAAGTAGCTTTATAGAACAAAAGCATTTCCTCCAAGTAAATGTTTGAAAAGTAGCCTTATTATGTATGAAGTAATTATATCACAAACTTTTATTAACTTATTATTCTACATGAGCATATTAATTAAATTATCTTTGTCCTTACAAGGCAACTCGTCGGCCATACCAATGGGGTCAATGGAACCAGAACTACCCACTACAACGACCACTCAAGAGAGTTTGGTCGAAAAGACAGAAGACCTGGCTCGAAAGATGAATATGGAACCATGGCAGCTCGTGGCCATACTTGTCGGTAAGTAAAACATTTCCACCGTGATTAGATTTTTATTTAGTTACTAGGCGTAGAAAATTATTAGTTTTAATTCCCACACACCACTACAAGAAAAATAATATTCTCAACAGGTGTTGGTGTCGTGGTTCTCGGAATATGTTTCTGCTGCATACGACGATGTTGCCGCAAACGACGCTCCAAGGATGGCAAGAAGGGGATGAAGGGAGTCGACTTCAAGTCCGTCCAGCTGTTAGGCTCAGCTTACAAAGAAAAGGTAATGTTATCGTTGCTGATTTAAAAATAAGTGAAACTACCTATTAATAGAAAATTATTTCTTGACTGATGTCTGTAAAAGCCTTATTTATTAAGAAATCCAATATTCATGTGAAATTTGCCGCGGGACGTGCATGTAGGTGCAGCCGGATATGGAAGAGCTCACGGAGAACGCAGAGGAACCTGATGAAGGCGAGGAGAAGAAGGAAGAGCAAAAGCTTGGAAAAGTCCAGTATAAGGTAATGAAGAAGCTGACGGGCCACCCTGGAGGATGAAACTTTATGGTCTAAATCGCCAAATCGTTGGTCGTTTGGTCATTGTTTTTGTATCATTTAGCTTAGACATTTATAGACGTCATCAAGTTTCATTTTCACTAACCGAATTTGTTTGAATCGTTTTTTGCATTTTCGGTTTTATATTTATTTTAAATCATGTCATGTAGGTGTCAACTGCAATATTATGACAATCTTTTCATGACCACATTGCTTTACAGTTGGAGTATGACTTTAACAGTAACAGCTTGTCAGTGACAGTAATACAAGCTGAAGATCTTCCGGCGCTAGACATGGGCGGGACATCGGATCCCTATGTCAAAGTTTACCTTCTGCCCGATAAGAAGAAGAAGTTCGAAACCAAAGTCCATCGAAAAACGCTCAGTCCTGTCTTCAACGAAACTTTCGTATTTAAGGTATGAGAGGCTGTAGATTTCCCAAGTCAGATATTGTTAAATATTCTTTACTATCACTCACTTGCAAGAACAAGTTACTTTTAATGTCTTCTTCTTCTTTTCAAATGAGTACTTACATTGTAGAAAGTATGACGAGAGCATATTTTATGAATATTTGTACACAGAATGTGCCATATGCTGATGCAATGAACAAGACACTTGTGTTCGCGATCTTCGACTTCGATCGGTTCTCCAAGCACGACCAAATCGGTGAGGTGAAGGTACCTCTATGCCAGGTAGACCTTGCGCAGACTATTGAGGAATGGCGTGAACTGCAAAGCGTAGAAGGCGAGGGCGGACAGGTGCGGTTATGTTTATTAAATATTGAGATTACCCGTACAACCTTATATTATTTTATATGACTATGCACATCGCACTTGGACAATAAGGACTGAAAATTGATGTGATTCTAGAGCAGTCTAAACTGCGTTCAGTGCGGAGGTATGTTGAAATTGCAAAAATATAAAAATGTACTTTGAGTTACACCCAGGTCACATCAACAGTTCATTTTGGCTTACACACATCTGCCATTTAGGTACTATTTATGGAGGAAACTCGTACATGACATTCATGATGCACTATTAATAGTTTTGGTATTACGAACAGGGTTATAGGTACGCATACTGTAACAGAAGAAACTATTTTGTATTTTTTCTTAGCTTTAGGCTACACTTGCAGATCACATCCAGATTTTATATGAAGAGTAAGTATTGGATGTGTTTTGCTCGTACAGCATTATTTTAACTCGATTGCCTCCTTTTATGTGTGCGTGTCAGTATAATTTTAGTACAAAAAATAAAACACAGCTTCACTAAAAGGAGGGAATATAAAATTTTCAATTTACTGCACTCTTACTTTATATGAGGATCCTTGATCACAAAGTACGCAACATTTTTAAAATGAAATTTGAATTTCGAAGCGCATTCCACCACATCCAAATTGGCCTCTAAATCAAGCATCCTCAACGTGGATGAAATCGTCATTTATTTTTTGATAAATTAATTTGGACAGCAAAAATGTATTTACTTGGTTTTTTTTCTCTTTTTCTCCATATTTTCTCTGCTGTGCTTGGCTGTGTTTGATTGTGTCCTGACAATCTTGCATGCCGCTTCAAAAACGAAATGTTCATTCACGTAAGTATTATTTTGAGACACATATCGAGATGTATATTTTAAAATTCAATATACACAATTCATTAAGGTTATATAAATACACGAGTTCATAATACAGTTTGTCGATAACTAAGATACAAATCGTACTATACCGATTAGGTTTAAAGGAAAGCATATTACGGACGATGTAAAAATCATCACCTTACCTACGTCACCCATCAGACCACATTTTATTTTCCAATTTATATTATGTTCAATCCATCCAACACTTTCTTTTAGTTTGTAAGTATTGCGGCTGGGGAATGTTGCATGGTTGTCATCTTGTTTTATGATATATCTACACGAAATGAATTAAGTTATACAAGTACTCTGAATTATCATTTAAACGATATATATCGCCTTTTTGCTTAGTAACTAACGAAATAAATAATAAAAAGTGTATGAAACAACCCATTCACATGTAAGTTTTTTAAATTTATTTATTAAAAAACTTTTAAAACGGTCAACGCGAATTACATTGCTTGGACAGTAATGAGTTAAAAAGTTATTCTTAAAAATAGGTTTCATACAAATTACATTAAAACTTCAACTCATTAAGTATTTAAGGGCATTCATTTTTAAAAACCACAGCTTTTATCATTCTTTAATTTCCATTCCATTGCCTCAAAAAAGTACAATATTCTTAAAATTGTATCTCCATATATTTCTGATTGTACGTTATTCCAGCAGAGACGATATATTATTATAAGATTCAATCAACCTATTGATCTTTGTTTATACAAAGCTCAAAGTGTTTACTTTATTAATCCGGGCTTTCCTTTGTAAATTAACAAATAAGGCGTTTTAACCACATGTCATTAAATGGTAATTCCGAGTTACCAACAAACAGAATTCTACCTATCAGCTTAATAATACGCTCACTACACGACCACTTTATCTGTATGTATGTACGTTTATGTGTGTTTGTGCACCTGCTGTTCAATAAGGCTTAAATACCACAGCTTTAATAATAGAGCATAACTAAATAATAAAATAAAACTATTTAACTCACAGTTTACATTTTCAGTGTTACCATTTACTGAGTTAAAAGAAAACGGTAATGGAAACGTGAAATATTTTCTATAAAGTACTTCGATGTTAAAACTATATATCACTAAATAAAAATACAATTAAAAGGTAATAAAATAAGACACAATCTTCTGATATGTTTTAATTTTGATTTAAAAACAACTTAAATAAACAAACAATAAACTTTTTTTCTTCAAATCTATTTTCGGTTTAAATTAAACAAATTTATTTTCAACTGTTGATATAGATAATGCACTTGTAGTAAAGTGTTACAATAATGCAAAACGATCTATGTTTCATAGTGAGATGCTCTATGTTGTCCTTGGCTTGTGTGAAGTCTTTGTAAGTATATGCTACCTAATATGTTTATACTATTTCTTTATACATTTCTTTAATACATCGCCGCTAAAGAAATTCTTAAATGCAGCATCGAATTCGACATTAACTGTGTTTAATTCGTTTAACTTAATTTATGCTTATTCAATCATATCTCTAATTTTCGCCCGTGTCATAAATTATATCTTTAAAATTTTTTTTTTGATTTAGTCACGGTTATCGCTCTCTAATTTCTTTAGCGGGTTTTTTAGTTACACTGTTATATATGTATGTATATGTTAATAATTACAAATAGATAATTGCGATCTGTTCCTTAAATGGGCAGTAAGGAAGAACAGGTAATTCAGGAACAATCGCTTTAGTTATGTCATAAAATTCTTCATAACCCAATATGTACAATACAACTCCAATATAACAATTGTTAAGAGGGTAAGTTCTTGGTGATTTGAGCTGGGTGTTACATGTGATTGGCTTCATTTCGGCAACAGATCGTAATGCACAGTGTTTATGTTCCAGCGAGATGTCTGCTTCATTAAATTAGGTTGGTTTGGTGTGTCTTGACTCGTGTCCCCTAGTTATGTGTTACTGTATTTAATGTTTAGATGGGTGCCAAAACGTTATAAGTAACGCAATGGAAGTTATTTCCTGATAAATGTTATACCTCATACCTAGTCGCAAACTTGTTTGGCCTACCTACGAATACCCCCCTGGGCTATGACATGCACTTTTGACATTGTTCATCAGGTAAACCGTTTATTGTATCGTATTATAATGTTTCTGATCACCATATAAAGAATTGTACCTGATGAGCCCTGTCGATTTACCCCTGAGACCATGAAATTGCTTTTAGGACCACACGGAGCTAAACTTTTATTTCGTTTTTGTTTTGTTAAAGGAAATGTTTGTTACCCTAATCCACCCTAAGCCGCGATAATGGCCCATGTTTTATATTAAAGCTTTTTAAATCCGTGTTTCAAAAACTATGATCCTTACACAAAATTATCCTGACAATCTTTCATATTGATCACTTACCAAAATCCTTGAAATCGACACGACGAAACTGCGATAATAAAAGTTATTTTGGTGACGAGTGACTATGAACGTAATAGTTACCTCGCTAAGGCTGTGGTCTCCCATAAATGCTATGGGCGAAGCTATACTTTATAATATAACAATGTTACTAGTTTAAAGCTAGAACGTATGCGCAAAATATGACACCTGATCTCAATAGTACCTAGGCGAAAAACATTTGCGTCATCAAGGCATTTGCTGCAATTATTCGATATAACTAGAGATGGGACCTAAGACTTTATAATCCTGATTAAATAACTGAATTATACAACAACAATATATTTTCTAGCGTAATTATTCTGTTGCTTTTAAGAGACCACAGCCTAAGCAACGTTGCATTGACACTATATTGATACTAGTTACAATAATGATGTGGGTTACAGGACAACAAGTTGGGAGACATATGTTTCTCGTTGCGATATGTACCGACAGCTGGAAAGTTGACCGTGGTCATTTTGGAAGCAAAGAACCTCAAAAAGATGGACGTCGGTGGTTTGTCAGGTAAGGAAGGAAGATTCTGGATCTGCTTAATACCTGTCATAAACTGAATGTCTCTTTCAGATCTATTTAGGTAAAGTAATACTGTTCTCTTCTAAATCCACTTCGCTAATTTCTTTCGCTACTGACTTATAGTAATTGTTGAATATCGTTTGTACCAAGTTTTTTTTACTTTGAATTCTTGTTTTTATTTAATTGTTTATGTAAATAGAGTTCTGAAATCTCATTACATATAATTTTAAGTTCAATTAGATAATTTCGTGCAGTACTTATTACTTCTTAATTACAATCAATTCTTGACAAGTTTTAATTGTTGCGTTGCAACTTACATCTTGTAAGAATAAATAAAAACGTCGAACCAATTAAAATATATAGAAATTCAATCATATTAAATGTGTTTATTCATCATAGCTTGGCTAGATCATTAGGACAAAGTAAGCGTTTAAACAATTACGTATAAACAGTGTAATACTTTTCTTGTCTTTTTCATATCTGCTCCCGTTGGTGCGCCACAACAGATCCGTACGTAAAGATAGCGCTCATGCAAAACGGGAAACGTCTTAAAAAGAAGAAGACGAGCATCAAGAAGTGTACATTGAATCCTTATTACAACGAGTCATTTACTTTTGAAGTACCATTCGAGCAAATACAGGTACGAGCCGAGATTGACACAAAATTTGATGTTGTAGCATATAACGAGACATTTTGCTTGGGGATCATCCTTTTTTACTTGAGAGGCCCGAAAATCCTTCGCTTCACAAGTAATCTTGGATGTCTCAAGATATTCTCCAAACATTGGTCTCGGTTACGTGCGATATTGGTGTTGTAATCAGTGTCTCCACCACTGGCTTTCCTTGTTATCCTATGCCCTTATTCTTCCGCTTCATCCTTAAAGTCCTGTATGTTAACTGAATGTTAGTTTGGTATCCAATGTCGAATGTTTGCTTCTCTGATACTTATGTCTTCAGTCCTGTCCAATAATTCTCCTCATATACTCCTAAGTTTATCCTGCCTGCCATTTATATTTTTCGAAGCAAATGCTTTATGTATATTCTCTTTCATCGAATGCTGACCTCTCGCCGTGACTAGGTGTTACAGCTAGAGGTTACATTTACAAAGAATCTCTTATAGTTTTTGCTTTGATTGATATTCTTTAAGTGGTGTTTAAGATCTCCCCTCGTAACTGCATTAAATCATTGTCATACCCATTTCTATTTTCCATTTGTTTGGCGTGAATGTTCTGTTCCGTGTTAATATTATGTACATTATGGTAAGTACAAAATTTTTGATGCATAATGAAATCTTCAATATCTTTACATCAAATATTCACTGATTAATAAACATAGGGTAAGAGTTTTTACAAGGTATACAAATCACAAGCTTTTCATACCGGTAGACAGGCATAAATCATTAGATACTGTGAGAACATTTACATACAACATCAAGACAAGTAGTTAGGTACTTCAAAGGCAAATACATTGATTTCCACTCATTCTTTAGTGAGTGCATATCAATGAAGACACGATCCCTTAATTGCTCCATCTAGGCTGCAAGTAAGTTACTCTCACTTCAGACTTCTAGGAAATCATTTTTCGGGGTTACACAATTCAACAACTAAATCAGCGTTTTGAATTCAACTACTAATCCTTTACTGGTTCTATGTTACAAAACAGAAAGTAAACCTAGTGGTGACCGTGGTGGACTATGATCGCATCGGGACTTCGGAACCTATTGGTAAGGTGGTGCTGGGCTACAACGCGTCTGGAACCGAGCTACGTCACTGGTCGGACATGTTGGCGAGTCCAAGACGTCCCATTGCGCAATGGCACACCCTTAAAGACCCAGAAGACGGAGAAAAGAAGGATTAAAAAACATGCTGAATGTAAGTTCTGCTCTGAAGAGTACATAGATATAACCTACATGTATTATGCGTTAAAAAATAACAATTCGTTATTTCCGAATTAACCCAGATTTTAACCTACCCCCAGTGGACTTCCCCACGACGTTATGCGATCGATAGCTACAACGTATTGTTTAACTTATTACAATAAGGACAAAAGGGTTGAAAGGTCCTTTGTAACATTTGTGATTCGTTTTTTTTTCAGAAGATATACCAGATGATGGCAAAATTACGAAAACAAAATACACAACGCGAAGATCGACGTAAATATTTTTTTCCATATTCTTAGTTTTAAGTATCAATATTTTCAAACCCGAGGTTAAACTCAAGCATTGATTCTATGTTGTTGATATATGATTTTAGAAAGATATCAATGTTTTATAATAAAGATCAAGCTATATCTGTTTAAGCTATTTTCGTAGATTTTTAAAAATAATGAAAAGGTGTATGGATACCTTTCCATCATCATAAATTAACGTTCAATAAAAAATCACGTAAAACTAAATATAGCTATTTACTTTTTTTACTTAGCGTTTAAAAGATCTAAATAATTTATTGTTGCTATTAAAAGTGTATAATGGGTTTTAGATATGCATATACCTGTATTTGTGTACGTTGAGTGAAACGACTTCAAGTAGATAATTGTAACGCAGTATTTTTTTTACATAGATCTAGATGAAGTAACTCTACAGAATTTAATTTATGCTTCTCTTATCTCTCGTTTTTAAACTTCGGTACTGATTGTATGAACTTGCATACAATGAAAACAATGTAAATAAGTTGAATCCTGTTAAATTTATTACATTCTATTTTACTAAAATGTAAGTGTTATTGCCTATGTATAAACCTTTAAAAGAAATCGACGTGTTCCTCTTGAGAAGAGAGTATTTATAGATAATAATTATTGTAACTATGTATCTATGTAGTAAACGCTTCACTTTTAAATTTTCTCACGTTGTTCTGTTTACTTATAATATCGTAATCACTGCACTCCTTCTTACGAGGAACAAAGGCCTACAAACAAATACCTATCTCTTATGTTTTCGCTTTCAAAATTTTCAGATTACCTACGTACCTTACCTTGAAAAGAATCATTGAAATAGTTTCGTTATTGCAAATATTATTTTCTAGACTTAAGAATGGTGTATTATACAAATATATTACGAGACACTTATTTAATTATAAATAATTAATCGAAGTAGAGTTTGTAAAAACGATTTTTAATGAATAAGAACGGCTGCTATTACATCGTATCATCAGCATTTATAATCCTAACTAAATAAAAATATATCACTCGATATCAAGATCTTAAAATTAAAATCTACCTATTTATTAAATGTTGCAGTGTTTATCGTTGTTTTGTCCTTATTTGTGTTAAAGAGAGTTATAATATTTATCGCATGTAAAAAGCAAGCTTTAACCATTTTATGAGTCTACCGTCATTCCATTTGTTTTAATAGTGTGTTAGTATTAGATGAACAAAAATAATTTATGGAAGATTGATTATAACTTATTAATATATCTGATGATTAGCTATTATGCTTGACTGTTGTTGATCTCAATTTTGTGTTATCGTGTATATAATGTAATCACATGTTAAATTTTATGATCACGTAAAAATAGGAGTAGGTATAACGTCGGGCTTAAAGAAATGTAGCAAAGCACCAACACGAAATATGTAGACATGTGGGTTCGAGTTCTGTATTTACCAATAAATATAGTTATGTTAATAAAATATAGTTTCTACTGTAGTGTTTCGTGCAGGTCCCAAAGCAGTTTCTATATACTTTGATCAATTGGTACTATTTTACCCCTTAGCGAGCGTAAAAGTATATGTTATTTGGAGTTTATGAATAATTAAAGGTAATTTAGAGGAAATATGAAATCACTTTTCGGCTTCATTCATAGATCTTTGAATGCTCGGATCAAATATATACATATAGCTCAAATGTCTCAACTCTCATCTCTCAAGTAAGCTTCATCAGTGGTTGTCAGTCGGTTCATCGGGTGATTTTAAGCAGCCGGAATCAGGTCATCGTTAAAAATCATCACCTATAATATACAATTCGCGTTTAATTAAATAACATCTACTATAATTAAGATTCGACAGTCTTAAATAAGCACACATTACAAATACAGAAAAAATTAACATAAAACCAAACACAAGACAACCTACTATTATGAGAAAATAAATTAACAAAGTAGGTAAGCAGAGTAGTGCAAGTTCCATATTCATAAAGATATTTTTCTGTTTTGAAAAGATTAGCAGCTTGTGCATACAGATTGTAGATTGTTTGTTTTTAATGACGTGAGATAAAAAAATAATATTAGAATATGATAAATTTATTTCATTTGTAGCACAAAGTTTTGTTTGACAATAAATGATAACTATCTATTTAGTGAAAATTTTATACTAATCAACATTGAAATTATATTGTGTTCTGTAAAATATATCCCTATTTTATTATACATGTTTAGTACCCTCTAGGTACTAAAAAAGTAGATAATATAACAACTGTTATGCTTCATCGAGGACATAAATTAATTTTCAAATGCACAGAAAAATAGGAGACAAACATAGCAATGACTTCACATGTATCAAATACTTATGAACTATCTGTAGCATTAGGTAAATTTGATTGACAATATTATCATTATTCATATTGTAACCTTTTCCAATATCTAATATTAATACAGATATAGTACAATATATTTGTTTTATTTTATTTTATATTTATAAATTTGTGTGTCATAGTAACAATAATAGTCATTATTATAAGACATATTTAGTAATAACAAATCTAATACAGTTTAAAAAAAACATTATAGGTGTCCTTAGAAATAAAAAAATAAAATGTAAAAATATTTAGAGGACTTTGCGGTCTTAAACAGAATAATGCAACTAATAGAAGTGACATATTTGTAAAATACTCTTACTATGCATAAAATTCCATATATTTAATAACAATAAAGTTATAACTTTATCTAAGTCTAAATATAAAATACCAACAATGATGTTTCAATAAACCTTTTAGTAAGAACATTCATACAAAATAAGTATTCAATCATCATAATATCTTCGTTTTAATGTCCTATATTTTTTTAACTTATACAATGCTTCGATCTCCTTCACAACATATTCTCCGTGTTTAATCATAGTTTCAACTTTTTTCGGATCTTTTTCTTCACTGTTTTTTAAGAACACTTTATGCAATCGCTGCCTGAAGAAGTTATATCCCTGGGGCCAATCTCTGCCTAAGTGCAGCAACTGAAATATAAATGACAATTATTATTTTTTTTTTGATTCTAAAATTAAATCCTGTTGTGTATACATACCGTTCTGTACAAATCTATCACAGCTTTTCTTTGCGGTTGAGACATGTTTATTTACGCACTTAGGTCTAAAGTTCAAAATAAAACCTTGAATGTAATCTAAAAAATGATATATGCTTACGCTTATTTATTATATTATATGTATATTGCACTATATTTCAAGAAGCTAAATAATTAATCATTTAAGTACGTATTTAATTTCGCTGCTAACTAATATGATAGTAATTCGTAACTACAATATTATCATAACTAATAAAAAACTTCCAATATCTAAATCAGCTGTTTGTTAATGTTATAATTCCGTTATATGAAGTGTTAACTGTCACTCACTGACAATTGACATTTACAAAAGTTGTCATCTTTCATATTAGACCGCGAATTTAGAAAAAGTGAATTTCGATTAAATTAGCCATAGTTATATTTTGTTACTGTTACTTTGACTACCAACAAGTATCATAGCAACAAAATATTATCTTGTGACAATTTCTCTTGAACTTTGCGGTTATTCTGGCTTATGATACAATCTATTACGAAAATATAATTAAACAATGGCGGATGATGAAGACCAAAAAGGAGAATATGGAGAAGGTTTGAAGTACACATTTTAAAGTCGAATAATAAAAACTTTTAGAAAGATTAGGTTTTATACATCTCTTTATAAATTGATGTAAAGCGCTTTCATATCATACAATTTCAATAGTATTACTGTTTGACAAAAAAAATAGTCTTTTGGAATCTTTTTGACTTCGAACAACACTGGCAAAAGAAAACCGTTTTGACGTTGTATGGTTTTATCAAATTTTAATATTAACCATTCTAATTGAACAGAAGAAGAAGAAGGGACAGAGGAAGCAGTTGTAGAGGAAGTAGAAGAAGAAGTGGAGGAGGAGTCTATTCTAACTGAGTATGATCCTGATGATTTTATATCCGGCGCTGTCATCAGCCTCGATACAACAATTCCTTATGATTTATTCGAATTTGAGTATCCTTTAAAAGTAAATATTATTTAAACGAAAATCAATACAGTGTCTTAAAAGGCCATTATTATTTTCTTTAGGCTTAGAAAAATCGTAAAAAAATGTATTAAGTTAGTACCTAATACATATTTTTTATGATTACTCTTCTTTTTTAATAGCAAAACATTACTCATCAATTATTTTCTGAGCTGCACTTAGACATTCGTATGGTTACAATTGCCATAAATATTTTAACCTATGTGCCTGTGACGACACTGTAGTTTGTTGGTCTGCAGGAAGTATAATCACATTTATGGATGTGAATACCAAACAAACGTGGTTCCGAAGGAGTACCACGGGGGGTTCAGTCGGGAATATAGTGGTAAAATGATAGTACTCTTTTTAAATTAACATTGAAATAGTATACTACTACTAATAATTACTTTAGGAAGTAATAATTACTGTATAACTAGATAAATAGAATATTGTGATAGACTCTTGTTGAGACCCTGCGTCGTACCTCGAACGATGCCGATGGTAGAGTAAGGGATGTCTTTCGTTATTTTGCTTTCCTTTTCTTTATAGTAAGGTTGCCTGGAAGAAATTGCCAAAGGCGATAGGTACGGGCGCTTTTGCACTAACTCTTTTATGTAAAATATTACTATGTTTATATTTTATTATAATACTTTGTTCAATAAAGTGTTTTATTATTATTAACCTACAGATGGCTTGCTTAATTACTAATAAAAATAAAACGTTAGTCGTACAGAAAGGACCCCAACTATCGTATAGCGATCGCTGAAGGTAGAGAAGGGCATAGAGAACCTCTGATATTGATATACACCTGGCCACAAATGGAGATCGACGCCGTTTTGCGAGACGGGACATCCAATGCTTATTCTATTCTGGATTTTAGGTATGCAATATTAATATTTACAGTAAAATTAATTTAATTTGAGAATTACGTTATTGAGTGTACAACAACGTTTCGAGAGCTTTACAGCAGACCAACTAAAATGACCGGTCATATTATATACTAGCTGTGTAAGCGACTTCGTCCGCGTAGAATAGTTATTTTGAACATACAAATTTGTTTTTGCAAATCTTATTTTAATGAATTTTGGCTGTCACGACGTCGGTCGCGTTCCGTCGTTCTTGCCATCTAATCTTAACAGATAGTCATATAGCGTCGTGGGCAAAAAATATAAATTGTTCAAATCTTTTACAACATGTTGTCATTTAATTAATACTTATATTATCTAGAGATACAAACATGTATGCCTTCTTTCTTAGTCCTGACGGTGAACTGCTAGCATCTGTAGGAAAAGAGCCCGATTATAACTTAACTATATGGACGTGGAAGCGACATAAAATCTTACTTAGAACGAGCGCTTTTACATTTGACGTTAATTCCGTCATGTTTTCGCCATATTGTCCTGGTCAGCTCACAACAGCCGGTAAGTTATTTAAAATACAATAATTACGTTTTAATTTGATATAGTTTACTTAAATTTGGTTTATACATTGCTTAATTTTAACTTATTATAATTTTTACAAACATAGTTTGTTAAATAAGTGCATTTCATTTAAATTAGTGTTCTAAATTTAAAAATACACTAAATTTAATCTTATTTATCCCGAAAAGTGAAAAAAAAGACCAAAAACAAAAAAGTTTTGGATTTTTTAAAGTTTGAAATAGTTATGAACTAATTATTGTAAATTAAAAAAATAAGATAACACTTACTGACGTATTTACCTACAACATTCTTCAATTAAATACTGTCTATAGTTTACGCGAGTAATACACATTTAAATAAAACACTTTAACGGTTTAAAACGCGATATATTAGTTAAACTTATTTGGAAATTATTTTTAACTTCGGCCCGACGCGAGTCTCCCCGTGACCACGGCTGCTGCAAAGCATCCGAAACGTCTCGTCGTCGGTATTTTAAACCGTTACAGTGTTTTATTTAAATTCTTCAATTACCAAAAAGGGCGCTTAATAAATTTTCACTTCAACAATTTTTTTCAACAAAACCGCAATTGTAGGTGCCGCACACGTCAAGTTTTGGAAGATGGCTAACACCTTCACAGGGCTAAAATTGAAGGGGGAACTTGGCAGATTTGGAAAAACAGAAATCTGTGATGTACTTGGCGTTTATCCAATGCCGGATGAGAAGGTCGATTTGGAAATAAGGTCATGTTATGTTATGAAACAGAAACAATATCTAAAGGCTTATTTATTGTTGTAGGTATTGTCTGGTTGTGAATGGGGTAACGTTTTAGTCTGGGAAGCTGGTCTTGTGAAGTTGGAAGTTACACAACGTGGACGGAAGACCTGTCATAAAGCTCCGGTGGTATGAAACAAAATTTGGTATTACGTATTTCATTTTCTGTAGGTGGATCTGCATTACATAACCGTTTTGATTTGATGAGATCTTACATATTAATTACCAAACGCGTTTTTACGTTTTCTAATACACTAGCGACTCGACCCGGCTTCGCTCGGGGGCAATTCTGATATACTACAGAACTGTGAACGTTGTCTATAAAAACCTTCCTCTTCTATTTTTTTTTAAATATCGCATCAAAATCCGTTGCGTAGTTTTAAAGATCTAAGCGTACATAGGAATAGTGAAAGCGACTTTGTTTTATAATATGTAGTGACCTGTATAATTTGTTTGCTTCTGTATAGATACAGTTCATGTTAAGCCCTGCTGGTGATGAGGTCACAACAATTGCTCGTGATGGCTGCGTACGCGCATGGTACTGGGATACGGTGGAACAAGCAGATCCACCGGAAGACGATCCATATGTGGAACTTAATCCTGTAGCAGAAACTTGTGTTAGATATTTTTTTGTTGGTTATGTTACAAGTCGATCTTTGACTATTATTAATTTATTTTAAGTGAATGCTTATTTTAAATTCTAAATTAGTAAAAATGCAATTTTAGGTGCCAGGCTGTCAAATTATGTGTCTAAAACACCAAAAGGATATGTTTTGGTATGCTCAGGTAAGTTTATTGTTAACATATTAAATACATCTCAAAAAAAACTTAATCTGTACGTTCTTTTAAGACTTTGTTCTATAAGTTTTACCTTACCAACTTGTTGTAAGAAATTGATGCCTGAAAGAGATCGCTGCTGAGCGATAAGGCCGCCTTTCCCTTCGTTTTGTGTTATGATATAAATAAAAAAGCTATACATACATGAATAACAATTCCTATACTACAAATTTAATTTAAAATAGGATGGTAACGGTGGTGTTTGGACTGTAGAGCTGGAAATAGACAAAATTGAATGCAACCATCGAAAAGTAATGACGTGCCATGCGGGTCCTGTTGTTGCTATGGCGATAATGCGGACGCACCCAATATTGGTGACTGCAGGGCAGGATGGGGCGTTACAGGCTTATAATACAGAGACGCACGCGCTGCTTGCAAGATATCAATTCCAGGCTGGTGTAACCTGCTTGCTGTATCCACCTATAGATGTAAGTAAGAACTGTTCATTGGTAAAAAAGCTGTCAATCTTAAATGTATTTAAATTATTAATTGTAATAATTGTATATATAATAACAATATTATTAATTGTATATATATATATATATATATATATATATACTATATTATATTATGTGTATGTTTCATACCAACACATTCTAATATGATAATTCGCAGTTAATTTTATTTGATGACTTTAATATTGTCCACAGGTTCTAATCCTGCCTGAGTCGTATTTTTTTGAATTTATAATCGACTTTTTTAAATAGTGCCATCATGTGAAAAATATTACAGTTTTCAATCGTTATTTCGCTTTAATACTTCTATAAATGATATTTGTTGTAGGTTGACGAGACGTCTTGCATGATTATAGTTGGCTTTGCGGATGGGATTATGCGCGTACTCTTCATTCATCCTGATCGTTTATTAGCGCAATCCACTCTAGTCGAAGTACGTGTTCACTCAGCGCTCACTATACATAGCGAAGATTCTGTGAATGCTGATGTATTAGATTTAATTTGCGTAAGACATTTTGTGATTATTTCTAAGCTAAGCTAAGATTATTCCTAAGAATGAACCGCTCTGGACGAGAGTATGATGACAAATATCATCATCGATATACTCCATCACTTGAGAACGCATGTTATACTAATATTATAAAGCTGAACAGTTTATTTGTTTGAACGCGCCAATCTGAGGAATTACTGGTTCGAGTTGGAAATTTATTTTAGTGTTCGTTAGCATTTATCAACGGAGAGTCTAGGCTAATAAACTTTACGTTGCGACTTATAATAGGAGCGAAGAAACGATGGGAAATTGAAAAAACGGAGAAAAATTCCGTTGCGGGTGCTGCAGAAACGGTTCAACACACCCAAACATAGGCCCTCTTTAAATAATCTAAAAAATGTCTTTGACGATAAAGCTATATACATAGCTTTATTTTAAGATTAACTTACCAGATCTAAGTGACGCGACTCACGGTATAATTTATTAAGATGAGTAGGATTTGCTAAAACAAATGTTGATACCCAAAATAACAATCCTACGCAGACTAAGTCGCAGGCACAACTGGTAGTACATTATGATTTAACTCAAATTAGATTTACGATGAACACAAATAAATAACAGTTTTGAGCTAGAATTTTCTAGGTATTATATGTATTTAATATCCAAATTGTTGAATAATTATTTCTTCACAGTTACTAAAACCTCATTCAAAATCGCTCACACAAATGACGATAAATGAACAACGAACATTGTTGATAACGTGTGGTGAAGACAGCACTATATTCTTGTATAGATTGGTGGTCGATACACCCTTCAGGCTGCATCGATTAGGATTTATAGACACGCCTAACAATATTGCTTATATGACTTGGAAACCTGATGAAGTAAGTAAGATTATGTTATTTTGAAAATCGAAAATTTCTTCAAATTATTTTGATTTTTAAAAATTATATACTGCCTTCGTGTGCAATAACATTAAAAAAATATTAAAGTTTTCAAAAATTATATTATCTTAACACAATGCTTCCTTATATAATAAAGTGAAAAATCATTTATTTCTTCAGGTACACTCATAAACATTTCCACATTGCTCTTTTTATTTAATTTTTTTTTTATGATGAAGAGGACAGACAAATCTGAGGCTCACTTGATGAAAGGTGTAATATGCCAGTCAAATAACATGCGATGTCGACTATTTTGGCTTTGGATATTCGGAAATCCACATACTGAAACCTAAACGCGATTAAATTTAACGGCCTTTTCATCTGTTTTTCTTCTATGTCTGTTTCGAAAATTCTGTTTTGAAATTTCAGTAGTCCTACCACCCATTCAATAACCAGATATCCACGCGAAGGCCAACATGTTTCTGAATAATTATAATTTGATTAGAAACATATTGGATACGGTGGGGATCGAACCCGATCGATCGATTACTAGCCATACAATGCTACCATTGTACTCACGAGCCCGTCAAAAGGTTTTGGAAAAGTGGAAAGAAGAAGAAGAAGACATTTTAAACTTTTACGCGAGTTTTTAAGTTTTATCTCATTTCTATAAGGTCTGCCACTTTATATGCCTCTCATATCCTATTATACTTTCGCGTAGCTATAAAAAGGTTTAAGGTAATAAAACCTTACCGTCAATATCTAAAGAGATTTATCTTCTTTCTATACTTTGTCCCTTTTAATACCATTCACAGGAGCGTGTGATTCTTCTCTGCGGTCAAGTAGGTTTTATTATGGAGGCCGTGTTACCAGATGTACCCATTCGCGAATACACTGAGATCACAACCTTCAAATTAGATTTCGTGTCTTATAAGGAGATTCTCGTTAAAAAACATTTGTAAGTTTGATTATTTAAATAAAACTGCCTTTGTAGCTAAATGGTTAAACGTAATGCTAGTATTACGTTTAACGCAAAGTTCGAATCCCAAAGAAACAATACATTGTTTTGGTCAAGTAGGGCACAGAAGTTTGATCTAATAAAACTTACCTATAAAAAAAACCAATCAGCCACAGAAATATTTTCGCCCATGCCCCACACAGGCCATTCCTAGTAACACATTGCAACAGGGCATTTCACGCTATTTAAAGGAATCTTTTCCTTTAAATAGTGTGAAAAAAGGACGTTATGTTATGCGTATTATTTTTTTTTCTAGCATGCGCAATCGGCCATTCCCAACGGAAGAAGATCTAGCAAGTATTGATGAAGAAGCACTTAAAGCTAAGGAAGAAGCAGAAAAGGAAAAGGATGAGGACGAAGAAGAAGAATGGCTTGGAGAAATACAATTAAGTAAATAAAGTATATTACTAGTAGTTGTCAAACAAAGTGTTGCCCTAGTATTATAAAATAGTCTAATTAATTTACATTAAAAGGCTGTCAACCAAGTGGAAAACAGATTAGTCTTTTGGAGAACTGTGTGGAAATATCTTTGTCTAATGTCTCTTTATATATTATCTATATTCGATTTGTGATTCGCAGACAAACATCTTTTTTTTCTTAGGATTTATAACAGTTTATTCATGTATTTATGAATACTTTTTTAAACTTGTCGCAGTGGAAAGCGACAGCATGCTCGGTACTACGATAACATGGGCAGAGTATTGCGAAGAAGGTATATGGGTCGTACAGCGTGGTACAGGGGCTTTGTTCCTAGTGACACCTGGACAAAACAAAATCTTGAAATATGGCCCCTTCCCCGGCGCTTGGTGTGATGACATAACTGCTTTGAAGTTTGTGTAAGTTTCGATTTTATTTAAAAAAAAAGGTTTTTTGAAAATGTATTCTTTTTAGCATATAGCATACATAATATGTAAAATACCTCATTTGAAAGTCAGTTCTTGGTGCTTTATAAAGCGCGCAAAATTACCCGGGTTCGATCGCAGGGTTACAGTAGAGCTATCACCTACGAGCATATGCGATTGACAAAATTGCTCCATATCTTTTGAAAATGTACTATCTATGACAATTTACTGTATATGATGGCGTTATATGAATTGTAAATCTATTTATATCGATGACCTGGATGGGTATTAATGAACAAGGACGTGTGAGACATGGTAGCTCAATTTGTTCTGAACACTTTGGATTCCATTTAATTTCCTACCTCTTTCAATATAAACCGATTTTCTATTTATACCTTTATATTACATTTAAATATATATACTATTTTCTGCTCTTATCAGATTAACTTACCTTATGGCCTTTGTATTTTGTAGCTGCGATCATCGCTATTTGATTGTCGGCACCAATACTGGTTACATAAGAGTTGTACGAATGCCGACTGACGAGGAAGATACTCCGGAACAACATTATGTGATTTGGATGACGGCTCAACAGAAGCTACTCAAAAAACTAAAAGGCCGACGCCTTGCTAAGGAAGAAGTAAGTTTTCATTTCTCTCTGTAACTGTTATTACATCGAACATATTATGATAGGCGAACGAAAACACACGGGCGGTTATTTGATAATTCTATTATTTTGAGATTTGATTGAGATGGTCTAGTGGCTTTATTTGTTGTGTTCTAATTTTATTTGTGTCTATAATGGGACACATCCACTCTGGCAAAGGAAAACTTTGTGAAGACACCGGTCAGCCAACATGTAAATTTACGGTAGATTAAGGCCGAAACTCAAGAAGTAAGGCGCGGCCAGCACTGTGGTTGCCTGTATTTTTATTACATCATTAATTTTGTTGAAATCAAATATCTAGTTAAATTGAAACATAATTATGTTGTTCCTTGATCACGGTGCATTGGCAACAGGTCCACAAGGCTCCGTGCTGCTGTTTTTACCATTTGAGCTACCACGACATGACAGCTCAATTGGTATAGTTTAGCTTAAGAACATAATATCAAGAACATTATGATGTTTTTCAGCCTCAACCTACGCCGCGTATTGATTTTAATGACTCCTACTATCTACCAATGCATGATCACTATACTGGGGCTATTACATGCTTGGAATTCAGTGGAGATGGGAAGTAAGTATACAATACAATACAAATATTCTCTATTGTCGCAAAACATAATAAAAATTAATAGGAAATTAAGGAGAAACGATGACATCTATAGCTAAATAGCTATCTCAAGAAAAGTCATATTGTTTACCCTTTGAAAAAGTATTTTAGTAAATTGATTGAAAACACTGTCTGTAGTTTACGCGAGTAGTACACATTTAAAAAAAATACTTTAACGGTTTAAAACGCGATATATATTAGTAAAGATATTGATAATATCACTAAGACCAATACATTTACCTCTACAAACAATCAGTCAAAACAATTTTAACGAACATCTTCAAAGTCCGAAAGTCCTCATGTGCCGCATGTAAAGTTGTATTGTAAATTTAATTGCTTTCAGTCGCTTCTACACGTGTGGCGAGGATGGAAATATTTTCTCCTACTTCGTCAACTTTCCGGAGCCTCTTATACATTTACCGCCTAAGCGGAAACCATTGGAGATACCGGTATCAATATCAATATCCACGTAGTTGTAGATTAGATCCAGATACTTTACCCCAGAGGCCAGAGTCAACAACAATAAAACAAACCCAGCACCAGCCAGTGCACTGACAATTATATTTAATACATTTTGATAATATGTAGTTTTTACCTCTTGTACATATTAAGTTAAAAAGTTTTTAATATATTAGAAAAAAAATTAAGAAGTGTGGAAAATGTCTAAGACTAAAAAATGTTTTTTTTAATAACTAATAATTATTTAGTCTCAAGTAGTTTTTATACATAGATTGATTAGAAAACAATATCGACAAACAAAATTCTATATATAAAACATCGAGATACTTCCACTACACAACAACTGTACAAAACATAGTATTTATTTTTTTACGAAATCGACATATTTCACTAATAATAATAATAAATTCTATTTTTGTAATACGAATACTGCCTGTAGTTTACGCGAGAAGTACATATTTAAATTAAACACTTTAACGGTTATAAATGTTTAACGGATATTATATATATAAATAAAACACTTTAACGAGTTTAAACGAAGATATATTAGTTAAACTTATTTGAAAAATTATTTTTAGTTAAAAATAATTTTCAAATAAGTTTTACTATTTTTTTCCCCCCCCCCGCGTTTTAAACCGTTAAAGTGTTTTTTTTTAATTTTTTTTACTACTCGCGTAAACTATAGACAGTATTTGGATATATATTAGTTAAACTTATTTGGCTCAACTACGGCCCGACGTTTTAGATGTTTTGCAGCAGTCGTGCCACCTACAGAGGCTACTGCTAAAGACGACAAAGTTGTTGTAACTGTTTTATTTAAATTAAGTAATACCTACGGTTAATGATATTATTTAAATTAATATTTTATTAATTAAATAATACAGAAAGTGGAAAGAACCCGAGAGCCGAGTACATTGGACGGAGAATTGATGTCTCACGAGCAATTAAAGCAAAAGGAGGAATTCGACAAGATGATGGCTATAGCTAATGCGCATAAAAAACGTGTTCGAGATCAACTAGCAGAAATCACAGCGGAATACAACAAGATTATAAAAGCGTTTGTATAGTTTAATTATTAATACGATGCATTATTACGTATTATGAGATAAAAATTTCGTTTTAAAAATACTCGTACTACGAACTAACAATTTACAGATAAAACTATAGGGAATGATTATGATTGATAGATATATCATTATAGAAACAAATTATAATGAAATTTAAAATTTATATAAATATGTATATTGAAAAAATTTTCAATTTAATACTTAATTTAGCTCAATTAGTACGTCTACTAAACAAATTTTTTTTTATAAAAAGTCGCATGCGTAAATCGTCTTGACCCCATCAGTAGCCAAGAGGTAAAACGTGTTGCCTAGCTAGCATTGAGGTAAGTGTCAGAGGTCATGGGTTTGAATCTCAGGGAAACAAAGATTGTCTTTTGTTGGGCGTGGCACAGAAGTCTGATAAATTACTTGAAACAACCGATTACTAGATCCCCACGGGGGTAAATAGGATTTCACAACTAATATTTTTGTTAAGTATGTAATCTTCTAGTACCTATTATTCTTATAGAGTATGTGTAATAATAGTATGGCCTTTATTCATATATTCATATACAGAAATCGGGCTTTACCATTTTCACAAAGAATTGACGTCACACTGGATCCTCGACCCTTGCAAGTACAAGAAGACGAATTAGACGAGCTTAAGGCTTTGACCAAGCGGAAACTCGCCCATCAGCTTGAAGCTTCTGACCTCGCCTTGCACAAAATGTATTCAAGGAATATTATTCAGTTGGACGTGTATCCTTTTACTTTGAAATGCATCAGGTGGGTAATAAACATTATATAAAGTAGACGACCAATATACCCCATGGCTCAGTGGTTGCATTACTTAAGTCCAGACTAGGGTTTGAAATTTGTTTTCACACTAAACTTTACTATTATAAGAAAGAAGGGAAACGGGAGGAAAATTCTCCCTCGCATCCCATCATATGGGGGTACGCGGGCATGAAAGCTTAAAATAAAACCATCTCAACTGGTTTTTATTAAAATTTACTATGTATTATTAAAATGAAAAATTGAAACGATTAAAACGCGATATGTTTTGTTAACTTATTTTTCACTCGGATAGTAATTAAAATAAGTCAACATATTATATATTTTGCGTTTTAAACTGTTACACGTCTTTTATTTACAAGAATCCCAAACAATCAATGTAAAGTAAAAGAAATCCCAGCAGACATAATAAATAATATAAAATGTAATATCACACTCCTTAAATCTAATTCAAGTAATTAAGAATCCAGAGTATTTTCAATTTTAGGGATCCGGAAGTAATGATAAGACCTCTCCGTCAAAAGAACCTCTCCAAAGCGTTCTATAATCAATTGGAAGAAGTACACCAAAAGATGGCTGAAGCCGCTCTACGTGGCAGGTAATAGATTAATAACTAATTTCAAAGTTATTTTTTTTTATAAAATATTTTTTGTATACATTGTTTTGTATTTTACACGCTGCTAAGGAATATAAACTTGCTAGACCTAGCTGATAAAACGTTGAAGTAAGTGTTTGTGCATTGTAATTACTATAATAGGTAACCCTATTCATTATGTATTAAGATGGAATACACGGGTAATCGACGGGAACGGGTATTGAATTAAATTGAGTGGACTACAAGCACTGTCTAATAAATAAGTTTTAATCGTAAAAACTGCTTGGAAAGGGTTATTATGACGTTAGTCAATACTTACGTTAAAATTACGTCTATACGTTAAAATGCTTGTGGTGTGGAGGAATCCGCTCGAACAAGAAAAGTATATAGTGCACCTAAAGTACGTGAAGAGTGTAAAATGAAGCTTGGCGATAAAAGGAGTGGCGGCGAGTTTATTACCAATTCTTCTCATTCGTTCCACGCCCTTCATACTAAGAATAATACTGAGAGAGAAAACTGGTAGTATTTCAGTCTTTAGTTTTTACTTGTTGCGACGAAATAGTTACCTACATGAATTAATGATTACTTAACTTGATGACTTTGATTTTGAATCTTCCATCAAGCTAATCCCATGTTTTTTTCACTCTTTTATAAAAAAAGTAGTTATGACTTATTATATAAGAGCATAATTTATTTTTAGACGAGCTGACACCACAGCTCGCAAAACCGCTGCTAGAAAGGCCTCCTGGGGTCCCCCACGAGTAGCTTCTTTCCTCCTTGGCTTGCCGCCTAAACCACCTCATCCATTGAAGAAGGCACTCCGAAATTATCACCAACGGCTCAAAAGACATCATCTTCAATTGATTGAGGTAAATGGGTTAAAACAACAACAATAGTCTTTTATGAATAATCGTCATTCTATTGCATGATTTTCAAACAAAAAATCAATAAGAAGCGTAATTTAAACTAAATCAGTACAATAAAAATGTATATCAATGTGGTATACATTGTTCTAATTTTTGATAGCAAATTCAACAAACAATACAAATTTATTTTTCAGTGGCAAGAGCATTTATCTCGCAAACCGGATCCCAATGCTATGCCCCCAGGTGCAGCGGAAGCCCTGAAAGAGGCAGAGGCTACGATAGGAAACAGGCTACTCAAAACACAGCCTGATTATGTCGCCCCACCTGGGCATAACACACAGTTGCGCGTCTGTCTTGCGAGAAAAGAGGTAATTAAAAAGTGTACAAAGAATGGTGATTTAAAAATAATGATTATAAAAATTAAAATAACTTATTGATTTATTAATGAAATACAGATTGGTTATATTAATTAAGTAATTGTTACCGATAATATGCCGTATACCGATTAATACTCGATTGTCCTCTGAATAGAATGGATTTATACAATTGTTTTGTTTGAAAGTGATTAATTGTATGAATATATATTTTATTTATAGATATACGACAACAAGCGAGCTTTCAACGAGAAAATTCTCCAACTGAGAGAACATAAAGTGAAACTTGTGGCGCGTATGAAGGAAATAGGGGAACGATTAGCAGAAATACGTGTTGAGATACCACAGAAAATGGCAAAACCACCGCCTCCCATACCACAAATTGATGATGATTTGGAATTTCCCGAGAAGAACCTGGAGGTAAGCACAGTATCGGATAGTTTTTATGACTCGGTTTCATCCACAAATAGACATATAGAATATGGTCCTTGGAAGGGAAGAGCATAATAATGCAACGTTCTTTTAGCATATAAAGGGAAATTTGTAATTGAAAATATTTATTATTTCTTGACAAGCGAATAATATTTTTATGTAAAATCGTAGAAGTTGCTCCGATCTGCCCTTTTCTTGACTGCCATCCACTGCATGGTCATATTTAAGACTACTAATAGTATTGAATATGGCATTTATATATTAATGTTTTGTTTTATACTCAACCTTACCTTTACTTGCTAATATTATACTTCCCTCTACTAAATATAAATTTTTAGATCAAGCCAGTAGTAATTCAGGCGAGTGCGAGGCAAACAATTGCTTCGCGTAAGACGATGGAACGAAGGAAATCTACCTTGTATCCCCAACAGAGGGTTCGCCAGCCACGTGTAGCTCGTTTTGTACCACTATCAGGTATTTCAAGTTAGAGTTTAAAACGCAAAATCTAGTAGTAACTAGCTATATCAGCGACGTCGTATGCGTAAAATAGTTATTTTGGGCATCAACATTGCCCACGACCCACGACGAAGTTATTGTTTTTAGGTTATTTTTAAAAGATAGACATATACCGTCGCGGACATTTTTTTTAGATCTTTTAAAGAGAAATCATTCTTTCATACATATTCTTTGGGTATCTTGCAACGTTTTCTCAGCGTACCCAATGGTGAATAATTTTCCCCATGTCATATCATTGTCTTTCGGGCTGTTCCGGCCGATGTGAACGAGAAGAGGTTCTCGACGTTTCGCCATCACGTAAGGACGTCATCATCAGGAGATGTTAACATCGGCCGAACAGCCCGAAAGACAATGATATGCTGTACGATGGCCGTGCAATCCTTACACAATTTATTTCCCCATGTCATTATGTCATTCCTAAATCAGTGGGCATATAATATTGTATACAATATTTAATAACAATTGTAGAGTCGCGACCTCTTGCCGCTACATGGGAATTTCTCAAGTATCGATCCGATCAAGAATCGTTTCCAATGGAAGCCGAAATACGGGAACGACGTATTGAAAGGTACAAGTGCATAGTGATCCTATTTGTATTTAAATTAAGAATCCATATTACATTAGAAAATTCTGTGAGCAACATAATGTAATCAAAATTTGTAACAATTCTTATTTCTAGGCATCTTTACGAACAAGACATGCTTCTAGCGGACGCTGAAGTGTCCGTCCAACAATTCGATTCGAGGCTCAGACAACTACAAAGAGAACGTATCCGAGTACAAGTACTATTTACATCTTTAGCATTCGTGATTTTTAAACACAATGACGTTAGCAAAACTCTTATATCTATTCATATTTAATTCAGGAAAAAAATCAACTACTTGAGCTACACCTCTATCAACTTCATAGAGAAATGAACGTTTTAAACCGATTTGAGGCGCACGAGGATCGTTTAGCTGAAAGAGTATATGCAAAGTTAATGCAGGTATAGATTTTACTAGAGTATATAATTAATAAAGAAATCAAGTAGTTGAAAGTAATATAAATCTGCAGGTTCGCGGAGTACAAGACCAAATTCAAGACTGTGAGCATCGTATTGATGAGCATCAAGCAGAAAAAGAAAGACTGGATGGAGCCTGCCAGGAGCTTCAAAGGCAATTCAAGAGGCTGGTGCAAGATAATAAATTCGCTGATTTTCTACGAAGAATATTTAAAAAGAAGTACCGTCCTCCTCGAGACAGAGATGAAGATGGTAAATACATTAAATGAATTATCACATGTAATGTGTGATCTAACCGAGATACTCTTAAATTTGTTTATAGCCTAGGCTTTTTAGTATTTTTAACTGGAAATTGTTTTTTCAATCTATTTAAAATATTATCTTACCATGGACAATAGGAAATGATATTAATGATGAACTATTTTCAGAATCATCGGAATCTGAATCATCTTCGTCATCGAGTGAAGAAGAAGATGAAGGCAGCTTAGATAGTCGAGATATAGGACCTATTCGGCTAGACCCAAATGTATGCCCAGAGGGTTGTGATGTTGACATTTATAATAAAACTTACGACTTGAGGAATACCAGGTAAGGATAAAAAAAATCTTATAAAAAGAACACGCCTGATGTCAGGTATCGAAGTAGTGGGAAAGATAATAAAAAGGCATTGAATTTTCAGGCACAAGCACGAACAAGACATAATAGAACAGGACCGATTAGTTGAACTCTTGCGGAGGGACATCGATGCACATAACAAAGTGAAACGGAAGTTTTCTGTCCAATTGGAGAAGAGGAAAAATGATCTCCGAGAATTTATGGTAACGACCTAAAATTACTAGTATCATCAAAGATAAAAGTACACATACCCCTTCTAAAAATTTATTTTTTGCAGATGGAAAAGCAAAGTTGCATGAACGACGTAGACCAGGTCGTCATTTTGCGATATGACCAAATCAGGGCATCAGCGATCCGCGGCTGCACTGGCCCGCAAGGTTTGTCACAGACCGTGGTGTTTCCTGAACAAATGCTGGCTAAGTTGCGTAAACGAGTTTTGGAATTGCACGATGAAATAAAACAGCAGAAGCAAAGACAGAAGTAAGTTATTCTTCTTATACTTTGTCCTTTGTAGGATAGTAGGTTAGTGAATCTAACAAATAAACAAATTTAAAAAAAAAATTGTTACCATAAAAAAATATTCCGAATTTAATAGAATCTGAACAAAAAGATTCAATTTGATGAAATCACAAAAAAATTGTAGCGAAAAGCGGTAACGAGTTTGATTCATCAAAACCAAAACCAAATAAAAATCATTTATTCGTGCGGGGCGTAGAACAAACGAGAAGACCTGGCAAAAAACTCGCCGACACTCCTTTTATCGCCAAGTTTTATTTTACAGTCTCCCACTTAAAGTGTATCTATTGCCTTGTTAGAGTGTGCTCCTCCAAACTCCAAGCATTTAATAATATGTTATCTTTTAAATATTCAAAATAAAACATTTCAATAATTTTATGTGTTATTGGAAGATAAATAAATAAATATATTACTACACACATCTAAGATTATTATATTTTACTCTACCAAAAAATACCTGTTTACTTCATATACATGAACTATTATTGTTCATAAAGTCAAAGTATGACCGTTATGTGTTTTTCTTTAAGTGCTGTAACGTGAAAGATTTTTTCAGAGTAAACCGCACCCACTTGTTTCGCATGAATATTGATTTACGTGAAATGGAAGCAAGGGCGGAGGAGTTACGCGCCAAAATGCGTGACATCTTAACAAGGAAGCTGGGAAAACCGCGTCGCGTGGATCGCACTTTGGATGATTTGCTACGACAGATGGCGCGAAGGCACAAGTTTTCCACTACTTTGGGCACATTGCCACAAATTTTGAAACAGCTACGTGGTTGGAGGGTGACATAACTTGAAATATCATATTTTTATTATATTGTGTTGCGCTACTTATATCTACGTCATGTACTATCACTAAGAGCTGACTGACACTCCAAAATTTCCCAGCTCTCCCATCCCCCTTTCCCCCACCGTTTAAGAGAGCACGTTAAGCCGCTAATTTAGTGTAATAAGGGATCCACCAACCCACACTGTAGCTGCTCTTATCAGTTGTTACCAATTAGTAAATAGCTACATATTTTATTTCTTAATTAGGAACGCCACGGTGAATTAGAGAAGAAATACCTCGCCACTCTGGAACGGTACTCCGATCGCTTACGACTTGCAGCGGCATTGCAGGCAGACGTATTACCACAGAAAGTAGGTTTAAAACATAATATTATAACCTTATATACTAAAAAAATATTGTAACCTATCAAGGGAAAGAAATAACGTCTTATATGTTTTCTCGTGTATGTCAGTAGATAAGCTTTTAGAATCTCTTTGCAGGAGACTTTTGGATATTATGATAATGTCTCGATACTCCTTTCCAGCCTAAAAAAGACCCCTCTGTAATGGTAGGAGGTTACGAGCAAGACCAGTACCAACGCGATGTGGTTCGTCTACGTATAATCCGCTCACAGCAAACGCAACAAATTAAAGTTTGTACCAAATTAATTACGTATAAAACTTCGTAAAACCACGCCGTTACTTTACCTAACTTTAAATAACTGCTAGTTTTTTATGAACTATTGTGTGGGAATTATAGTGATTTTATAAGTATATAAAATCATAATAATTCCTTATGTACTATAGTACTTATAAGTCGCAAATAGGTACAAAAATAAGAAGTCAAAATGGTACTTATGTCTAAAAAGGTGAACAAATACTTAATTTAACCTTTAACCTACAGAGACTCCGTGAAGAGATACTCAGTCTGCGTCTAAAGCCGCTGTCGTACCGACCGCCGCTGCAGAAAGCAAGTCCACCAGAGTCAGATCGCTCCCACATCTACCTATTCCAAGTACCTCACACGTCTCGCATGATGCGAAAGAAATACTTTCCCATGTAAGTACATGTATATTCCCATCGCATAGTATCAATGTTATGATGGGCCTGTTTGGAACCGAACCCACTACCCGTTGTTTATTAGAAATACATTGTTACCTTTTAACATTTTTAAACGCGGAATTTATTCGTTATCTTACATATAAATTATTTTAACTACGGCCCGAACTTTCGGATGCTTTGCTACAGTCGTGATTATAGGGCGACTACAGATGATGGGTGTCCCTAATGTCAAAGTAAAAACTGCTACGCTAGCGCCATCTGTTCCGTCGAAGTTGGTATTTGGCAAAATTTGTAAATACCTTTATTTAATACATATCGCATTTTAAACCGTTAAGTATTTTATTTAAATGTGTAGGTACTACTCGCGTAACCTACAGACAGTGCAAAATTACTACAAGCGACCGGCGCCAAAATTTCAATGCTTCGACCCTTATCTTCTTCTTCTAGTCTTATCTTCTTTATAATCGAATATACATTTATAAATGATAATATTTATTTAGTTTATGCGTGAATTTGAGTCGGTTACATTAGTTCAATATCCAGCGTCTGAAAATGTTTTTAGTGTAAATCAATGTAAACCTTGTAAGAAAATTATGTAAATTATTCTTGCCTAGCAAAAATGTCAAGTTAGAAAAAATACGCTAGGTATTTTTAGTATTCACTTTAGCGCTTGCCTTACAGAACTCCGTTGGGATCCGTTCAACTGGTATATGATGTGAACGTAATGAAACTCCTGTATGACTGTCTTGATTCGATGAGAGTAACGCGTGACGATGCAGATGAACTACTTCGCGAGCTGACCGCTGAATTACCCGATGTCATCTCCGGGTAAGAGTACAAGATCTGAATTCGTGGATGTTTGCAAGAAAACAGTTCTCTCACTCAAAAAACTATTTCCTTCCGTCAACGATTCATTTCAGTCCTTCCCAAATTCCTGGCTAATTTTTACGCTCTCGTTGATATAATGGTAGCAATGTGTGGCTAATAATCATCAGGTCGTGGGTTCGAACCCCACCGGGTTGAACATGTTTCTAATTTATAATTTTTCTGAGACTATTAAAATTCCGTCCTAGTAACGAAACACCGTGCACAGATTAAAAAGTCTTAAGTTTGTGGATTTCCGAATATCCAAAGTCAATATACATAGACCGACAGCGCATTTTGATTAGATGTTATCTGGCTGGAGTTTTCTACCTTTAAGTGAATCCTATGGTTGTCTGTCTTGCTCCATCATAAAAAAAGGTCCGAGTGATAGAAGATGACCTATTAAATTCGTATACTTTCAGTGCAAAAACTCGTTTCGAAGTAGTCGACATGTTAGTTCGCAAGTGGTTGCTGAAGTATGGAGGAGACCCGAGCATGTACAAGAAACAGACACGAGCGTTTGATGCGCTTGCGGCGTTAGCTGATCGACTTATTAGACAACACGTAAGGAAGACAAGAAAAACATATTTTTGACAATGTCTCTCATATATGTATATTACATTGAATTGCTATTCGACATATACATGCCTGGAAGAAACTGCTTGTTAGCGATAAGACCGCCCATTGCACTCTACAGTGTACGCCTTAACTTGTGTATTATTGTTTTTAATAGCAAAAGTATTTTTTCTACATACAAATACACTTTACTATATTCATTTATTAAATTGCAAAGGTTGAAGCAATGGAAGGGACGGACGAAAATTCACATAAAATTATGGAGTCATTGGAAGCAGCGTTGAAAGACGTGTCAGGCTTTAGAAAGCATTTACATGAACGTCTCGGGCCGGCTCTGGCTACTCTGATGCACACGACAGAGTTTTCTAACTTAGGTAAAAAAATAAAGAAAAATCTAAAAACTATTTTTTAGATTGGTTAAAATCAATGACAAAACGGAAATCGAACCCTATACTGTAATATTCTCCCACCAAGGGAAAAGGGAAAGAGACTTAAATAACGTAACATTTCCCTGGCCTTCAAACGGTGTTCTCAACAGGAAAAAAAATTACAAGAAGCTTCCTTGTAATAATGACACGAACGAACGAAATAATATCTGTCTTTATAACGATTTTTAATTACTTTCAGTTTCCGAAGAAACTATGACGTCACTAGTGAACTCTCTTGTGGACGAAGAAAATCCGTTGTCCGTCGAGTCTATTGAGAGTATTGATGTCTTTAACGTCATTGAAGACATTAAAGGTGTGTTTTTAAATCTCGATGTGCAATAATACTATTATCACTAGCAAGTTTTCAATGTACGAGGAACAAAAGTCTGTTGCACGTACTAGACCAGTGATTGCCAAAGTGGTCTATATCGACCCCTAGGGGTCTACGACACAAAAAAGTTTGGGAAGCTCTGTACAAGACCTGAGACTAATCTATCCACAATTATTATTATATTATAAGAAAACTACATGTTCTTATTTTTAATTTTTAGATTGCGGTATTGATGCACCTTCGGAAGAGCTGGAAAATATAGTAAAGATTGCCGTAGACTGTATAAAAGCCCAACTCGTGAGCTCCGATGAAATAAAGGAGGTTGACAATGAAGTGAAAAAGGCGATGAGTGTCGATACGGTTAGTGATTTATCAATTAATATTTAAATTTTAAACTGTGACAAGAAATTTATTTTAACCTAATGTGTTTTCAGAAATCGCTTGCGTCAGCAAAGGACCCGTGAATGGCTACTTAGGAGAGAAGTTTATTTTTATTTTAGTAGTTAGTAGTTATTTTATTTTTACAATAGATGCATTAGTTGATGTTTATCTTAACTATATGTCAATTCTACAAAAGCCTAATTTTAATGTTACAGGTAGATAGGGCATTTGAAATTTTAAATATACGCTCTTGTCTTAAATAAAAAGTAATTTTATTTTTAGCCCTAATTTTCCTACGCTGAATTACACATTACCGATGTTATACGAAAGGTACATAAAATTTCTAGCAAAGTAGTTTTTGGCAAATGCAATTTATTATCTGTAGCTATTACTCACATTTTTATAATATTTAAGCCGGTAACGAGACTAAGCCAACTGCTAGCATGTTGACGTGAGCATAGTGTCAAGATCATATTTCTGTCAGTTGTCATTTTCTGTTAACCGTCAATCCATAAATCACAATGAAGTAGTAGTTCATTTTCCTTTGCTTTAAATCTGCAAAACCTGAGGAAAAACTATATGTACTTGTGCGATTTCAAACAACTTTGAGTGTGTCAGTGATTCAAACTTCATTCTTCAGTAACCAATTACACTCATCAGTTACGCTTTTCACTATAACACGGCACACAGTCAACTAAAACCCTGCTGAGTGCTGTGCTACTTTACAAATAACTGTAAAATGGCAAGTTAATTGAATGAATCTTCTGTTTATAAATAAAAAGTCATTAGTTACGCGTGTGCTTGGATGAAAACATTGTTTCAAGTTTTTTATCTATAGTGCATAGTGTGTTATAATAAGTGAAATTATTTAGTAGACATTCCATTTTAAATAATGCGATGTACGCTCCGGATCATCATCGAAGGAAAGAAGTTAAAGATGCCATGTACCGTAGCAACTCTAGTCTCGACTTGATATATGCAGAACATCCCTCGGGAAACGGTCTTCGACGTGAATATGGAAGTCACGGCTCTATTGATGTGATAGGTGGAGCTAGTGAACGTTATATACCCAGTATGGTACATAACTACAGTGGAGTAGCAGGTGGAGAGAAGTCTTCAAGTCTCGCCCGAGTGACAGACCGCTTCTCAGAAATCTTGACCAGTGATCATGCAGATGGCCCTACTCCCAGGGCGAGTGTTAGCCCCAAACCACGCCTTAAACTGAACAAATTATGGGGCGGAAATACGCCTATCGCAGCTCGGCAGTCTAACGATGACTCCTTGTCTAGCATTTCTGAAGCAAAACGCAAACAATTTGCTCATTATGACTGCCAATCACTTATGGCAAATTTGAGCTATGCAGCAGAAATTCGAGGAGCATTATTGAGTAGAAGACGTAACACTACTACAGGTGCGTCAGCAGCTTCTCTGTTAGCTACTCGGGGGTTGCCACCAGGTGAAGATACAATACCTGATACAGGTGATGGACGCTTCAATGAGATGATAGAGAGCTGTCCTTTCTTCAGAAATGAACTTGGAGGTAAATTTATCAATAATTGTTAGTTTTTTATAATACTTAAAAAGGTACATATTGCATAAGTCATATTAAAAATACAAATGTGTATAAATAACAAAAGTTCTAAGTTATTTCTTCTACCCTATTTATTCAGAAATATTTTTGTTTGTGTAGTACCTCCCTGACTTCCATTAGATGTGTAACAATATCTTTTGATTACAAACTTTATTATAAAATACCTAAATTAATATTAATAATTTAAAACTAGGAAAGAAAAGCAAAATACTTGTCTATGTTATTAAACTTTCATTCTTAATATACTACTGCATAATGTGGTGAGCATTGCAATTTGCATGACACTTTTTTACTGCATACATAATAATTGTTGTCAAGCTAGTCATGCATAGAAATTGTTAATCAAGACCTGCTAACTCATTCATATCTGTAACATAATATCGGGTCTATTTTAGAAATTTTAATTGCAGGAAATCATGTTTTAATTGAAATATTATGATACTATATACTTAAAAATATTTTTTGTAAATAAAAGCGATGGCACAGATATTGTGTATAGTGTACGAATTGTGTGTGTAACAGTTTGAAGCCCAAAGTATATTAGTTAACTTATATTATAGCTGTTGTATTTGTGAACAAGGCTCATGCTTTTCATCTGTAACACCCAATGTTACAGATGCTTTCAAAGCATCTTATGGGTATTAACCAGTATATTTCATTTTAAACCAATAAAAGTGTTTCTGAAACTTTGATACATTGCTGTAGTATGTTGAGTAATTATTGTAAGATGGGTTATTATAAAGGTGCAATTTACAGGAGAAGAAGAGAGGTGTATATCCTTATGTCATCGCACTGCTAGAGGTGGTATTCCCGGTCAGTTTGGTGGGTGGCATAAACCACGAGCAGCATATGGTTTTTCTGTTCTTGAATTTCCACCTGGTCACACACATTGGCGCCAAGGCTGCCCATTTGCTAAATCCATAACACCTTTACCAGTTGAAAGCCAAGATCTAGGAGCATTGTATTATAGAAACTACTTCTATACACAACGTAAGCATGTGTTATCAGATTGATTATCTTAAATAACAATTTAATTTTAGATAAATTATTCAATATATTTAAACAATAAGATAAAGATTGTTATCAAAAAACAACTCTTTTTTAATGTCTTCTTTGGTGCCTAAACATACATACATATTTAACATTCTTTTTAAAAACAAAAAATACAGTATACATCTGAACTTTTAAAAATTTGAATATACTTGAAATTGCTATCTATATTTAACCATGACCATAGATTTATATTTATGTAGAGACAATTAACTATTTAAAAGTATTTTTTTCACAAAAAAAATCAAGTCTATTGTTTGTTTATACCAAGTCTAAAACAGGCTTTCCTTAAACAATAATTGTCTTTTTGTAGCTCATCAAAATTGGTTTGGTATGGATGAAAATCTTGGTCCAATAGCAATATCAATAAAGAAGGAAAGAGTAGAATTAAGAAGGGGAGGTGGAGATGCTTCAGCACCTGCTTCTCAACTTGCCTGGCAATATAGACTCATCGTCCGCACTTCCGAATTGCTTACCTTACGAGGCTCTATCTTGGAAGATGCTCTACCCACAGTCAAGCCTAGTAATAACAGCGCCACTTACAATACTAAGGAGGTCTTAGAATACATTGCGCCCGAGTTGCAATTAAATTGCCTGAGGTACTTTTATGTTAATTCCCTAATTTTTTATTTATTAATTTTATTTTAATTATTAATAAATAAAAAATCTCTTTGATAATTTATGTAATATAATTTCAAATGTTACTTTATACAAAGTTAACTTCTCTTTTAGACTCGGCATAACAAATACAACAACCGAAGAACAACTCTTGCGGCTAGACGAACAACGGGTCACGAGGCATTATAAAGTCGGAGTCATGTATTGCAAGAGCGGTCAATCCACAGAGGAGGAGATGTACAACAACCAAGAAGCCGGCCCAGCATTTGTGGAGTTCCTCCAAACGTTGGGACAGACTGTCAGATTAAAGGACTTCGATAAATACAAAGCGGGTTTGGACAATCGAACTGATTCTACCGGCTTATACTCAGTGTATACGACTTATCAGGGCTGTGAGATTATGTTCCACGTATCCACAATGCTTCCATACACTCCGAACAACAGGCAACAGTTGTTGAGAAAACGGCACATCGGCAACGATATAGTAACAATTGTCTTCCAAGAACCCGGCGCGGCTCCGTTCACACCGCGCAACATTCGATCTCAATTCCAACACGTTTTTGTTATTGTTCGAGTTATAGACCCCTGTACGGAGAATACTCATTATAGCATCGCTGTGAGTCGTGCTAAAGAAGTGCCTTTATTTGGACCGCCTATTAAGGATGGGGCGGTTTACCCGAAGGGGGAAGCATTTACTGATCTACTGCTTAGTAAGGTAAGTTGCAAGTGAGCGTTCAGATATTCAATATATAGAAAAACATACTTATATATGGCTTTACTTGGCGCTTTAATTATTTAAAAGAAATACCATAGACACCAGATGTGCTGTTTTAGATATTTGAATGTCCATAGACAACCGAAACGCTATTAAACTTGAGATCTGTTTCATCTGTAGACGGTGGTTAAACCGGAGGAAATTTCGAAATCACTAATTTAATATCCAGTTTTTGAAACGTAGTCTTCAATGTTTAAAAAAAATTTCATTCTTAACATTAGACCGCTAGACCCGTCAAAACAATGTCGAATTTTTTCTTAGTAGTGCAATACAGTACAGGCATGGCGGAAGGATTAAGAAAACTCACTTTTAATAAATAAATTACTATATTAATTATAATAAGTCTTATAATAATAAAAAGTCTAAAATATCTTCAGATAATTAACGGTGAGAATGCAGCAATTCAATCGCCAAAGTTCAGTACAATGGCCACCCGAACGCGACAAGAGTACCTGAAAGATTTAGCAAAGAACTACGTCACTGCTACGACTGTAGAGACTGGACAGAAGTTTTGTAAGTATTTTTTATTGTACCTAATTATATACCGTCGTAGGTTCGGGGTCCGCGAGTGTCTCCCAATTTTACAATCCATGAAAAATATTTTTCAAAATTATTAGCACATATTTGTCTCATATCTTTGAATTTCAAGTTGCATTAATTGCTTACAAATTGTAGTGAATATCACGAAATCGAACCCTCGAACATCAATATCCATAATAGCTTAGTTTTTAATGGCTTTTATTTTCAGCTATATTCTCATCATTGTTAATGAAGAGCAGCAACTATTCAAGTAATAGTAATGCTATAATGCAAAAAGTCGATGACTGCACCAACGATGTATTGGTTGGCGGGGCATTGTGTTTCCACGTAAGTTTTTTACATGTAAAATAGATCGACCGTGCGACTTTACTCGTCCACATTCTTTACTTTTTATTGGTTATCGATAAAATAGACGTCTAATGTATTAAAAAAAAAAACTATAGAAATCTGTGTGTCATTGTGTGTGTTTAAATTTTAATCAAAACGAGGCTTCAAATGCGTAATATATTTGTTACTTAATTAGCGTTTCAAACCGTTAAAAGTTTTGACTAATGTAATCAGACTATGTGTATATATAAAAATATTTTAAGTGTAGATATGCAAAAAGAGTACTCTAAGTTCGGAAGAAATATTAATTATTAAATCTTTTCAAGGATTAAATGAATATTTTGTTTATTATCAAAAATACTAGATAATTTATGAAACGGGCGAGAAGCTACAACCTTTGAAAAATCTATCTTATAATATATTTTCACCTACTTTTGTTCTAGGTACATGTACAAGACGAAGGAGCTGGTGGTACATCAGTCGAATGTATTTTGGGCGTTTCCGCAGACACGCTAGTGTTTGTTGAAGACCACTCACGCCAAATCGTGCTTGTTATACCTACCAACACTTTACTAGGTAAGTTAACGAGATTAAGTTAAGGGCTTATATTCCAGAATTATCCTTGCACTTTTATGACTTCTTACACAGGCTTTAGAGGACTAATCGCCTTCGGGACAACGTAACTTTGTTGATACTTACGTAAGCTTTGCATTATACTACTGAATTTAATAAAAAAAAACCTCTAAAAACATTTTACATAAGATATTGAAAGAAATTCATTGAATCTTTAGAAGAACATATTATTTGCAATGGCATAAAAGGCAAAATTAAACATGTACAAATGGAATTGAATAATTTTTCATAGTTTCATCAATTTAAATCTTTTTTTTTATATTCTTGTGTGACGATAAAGTATTTTTTGTTGCACTATATAAATCCAGAATAATGCATTTTCATTTAAAGGCTGGGTTGTGAGCGGTGAATGGACGCGGATTTATTATCATCGAGGCGAAAGCGTGCGCGTACGCAACGGATCGGAAGCATTATTGCGGCGGCTCGCTAGCGTGGCGCCTCCACATGCGCACTCTTTATCTGAGATCACGCTAGAGCGGGGTGCAGCTTCACAGCTGGGTTAGTATTAAAATATCTTTAACGCAACGTTGAATTATCGAATTTAAATTCATAATCGTCACATAAATTATATTAACTCAGCTTTTATAGTATAGATTATAATTGATCAAATATATTAAATAAAGTCCAATTTAACGTCCCAAGAAAAAGTTTAAGAACGATAACGTAGCTGATCCTTACTTCAATTCTTAAAAATAAAGTATTGCGACTATAGACACTTTATTATAATTAGGTTCTAATTATGTACTTTAAATAAATTGAAATACTAATTTAAACAATGCTGTATACAGCTGTAATTGGGTCCTACATAGGTATATTAACCTATTATGTTGTTAAGTATAATGTATTACTAAAAATTGATCTGTTGAGGGACCTAATAAGTAAATAAATTATACATTTAATTCGCAAGCCTCTTTGAAATAAATATTAACTGGTAAAACATATATGTATTATATATGACTTCCAGGTTTTCACGTGCAACCCGACGGCTTGGTAACAGCCGTAGAAGGTGGAGGACCTGCGGCGCGTGCTGGTGTTCGCAGAGGCGCCAGACTCCTTGAAGTGTGTCGTGCTGCGGTTGTCGCTTTACCTCATGACAATCTCGTGGATCTATTAAAGACTTCGGATCCGGTTACCGTTAGTATTTTTATACAGCTAGGTATTAAAAAATATCTTTGAAAACATTAATATTCGCCACATGTTATTGCACATGATGGCATTACATACATTAAAAATCTATTTTGATTGAAATAAATTTACGACACGGCCTGGACTGGAACCGGCATCCACGGGATTCCGTGCTGTAGCTCTAACCAATTGAGCTACCGTGTCCTACACGTCATTGTTGAATTTTCTAAACCTTGCACCTCACGCAATCATTTAATAATTACTTAACCTGTAAATAAATAGATATTGAACCTCAAGACGTAGGTGTTAAGGTTGAAATTACATTGCGCGAAAGTGGTATATATAAATAGGTTGTAAAAAGCGGTTCAAGACCCGTTCGTGTCATTGTTATTTTTTTCTTTACTTTTTTCAATCTAAATTGGATTTTTAATTTATGTAATTTAATAAATTTCTATATAAGTATTGTAAATCACTGAAACAATATTATAAATTTAGCAAGTAACATTTCATGGATTAATAAAATTCCAGGTGACCCTAACATTTGCATCGGGTGCTCGCTGCGAGTGTCAAAATTATGCCGGAGAGGCGTGGGCGCAACAGCCCGGACGGCGGCGACTCGCCCACGACCGGTCCGCCTCACCTCTCAGATCTGACAGTTCAGGGTATGGAACAGGTCTGTATTGGTTTATACTCTTGAACATACAGGGCTCATGAGAAAAATTATCACATTTATTTTAATATGACGTGATAAGAAGCATATTTGCAAAGTTTCATTAAAATCGACCGAGTAGTTTAGCCAGAAATTATTTTTTCAAATTAACAAAAAACATCTGATGACACTTGATAACTGCGAAATGGGTGTTGGCCTTTTTTTTAACCATCCACATGTTTACGTCAAAATTGTGGGGAAATTTAACTTTTATAAAATTTACCTCCTAACATTTTTATACATCTAATTTGAATAAGTTATTTTTATTATATTTATTTATCTTGATATCCTTTATACATAAAACGTACCAGAACGCAGCTAAGATTTAGCGGCTTTGTAGGTCTTCTCTTTACATAATTATAATCTATAACTTAATAAGTTATTGAATCTTAGCGGTACTGGTACAGCGAATTTATCGATATTTTTTATGGACTCGCCATATGAAATTCTTGAATTGTAACATTAGATACATTTATAAGATAAATTATTGTGAGACAACACAACCAAGTAATAAATTGGCACATTTTTCAGGGGGTTCAGGTCGCAGTGCAGCTTCACCAGGTGGTGAAGCGGTTCGTAGACGCTCCCACGATGACGCGTCTCCGAGACATCCTCGCCGACCTCGACTATCAGCCAACACTTCTTCACTCACGGTCAGATATTTATTTTTTTCTAAATAGCTACATAATAGACCAACCTACGAACATTATGATTTCTTTTCCTTACCATTTGATCTAGTTTTAAACATCTATTTTAGATAAAGCTGTTATGAGCAAAAATATTAAAGAAAACATAAAGAGATTTTTGAAAACCCGTTTCCACATTTCTGTTATTGTTCCACTAATCGGTTCTATTTACAGGCAAGTAGTTGATCATACTTCTGTGCCCAGGCCGACTGAAGCAAGCTATTGTTTTCATGAAATTCGAGCTCAGAACTTCTCACATTTAAGGCAATGATACGAAACCTTTAATATATGCCTGGAAATACATAGAGACCTTATGTATATTCCATGTCTGATACATAATTTATTTTTCAAACAATCGTTTTATATAAATATCATGGTAATTCTTGACTTATTTCCCTATTTATGTCTGTTATAGGAAGAGCTAATGCGTTTAATGGATGCTGAGCTGGGAGAATCAAAGAATAGCAACACAAGCACTACAGTCACGAGCGTTGCAGACAGGAATAGCAATAGTGGCAATAGGGCGAGTGCGTCAGGGGACGCCCCCTTACCCCTACCGGACGCATCAGCGTTGGATTGGGCCGCACTAGTACACACTGCTACTAGAGCCATGCTACAAGTAAATATCAATTTTCCCGTTGTCATTGTCATCATACGTCATCGAAAATTTAATATTATGCGGGGTTATTCTTATTGTGAGGACTATGTTAAAAATAGATTTTAGATTAAATGCTGTCTAGATTACGTGAGTAGTACACATTTAAATAAAACACTTTAACGGTTCAGAACGCAATATATATTACTTTAACTTATTTGAAAATTATTTTAATTATGGCTCGACGTTTCGGATTATTTGCAGCAGCCATAGTCAAGGGGAGACTGATTGCTGCAAAGCATCCGAAACGTCGAGCCACAATTAAAAAAAATTTCAAATAAGTTTAACGAATGTTTGAATTATACACATCTGCCCATGTCGTAAAAAAATTTTATAATGTAATTACATATATGCAATAATATGTGAAAAATATTATGACATCTATAAGTACAGTAAGCTTTTATTTTGATTTCAGATATGTGAAGAGCACCAGTATCCATCGTTAGAGAACTCGGACCCACCTTTAGAGCCTCCCACCAATGATACTAATCGGGAATGGAATGAGATCACAGTATGTATTCAAAGTCTAACAGTTTTTTTATATGTTTAGTACTGTCTTTAGTTTACGCAAGTACATTCAAACCACTTTTATCTGTTTAAAATGCGAAATTACTTAGTTAACTTATTTACAATATATTTTAACTACATAATCGCCGCTGCTATACAGCCGAACCGGGTCGTACAAAAAATATATTCTAAATAAGTCAACTAATACATTTTGCGTTTTAAACAGTTAAAAGTGTTTTATATTTATTAATGTGTTTATCCCAACGTTGTAACATTTTAACTATTCGACAGAAACATGAAAAGTATATTTTGTAAATAATTATCACAAATACATTGTATCATTAGACGAGTGAACACACAACGCCACTCACAACAACACCACAAAACGCCAACGCGACGGCCAGCGGCGATGCTAGCGGTTGCGAATGCGGTCTTGCTGATCGTGTTGCTGCACTAGAGGCGGACGCGGTATGCGCCCAGCGACATCAACATCAACTGGAAGAGGAGGTGAGTAGATGCTTAAATGTCATATGTACAAGATATCTTCTACACAAAGAACACGATTTGAAATATTTTACGCTTTTAAAAAAACATTTTATGCGGGTGGGACTTGAATTCTTGGTCGCAGTGTGATTGTATGGGGCCGATCGATTTGCTTGTTTGATTTTGAAATTCTAATTACATATATAATTTTTTTAAAGTCTATATAATTAACTTTATGAAATTAATGTTTGAGGCTGAAAATGGCATTTAAAAAATCAATTCTGTTTTGATAATGTAAAGTGTACTTGTAGGTTTGACTATGTCATCAAGACGCGCTCGTTGGTGTAGTGGTAGCAATATATGATTATGGTCAACGGGCTGTGGGTTCGCTCCACACCGGATATTAAATGAGTGGTAGAACTATCGATTTCCGTGCGCGTCACGAATTGTCTGTCATAAAAACTATGAGTATTTCATATATTGTTTAATATCCATTTAATTATTTTATTTCAGGTACGTCGTTTAAGACGACACAACGCGCGCTTACGTGAGGAATCGGCTCGTGCTGTATGGCAGCTACGACACTTCACCCAATGGCTTAAGCGGACTGTGGACAAGCAGTAAGCTTGTAAAGTATAGCATACTTGCATATGCAAACGCTGAAAGTACCTAATTAATAGATTCGTAGTAATGTATGCAGTATAAAGTTTGTTGCGCATAATACGACTAGTAGAACGGTTTATACAAGTAACGGAATATATTCCAATTTTTTGAATTTTTTACGTTTTCTTTTCATGCTATTTGCACACGATGGCATTATATAAATTAAAAAATTGTTGAAATTGAATTTTTTTTACTACACGTGCCGGATTTTTACCGTCACCCAGTCGATGCTATTGCTCTAACCAATAGCCATTAACAATTAGATTTATTATTAAGACAATTGGTTAGAGTAGCAACACAGAATGCTGTGGGTGCCGGTTCAAGTCCCGTCCGTGTCTTAAACAAAAATCAATCTACATACATTTTTTATGCATTTTTTTGTCAATTTGCTATACATATTTCGGTGAGGCTGACAGACTGAAACTAACGTACACGACAGAATTTTATTGATTCCTATCATGTCAATTAATTTTATGATTCCTAAACGTGGCGCATACCTTTGTGTGTTCTGTAGTGCTATGTTCATAAGGTCATAAAGTTTTTACTCTTTTTAATTAGTTACCGTCCAATAATTGAAAAAATAACAGTAATTTTTACTACTGCGCAATTAGAAGCTCCCAGAAGCAATCGGCCCGTTTACTTTAGAGCTAAGTCAATTAAATTATTCTTAACGATATGACTTTCTTAAGCTTGTTGCTGTTAAAAGAATAAGTACACTCAACTCACAAATGCTTGATTAAAAGATACGCCATTAGACGAGGATAGTAAGCAAAGTATATAAAATCATGAAAAAAATATTTTACTTTAAGTAAAAGTAGCGACACGGATCTTTAGCGCTGAAAGAATCCTGTGCAGAAGTCAAAAATAAGGTATCGAAGGGACGGAAGCGGGCGCGGGGCGAGTGAACGTCAAGTGCGCTAGCGTTGATTAGTTTCCCGGCCGTGTTGTCTCTCTCTTACCAATACGACGCTCCGCTTGCTTCTCGAGTACAGTCACATTATCCAATCAGTTACGTGCGCGACTGCACAGATGCGCAACTATCCCCTCTACAATTCGTTCAGCGCTAAATATTTGTGCCGCGACCTATACAATATATTACTTTTATGTACTAATAATATATCTATGTATTTATTGTATACATTACGTTAACTATATATTGTATTATTATAATATGTAATCGTTGCCTTCATACTATTAAATGTGTAAAACTAAAACGAGTGATACATGGTATTTCCAAAGATAATTTCTTATGAATGACGAATAATATTGTATTCGCGCTGTATCTTATGAATTTTGTGCCTTTCTTCGGGCTTCTAGGGAAGCTGTTATGTTGGCGTTGTAACTGTTTATTATATGTAGGTCGATGTGTTTGTTATTGGGGACCATCTGTAAATTACGTCACACGTATTTGATAATTTTTTACTCCTACTTGAATTAGACTCCTCCCTCCCAATTATGACGTCACACAATTTGTTATAATACATCTATGGTGTATTTTTGTAACTTGGCATTTTGGTAAACAAAGACACAATTTACATGAAGTCGTTTTGTCACGAGGTTTACCAATTTCTATCAATATTTACACTAAAACACTTTGATACACTGGATTATATATTACAATAATGAACTACATAGTAAAAAACACATGCAATTAGTAAATCAAACACAATTTACGTAAAAGGATGTAAATACAAGCCCCATTAAATTTTAAATGTCGAGTTAAATAACCTAAAAAAAGTTTTTAATTTTCATATTGAGAACGTTTGGTCAACGTGTATTCGATATATTTTTATCCCGGTGTCAATTGTGGAAACACCTTCTCTCTATAAAAGAACATCATTATCAAAGGCTATATTTGTTGCGGTTTTTTGCCAAGTTAGAAAAAACAAATTATAGAATTTATAAAGCAGTGTTGGCGTTCTTTGTTCTTTAAAAGCCTACAGGCTTTTAGGCTTCCTCCTATTACCATCATATACCTTAAAATGTCACATTCCGTCAATCCCTGCCTCCCCTATCGTGTGGTGATTTATAGGTGGGCCTTGCCTAAAATTTACACATATTGCGTAAGCGTATAATTGTAGTTGCCCGTTTAATTACGCGAACGTTATTGTGACGTTTAACTTATATTTTTAGGTTAGTCTTATAACCATCGTTGTAATTATGTTACGAATTACTATTACACCTAAGTAAATTATAACGTGTTATATTTTTTATTTTCCCTCGCTTTAAACTGTTACGCTTTATAATTTTGGACGCCATGTCTAAATTATAACGGGTTTTATACCGCATTGTTTTTCTTCAACGATTGCGCCTATTGCTCTCTTTGTTCGACCCTCATATCAATATGACGTTCGTAAGCTTTTTTGTAAAATCAACGAAGTATTGTCTGTAGTGTTACGCGATGTACGTAAATAAAACACTATAAACGATTTAAAACGCCGTAATACATTAATGCTGTAATGATCCTACTACAGCGATACAGATGGCGCTAGGGACTCCCCCAACCCCCCCTTTTTTCTTTTTTTTTTTTTATTGAGCATCTTTATTTAACTACTCCTAATATCAAGCATCCGAAACGTAGTTAAAAAATAGGCTACTAACCAATATATATCGCGTTTTAAACCATTAGAAGTGTTTTATTTAACGGAACAATGAATCTCTAGCTTAGGTATAACGGTAAAATGAGAGCTTTATTAGTTTAAGCCACATGAACAATAAATTCGTAAGTAGTTTAATTTTTTCTGTATTTATTTCTTATACATATTCAACCAATCTCACAAATATCTATTTCTTTGATTTGTTTAGCGTTTTTTTATCTGGTCAAAATTTTATCTACACGTGACCTAAAGCAATGTTTGTTTTAATTAATGTACCTACATTTCGTAAACATTTTTAAATTTCGTCATGAGTCAATTATATTAAATTAAATTTTTGTCGGCTATATGATATTAAATGTATTATTAATTTCTTATGAACGATGTAGTTAATGAAGTACAACGAAATTTATTGCATAACTTATACAAAACCCACCTGTTGTGACTTTATTGGACCGCTAGCAAAAATAAAATCGTTCTGACAATAACGACACCGACGATAAATATTTTTTGCACTTCTGTTGTTTTATTATCGTTTGGTAATTTTAATTGTTAATTTTGCTAAGTCCACAATCAAAATGTATCGTCATTGTAATTTACGCGAGTACACTTTTAACCCGACGTTTAGGATACATTGTAGCTTTTGGGAGGCCCTCCATCACCGCAAAGCATCCGAAACGGCGGGTCGTAGCTAATAAGTGAACTAATATTTCCCGTTCAAAACAGTTAAAAGCGTTTTATTTAAACGCTTCATCTTACAAAAACCTTTTATGTAGGTATAATCAATTACCAAAGTGTAGCAGTTTACCGCCATATTTTTTTTATTTTTCTTTATTGTAATAATTGGCCCTTTCGCGGTTTTCGTTTTTGTGTTACTGCAAATTATTTTAAGATAAGTATTTTGTATATTTATTTAAGGACATTCCAGTTTAATAAAGTATATACCAAATTATTGTTTAATCTTGATTACCTTTTATCAGTCAACATTTATTTTCTCAATCTGGTTCAGTCATAAGGCAAATCGTCATTTCATCTTTAGTGCTCTGCTGAGACCTAGCAGACGCAAAATTTCCAGACTTGAGTTAAGATCTCTGAATAAGATATGGTCTTTGCCTCCAAAGGATCAGGAGACGAACATCTGTAGGCGGCCATTGTAAAGTCAAACAGTATTATCACGTTTTATATTATATACCGAGTACGTATCATTAGTGAAGCACTTAAACTTGTTAAAATGTGATATTAATTAAGCAGATGTGTTGTCTTCTTTATATATAATCTGATTGATATTTGAATAAGGTAAGCGTAATTGTAAAAATATGTTTATTATACCAGTTCAATGTTAGTCTGAAGACATTGTTAAATCTTTACTAGATTGATGGTAAAACCAGTAATTATCGAGAGCATTAGAATTCTATCGTCTTATAAGAGCAAGTAGTTGTAAAGTGAAGAACACTCAAGAGTTCCTACTTACTGAGATAATAGAATACAATATAAACAGGTTCTAGTAGTTTTGCATGCATAATTCAAAATGCGTGTACTCGTGATATTAATGGTAGCTGCAACGGCCGTGGGTAACGTAAAAATTATATCATACTAGCGACCCGCCCCGGCTTCGCTCGGCGGCAATGTGATATTGTATACGCTACAAAAACTGTGAACGTTTTATATAAAAACATTCCTCTTGAATTAGGGGTTTTTTTTTTTTAAAAAAAAGGCATCAAAATCCGTTGCGTGGTTTTAAAGATTTTAGCGCACATAGGGACAAAAAAGTGACTTTGTTTTATACGATGTATTGATAAGACCTAAGTTCGATTTCTGGGAAATCATAAATTGATTCGGTTGGACAGGGCATAAAAAGTGATCAAAACTGTGTCTGCTTCATGTTTGAAAGGGTTTTCACATTAAGATTTGTTTCAGCGATGCCACGTCGATCTATGCGAATCGTTGGTGGCAATGACACCACGATACAAGACTATCCATTTATGAGTAACATGCAATACAGTTTATGGGGAATGTGGTGGTATCAGTCGTGTGGGGGTTCCCTTATCACGTCTAGAACTGTTCTATCAGCGGCACATTGTTATTTGTAAGTATAATATACTTACTTGGTACATACGGTTTAAAATGCCAGAAAATAACTTAATGTTCCCAGTACTTACCGTAAATATGTTTATTTGAACTTTTCATTCTAATATAATGTTTAAAATTACTGCTACAAAAATTGTTAACCTGATTTTTACACAAAATAGATAGTATGAATTCATTTTAGCCTATGTTTCAATTGACAAAAACCACAGTGCCGTTGTGGTCTATGTAGTAAGGCTATTCGAAAATTCGAACAAAAATTTTTTTTTTTTTTGATAATAAATTTTTTTTTTTTTTTTTTTTGGTTTTTTTTATTTTAATAAAAAAATTTTTTTGGTTTTAAAGCGGTTTTTTCTAAATACTCTTCAGGGTTCCGTGCCCGGCCTTGTGCAAAGCATCCGAAGGGTGGGCCTTTTTTTAAATTTTTTTTTTAAAAATTCTCAACTACATTGTTATCGCGTTTTAAACTTTTAATTGTTATTTTAGCAACAATAAATGTGTCACAAGCAGTTGTAAATCTTGACTTCTTTCGAAGGACATCGATTTCAATGACTTGAAGTTTAAACTTCGCAACGTACTCACGAAGACAAAATATTAATATCCTCGCAAAACTGTGATATATTTGTGATTAAGAGAAATTATTTCAGTGGTGACCATCCATCAGAATGGAGGGTTGTGCTTGGTTCATCTATGGCCTCTAGCGGTGGGGCAGCTTATAAGGTGTCTCAGTTAGTTTGGCATCCAGAATATGACTCCACGACCTTAAATAACGATGTAGCACTAGTTAAACTTCAGACTAATGCTCTCTTATCCAGCAGAGTGGGAGTAGCACGAATAGCTGGCCCAAACTATGTTCTTAAAGATGGTACAGTTGCGTATGCTGTTGGCTGGGGTGCGACGTCCGTAAGTAACATACTAATATGAAAGTGGGTTCCACTTATGGGGAGAATGGGGCAACGAAAGCAAAATATATATGACCGGTTCACTCATTTTACCCTCAAGGTCGGTAGCGTACCATCGTTCTTGAAAGTTGTCGCGGACTTTTTTTAGATCCTCTAAAGAGGAATAATGGTTTTATACATATTTTTGGGGTATCTCGAACCGTTTTCGCAACGCATGCTACGAAAACCCTCAAAGATGAATAATTTTCCCCTTTTTTCCACATTTTCCCCTGTTTCTCGTTTCTATTTTATGCAGGGTATTTTTTAAAGCATTTAAATTCAGTCATAAACACTAAAATATTTTTTTCAATTCGAGCCAGTAGTTCCTGAGATTAGCGCGTTCAAACAAACAAACCAAGTTTTTAACTTTATAATATTAGTAAAGATACTATATATCATAACTATATTATTCCCACAGTCCGGGGGTGATGCATCCGAACAACTGCAACACGTAGATGTGAATCTGGTGAATCAGCATATATGTGACGAAAGATACAGCTCCCTGAACAACTGGCCAACAATCACAGATGGAATGTTATGTGCCGGTGTACTTGATGTTGGTGGAAAAGACGCATGCCAGGGAGATTCAGGAGGACCGTTAGTTCATAAAAGGGACGTTGTTATCGGCATCACCTCTTGGGGTTATGGTTGTGCTCACCCCAATTTCCCCGGAGTCAATACTAGAGTCTCAGCGTACACAAATTGGATCGTATCGAACGCTTGATTTTGTAAAATATTAGTAGTAAGCTAGGCTAATAGTAAAGATAAAAAATTTTTTTTTTTTAAATAAAGTAAGACTTGAACCAACTACCCTCAGTCACACTTTTCGTGAATCTTCACTAATATAAAGTGAAAATCGTCATTAAATTAGTTTTATTACAGCGACCTCTATGTGTAACGAATACAAACTCCCTTAACCAGTCTGTGGTTTGGCAAATATGAAAGGCGTTTCATGTTTAACTTCAAGCGCAAAGTTAAAATACTATTTAATTTTCTATCATATGCCTTTGAAATAAAGACTAGTTTTAAACAATATAAAACAATGCATTGTTTTTCGCTGCATTTTGACAGTTCTAAGACAATAACCTAAAATATTGTTTTGCTAATCGAATTAGGCAGGCTATTGATAAACAACTGGGCATCGTTAATAAGACGTAAACCTTATAATTTAATTAATCATGAAACTGAAACATTATTCTATGATTCGGTACTGTAAAATGAACTTTTATCTTGCCATCAAAGGTTTTGTATAGATACCTAATATTTGACTGCAATATGCCAGGAGGAATAAAATGTGTAAATTGTATAACGATGGACAGCGTTGAAGAAGGACAAATTCCCAAGGAGTTTATCGAATATGATTTTGCTGAAGATGCCTTGGACTTTGAGGTATTTTTTTCTACTTATTTTACAAAATAATTATACTGAAGCACTTAGCTGTTTTTATACGTATAATACATTCTTTGTCTTAATACATATCTATGACACAAATGACTTTAATTTTATTTTTAACGTTTACTTTCGAGTTAAATTGCAAATTTTGCTTTATTATAGTGTTTTCTTAGTTATTATGCTTTTAAACTAGTCATATGGCGAATAAATAATGTTACTTGTTTGTACGGCCATCACGTGAACCTTGTTTGAAGAAGTTACTAGTCCCCAATAATTATTACAATGACAACCAATCTGCGTTAAGTAGCAGAATTATGGTCATTTACAAAATATATTTTCTATTTCATAAAAGCATATGGAAAAATATGAATAAAGTTTTAAGAAAATTAAAACGTCCTCCTCCCTTGACTAATGCCGTTGCAAAGCGAAAAGTCACATTTGGTATATTAGAAGTTAAAAATAAGTTTTAAGTCGAGTAAGTCTAAGAAATATGTTTTACTAAAAAAATCTAATCTGTACATGGTTGTAAATGCGCGATAAAAGACGACACGATTGATGATAACTTGCGTAAACAAATAATATATCACAATATTCTCGGGAATTTATGAATACGTAGATTAAAAATCGACTTATTTACCATAGATAAAATTAATACGGGCGAGGGCGAGGAACTTACTTAGTAGGCTTGACTATCGTGTCCCAAATTGCCCCACATTAGTGTATTCCAAAACTATTTTATAAGAAGTAAAACAGTACAAATACAAAAACATACCATTTTTATAAGAGTACTTTAATATATGTAGTCTGTATGAATGTGTAGTGTAGTGTGTAGTGGCATACTACACAGCAATTGTTGATTTAAACGCTCCTATCTGGCAGAAATAGTAAATGACTCAAGCACTTGATAACACATAAATACTACATAGATAATGTATGAGTTAGTACTTATAATACATCCTACATATTGTATTGATATACTACAATTAGCTACATCTTCTTGAAGGATCTTTCCAACGCCATTCCTTCTTGGAAGAGTCTATGTACAACTATGTCGTAAATTTAGTGAAATCTTTAGGCATGGGGCGAGCACAGTTCTGCATTCGCTTCACTCATGGGTTCTTTTATAGACAAGTTGGTCAGATTTCTGTGCCATACCGAAACTTTGTTCTTTCCTTGGGATTCGTACCCTAGACCTACTGCGCTCTACACCGTACTAGGTTACACGTTGTATCATTTAGCTACAGATGCGGTTGTCGTAATTAGTTCATCGTATAATTTGATATCGTGTATAGATATATGCTTGTAAAATGTTATAAAATACGGTGTTATTTAGTTATGAACATCCAATATATTTATGTATAATAAGACAAAGGTTAGTAAACTCTTCTTGGTTCTATCATCTTCTATCTATGTAGTTAAAAATTTACATAAATACTACTTGTCTATACAACAATTTAACGGTATGAAAGACGTAAAATATTAGTTAACTTTTAATTTATTAACTACTACCCAGAGGACGGTTCAGATGCTTGGCAATGGCCGTGACAGTGGTTACAAAAAAATTAAAAAACAATTAAGAGTTAATATAATAACAATTTAAAATATTGTATACGTACGCTAAGTAAAGATATTTTTTTTGGGGGGGCCCCTTTTTTTTTAAAAAACCAAAATTTTTTTTTTTTTTTTTTGGGCGGGGGGGGGGGGGGGGGGGGGGGGGGGGGGGGGGGGCGGCGGGGGGGGGGGGGGGGGGGGGGGGTGTCTCCCCCCCCCCGTTTTTTTTTTTTTTTTTTTTTTTTTTTTTTTTTTAAGTAAAGATATTTAAATAATTCAGTAAATAAATATTACTAGGTATCTTATCGGCTTGATACACCAATCGAAGTTAACATGGAAGGAATGAATTAAACACTATTGCGTCGTGGGTAACAGCTATAAAGTTTTAATTTGGACGCCTATATAACTATTCTACGCGGACGAAGTCGCGGGTACAACTATTACATACTTACTTACGTAAACTAAAGTTGATACTTAAATATATACACAACATTTAAATAAAACACTTTAACGGTTTAAACGCAAAATATATGAGTTAAATTTATTACATAATTATTTTAACTACGGCCCTACGTTTCGGGTGCTTTGCAGGAACCGTGGTCACGGGCCTGACAAGTTTATCTAATATATTTCGTGTTTTAAACTGTTTAAATGATATTAGGTATTCCGGTATCTTATCGACTTTATTTACTATCGAAGTTAGTAAAATTACAAGGAATAAATCAAACCTCGCGCCTTTCGTAATTATTTATTTCGTCTTTAATAATGTCGTGGGTTACAGGCTAGTAAAGTCGCGAAATGGGTCACGCAATCACGATTGAACGGATATTTTAGTTAGCATGCGGTGACGCCAACTTGCGTTGTGTGGAGCTCAAAGCGAACGATGACCGACCATATTTCATTCGATTCGTGATGGTTTGTTGCAGTAGATGTGGTTGTAGCGCTTTTTGTCGGAGGTTATTTTGTCGTTCTGACGCCTCTGATGCTATTGACGAGGATATCCCAGTCTCGCCGGTAATAAGTGAACGATGTTTGTGTTAACAGCACTGTTACGCTTTCACACACTAACTGTACCTTCGTTATCTTTTCTATGCGATGTTGTGGTATTTGTTCCGAGTGTTAATATGACCTAATCGTCATTTACACCTTTGAGACCTCAAGGTATGTATCGTTATGTACCTTTGCGTTGCTTTTTTATTTTTTATTAATACCTATATCTACTACATTCAGGTAACATTAAGTTTTGCGGCAACGTTCATTAGTTCCGGGATGTGTAATAAATTTTACACCGATTATATAGAGAGTGTATTAAACAAATAATTTAAATAACTTAGATTTCAATAAAACACTTTTAACGGTTTAAAACGTGCAATGTAGCTGCAAAGCATCCGGGCTGTATTTAGAATAGTTTGTAAATAAGTTTAACTAATACTTTTCCTGTTTTAAACCGTTAAAAGTATTTTATTTAAATATGTACTACTCGCGTGCACTTACCGACTCTTACTCATAATAGAAAAACACTTGTTATCTTAGTGAATAATAACATAATAGGAAACTTAAATTATGATATTAATAGAGATACCTTAATTGGTAATGTATTTGCAACGCCTAAGAAGTCCTCTATAATTGTCCCTCGCATGTATTAATTTCTTTGGTCTGATGACCTCATACCTGATCATGACGCATTAGTGGCTAGGTCAACGTGGTGTAAACCTACAGCTATGTAAATAAATTCTTACTTATATCTATAAGTATATAATATGGTATGTACAGGTGAAATTGTTAATCTAATCTTAGATAACACGTATTAAATCTTGTCTCGTCCCGTATTAACTATGGTATAATTGTGTTTTTCAGATCCAATTGGCTGAAGCGCGCGATGTGAAGTTTACACAAACGCTGGTCGAACCTTTATCAATAGGATCTCACATTGTCTGCAGCGGAACGCCTTCCGAAGACTTGCCATGGTAGGTATGTCCTTATTTTATGTAAAAAACTAATAACATCGTTGGTTAAGATGGTGGCTCTGTTACGAGTAACATCAATATTTAAAAAGGTCACGCAAGCACTAAAACTCCTCGCGCAGACTAAAGTGGCTTATAATTGGCTGAAATACAAACAAAGGCTTAACATGGGAACTGCTCCGATACTGGTTCGAGGCCGTGGTTTTATTTCAGCATGCCGTGAGCCAATCTTAGAAGACACTTTTTTAGATTATTTAAAATCGAGTTACTCTTTTAAACATATTTTGAGTTTCGGAACAGAAGCCCTCAAATATGAATAATTTTCTCCGCTAATTCACACTTTCCACTACATTTTCGCAGCATGATGTTAGGCTAAAGCCGTTTTTCGATGACTGGTCTTTTCAACACAGAAATAATTTCTAAACCAGTTCAAACAAACAAACTCTTCATCTTTTAATATTAGTATAGATGTTATTTACTTTTCTACATCCTTATTTTATTTTCTTCTTATGCAACTCACGCCCATCATGGACACACTTCCGAAATATTAATATACGCAACGCTTTCTCGAAAATCCTTTGTTTTAAATCTTCTTTTGTAAAAAACACATTCTCATCTCATTTGTTAATGTATATTTGTAGGTTTGCAATCAATATTGGCTGTGGAGATCCGGATGCAGGCCGTGGTGATATAGCTGTACATTTCAACGTTCGTCTTCCCCAATGTTATGTGGTGCGGAACACGAGGCGACACGAAAAATGGGGACCTGAAGAAACCACTGCTTACAGGTATCACCATTAGAACAGCTTCTACCTAGCTACGGGACTCGGGTCTTCTGTCAGGGTAGGCCTCAAATTACCAATCACAGATAATAATATTTCTATTGATGTTTGTATACCCGAGTGCATGTACAAAGGAAAATATCTTGTGGTGGACAACCGGGGATGGAACTCCCGACTCCGCCTTAGAAGAAAGAGACCTCAGAGATTTAATATAAATAACATGCCAGTACATTTTCAAATGAAGAATGTATTAACATAATACATTCTTAATGCGTAATACATTCATAACGCGTTCTACTCGTTGGCGGTGGACGTGTGCGCAGTTTATTTTAAAATATTAATTAAAAGTGCTATTCAACTTTAAGCAATAACACAAGTGCATCAAGAATCAAAATTGCTTAGCGGCTTAATTGGCAGTTCCGACTAGTGTCGATTGTGTCGTATTTCTTATCTGACTACAGATCGCACGCGCAGTGACGTAATTTGTGTAAACATTCGACAGTGAAATTGGACTGCGCCCGCAAGTAAACAAATTATACTAACGAATAAAAGCTACGTTTGTCTTGTTTTTTTTTTTTATACTCAGGGCTCGTACCTAACAAAACCAATTATGAGCGTTCAACGCTCTCCTCCTCGAAAACCATCTGAAAGTGTTTCCGGTAGTTCTTCTAACCCAGATTTGTCAAAATGGGGGTTAAGTACTGGCGACCAGAAAATCACCCTTAGGAAAAGGAAACAGCCGCTTGAACCAGAATGTACCTGCTCAACCGAAATGAAAGAAATTCGGTCAGAAATGAACCGATTTGGTGACATACTTGAAAAGTACGTTGAATCAAATAGTCAAATTATGACTAAATTGCAGGAAAATATAACGGAAATAAAAACACAAATAACGGAATTAAAATCTAATAACAAACATGCGATTAGTCTAATTAATAATCAATCTATTCAAATAAATGAAATAAAATCAGTAACATCTATAATGGACACGGAACAAAAAGAACTAAAATCGAATATAATTGAATTGGAAAAACAATGTAAGCTCAGTGAAACAAAACTTAATAAACTAGAAAATAAAATAAAAACTGTGGGAACAGAAAACGAAAAAAATCCAAACACTTTACAACTTATCCAGAATGAACATATAATTCAAGAGATGCAAGAAAGAAGCAGAAGAGAAAGAAACTTTATTATTAAAGGCATTCCAGAATTTGACAACATATCAGAGGAAGAGAGAATCATTAAGTTGAAGTCAAAGATTTTAGATATAACTAGCCAGATGTGCAGAGACCTTCCTGAGCCAGTCTCAGTATACCGTCTGGGTAAATATTCGCCTGGGAAAAATAGAAGTATAAAAGTATGTTATGAAACATCTACTCCTGTAAAGGTAATTCTACGTAACAAAGATAAATTACCTACCACTATTAAAATATTTTCAGATCAAACTCAGGCCCAACAAAAGTATTTTAAGAACATTAAGGAAGAATTGCTTATTCGTCAAAATAATGGTGAAAGTGACCTAACGATAAAATATATAAGAGGAACACCAGCAATAGTTAAGTCTCAGTCAAAAAACTAGATACTTTTAATATCGTTCGTCCAAGTCCTAGCTTACATAGTAATACATACCAAATACTTACCGATTACAGAGATATAAAAGTATTCAAATCTCGTCTCAGCTTCTTATATTTAAATGCCAGAAGTATTAGAAAGGAAGGAAAACTGGACGAGTTGAAATGTATTGTACAATCTTTTCCCCAAAAGGTACATGTTATTCTATTAACAGAAACATGGATACGCTCTGAGAATCAAGCCCAACAACTACAAATTACCAATTATACACATTATTATAACTACAGAACAGACATCCGTGGAGGGGGTGTTTCAGCTTATATACATAATGATCTAAAACATAACTTATCAGAATCTAAATATATAGGCGGAAATAACTACTTATGGATACAATTAGAAAGATATGCACTTGAAATTGGCGTTATATATAAACCTGGTGATACTAATTTTAAAGAATTTCTAAATACATACGAGGAACAACTGCAACAAAGAAAAAGAAGTATAATATTTGGTGACTTTAACATAGATATACTTACAAAGGATAAAACGAATAAAGAATATAAACAATTACTAAAGGAATCAGGATATTGCCTTATAAATAAAATAACTAAGAATTACCATACACGTGAATGTTCTACTAAAAAATCTATTCTAGACCACGTCGTGACAAACTTAAAGGACGATCATTTCCACATGGTATTATTTGACTCATCAATGTCAGATCATAGGCAGGTATTCCTCGAACTTAAGAAGACAAACCCTCCACCACTAAAAAAACTACCATATGAAGCACTTGATTATGACAAATTGCGTGATATGCTGATAACCTATGATGACAGGTTAATTGAAGACTATATAGAGATAGAAGCAATATTAATATCTACAATTAAAGAATGTAAAATTAGTAAAATGAAAGTTCTTAATCCCCCCACTAAGGAGTGGATAAATAAAAATATCATCCATGAAATCTATCAGAGAAATAAAATTTGGCAAGAATGTAAACAGAAACCTACTGATATTAATAAAGTTGAAGAATATAAAGAAAAGAGAAGATTTGTTAGACATCTTATTAAAGATACTAAAATGTTATATTACCACAAACAATTTTCAGAATGTATTAATAAACCAAAACAAATGTGGAGATTGCTAAACGATCTAGCAGGTAATAAAAATAAGAAACACTTTGCTCCATCCAAAATATTAATTGATTCTAGAACTATAACTGATCCTAGTATAATTTGTACAATTTTTAACAATTACTTCACTTCCATAGGTCCCCAGCTAGCACAAAAAATACCAAAAACTTTTCATGACAACCCTAACTGTGCCCTACCCATGGACATCAAGTCTAATATCAATCCCTTGTGTGTTTTTGACCCTTGCAGCGCCGATGAAGTTCTTAAAATTATAGCTAAATTAGATTCCAAATGTAGCACTGGGTTGGATGGAATCACCACTAAGGCTATAAAATGTGTTAAAAACAATCTTGCCTCACATTTAAGTGCATGTTTTAATAAATTATTAGCGCTAGGGATGTTTCCTGATACGCTTAAACTAGCCAAGGTTACGCCGGTTCATAAATCAGGCTTGAAAACAGATTTAGAAAACTACAGACCCATATCAGTTTTACCCGTAATATCAAAAATTTTTGAAAAAGTTATTTACAATAGATTGGATAGTTACCTGAGCAGCATACAATATATTTCAGATAGACAATATGGCTTTCGATCCAGAAGCAGCACACAGACTGCTACCATTGATCTTACCACAAGAATAAAACAAAATTTGGATAGCAAAAATATTGTGTTAGGAATATTTATTGATCTCCAAAAAGCGTTCGATACAATTAGTCACAATTTATTGATCAAGAAGTTAGAAAAAATCAACATAAAGGGAATGGCACTAAAACTTCTAAAATCATATTTAACTAATAGACAGCAGATAACAAAAATAGACAAACATCAAAGTAATCCCTCGCCAATAACATGTGGAATTCCACAAGGATCAATTCTAGGACCTTTGCTGTTCTCAGTCTATATCAACAATATCCAGGAACAAAATCTACACGGCCACCTTACCCTTTATGCGGATGATACTTGTCTTTTTTATTTTGGATCATCTATCATTAACATAGTTAAACAAGCGCAATCTGATCTTAATAAACTAACGAATTGGTTCCAATATAATTTATTAACAGTTAATATACGCAAAACAAGTTACATAATTTTTAAACCTAAAAATAAAAAAATTCCATCACACCCCCCTCTGAAAATTAATAATCAAAATTTAGAACAAAAGCAAGTTGAAAAATATCTAGGATTACATCTAGACAGTAAGCTATCTTGGACTAGTCATATCGAGAACATTAAAAGTAAAGTTTCCTCAATCTTAAGTTCCATACGCAATATTGCTTCCTGTATTCCTCAGAAGTTGCGATATACTATATACAATAGCCTAATAAAGCCTCATTTTCTATACCTAATTGAACTGTGGGGAACTGCATCCAAATCAAAGTTATCAGAACTACAAAGACTGCAAAACAAGATTATAAAAATTATTTTTAAATTACCTTATAGCACATCAACTAAACAATTATATATAAAAACTAAATTACTTAATTTAAATCAAATGTATATTTATAATATATGTACATTTATCTACAAAACATTATCTAAAAAACACAAAAGTGAAATAACTTTACATAAGAATAAACAAAATAATTATAAACGAAGTCTTCGCCGCGCCAGTTATCTTATCTTGCCAAAAATAAGAACAAATTATGGACACAAAATGTTAACATTCCATGGAGCACAGTTGTTTAACAATCTCCCATCGCACCTCAAACGTTTGCCGCCAGTGGCGTTCAAGAAACAACTTTTCATCCATGTGTTTACAAACACAGCGTAATGCGTAATCCTTAGTCATAATAATTTCTTGAGCGTTGCACGCGGGTAGAATTGTAAAATTAATGTTGATTTGTATAGTATTCTCAAGTAAGTGATCTTGTATCTTTTTTGAGAAATAAATGTCTTTAAACCTTAAACCTTAAACATTATTTAAAACCGGTTTAAATAAAAAACCACTTTGATTAGAACGTGTTTGGTTAGAAAACGTAATCAGTACGATGGTCATTAACTAAAGAGGCATATAAAAATAAGAGTTTGTAATTAAAAAAAAAATACATTTTATACATATAATCGTACCTCAATATCAATAGCTAGATATAATAATCAGCGACAAATGACAATTAATTATAATTAATCATAATCATAAATATAATAATTAATTTATAATTAATGATAATAGTAGACATTAGTTTAATATATAGTCTAGTGTTTAAAATTGTTTTTAGTGTAAATCAACGTAAACCTATTGAGAAAATCATGATTTATAGTAAATTGTGTGTTTGTTAACTAAAAATGTCAAGTTACATCTGATTTAGTGTTCTTGTTCTACTTAAATTTTGATTTTGTGTTTATTTTAATTTTTCAGTAAATTTCCATTCAAAATAGACACGTTGTTCACCCTTGAGGTCTTGGTGGATGAAAAGGAAACGCTGTGGGCAGTGAATGGTGAACATTACTGCAGCTTCACACACAGAAATCCCAGTCCCCTGGTGGCGAACTGGGTTCAAATAACTGGTATAAGAGACGCGACATTAAACGTAGTAAAGACTGACTTGTACCCAACGTTGGCACCATCTTTTTTGGAGGCGAGTTCAAATCAATGATACTGTCTGTAGTTTACGAGAGATTTTACATATGAAGAAGCACTGTTACGGTTTAAAACAAAATGTATTTAAACCGTTAAAACTGCTTTATTTAAGCATATAATGATTTTTGTATGATTTGTTGTAGTATAATAAAAGTACAAAAAAAGACTTCAGGCTATAACATTTTTTAGTTTATAGAAATGGTTATTCATAGTGTGTATTTTTCGATTACAGGTACCAGAACGAGACTGCTTTTGTGGACCGCAAAAGTACGAGGAACCCAGTTGGCACTCCAACATTATAGCTAGATTACCAAATGGAATACCTGAAGGACATCAACTTGTGATAAGTGGAAGGTGATAACATTTTCTTAACATACAGAGCTTGCTACAATGTGTTACCTAATAAAATATATACTAATGCTCAGGAGCTACTGAAAAATTGTTATTTATTAGATAGAACATGTATCGAGGAAGGCTTGAGGCTATATAACACCATAACATTTTTTTATCAATCAGCTAGTATTTAAAAAGGTTTTTTATTACTTTTTAATGAGACCCGTGACTCCGCAGACTACGACCAATGCTGCATTCGTTCGTCGTGGATCTGATGGACTACGCAAGAGAGTGGCCGCGTCCAAATATCCTGCTTCACGTAAACCTTCGCGCACACGTCGACTCTCATCTTGATAGACAATTGGTGGTACTCAACTCTTGGTTAGGCGACTGGGGCCCTGAGCGTAGACAGAGAACTGCTCGACTTGTACCAGCTAATAAGGTATAATATATAGGAATAATACAAGATAGAAGATGGCCTATTCTGTCTCATAGGCTATTTGACTAATCGCTTAATTTTTGTTCTAATTGCTTAATTTTTTTATATAAATGTCTCTTTTATTTATCTATATTAGCTAAATAAATTTTGTCCGTCGTTTACTCGAATAGTGCACATTTCAATAAAACACTTAACGGTTTATATATTTGGCGTTTTAAATCTTTAAAACTGTTTTATTTAATGAAATAAACATCTTTGAAAAATAACGTTTAATAAGGCAAGTGCAAGATTGAACCACTCTTACATTGCTGGCTTACCTAGCCTGTCACATTTTATTTATTAAAATAAATATATATGTGGAGATACAGATGTACATTACATTCTAAATGTATAAAATGCAATACCAACTAAATTATTTAAAATATGTCCTAATCCTTAAATTTACCCCCACAGTGCACATTGCGTATAGTAAGAAGTCCGTCCGAGTGGTCCGTATATGCAGATGAGCTTTTAATCGGCGAGCTAGAGTATAGAGCTTCCGCAGCCGGTGTTAAAGCAATGAGACTAAGAGGCGATTTTTACTCAGAGGAAATATATCTATCGCCGTCAACGAATTCTCCTGTCAACGAAAAAATATAATATTTACTATGCTTATGCTTCAAGTCTTCGTAAACTTTTGACTGTATATCGTGCAATTTATCACATGTTATATTTTAAATTTATTTATATGAACTCTAGTTACCACTTAGTGGTGTATGGAATATAATATAATGTGCAATGTTTAACTTTATTATTTAGGTCATGTTAGTCAAATCAACTTTATCTATGTAACTTTTTTTTCCATGTCCGTTTCAAAGTTTTGACCTTTTCATAAATATTGACTTCATACATACATTTGATATTGTTTAAGTACAAACTGTAAACATTTTAATGCATTTATGGTGAATGTAATTCTAGCAAAATATTATACAAGTTTTAACTTTTAGGAATTGTTTAAGCATAGAAATTATATATTTATTGTTATGCTTCAAGTTGAATTAAGTAAATGATTTACAAAATGCGGTGTATTGTTTTATTATGTATCTGTATTAGTGTATTTTACGCCCTTATCTAGACAATTCAATCCTTTTTCAATGACATCAAAACCTTTTTATCTGTGATTTTGAATTTTTAATTAATGTTCGAGACCCAATAGACAGTTAATTGTCAAGTGAAAACTTCAAAACTTTTTTGACACAACGACCTTTGTAATTTGTTGTGTACTTTTTATAATCTACGAAACATTTTACATAGGTAAACATAGTTTTTGGATTGATATATAAATTGCAATCAAAACTGAAATCCTTGCAAAGTTGTTCGATGCAACTTTTAATTTCTTTACTCGACCTTCAGTATTATAACGTAGTAACAAGTATTATTACATATGCATCACACACATTAATTTAATTCACAGTTCAAATATTACCCGACTAGACTCTAAGAACTACGTAATACGATTTACCAATAAAACCAAGTACCAACCTACCGCATCTTTTCGCCTGCCATTTGCCAGTACAAACGAGAAAACCGGGTATTCGAACTTATATGTTTGACCTTCACAAGGTGACCGATATCATTCCCTCAGTTAGTCGAGGCTCGACAGCTGATCGGTTGTGTGTTGAGAAGAAACTTATAACGCGTTATAATGAGCGTGCAATCGGACTCAGAGAAACGTAAGCAGATATCCGTTCGTGGTATTGTTGCTGTGGAAAATGTTTCAGAAGTGAAGAAGGCTTTCAACCGGCATGTTCATTACACCCTCGTCAAAGACCGAAATGTTGCGACTCCGAGGGATTATTACTTTGCCTTGGCCCATACTGTTAGGGACCACCTAGTATCCAGGTGGATTCGCACCCAGCAATATTATTATGAAAAGGATCCTAAGGTATGTAATAAAATAAGAATGCTTATATGAAGGTAGACAAATATTATCTTTTTTAAAATACCTTAAAAACTCACTAAATTTAGCTGTATAATTGTAATAAGTATAAATAAATTTTAACCTCTAAATAAATATCTAGTAATACATCTTCTATATGTTATTCAGCTTGTATTAAAAACAAGAAACATCAATAACCATATTTTAATTCACTTTCACATTAAAAACAATTCATTCAATACTAAATTCAAATGTATATATTATTTGCAGCGTGTGTATTATCTCTCCTTGGAGTACTACATGGGTCGTTCCCTACAGAACACAATGATTAACCTGGGTATCCAGGGTACAGTTGATGAAGCTCTCTACCAGCTAGGTTTAGATATTGAAGAACTAGAGGAGCTTGAAGAAGATGCAGGTCTTGGTAATGGTGGTCTTGGCCGTTTAGCTGCATGCTTCTTAGACTCCATGGCAACATTAGGACTAGCAGCGTATGGATATGGTATGTATTACTAGCCTAATCTAATCACAAAGTCATTCACCTTTTATATACAGTATATGTTTTTAATTTTTTTATATAGTCTATAAATTTATAAACAAATTTGGTATGATAAAATAGCATTACATACTTTTTTCTAATTTTTATTGTCTTCTACAATATTTATTACATATACACAATGTCGCAAGCGTTCTTATGGTTAAGTCTGTTGAAGAATAAAATTGCACAGTTAATTTAAAACAATTTTACAGTAACTCAACTAATTGAAACAACTTGACAACAATATTGGCGGAGCTCCAATCATAAATATTATGTGGACTAAATGAAATGCCCCGAATGGCGAAAGCATGCTTATAAATACATATTCAGAGATTCTGAGAACAATTTGAGATACTTATATGTTTTAGTGTAGTAATATCTTTCTTAAAATAAATATCCTTGTATAAGGTTGTCTAAAGGTCTTTTTTGATCGCCTCTGTAGCCGAATGGTTAACGTTATGCCTAGCATTACGTTAAGCGCGAGAGGTCCTGGGTTCGAATCCCAGGAAAACAATAAAATTGTTTCGGTCGGGCAGGGCACAGAAGTCTGATCAACTACTTAAAGAAGGGATCAGTGAAACGGACACAGAAATGTGTTCGCCCCATGCCCCACGGGGGGGAAACGGAGTTACAAACACACACACTTCATTTTCTATATGATATCTCAATTATGATGAATTCATCTATAATGAAAATGTATAGGTAGTTTAAGAAATACATTTAATTGAAATTCTTTATTATTTTAAATTTAAATAAAAAAAATCTATCTAAGATCGATGTTCAATTTATATAATCATGGGATTATATAAATTATAATCATAAGCAAACATGTCAAATATTAATGTTTCCAATAGATTTCAATTTGCATACTTACCTTATTTATTTTAGGTACATGCATAAATTATGTTGCAGAATTCTAAAGTGTTTTGTTTAACTTAATCCATATGGGTTCATTCAAATGATTCAATTTTAACTGTATAGGACGCGAAATATATATTTATTTCAAATTTATTTTGAATACGACGCTACGTTTCGAATGCTTTGCAGCAGCCATTGGGACTGAAGATGGATGGTTAGACCAATTTGTCTAAAAAATATGTTGTATATCAATCAGGTATAAGATACGAATACGGCATCTTTGCGCAAAAAATTCAAAATGGCGAGCAACAAGAAGAACCTGACGACTGGCTGCGCTATGGCAATCCATGGGAAAAGGCTCGCCCTGAGTTCATGATCCCTGTGAACTTCTACGGCCGTGTAGTCGACACACCCCAGGGCAAGAAATGGGTCGACACGCAGGTACTGAAAATAAACGAGAAATGTCCTTGGACCGACCTTGCGAGACATGAAGTTCATTTCAGCGATAAAACGATATCTTTAGGGACGCTTGACTGAATTGAATACCTTTTCTGTATATTTCAGCTCCCGAAGACATTGTTTTGTTCATTACTATAACGCTTTTGTTTTAAAAATATTTATGTTGCTAAAGTAAATACTATATTATACTCAATTATATAGATTAATATGCATGTATCGTTAAATATAATTGCGTGACAAGTGGCTTATTATCTTGGAAAACAGGAAATGTTATTTATCGTGAATTATCGCTTTTAAATATTATCTTTATCTTAGGTGGTGTTTGCCATGCCATATGACAACCCGATCCCGGGTTACAATAACAACGTCGTCAACACGCTGCGGTTGTGGTCAGCTAAAAGCCCTGTTGATTTTAACCTGCGATTCTGTTAGTATATCTTACTTATCAAGAACATTTTAAAAATAGATCATTTTGAACAGTTTAAAACGCGAAGTGTCTCCCCGGGACTACGGCTAAAGTACCCGAGTTAGGAAAAATTGTAAATAAGTGTTACTACATTTTGCGTTTTAAACCGTTAAGTTTTTTATTTAAATTCGTACTTCTTGTAGTTTATGCGACATGTTTTTTTAAATACTATTTATTCAAATAATACAATCTGTTAGCAAACCGAAAGGTTAGGAGGAGATAAAATATAATTTTCTAAAGTTATGTGTAGTTAGGAAATGGGTGAAAATGTCAGTAGATAGTATGGACGTCCATCCCTTTATGTCCCCAATAGAAAATAGTAAATACTATAATATCTTGTATTATCATTTCAGTTAACTCTGGTGACTACATCCAAGCCGTACTCGATCGTAATGTTGCTGAGAATATTTCTCGCGTCCTCTACCCGAACGACAACTTCTTTGAAGGGAAGGAACTTAGGCTGCGTCAAGAATACTTTATGTGTGCAGCTACATTACAAGATATAATCCGCCGATACAAAGCCTCTAAGTTCGGAAGCCGTGAAGCCGTCAGAACTACCTTTGAGAGCCTCCCAGAAAAAGTAGCTATTCAGCTAAACGATACCCACCCGGCGTTAGCCATCCCTGAATTATTGCGTATTCTGATCGACATCGAAAAAGTACCATATGAGGAGGCTTGGAATCTCGTCGTGAAGTGTTGCGCTTACACCAACCATACTGTCTTACCAGAAGCTTTGGAGAGATGGCCCTGCTCGATGTTAGAAAATGTCCTCCCAAGACACATGCAGCTCATATACCACATTAACTTTTTGCATCTAAAAGAGGTCGAAAAACGCTGGCCTGGTGATTTCGACCGCTTACGTCGTATGTCTCTGATCGAGGAAGAAGGTGAGAAACGAGTAAACATGGCCAATCTTTGTGTGGTCGGATCCCATGCTGTCAACGGTGTGGCCGCTATCCACTCTGACATCCTCAAAGCCACCGTGTTCCGCGACTTCTATGAAATGTGGCCAGAGAAGTTCCAGAACAAAACCAATGGTATCACTCCAAGACGGTGGTTGCTTTTGTGCAACCCTGGATTGTCCGATTTGATATCTGACAAGATTGGAGATGAATGGACGGTTCACTTGGACCAGTTGAAGGGTTTGAAGCGTTGGGCTAAGGACCCAGGTTTCCAAAGAGCAGTCATGAAAGTGAAACAAGAGAACAAGCTTAAATTGGCGTCTCTTATTGAACGGGATACTGGAGTGAAAATTAACCCAGCGTCTATGTTCGATGTGCAAGTGAAGCGAATCCACGAGTATAAGAGGCAGCTGCTAAATATCTTACATGTGATTACCATGTACAATAGGATTAAGCGGGATCCGACTGCTCCGATGGCACCCAGGACAGTTATGATTGGGGGTAAGGCTGCCCCGGGTTACTATATAGCCAAACAGATTATTGCTTTGGCGTGCGCCGTTGGTGACACCGTAAGTTGTATTATTAAGTTAGTTACTATGTGATAAGACTTTCGGGTCCTAAGTTTTGTATCACAATTTTTTTTATTTTATATGGTGCCAAAATTATTAGTTGACAAAAACTAAATTTGTTATTATTTGATAAGAACTTTACTGTGGACACTTCATAATAATTTAAAATTCTAATTTCACTTAGTCTTTATAGTCGATTTTTAACTTATATAGTGCCATCATGTGAAAAATATTAAAGTTTTGTTCCTGTACTTACTTAATATAAGATAACTGTAATGTCTTGTGTATCTTTAGGTGAACAATGACCCTGACGTCGGAGACAAGCTGAAGTTGATATTTTTGGAGAACTATCGCGTAACGCTGGCTGAGCGCATAATGCCAGCAGCTGATTTGAGTGAACAGATCTCAACAGCTGGTACAGAGGCCTCTGGTACCGGTAACATGAAGTTCATGCTTAACGGTGCCTTGACCATCGGCACCATGGACGGGGCTAACGTGGAAATGGCTGAGGAGGCCGGGGAGCACAATTTGTTCATTTTCGGCATGCGCGTTAACGATGTCGAAGCTCTACAAAAGCGTGGGTACGTAGCTTGGATTACAAACCCAGATAGGACTGATGTATGGCTAATTTGTTTTATGAATAATTTCACTAAAACATACTACAATAAAATATACAATTTCGTCTATATAACATAATATTTTAAGCAACTGTGTTGAATTAGTAAAAACCTGATCTAGCTGTGCCCGCGACTTCGTACGCATGGAATAGTTATATTGAACATCATTTTATTTATCTTTGCAAACAACATCCTCGGCTTTAAAAATTATTGCTGTAAACCACGACGTCGTCCGAGTCTCGTTGCTAAGACGATAAATCTTCCCCGATTTTTCCAAATTTTCCACTTTTTCTTTGCTCATATTCGTTAAAGTTTAGTGTTAAACCTCTCATCGATTAATTCAGAATCATTTTTAAATTAGAACTAGTAGTTTATAAGATTAGCATTCAAACCAACAGACAACAGACCTATTTATAATTATAATCATAGTAAGTAATGCGCATAAAGAACTTAAAATAAGTATATATTAGTAAGTAGGTTTCAATCTTACAAAAGTTTACTGTGACAGTAGTCATGCCATTATAAACACCAAAATTATTACTATATTACTTTGAGGTGCTGTTATTATAATGTATATAGTATCATAGTTTTGTAAACTTTACCCATTGTTTTATAAACAGTTACAACGCGTATGAGTACTACGAACGTAACCCGGAACTCCGCCAATGCATCGAACAGATTCGGAGTGGTTTCTTCTCCCCCAACGACCCTGGAAAATTCTCGCATGTCGCCGATGTACTTCTTCATCACGACCGCTTCCTCCATCTTGCTGACTTCGATGAGTACATTAAAGCTCAAGACAAAGTCTCCGCCGTTTATCAGGTATGGAAAAAATATGGACTTTATGAAACAAAAATAACTCAGAACAACAGGCAACCGATAGCACGTTGTTGAAATTACATATCTTATATTGTATGTCATTTTTATATCTACATACATATACATATTATATGTAGAGTTACAGTGTATGTCCTTTCCTTCCTATGCCAGATTGTAATAATTTATTGTGATTGAGTAGACTACTTGAATTTCATTACTTGATTTTTTGCAGTAAATTTGGTTTAATCTTACTCATACGCAATTTAGTAGAAATAAGCACGGGATTCACTTGATGGCACATGAAAAACCCCAACCATAGACCATCTAAACAAAATGGTATTATTGAAAATAATCGATACAGATAATAACAATTAAATTCTACAGGATCCAGCAAAATGGACTGAAATGGTGATCGAGAATATTGCGTCGTCTGGGAAGTTCTCGTCAGATCGCACAATTGCTCAATACGCCCGTGAGATTTGGGGCGTTGAGCCAACTTGGGAGAAACTGCCCGCACCTCATGAAGTCGCCTAACTTCTTCAATACTCCGAGATTAGTAGTATTTTTTATTTGGAATTGCTACTTACAACTAAAGATATCACAGTTTGTAAATGAAAAATTCCACGACAAACAATCTCGTTTGTCGTGGGTCTGTCTTGCCTGTGCCATTGTAATTTTTAATTTTATAAATAATTTTATCATACACTTTTTCGATTTATAGTGGCTATAATCCGTCAAAAGCTAAGACTGCAAAACCAAATTTATTTTTCTGGTGCTTTAAAAACAATGAATTTCAATTTTTTACGAATTTATTTATCAACAATGCGCATTATATTTTAAAATCTTTTTTATTTATGTATTTTTTATTTAATGTCTATTTCATAAAAGAAAATCGTGTCGTTAGCCTTGAATAAAATACTCCAACTTATATGTGATTCAAAAATTAGGCCTGTTGTAGATTATTTTAAGAGTAAATATATAAAATAAAGCATATAATAGAAATCATAACATATTTATGTATTGAAACTTGTGTAGATTTTATTGTTATAAAATGATTTTATATTATAAAGCTTCCCTAGAAGTAGACATATAAGAGCAGCTACTAATGTTCCTAATAATTGGTTTAAGGAAAAAAATCCTTGAATTTATTTGTGCCATAACCTGTTCACTCCTTTGATTAGTGTAAATGTTTGTTAAAAAGTAATTTATTATACATATATATTAATTTTGTAATCAAAAAGCTTTTATAAGTACAAACAATAATTTATAAGAAGTTAATATTTAAAAAAAATACCAATAAATTCAAATGTATCTGGGTACCCTTTTTGTGTATTATAATGCCCACTGCCGATAAACATATAATTTTCTATGACATATAACACTTTAGAGTTGTATTACTTTATACTACGATAGAGATAAATATAACCATTAATAAAACCACTTCGTTATTATATTTCATATTTGCTATATTAATAAAGTTTATTCAAAGTATACTCGAGTTATCATTTTAGTAGTAAGATCAAATTAAGTAAGTCGTGATGATTTATCAGTGTCTAAGCTTCAACGGTTGTCCTTTTCCTTACTGAACAAAACAAGAGATACCTATACATCAATCGATATCTGCTAAGCTTCCGTCCAATCCTAATAAAAATCCGCAGTTTTAGGAACAGCGCGTATGTTAAGGATCCTGCGTGCGCAGTCTTTGATCCTTGCACTTCGGCTAAACTCGGTATAATTCGGAAATGTTCTATACACTGAGAAAAATCAGACCCCTTCTAAAAGAGACAGCGTGTCGTCTATCTCTTTCTCGTGGATGTCATCGGCCGTTCATAATCCTAGCTACTACAAAGTAATAAAATACTATTCGTATTTCGTTCACTCCGCGTCTGAAGCTCGGACGAGACGGTGTTACCTCTCGTCATTTCGCGTGTGTAGTGGTGTTTTGTGTTGTGGGGCGCTACGCTGAGCCCAGGCTCGCGTCTCGCAGGTAATAATCCAGCATTCTTGGAATAGCGCTTTTGGCGAGTTTTTGTGTCAAAATCGAGCACCACTTGCTAAAATGCCGGCTAGAACATCGCGCAACTTCGATCGATATGTTGACTTCGAGTGTAGGCCGACTCGCAAAACCAGACTGAGATTTTATGCGAGTTTTATCTGTTAAAAAGGAATTCAAAGGAGAAATACTGTATCATAGTTTGCATACGTAAATATTATCTGTACATAACTATTATCGACTGTAACGAAACGGGTGCGATAAAATTGATAAACATTGCAATTATTTTTAATCTCTACTTAGATTTGTGTTAAATTTTAGGATATACATATTCATGGAATTTCAGGATATACATATGATAGTGTCATTTGCATCTGTTTTTATTTATTATAATCTCAACTCAAGAGTAAGTTAAGAAGAACTGAAATTACTCACAATTCTGTTACATACAATAAGGATTCCGACTAATTTATGAGTCATTTATAATTATAACAAACATATAGTAGCAGTTCCATTTTGCCGCAATAACGCTAGGCCCCTGAAGAACTCCGCGGTTAATTAGATGACCACGCCTCGGGAACTGGGGTTACACCACTTACAGTACTATGTTGATGATGTCGGGACACGGGAATCAGAGCGTTGTGCTAAATATAGCAATTTTACGCCCTACTAAAAGTCGTCGGCTTATACTTTACATACATGGTCAAGTACAGGCTTTCTAAGGTTCTAACCACTAGTTCATTATGCATGTGATTAAGATCTGTATATATAAAACGTTTATAAATAATTTATAGAAAATTTGCGACGAAGTAAAATATTTTTGTGAAAAGTTTAATCAAAATATCAATTAGTTCAAAGACCGTAAAAAAGTGCGTTCCTTATTCAAGAGTAATGTTAAATCGGGTTAAATTCAGTCATTTACCCCGATGCCTTTGGACGAATGTTTTGTTAAGCACATGGCATGGCGCTTCTTTCAATGTGCCCATTCTGGTTACAAGGGCAGGTGCAAAACGACCTAAAGTGGTTTTGTAAGAGATTTTTTGTAAAACCATCAGGTAGAGTGCTTTTATTCCATCCTATTTATTGTTTTTGTTGTTCCTGTAAGGCCTTTATTTAAAATTTGGCCTTATTTTTAACGGGTTACAATTTTAAATTTCGAATTGGCGAATTCCATGATTATTTTAATAGAGGTCGTTACACTACCTAGCATGGTAGAAGTCTTATAGTGTTGACGTACTTAATATGTCTTAGAAAAGATTAAACTTGACTCCGTGTAATTGTAGAGCCTTCGTCCGGCACTTATCTCCATAATTAGATGCTTAAATAAACTAGCCACAGAATAAATTGTCTAGCATACAAGTAGCTGAAAATTATATGCGCTTTATCTCTTTGGAACAACGTTCGAAAAATAAATTATCTATGAAGGTATGACCACGTTATAGGGGTGTCCTTGACTCAATACTTATATCCACAATATAAAGATGACGGGTTCGTTGGTCATACCAACGTATGGCTAATAATCAACGGGTCGCGGATTTGATCCTCATCGAGTTAGAAAAATTATAAATTGATTAGAAACATGTTGGATTTCGTTTGGTAATCTGGATATTAAAATGGTGGTAGGAATCTCAAAATTCCGTCCGGGTCACGAACCACCACGAATTAAAAAGCTACCAAGTTTAATTGCGTTTTGAATAAAGTTAAATCTAAGCCCAAAAAGGTCGACAGCGCATCTTATTTTGATGTTAGAATTTTTCCTCCTATACCATATAAAGTTACTTTAGACTACTCCCAGTTTCCATTGTGTGGTCTCGAACCGTTTTACAGACAAGAATTTGGCCAGTAGCATCGTGCTTACACCTATAGTTACTTATATGTTTCCCAGACGTCCCAGCCGAGTCAATACGGCTCTTCGTGAACACACCCGTCTAGAGGAATTTAAGATATTTTATTGATCGTAGGTACTTCCTTGTCTGTCTAGTTCAAGTTTACAATTTAGATATGAGGTCGAAAAATTAATAGATTGAAACCTTTACCGTTAAATTTAACATCTGCCTCTACTCAACTCCAAGCATTGCTCAATTAACATACTCTAGAAAGAAAAACACTCAAAATGAATAATTAGAATCCATTCGTTTCATATGAAACGGCGTTTCTCTTATTTACGACGATTCTAAAAACGAGATTCTCCACCAATTTTCACTCGAATTCTTTGCATATACTTTTATAGACTGCCGATTAAAAGCCGGATAAGTCTATTCTTGTGAAAGCTAAACAAATGCAACCATTTCTGTATAATGGAACCGAAAATAATCTTAACCGTAACCGTCTTTCGCGCTCGCCAGCACATTTGTGTTTCTCACACATTTTATCCAAAGCGATAAACTGATCGTGTGCATCTTATTAAAGGTCATTGACCCCTTAAATATTTCACAACGTTCATGAAAAGATATCTACATCATCAAACAATGATTGAGTCAGATGTTTCCTTACAATTCCCATGTTAATACGCACAAAATCTTAAAATAAAATACTCTTTGGTAGTAGTTTCAAGGTCCTAATATGACATATTTTTTTTATATAAGAAAGTTTTTAGCATGGCTATAGTAAGTATGTACTATTTTAGACACCTAAGATCGATAGAAAGTGTAATACCCGAAAATTCACGCATTAATGCGCCCTCACATTTACCAAATAAAACAGAAAGAGAAGGATATATATTTTTAGATGTACTAAATCGAGGGCTGACCACCCTTCAACAATTTATATCATTAGAAATTCTCCCCCGCCTTTACTTACCATGTGGTCGTTATTTTGGATGTTTTGAAACAACTGTTGCTATATGCATTTACAAGAATTATTATTTTGCGGTTGAAAATGAAATGTAATTATTATTTGTAAACACAATTCTTACACAAATAATGTAAAAAATGTTTGTGTAAGAATTGTGTACAATTTTCGATCAGAGCTTTGTAGATTAGCATTTTTAGACTATGAAATTATGAATAACTCAAGTCGTAAAATTGCAGTTAGGTTTCTCTGCCGCTAACGGCTCATATTTTTGATAATTTTTTTTAATTCTTCTGTCGTGCTATTTAGTATAACACAATTTTTTTATTTGTTTCAGATTCGGGCAACGCCCGGCCGCACAGCGGCTTGTAAAGTTTCGGTTCTGACCTGGTATTTGTTCATACAGCTAAAAGTGACCAAAGTGATCAGTGAAGTGTTAAGTGCGCGTGTGTAATATGGCTATTCTCACCGTATTTACGGTTCTCGTCGCGCTGCTCGCGCTAGGTAAGTTCAAATAGTCAATTCAAACTTCACACCCACAATACAACGTAAAATCTTTATAATATCACTCGATGTAACGTCATTTAGAAGTAGAAATATCGTATTGGTTTATATTATCATCTGAATAACGGTAATTTTAAATAAAATATTAGGTAGCTTACGCGAATAGTACACATTTAAATAAAACACTTTAACGGTTTCAAACGCGATATATATTAGTGGAACTTATTTTTGACCGCAGCTGCCGCCAAGCATCCCACACATAAAAATATTTTGTTAAAAACCAATAAATTTCGCGTTTTAAACCGTTAAAGTGTTTTATTTAAATGTGTACTATTCGCGTAAGCTACCTACAGACAGTGTTTAATCATGATAATCTTAGACTATCCTGTAGCCAGGAGGGTTTAAACACTTAAACCAACAGTCTGTCCAGTGTTGGTTGGTGAGCATTATATGCATTACAATGAACATCATATAATTCATCCTAATGACTGGAACCGAAGGCTTAACGGGCTCTCCGAGGTCGGAGGTGGAGACACCTCTCACGTCCAAATTCCGCTGCATTGTTACATATTTGAAATAATTCCAAATTCGTGCTAACATTCGAATCTTGAACTTTGTAATCTGCAGGGGAGTGTACTAACCACTACTTCAGATCTGGGCCCCTGGTAATATGCTCCCCTGATGAAAATTCAAGGATTTCTTGACGCACATTTGTTTTTCCTACGTTAGTACCGTGAATGCAAAATGCAGACGACGCGTTAGCAAACACTGCGCAAAGGCCCTTAGCGCTTTTGTTTCAAACTTCTTTTGCTGAAACTTGAAAGAACTTTATCACGAAGGTATAGAGGTTCAATTGTAAAGCTTACATATAAGTTAAGTTTGAATACTTTTGCTTACAACTTATGTTAAAAATTAAAATTGCTCGAATTCACACAACAAACAAATGTTACACATTATTGAATATCTTATTTCTTTGATTAACAATCGAAAGTAAATTGACAAAATATTCGATTCGGGCAGGACTTGAACCGGCATTGCCTGCGTTCCGCGCTCTAACCAATTGAGTTACCGAGTCAACAGCACAGAACGCAGACGATGCCGGTTCAAGTCTTGCCCGAGTCAAAAAAAAATTCAATTTACTTTTGATTTTTAATCTATATTGTGTCACCATGTGCAGTAACATAAAAAAAGGATTAAAATTTTCAAATCTTTTTTTTTACACCTTTTCAATAAGACTTACAATACGTCTAATTAAAAAAAAACTATTTGCAGACCTATAAGCAGGGATAAAGATCGCTTTCATTTGTTTAATTAAACTTTGGTCTGTTTGGTCAAATGATTTTTACAAAAATTTATGATACAGACGGGTCTTGAACTCACGACTGTTACGTATCGTTTTACATCTTAAATATGCCCGTGAAGGTTAAAAGGAAGTTGTTAATAATGGAATGAGCCCGCACCCGGGCGCGATCGATATACCAGCCACGGCCGGGAACTCTGCCCGGTTGCCGGGCAACGTTCACTGAATCAACTGAAAAAAATATTATTTATATTCATTTCAATATTGAATACTATAATTACTTTAAAAATATTTGATATTCTTTAAAATACCTTTTATACAACATAACGCTTCTCAAACTCCGTGTCATTTACTCAGTAGTGAAACGGTCGTTAGTTTGAATCCCGAAAAATAAATATCAATATAGTTTCCGTAAGGCTCATCTGTAGATAAAATTGACTGGTAGAATGGAGGCAGAATACGGGACATACCTTCTTCTACTTTACGTCACCAAAATTATTTGCTCACTGAATGATTAAATAAAAATCAATTTTAGATTTTAAAAATGTTCACAACGGGCAGGACTGCAATCGGCATCGACAGCGTTCCGTGCTCTTGGTAACTTATAATTAAGCTACCGTGTCTTACACGTAATCATTTTTTAAAATATTAATCTTGGAAAACAATACTTAAGATTACTTTCAAAACATTCTAAAAGTAGCTCAAAAATTAATTTAAGAATGCCTCAAAGTTATGTCAACATAATTAATAAAAAACCAAAGATCTAGCTATATGTACAGTTCGCACTTGAATACTAAAAGCTTACAGGTTTTCGATATAAACAAGCCGGAACATTGGCCTTTCGCGTATAAGGTCGCGACCGTGAGTCAGTCGTTACTATCCTTTGCCGATGTATCCAGATATTACATGTAGTGATATATCGTACTATAGTAGAAAAAATCTACGATATTTTTTTTCTACGCTTTCCAAGTTTGAATGTCAAAGATATACCTAAATGTAGACACTGTTTAATGAATTCTAAAGATCAAAACTTTGTGTTAGTTTCTTTTAATCATTTGAATCAACAGTCAACATTGTGAACCAGGTTCAGTTTCCGCCTGTGTCATAACTTTTATCATTCTTCAATTATTCATAAAATAAAAGCTTATCACACACTCATCTACAATTTCAAAACATTCAAAGCCAAAAGAAGGCGACAGCGCGTTGTTGCGTCACTTGGTAAGATAAGAAGTTGAAGTTTTACCTTCCATCTAGTGAAACCTACGCTTGCCTGTCTTTAACTACGATAAAAAAAATCTACTGTATCTTCTTTTGGAGACACCCCCTCTACACACACACACACCGATACACACTAACTCACGCACACCGATACACACTCACACACATCCACCCACACAAGGCTAGGAGATCAGAAAATAGTATGTACATATTTTTAAATCTGTACTTTGCTTGTCTATGCATTTATAAAATTTGTATAGTCTGTAACAAGTAATAAGTCTATGCATGTTTATTTCTATGTTCTTTATTCAAATATCTTGTTAATTAAAATACTCTCTTCAGAATATATTATGTGCTAACATTGATATCATTTACGAAGCGAATCAAATGAAAAGTACTCCAGCGTATTGTTCCCATGCAGCCACATATCTAGAGGTCGATTATTCAATTGTAGGAATCTCTATCGTCGCGTCACTCGATCCAATGCTGTACGTTGTCTGAACAGCGGAAACTGAATCCTAACCAAGCAAATACATTCAAGATATATAAGCGATTAGGATGTATGACTTAACGCATCCGATTGAATGTTAATTCTTCGTAATTGAGAGATTATTTCATCACCGTCTGTAGTTTACGCGAGTTTAATATACATACTTATAAATAAAACACTTTAACGGTTTAAAACGCGCTATATATTAGTAAAACTTAATTTGAACAGCGGCCTGACGTTTCAGATGCTTAACGTAACCAACGATGTCGATTAACTAAAATTATATATCACTTTTATTAATTAAAATAGTAATTCAAGTTCAAGCTGTTAAAATTAATCAAAATATTTAAATTTATAATTTCGGGTTTTAAACCGTTATAACTTATAAGTGTGTTTAAATGTTTAGTATTGCCTAAACTGCAGAGTACATTTACATTTTAAATCGGTAGCAACTGGCGCACTAAAGTAACGAATATATTTTTTGCGTTTTAAATACATAGTGTTTTATTTAATGACTTTGTCGCTAAGGCTACAGATTATAGTTTTAATACATTCATCTGTCCACTAATAATTAATAAAACTAGGCGAGATGTAAAATAACAATTATGCTATAAAAATAATTAATTTTTCGGACTGTTAGACATCGCATTATTTAAAAATCTCATGACTAAGAATTTATTTTTATCAAAGACTTTTTATTATTGCTTAGTCTTGCAACACTTAGTTATACAGAAAACTTGCCTTACAGTCCACACTTATATATTTTTCCTTCTATGTAACATGAGAGACAATTGTCGCGCGTGTTTAAGATAATTTGAAGACACGGTAGGGATAACGAGGGCAAGACTGAATGCGTAGAATAGGAATTTGGAAGGTGAATGACCTCTGTTATATAGGACAATCTCTAACAAAGGCTACAGCTAAAACATAGTCACCTGGGGGCAGTTCTCAAGAAAGTTATATGTATGCGACATGCACTAAGTTCCCCATGTTTAACTTAACTAACTTGTGTATATATAGATTATCTGTGGATCGTTTTTAGAATTCTTACTATACATTTGTATTCCTTTGGTGTTCTGTTATGTTTCTTTCTTGAATATATAAGTTAATAAAGTACCCTACTTGATGTATTATTTTTTATAATTTTCTATGTCTTTAAGTTTCCTAATATCATCGTGTACGTTAAAGTAGATATTGTTTGAAGTTTAGTAGTACATTAAATAACACAGTTAACGGTTTAAAACGCGCAATATATAACTGAACTTATAAACTCGCTGTAAAGCACTCAAAATATCAATATCAAATAGCTACCATGCATGCTTAAAGTGGTTTTATTTTAAGAAAAAATAAACTTGTCTCGGTTATACTGAATTATGTAAATGGTGGCGCTCACCTACTTAACTGAACAAAAAATATATGTATGTTCAAACACCATGTGAGATTAACCGTAATATTTAAATTTACTTATTAAAATTCGGTTCACACACATCCCTTCGGTTTTTATTTGGTATTTGAGTTTCTTAAAGTTATATAAGCATGATTTGCGAATTATTACTATTTTCGCATTTAAATAAAACACTTTTAAGGGTTTAAAACGCGGAATGTATTTTTTTAACTTATTTAACAATATCTTTTAACTACGGCCCGATGTCGCTTGCAGCAGCCGTGGTCACGGGAGGGGGGTCACTTATATACTTTCAATAATTGAAAGCATTAAAAACTATGTTGTTATTCGTTTGTTCGATTATTTCGGAAATCAATATCCGATTAAAAATTTGTTTTGAGATCAAATTGCAAAGTCTCCTTTACTTATGAATATTTGTGTGACCAAATCTGTTGGTTACATAATTGGAGTTCGGCTACGCAACGCATTTTGTTCAGTAGAAGTGTAAAACAATGAATACAAAGAAATTTAGCTGTGTTGAATATTTATTAACAAACAATTCATACTAACTACATACTACGAAAACAATGTATCAAATCGTTTGGGAAAAAAATTATAACTCGATTCTTGATAAGGATGTTTTAATACCATTCACATAAATTATGTTTTTCGTGTTTGCAATGATTATTAAAAATTTTTACTATTAAAAGTAAGTCTAGGTCCCGGATTCGAATGTAGTTATCTATTGAAATCAAAAAACACCAAAATTTCAATAGGGAGGACGGCCTCATATTATCAAACACCTGGGATCCCATATTAAAAACTCTGGATCCCAATAAACAGCATACCGGCAAACGCAAAGACACCGTTAGTCAATTCTGTAAGGACCCAGCCAGTTTCACCAAATACCAACATGACGGAACAGATGGCGCTAGCGTAGCAATTCTTTACTTTGACGTCAGAGACATCCTCCATCTTTAGTCTCCCCGTGACCACGGCTGCTGCAAAGCATTCGAAACGTCGGGCCGAAGTTAAAAATCATTTTCAAATAAGTTTAACTAATATATCGCGTTTTAAACCGTTAAAGTGTTTTATTTGAATATTAGTTAAACTTTTTAAATATAATATAAGTAGGATAGGAGTATAAAAATTAAGTTTTTCCATTGACCCTTATCTACATTCCATAAACCATAGAAGCCAAAACTATGCCATAACTTAAATATGTCTGTAGTTTACGCGAGTAGTAAACATTTAAATAAAACACTTAACAGTAAAAAAAAAATATATATATATTAGTTAAACTTTTTGAAAAATTTTTTTCCCCCCAAGCATCCGAAACGTCGGGCCGTAGTAAAAATAATTTTCAAATAAGTTTTAACAAAATGTATTGCGTTCTAAACCGTTAAAATGTTTTATTTAAATGTGCTATAACTTGTAAAGCACTTAATATATCGCCCTATCTTAGAAAAAGGGACGCCTCATGAGACGTTTATGGAAGAAGCGCGTGTTATCAGGAAAATTCCTAAGGTTCATTTGATCGGCCAGATGTTACCGCAGGTGTTCAACATTTAACCGTGTAGAACGCCCACCTCGACTTGATTACAACATCGCACATATTAAAGATAGTGAAATTTGAAACTGACAAGCTTTTGTTTGTGTTATGGTTGAAAATGTATTTTAAAAACGTACTTAGGTATGCGCAAACGGTCAATTTTTCAATATAGAGTAAATTAAACATAAATTATAAAGATTCAAGAACATTCATGGTTATTAATGACGTTTGTAGTTTACGCGAGTAGTTGCACAGTTAAATAAAACACTTTTCACGGTTTAAAACGCGAAACGTATTAGTTAAGCTTTCAAATTATATTCATAATCATAATAATAATTTTAACTACGGCTCATCGTTTTAGTTGTGACCACGGCTTAAGTAATATTATTCTCGTTTTAAACCCGTAAAAGTTTAGCCATGACTAATCTAAAAAGCATCCTCTACATTCTTCACTTTAACAAATACAGTTCTCGTTTTATTTTTATTCAGAGATGTCACAGTATTTCGTAGTCGTGTGAATATTTAAATTGTTTTCGACGCTTGATTGATTCACGAATGAGTAATTATTTTAATAATTATACTCATAGTCTTAAAATTGAAATATGTATTTCATTTTAAGTTTTCTTTTTTAACTAAACTATAGATGCGTTGGTTTTAGCTTCAATTTTAATAGCTTTTCCTCTATGGACTAAATAAGAACCACTAATTTAAACAAATTAGATGAAAAATAATGTTTACATTTACAAGCAAATCATTTATACTTATAATATAGGTAATTATAAATACTCGACTTATTATTAAAAATTTAAGAAATCCGTTATGACGAAGCAAAAGTAAGTATACAGATTATGTGCATCTGTCTCTCCTACAACCAATCACGGACCTGCGTGCGCGCACATCTGCGCGCAGCAATCCCGAGAGTTTTTTGCTGTGTGTAGCGATTGTTGCTGTTTTTTGTCTCTCTCTAAGGAAATGATGCTTCTGTTTCCACTATATTACATGTGAGATAAAATAAAACAAATGACTATTTAAATAATATACTTACGTTCAACTTACAGTTATTTATCTATCTAGTTTATTTAAACGCGCTAATCTCATTACTACTGGTTCGATTTAAAAAAATATTGGTATAAAAATATGCATCTTAGCAACCTAGATAACTTTAACGGAGAACTTCTGCCAAACGAATAAGATTATTTATAACATTTGGAACTTCCCGTGTCATCTTAATAAGTGAAAGAAAACGTTTTCTCATTAGCTGCAATTAGCGCCTTATTCTTTCGGTCGCATTTAGTAGGGCTGTAGGGTACAAAGACGCTTTTATGCGAGACGTCATTATGAACTAGGTCGAGTCCTCATAAGCTGATGAGGGCTGTAATAGTGCCATTGCCGTCTGTCGTATGCATGGACACACACAGTTTTGTTGCTGTCTTTTGTCTGTAAGATGACACATTTCTTAAGTACCTGTGAAGTGTACAGTCGATGACATAAGTTGTTAAGCGGCGAGTTTATTCAAACTATACTAATATTATAAAGTTAAAGAGTTAGTTTGTTTGAACTTTACTCATACACCTTAAAACCGAATAAAAGCCATTATAATAATTGTGGTGTATAAACATAGGTTTGTAACATGTAAATTAAATTTTTTTTTTTTTTTAAATTCTATTACATGTGATTGTTAACACTAACATACCATCGAGTAATTTTCCCGCTAAGATAAAGTCGCGGGCGAAGCATAGTTAACGATATGTAATAACATCTAATCGCACCTTGGTCCTGTAATTGATATTTTCGTTCTGCTCCATAAATTGAATGTTGTTTATAACTTAACAAGTTAATCTAATTGAATTTCAACTACACTATTGACCACCAATACAAAATAACCAATGATTCGACAAGCTTATTTGTGAATTAATGGCCAATGATGGGAACAGTAGACACCAGCTGTGGGTTCAATTCCGGGTCCGACATGTTTTAAAATCCTTTTATTATTAATCACCTTATCTGGAAAATTTGGACATGAAAATACTTCATTGAAATCGGCGGCTTACGAATCAGCGTCCACAGATGTTAAAGCTATAAAGTGTAGAGCTGCGTTTCGATTTTAGTCTGTGGTCTTCCGATATAGACAATATAATACCCCAGTACATCTTAAGTATCTAAATAATAAAAAATCTAATTAATTATAGAGGATTTTTTACCGTGAAAAAAAAGCTCCTGTCACAAAAATACAATCACTGTAATTGCAAGTAATATTCTATATAATAATAACAGAGCTACTAACAAAATAATATTACTATTTTACAAGCAAACCATAGTCTATAGGTTTCTGTATAAGTGAACGCTTTGATACGCTGCCAATTTCCGCGTATTAATTACTTCGTTCATCGAACAAGTTAGATTCATCGTATTCCGTTGCGATTTATTCTTATGGGACAAATAATAAATATCACAAATACAAAACCATATGAGGTTTAATAGAAAAACTTTCAAATATATGTCTGCTTTATACCTACTTTATCAATGACAAACTAGTATACGCCAAAAAGGGGAAATTTAAATAAAACACTTTAACGGTTTAAAAAGCGAAATATATTAGTTAAACTTATTTGAAAAATGATTTTTAACTTCGGCCCGACGTTTCGGATGCTTTGCAGTAGCCGTGGTCACGGGGAGATTAAAGATGGAGGGTGTTTCTAATGTCAAAATAAAAAATCCTACGCTAGCGCCATTTTTTCCGTTGTCGTTGGTATTTGGTGAACCTGACACGGTCTTTGCAGAGTCGTGCCGTAGTTAAAATATATTAGTTAACAATTATTGCGTTTAAACCTTAAAATTTTTATTTAAAGTTTACAACATAAAAAATGTTTTATTCAAAAGTAACTTACAAATTAAGTACTTGAATAACATTTTTTATGTTGATTAAAAAGCATGAAAAGGGTTTAATATGTGTATTTATGGCTATACAACATGACATGTAGATGTATTCGTGAACCTTGGTAACATTCAATTGACCTAAAAACGCTGTCATGTTTAAAACCATTAATTAGTTGCGAGCACGTTATAATAATGAAACTGTCTGTCGTCGAGCACCCGACTTATATTCGTGAGATCAGGACTTCGATCCTCGTTACTTAATATTTTACACCACGTGTTAATCTTTCTACATACTACGTTACGCTTTATAATGTATAGGCGTAACGTAACGCGCGAAGGAATATTGCCGATTTTCTTTCTTTTCGGGATTTTGTTAAGTTATGAAAAGAAATAAAACTTGACGACTGTCTCGTCCTACATCTCTTAAGAGGCCCGATTCCCAACTGAGGAAATATTTAAGTGCTGGTGTCGTTATAATAATACAATGTCTTTAAAATAAAACACTTTAACGGTTTAAAACGCGATATATTAGTTAAACTTATTTGAAAATTATTTTTAACAGCAGCCGTGGCCACGGGGAGGCCCGTTCTCACTTATATATCACATTTTAAACCGTTAAAGTGTTTTATTTAAATGTGTACTACTCGCATAAACTAAATAAAATACACAATGTCTTTTTTAGACATTCAGTTAGTTTGACATTCATACATATACATATATAAAAGTCATGCTTTGTTCATGGGGTTCCTAACAGAATTGATTAAGTAATGAATTTAAATAATTATGAAACTAATATGTTTCACAGGAGCAGTGCGATGCGAGGACGAAACGATTGGACCGATTTTCATGAAGGAACCACCAAACCGAGTAGACTTCAGCAACACGACCGGAGCCGTAGTGGAGTGCGCCGCCCGAGGATCCCCCCCACCCGATGTGATTTGGGTACGAGCTGATGGAACCGCTGTTGGTGACGTCCCTGGATTGCGACAGGTAAGTTCAGGTAGTTCGACCACTAGAAATCAATAGCCCTGACAAAAGAAATAGCTACGTCAGAATAATTTGAAATAACGAAAGTTATTCACGTATCAGAACCTTATATCTAAAGACTACCCCTGTCCCGGCTTGCACGGGTAGACATAAATAAGTACAGATTTAAAAGTATAAGCATGCTAATTAAAACGACCATGAATCACTAAATTAGAAAAAAATGTATTTCGCGTCCTAGCTGTTAACGAACTTTGTCTATCATGCTGTGTCAGGAGCCCTCGAGCGTTACAGTGTTAGAGTCCCGTGCACGTGTTCGCAAATTCGTAGCTCTATTTCCTTCAAGTCGCTGAGACGAACTTGCATTTTGTTCTGCAAAACGAACCTGAACATTCGACGATAGTTCTTGGCTTGCGATTGGGACCCGTACACTAGAATACTTTCCAGATGATCATTTTAGGAAAAGACTCTCCAATACGACAAACTTTGCTAATCTCGCTTAGGGAACTATTCTTATGATAGCTGCTTCTTCTTCTAGGCAGGGAAATTAAGAATAAACTAATAATAATACAAAAGAAAATATTAGAAAAGTTCAAAGACGATAATTCTGAAAAGAACTTTGACAAATATTATGCAAAGTTTAATTCCTAATACTTAAACTAAGTAGCTGTGACAAAGACATTTTAGAGTGAAGCATAAAAATGTTTGCATAAAACTTTTTGAGTTTACCCGTTAATACAAAAATACAGTAATCTTTTACCTCTTTATAATATTAGTACAGAAGAACCTTTATAAGAGAATGAGTTAGTTATAGCCCTGGAAATTTGTAAACAGCAAGGTTTACACGAGTATCTACTTAACATTTAATAACAACACTTTTAACCGTTTAAAACACGAACGTATTAGTTTAATCGATACTCAATTGATACAAGAACTTTTTTTGAGTTCGAGTCCCGCACGATATTTCGACCTGAACGAACTAGGAAATATTTAAATAAACGCTTTTAACGGTTAAACCTCGAAATATATTTTGCTTCAGCAAATACGCAACGTCGGGGCGTAGTTTAAATTAATTGTTTATAAGTTAACTAATATATGTCGAGTTCAAAGTCCTTAAAATTCTGCTAGTTAAATGTGTTCTACTTGCTTAAACTAGGATAGACTCTAAATCTTATTCAAATTATGACTTTGTTCTTTCAGGTGCTGCCGAACGGAAATCTCGTATTCCCTCCATTCCGGGCTGAAGATTATCGACAGGAAGTGCATGCTCAAGTCTATGCTTGTCTAGCGAGGAATCCTGTTGGCACAATCCATTCTAGAGACGTTAACGTTCGCGCTGGTAAGTTCATTAACTCATCATATACCAATTAGTTATGCAATACACGAAGTCTAAGCTAAAGCCATTGTATTAGAATAAATGTGCAAATAAAACGCTTTGAACCACAGATTAAAACTTAATACAGTCTATGGGAGTAGTACACATTTAAACAAAACACTTTAACGGTTTTAAAATGCGAAATATATTTGTTAATCTGAAAATTATGTTAACTACGGTCGCATGGTCAAATACCAACTACGATGGAACAGATGGCGCTAGTGTAGCAGTTTCTACTTTGACATTAGAGACACTTTCCATATTATATAGATCTTCACCACGGCTGCTGCAAAGCATCCGAAACTTCGGGCAGTAGTTTAAATAATTATCAAATTAGTTTAACTAATATATTTCGCTTTTTTAACTATTCAAGTGTAAGTGTATTTAAATAAATTACTGATTTAAGTTTAGTAATGATCTGTGGTTAGTATTTTAATACTATGAAGCGATAAGATATAAAATTTGTTAATGATAATTAAATGCCATTAAAGATGTCTTCGTGATCTGCATACAATTACCTATTTTAAAAAACTAAATGCCTACTTCACTATGAACGTTGCTAAATACGTTTACAGAACGATGATACAATAACAATTGTTTTTTTTTGGAAAGTGGAGCTAAGTAATTAATCAGGTTGACGTTCGTTCATAACTGCTTTAACTATTGTCTAGCTTACACAGCAGTACACCGCGAATAAATCACTTTAAACGATTTAAAACATGTCATTTTCTTCTGTCAGCTTTTCGAATACTTTATGGTTTATAGATTCGCCTAATAAACATATACGGCACAAAATTCCGATTTAAAACGTAACTTTTTGCTTTATAGCGTTGATAGATTTGCGTAATAAATCATCAACGTTGAAAGTGATCGTATTGATTTATAACATTCGATAATTGTAAGTTAATATTTATGCAATTTTAAATGTAAATTCAGGTTATTTTATTTAATAATCTACAATATAAGGATTTAGTTACGGGAATTCTAAAAACACATATTATTTCAGATGAGTAATATATCTATCTTTTATTTAACTTAATTGACAGATAAGGACACTAACTTAAAATTATCTTTAAGTGGAACTAATAAGGTGAACTCGAGTTAACTTTTGAACTATTCATTTAGAACAATAAAATACCTTTATCAGAATAACAGAGTATAATGAAAGTAACACGTACAAGTAAACAGTATGGTGTAACTAGGGTGTAGCAAAAATATGATCAAGTACAAGCAATAGAAAAAAAGGTTTTAATATTTTTTACTTTTAATATTAACACAACAAGTTTTTCCTTTGATTCAATTAAGTGACGTTTAAAAATATAAAAAATTTTTCAGGTCTTTTTGGACATTTTTTCTTTATAAAAATGTTCTTTACGAAGTCTAACCACACTTTCTTAATATAAATAGAATTTTATTTAGTCGAAACACAAGTAATAGTCCAATTACGGTCCAATAACACAAACTTCCGTATTATCACATCTGGTGATATAAGAACCATAAATAATGATAGTGTGACCAATGTACGATGCCCTTATAACTGGGGCTCGGTGAGGTCAATTAAATAATCATTTCTATACCGTTAACATTTGATGTACTCATTCGACCTAACGCTTTGACAATTTCATTAATTAAGGGCGAAACGGGAGGTTAGAAAAACTTTATGATATTTAAAACAATGGTGTTGTATCATCGTTCTGGTTATATAGTAGTTAGTTATATTATGTAATTGCATTAAGGACCTACAGGCCTGGGTTCGAGTCCTGGGCGAAAGTAATTGTTATCAACTACTAACTGTAAATCACTTGATGGAAGCTACAAAGAAACTTTCGCCCTACATTTTAACCAACATAATTTAGTATTGCCAATTCTTCGTCTAGAACATAAAATATTGTATCTTTAATTACCTCATAATAAAGTTCATTATTGCAGTTGTAAATGTTAAAACTACTTTTTAAGCAAGTAGGCTGGCTTTAGAAGAGAACGCACTCAATGTGTGTGTGAATCAATGTGTAGTTACTAATTAGGAAGCATTTAAATTAGATTGTCTTTAATATATGTGTCTATTTATACTAAGATATGATTATATTATCGAAAAATAGTGGTCGCCCAGCATTATGATACTGATGTGAACAAGGAATATGTTATAATGGGGAACAGTATCATACTAAAATGTCAAGTTCCGTCGTTCGTCGCCGATTTTATAGAAGTGCTTTCATGGCACACCGACGAAAAGGAAGACTTTTACCCCGGCGAAAATTATGGTTATTCCTAAATTTAAAATAGCTCGATCCCCAATTCCTTCTCCAATAAATGGAATCTGCCAACAGTTGTCCAGCAGCAATATGAGTCGGAAGTAAATAACGAGTATGTGATTCGTGGAAATTCAGCTATACTTAAATGCTCAATACCTTCCTTTGTGGCCGACTTTGTTAATGTCATTTCTTGGCATGATGAACAAGAAAATGCATACACAATTAATGGGACTAAAGAAGGAGACGGTAAACTAACGATAGAAACCCAACGTCCTCCACAACATCCTCCTGCCAGAAAAATGCGATATCTTCAATGTTTCACTTCTTTCAGTCGTAACTCAATATTTTGAGGCCGAAGTTGTCTCAGAGTATGTTATTCGTGGGAATACAGCGGTTTTAAAATGTAACATCCCTTCATTCGTTGCTGACTTCGTCAAAGTGGAAGCTTGGGTTGATTCCGATAAAAATGAATATATGATAACCGATGACATCGGTATGAAAAAACATTGTGATGTTCATTCCTTCTATCCATCCTCCTGTTCCCGCCCTATTTTATAGTTTCAAGAAGTAACAATAATGCATATTTACAGTCGTAAATCAATTTTATGAGGCGGAAATTCTAACCGAATATGTGATACGTGGAAATGCTGCAGTTTTAAAATGCTCCATTCCATCGTTTGTCGCTGATTTTGTTAAAGTAGAGGCATGGATTGACGAAGAAGGAACAGTGATTAGCTATTCCGAAGACCTCGGTAACAATAGCCACGATAAACAATAAAAGCTACTTCCCTAATAAGCACCTATACCACCTCCTCAATATAACACCTATCCAGCCTAATTCAATATCTAATCAATATTCCATAGTGGTGTCACAGTATTACGTGACTGAAGCCGAAAATGAGTACGTGATTAGAGGGAACGCAGCCATTGTTCACTGCAAGATCCCATCGTTTGTTACCGACTTTGTGCATGTGGAGTCCTGGGTATTAGATGATGGACAAATATTGACGATAAATAATACGAGTTATCAAGAGGGTACTAAACAATTATGAACTTTCGAAAAACCTTTCCCTTTCAACTCCCCGTTATAGTCACAAAATTCCCTGTTTGAATAGTTGTGTCCCAGCCATACGAAGCTGAAGCAGACAATGAATACGTTATCCGTGGCAACGCGGCAATAATGAAATGCGAAGTTCCCAGCTTCGTTTCCGATTTCGTTTTTGTTGAAATGTGGATGGACAGTGAAGGCGGTACTTACTTTCCCGGAAGTAATGAGGGTAATGCGTCGTTTAAAAGCGTCCCAAGTCCTATATTTCCTGAACGATACTTTTTTACTACCTACAGCTGTTTTGCAAGCGTATGAGGCTAGAGTGAATGATGAATTCGTTTTGAGAGGCAACACGGCGATTCTTAAATGCATCGTTCCGTCCTTCGTGGCCGATTTCGTCCATGTCGTATCTTGGATAATGGACAACGACACTGTTACTGCTGATGAAAATCTTGATAACATTTCTGGTACTTCACAAATTCACTTCTAACATTGAATTTAGCCTCCATATTCCTGTTTCCCCTCATTGATCTTTGATACGCCCTTTTTAACTATTGCATTTACAGTTGTTCATCAGAATTATGAACCTCGAGTTACTGATGAAGACGTTTTAAGAGGAAATTCAGCTATCGTTAAATGTACAATACCTTCATTTGTGTCGGACTACGTTCAGGTTGTAGAATGGGTGACTGAAGAGGAGTCACTCTCTGTATTTTCGCTAAATGACTCTGCCGCCAATTACGGTAATCAAGATCGGCCGTGCGTTCCCAATTGTCCCTATCCGCTCTGTAGTAAATCCCGTCTAATGTACACCCATGCATATCTATGAATTGAACTTACATTTTATTTTGTTAACATTTTCAGCTGTCAATCAGTTCTACGAATCGCAGGTTTACGATATATATGTTATTCGCGGTAACGCTGCCGTATTCAAATGCCACATCCCATCATTTGTTTCGGATCATGTTCACGTAGTTTCTTGGCACGATTCCGAAGGTGGAGAGTTTATAAAGAATGAAAACTACGGTATATTGATAGCAATGTTTATTCAACGTCCTTGGAATCCTGTCCTACATCTTAATAGCATCTATAGACAATTTTAACTCTATTCGATATCTTGCAGTCGTATCACAAGCCTACACTGTCAATCTTGTCGAAGAAAACGTTTTACGGGGAAATGCGGCTATATTGAAATGCCTTATCCCGAGCTTTGTCACTGAATATGTACAAGTTTCTTCCTGGATCATATCAGAGGGCGATGATGAAACTGAAATAAAAGTAAACGATACTACCAACCGAGATGGTATACATTTTAGGCTTTACCGTGTTAGACATACCCCGTCCTTGTCCTTTTGTGTAGATAGGTCCTTCTATCATGGTTGTGTAAATTTAAAAAATAATAGGCGTAAAATTATATTTTCAGTTGTTTCTCAAGCTTACACTGTCAATTTAATGGAAGAGAGTGTATTGCGTGGTAATGCAGCTATCCTGAAATGTCATATTTCAACATTTGTTACCGAGTACGTTAGTGTTTCTTCTTGGATTATTTCTGAAGGCGACAAGGAAGAGTTAGAAATACAGCAAACCGATTCTAATGATTTGGGTATTTGCACTTAGGATGTCTATTTCTCCACTTTTCCATACCTTATCCTTGGCTTCTTTTGTTTTACAGTCGTGTCACAAGCCTATACAGTCAACCTAATGGAAGAGAACGTCTTACGGGGAAATTCAGCATTTGTTAAATGTCATATACCTAGTTTTGTATCAGAGTATGTAACAGTTTCCTCTTGGTTAATTTTCGAAGGAGACATAGAGGAAAAAGAAATTAACGGCACGGGATACAATAATTTGGGTGTAATATCTTTTATGACATTTTGTATCCCTCCTCATCCAAGCCAAAAATCCTATTACATACTTATCACTAGTTACGCTTTACAGTCGTCTCTCAGTCCTACACCGTTAACCTTTGGGAGGAGAACGTTTTGAGAGGGAATTCTGCTATACTAAAGTGCCACATTCCTAGTTTTGTTACTGAATACGTCACTGTTACGTCTTGGATCATTTCTGAGGGAGATAACGAAGAGTTGGATATTAATTTAGATTCCGATTCCAACTTAGGTAACAGTAATATAGAGCCATCAAAGATTGCCTTATCCCAATAACTACCAAGCCCCTTTCCTCAAATTCCAAAATGTCAGATAAATGTCGTAATTTATATTTCCAGTCGTGTCTCAGGCTTACGATGTTAAGTTCTGGGAAGAATATGTGTTGCGTGGAAACGCTGCTGTTCTCAAATGCCAAATTCCTAGTTACGTATCTGAATACGTTTCTGTCGTATCTTGGATTATATCGGAAGACGACAACGAACAAGAAGTAAAAATAGACGAGTTGTCCGATTTAGGTATTCTTTCTAGTCTGAATAGTACGACGAATCCCCTCCTAATTTCACGTCCGTTTCCCGTCCACATCCTTTATAATCTTCGACATTTCATGTCTCACTAACAGGTAATGTTTTTGATTTCAGTTGTTTCCCAGGCGTATGCCGTCAATTTAATGGAAGAGTATGTCTTGCGGGGAAACTCAGCTATTTTAAAATGCCACATCCCTAGTTTTGTGTCGGAATATGTGACAGTAGTCTCTTGGATTATTAGTGAAGGGGAGGAAACTGATGAAATCAACCTCGATAGTGATCAGAATTCATATGGTACATGTCTAGTTATAACGGTTTAGATTTGCGGTCTTTTCCTTATGGATGTTGTTTAAGTAGGTTATTGTTCCTAAATCGGGTTCCTATCTCTCCACAGGCCTCACGGCCTACCTATCCTGTAATCCTCCTTCCTGCATGACTTGAAATTTTTAAGTAAATCACAACCTTATGTTGTGTTGCGAAATGAAATGAATTCAATATGAACGCTTGTAACATGAAACACATTTTTATAAAACGACTTTTTCAGAGGGCAAATACTTGGTTTTACCATCTGGAGAATTGCATATTCGTGATGTTGGACCTGAAGACGGTTACAAATCTTACCAATGTAGAACAAAGCATAGACTAACTGGTGAAACCCGTTTATCAGCTACAAAGGGAAGATTAGTTATCACAGGTAAGTTATTTACTATTAAATATTGACGTTATTCATTCCGTCTCATTTCATTAAATTGAACGAATGAACGACGTTTTTATCCTTAAGTGATATTTTAAGATTAGTGACAAAATTCAGAAGATATAAAAAATATATTTCTAGATATCTTAAAATATCATTTTCTTATATTTATTTTACGAATTCAAATTCTAATAAATGCTAACAGTATACTTTGAACTGTAAATATAATCAACCATTTATATGCATAGCTCCTAAATACATTTTCGATTATCAATGAGACTTCCTCAAGTTCCAAGTATGCTGTGCTACCTTAATGAAATGTTTATAATCTTATTTTTAATTCATTAGAAGCTGTAAATTAAGTAGCATCCAAAAACATTCCATTAAATAGATTTTATTTACTTTAAATAGCAATGATTAAAAACATTTCATCTTACATGCGCTATAATGTTATTTAAATCTTTTAATTACACAATAAAAAGCCATGTCTTGCCTGAATGTTGGGATAGGGTACCCTGCTGAGCCTTCATTAATGTTATTATGACTTATTCGTCGATTTAGAGAGTGTAGGGGATGTTAATGCTATGTAACTTAATGTCTATCCATCGGGGTGTAGTCCTGGTAAAAACGCCTTCTCCCAACATACACAGAACCGATGGGACGTGTACCCCCCAAGTTTCCTAGCGCGCAGACGACCAGTGGATTCCAGTTCCACGAATTCTCCGATCTCGCTGTTCTCTGCCCTGCACAGGCATTTCCAGCACCTATGTATCGGTAAGGTCCATTCAAATTGCCTTTACGTTTGCGTTCTTCAGAGCCGATAGGGCGAGTGCAACCAAAGTTCTCCTCCAGTCAAGTTGGTGCAATGTTTGTAGCCACCGAGGACACGCCATTCTCATTGCAGTGTCCAGCTCAGGCGTTCCCTGTCCCCGTATTCAGGTAATAGCAGAACCAGTTTATCTAAGGCGAAACATTATGTTTTGTTAATTTTAGAACCCGTGGGTCGCGTCCCTCCTAAGTTTGCGACTGTCTTAACGGGAACAATGTTTGAAGTTAAGAAAAATGAGTCCTACGCTTTACAATGTCCCGCTCAAGCGTTCCCAACCCCATTATTCAGGTAAATATCATCTCTTTGTCCTTGTTCCTGTAGAGCCCGTCGGACGAGTTTCGCCAAAATTCGCTTCCGTAGTCATGGGAACAATGATCGGTGTGAAGAAAACAGAGTCATTTGTATTGCAATGCCCAGCTCAAGCATTTCCTGTACCAGTATTCAGGTAGTTAGTGTTTTTTGTTTAGAATATCTATATAAAAATTATAAGCAGCTCAGCTCATTTTTATACGTCTTGTGACCTTTTCGTTCGTGTCTTGCTTCAGAGCCAATGGGAAAGGTATCCCCTAAATTTCCAAGTTTAGAGAAAAGCCGTCTATTCAATTACGATAGTTATCAAAGCATGTCACTTTTGTGTCCCGCACAAGCGTATCCTGCCCCAATGTTTAGGTAAGATATAAGTTATTTATTTTAAACGGATTTAAAACTCTACGTTCGACATATTCCCTTATGAACAGAGCCCATGGGAAAAGTGTCACCCAAATTCCCATCGATGGAAACCGGCCGCAGTTTTACATTTGCCTCAAATAAGTGCGTGACTTTGCTTTGTCCGGCCCAAGCGTTTCCTACTCCACTTTTCAGGTACATATGCAATATACTATTAATATTATGTCTATAGAGCCAGTGGGACGAGTCTCACCAAAATTTCCTTCGATGGATAGCTCGCGAAGCTTTAGCGCTACACTCAATGCAAGTTTAACTATGTTATGCCCTGCACAGGCGTTTCCAGTCCCATTATTCAGGTAAAACAAGAAAAATGCTTACCATATAAAAATAACATATCGTTATTCATAGAACCCGTCGGTCGTGTTTCACCTAAATTTACAACTACTGACAAAAGTCGTGCCTTCGATGCTAAAGAAAGCGATAACATCACGATTTTGTGTCCCGCGCAAGCGTTCCCTGCACCGGCGTTCAGGTATAATATTGACTATCATATTACATTTTCTTTCGTAGAACCCATGGGCAGTGCAGCTCCAAAAGTAGCAAGTAAAATGATTGATATTACGGAAACGTCAACTGATCATACTAGCACTTTATTGTGCATGGCGCAAGCCTTTCCTGTCCCAATATTCAGGTAAAAACATATAGACATATCACGGGCAAAACTACGGCCTTTAGCTTGTATGTTCTTGTTTAGAACCGGTAGGAAGAGTTCCTCCCAAGTTTCCTACAATGGATAACGTCAGAGGTTTCGCTGCAATCATTAACGCTAGTGTGACATTGCTATGTCCCGCACAGGCATTCCCAGTTCCCTTAGCCAGGTAACATAATTACTGAGTAAAATATTTTTTTTAGAACCTATTAATACCGCGCCGCCGAAAGTTCCGATAAAAACAATAGAATTTTTGGATTTTGCAATGGGCTCCAGTATCACTCTATTTTGCCTGGCGCAAGCTTATCCCGTTCCAGTATTTAGGTAAGTCGGGCTCTCTGCATTTAGTACCAGTCCTCCACATTCTCTAAATTAGATTGGCATTACAAGTATATAAATAGTACATAGGGCTATTACCGTAGTGACATTATATCTTCTAGAACCAATCGGCTCCAAGAGCCCGTCGTTTTCGAGCGGTTCGAAACTAGCGTCCTTTGATTTGAATAAGGATCAAGACTTCGCTCTATTATGTCCCGCGCAAGGGTTCCCGGTCCCACTCTTTAGGTAAGGACTTTTACTGGTGAATGCTATTTCAGAACCTATAACCACAAAGCCGCCGGTGTTCTCGAGCGATGATAAATTCGCGTGGTTTCTTAACAGAGCCATTGGTCAGACGTTTGCTTTATTATGCCGGGCTCAGGGATATCCCATTCCTGTATTCAGGTACATATTTTCTATGAATCTCAGTATATATCCTTGATATTAAATTCTAGAACCCATCGGATCGAAATCACCGTCATTTTCAACTGATAATAAATTTTCCTGGTATGTAAGAACAGTTGGTCAAAGTCTAAACATACTATGCCCAGCGCAAGGCTTTCCAGTGCCAGTTTTCAGGTGAATAAAGTGCTAATTTTATTTATAGAACCTATTGGATTTAAGTCACCTACATTCTCTAACGATGTACAGTTCTCTGGAATAACACGTAAAACGAATCAAGACTTTGCCATGTTATGTCAAGCTCAAGCATTTCCGGTTCCATTATTCAGGTGAGATATATAGCTCTCGTTTTATCACTCGCAGAACCCATCGGATCGAAAGCGCCAACGTTTTCAATGGAATTTAAGAGCACTACACTCACAAAAATAGTTGAGCAAGCCATCGTTCTATTATGCCAGGCTCAAGCGCACCCTGCTCCTATTTTCAAGTGAGTTCCCAATATGTCACTACGATATTTGTTTTATTCAGAACCCGTATCAGCCAGAGCCCCGACATTCCCCACTTCTGCGTCATCTTATAATTATGATATTGAGGCTACTTCTGGAGGTTCGATGCTTTGCCAAGCACAGGGGTACCCCCAACCAATGTTCAGGTAGGCTTTATTACATTGAATTGTATATTAATATTCTTATAGAGCCCGTGGGCGCTAAAGCTCCATCTTTTTCCACCGACTCGAAGGGCAGTATATTCATAAAAGAACTGGGACAAAGCTTTGCTTTACTTTGCCAAGCCCAAGCGTCACCCACTCCAATTTTTAGGTAAGTTAACAAAATATTTCTCTCTTGCTTGTACAGAACCAGTGGGTTCCAAGCCACCGACCTTCTCGAACGATTTAACTTCTTCAGCAGTAACAAGACATAAGGACCAAAACTTTGCTTTAACCTGTCAAGCTCAGGCGTTTCCTATACCAATTTTCAGGCAAGTCAATCAAAACCGTTATTACCGTATTAAGCGTTCTTTATTCATACGAATTTAATGTAATATTTTGTAGAATTACATATGCGAATGACTTTTGAAAGCAAATAATAGTAACATGTCTCTGGCGTAGTACGTAGTTATCTATTTTCATCGCATAAAAAATTAAGAGTTTAAAGAGAGGGAATTGATTAAGAGAATAAATCACAAATAAAAAGTAATTTTACATACACAGAACCCGTCGGTTCAAAAGCTCCATCGTTTTCAACCGAGTCAGCACTTTCATCATTGAAAAGACATGAAAGTCAAAGCTTTGCACTTCTGTGTCAAGCGCAAGCCTTTCCCGTCCCAATATTCAGGCAAGTTTGTCTCCGTATTCATTGTAACTTATATGTATATAATCAATTTTGTAGAGCCGGTCGGAGCTAAGTCCCCTACTTTTTCGTCTGAATCAATGGGAAGTATATTTAGAAAGCGTGTCGGTCAAAGCTTCGGTCTTCTATGTCAGGCTCAGAGTTACCCTGCCCCAGTCTTCAGGCAAGTTAAATTTTATAGAATTGGGTAAATATAATATTCTTTTAACACAGAACCAGTTGGCTCGAAAGCCCCAACTTTTTCGACGGACGCACGTAGTAGTACCTTTATAAGAGTCATCGGGCAAAGTTTTGCATTACTGTGTCAATCCCAAGGTTATCCTGTACCAATATTCAGGCAAGTCTCCAAGTTATAAACTTATAGCTATACTTATTTATTTCCTTACCCGACATAATTTCTTCAGAGCCAATAGCAAGCGCTATACCCAGTATAACTTCCACACCAAAGGCAGCTGTGCATTATTCTCAAAGTACAGCAATAGCGCTTTTGTGTCCAGCACAAGGATATCCTGTACCAATTTCAAGGTGCGTTCGTAAAGTTACTCTCTTATAAAAATTAAACATTCCAGAGCCCACAAATAAAATTGCTCCGCGAAGTGATAAAAGCCGAAAGTTCGAAGGCGGTGAAATTTTCGTTGCTTCGTTAACGAGCTCTGTGTATCTAACATGCGAAGTAGCAGGGTACCCTCCTCCAGTTTTTCGGTAAGTGAGTCTTCACTTACCGGGCTTTTTGTATTCGTTCTCGTCTTAAACAATACCTACCGACATAGTCCACATTCTAAAATTCACAAACTATTACAGAACCGACTAATAAAATAGCACCTAGAAAAGATTCGGCTCTCAACTTCGAGGGTTGGGAAGTATTTCTCGTACATCAGAATGATGTAGCCTATTTAAAATGCCAAGTTGCCGCGTATCCCGCCCCAGTGTTTAGGTGAGTTTCGGCTAGATAGGTGACAGTAGGTTTACATTCCAGAACCGACGGGTAGGACGAGACCGAAAGTGACAGGAGACGGGCTTAACCGTCAAGTGGGGCGGGGTACCGAGAATCTCGCTCTACTTTGCGAGGTTCAAGCATACCCGGCGCCATTGACGAGGTACGATAAACGGACGGCCGTCGGCACCTCACGCATTCATCTATCATGTAGATACACTTTCAGTAATATTGATGTCAGTTGTTATTGCAGTCTGTGGCGGCGGGCGCGTCGCCCACGCGAAAAGTGAAGGCGTGACGAACCGCGGCCGGCCGCGCACCTTTATACCCTCAGCCAAAGTAATGATTGAGCAGCGTAGACACCTGGTAAGTCACAGGGTGTTCTTGCTTACATTCGACGCTTTAATCTTTACTTTGTGCTTTCCGTAACACATGGCTAGATTATTTTACCCGGTTACAAAAACTCACGACTGCTTTTCGTATCTGTTCTGTTGTTCCGGATAACATTGTTCATCCCGTATCTTCCATTCGAGTGTACGTTCTTTAGTTATTAAAATTTTTGTACCATAAACGGTACAGCTTCAATTCTGATGTTTTTAAATTATTCTTGACGTTACTTTGTTAGGTCTAAATAATACATAGTCTGAAAGACTTCTCTATTGTTTCAGGTGGTATAAATTCATCGACGGATCGGCAAGAAAGCAACCAGTAGTATTGAATGACAGAGTGAAACAAGTGTCTGGTACTCTTATTATCAAAGAAGCAAAAGTTGAGGACTCGGGAAAATATCTGTGCGTCGTTAATAATTCTGTTGGAGGTATAATATTTTCTCAGTGCATATATATATTTTTTGAGTTAAATATCTTCATATAATCTAAAATATTTTAGAACTCGTACTAGTAATATCCTCACATAAAAAAGTGTAACAATTATGAATTCTTTTCATGAAGTGTACACTACTATACAATTACGATAGTACAGATATAAATATTAATTATAACATTTTTCAGTTGATATTTATTATTCTGACCTCAAGCATCATTATTTAAAACATATAATATAATAGATCTAATATGTTTTTTTTGCTATTTAACATTATTGTTTTTTAATTAATGTAACATCCGACGAGTAGCCGTAGAAATGTTTTGAAACTCGTACACTGTTTTTAATGATAGAAGAGAACAGACAAGCATATAACATCTACACAAGGTGCGCTGTCTACCTAATCTCGCTTTGGATATTCGGAATTCCAAAGATTGAAACCAACACGCGATTAAACTTGACGGTCTTTTCATCTGTGGACGGTAGTCGTGACTGGGATGGAATTCCAACCCACCATTAAATATCGAGACATTAAATTTCCAGACGAAGTCCAACATGTTTCAGAAATATTATAAATTGATAAATTAGAAACACGTTGGACCCGATGGGCGATCAAACCCACGACCCGTTGATAATTAGTCATACATTGCTACCATTAAACCCACGAGCCAGTGGAAAACTGAAAGTTGTTGCAGTATATTGTAATGGATGAAAGTCTTGAATTATAAAGTATCATCTAATTTATAAAATTCTCTTGTCACAGTTTTCGTTGCCATACTCCTCCGCTTGACCGATTTTGATGAAATTTTTTGTGCTTATCCGGTATCTATGAGAATCGGCCAACATCTATTTTTCATCCCCCTAAATGTTAGGGGTAGACCAGCCCTAAATTTATTTTGTTTATTTTTTAGAAAAAAAAAATATGTTTTTATGATACAACATACAAAAATACATACAATTCCAACTTTCACCCTTCTACGATCAACCCATATTTTTTAATAGCCATTTTAGTAATTTAATCGTTTTTCGAAATTATTTATATGGCAAAACAACTTTTACCGGGTCAGCGCTAGTATTAAATAATAAATGCTATAGCAGTCCAATGAACCTTCTACTTTCAGGCGAATCTGTGGAAACTGTATTAACAGTGACAGCCCCCCTTAAGGCCGCAGTTGAGCCAGCGACACAAACCGTTGATTTCGGACGTCCCGCCGTGTTTACCTGCAGATTTGAAGGAAACCCCATCAAGACTACTACCTGGTTAAAAGATGGCAAGGATATGAATCACCATGACCACGTATTGAGGTAAAATAAAGTTTGTAACCAAATATGGTTTATAAGCGATATATATAGTTTTGAGTAAACAGGGGAAAAAAATTGATATATATATATCCAATTGTTGGAAAGATTTTACAGCTGGTGTATTATGCAGTATTAAAGTTAAATACCCCATGAGTTTCACCGTGACTACGGCTGCTGCAAAGCATCCGAAACGCGACGTTTCGGATGCTTTGCATTAGCCGTAGTTAAAAATAGTTTTCAAGCAAGTTTAACTAAAATTTTAAACGCGAGGTTTTATTTAAATGTGTACTACTCGCGTAAACTACAGACAGTATGTATAAAGAATTATAGTATTATATGACAGTTATGTATTCTAACACAACTTTAGTATCAATTCTATACTATGATGTATTATAGAATAAAATTTAAGCAAAGATAACAGTCTAGTTAGTTATATTCACAGTTCAAAAGTATTTCCTTTTGGGTCCTCATAAACATTGTTATGATTTCAGGATCGAATCTGTCAAGAAAGAAGACAAGGGAATGTACCAATGTTTCATTCGGAACGATCAAGAAAGTGCCGGCGCCAGCGCAGAACTTAAGTTAGGAGGACGTTGTAAGTATTTATTAATAATGCTAAAAATATTAGGAATCCCAAATTTAGTACTCTTGACAGATTTGTCGGTCCATAGGTCGGTTAGAAACGAATTTTAATCCCGACAATCCTGTCTGTAAATTTTTCTAAACATTTTGACGCGATTATGCAGAAATATGCATATTAAACACTCAAATCAAATTAAGTAATTTTTAATGATAAAGGAGACAGACAAGCACGGGGTTCATTTGATGGTAGCCCCGCCTATAGCATCCAAACAAGATGCGATGTCGACTTATTTTGAAAACCGAAACGCGAATAGGCTTCAAGCCTTTTTCATGTATAGACGGTGGTTCGTGACGCGGAAGGAATTTCTTTATCTAGATTTTCAACATAGACCATAGAATGTTTTAGAAAAATTATAAATCGAAAATTAAGAAACATGTTGGACCCGGTGGGGTTCGAACCCACGACCCGTTGATTATTAGTCATACATTGCTATAATTAGACCAACGAGTCCGTCAAAAAATATACCCTCTATTTTAATTTCAGTTGAACCACCACAAATTAGACACAGCTTTTCCGAACAGACCCTCCGCTCTGGTCCCTCTCTAAGACTGAAGTGTGTCGCATCTGGTAACCCAACACCCGATATCGCATGGCAACTCGACGGAGACAAGCTGAACAGTGGTGAGAGGCTGCAAATTGGACAATTCGTCACTGCCGATGGAAACGTGGAATCACATCTTAACATCTCCTCTGTACACACAAACGATGGAGGCTTGTACTCTTGTATCGCTTCGAGCAAGGTAATTGAACATTACATATTTACACACAAGGGCAGGTCTAGCTTTGACGCTAGGAGGAGGTCGTATAGTCGTTGTCAAGTCCAGAACTTTTAATTTTGATAACAATAGATAGCCTATAGAGCTATGAGCAGGATCCAGCTCTGCTCATAGCTCCAAGAATCCCCCTCTGGGTCCGCCGTTGGTCGCCTAATAGAATATGAGACCGTCTTCTATGTCCAATAGCTATTAATAATTGCATTAAATGTGCCACTAGTATGATTAACTACGTAGCATTAAATCATTGTAACGTAAATAGGAATGTACCTACCCCATGCATTTTTAAATGTTAACTAAAACATTTTAAACAGTTAAAAACGTAAAATACTGAAAAGTTCTGAAACGTCGAGCGATAGTTTAAATAATTCGAAAATAAGTCTTATACCTTTTAATATAATTTCGCGTTATAAACCGTTAAACTGTTTAATTTAAATGTGTCCTACTCACGTATAATACATACAGTAGTTATAAATTAATAGAAATAAGTAATAGGTATTTGAAACCCGTGACGAAAAATTTAGGAGATTTAAAATATATCGTAAATTAATTGTTACAGGTTGGCAGTGCATCGCATTCAGCACGTGTTAACGTATACGGTCTGCCATACGTCCGGCCTATGAAGAAACGCCCCGTCGTCGCTGGAGACACTCTTATCGCCCACTGCCCCGTAGCTGGATACCCCATTGATTCTATTGTTTGGGAGCGAGATGGACGGTAATGCTAATTTTCTAGTTATCATTATATTTGGTGAACGACATTTCTAATAATCAACTGGTCGTGGTACGATCCCCACGGGGTCCAACATATTTCTAATCAATTTATAATTTTCTGATCGGACTTCATCTGGAAATCTGGATACTAAATCGGTGGTATGAAGATCGAAATTCCGCGGGGTCACGTACCACCGTCTACAGATAAAAAATGCCGTGTAGTTTAATCACGTTTTGGTTTGAGTCTGGATTTCTGAATCTCCACGGTAGCTAATGAGCTATCCACAGCGGTCCGTGCTGTTGCTCTAACTAAATGTAATTAGAGCAACAGCACGGACCGCTATGGATGCCGGTTCCTGCCCGTGTCGTTAAAATATTTTTTTAATTCTATAAAGCCATATTTACAATAATGTCCAAAATATTACAGTTCTCAAATGGTGCTTATGATAGATTAAATAGAATATATTAAAATTTATCCTACAGTGACGCTTATGTATTTCAGAGTATTGCCAATCAACCGTAAACAGAAGGTCTTCCCCAACGGTACCCTGGTCATCGAAAATGTTGAACGTATGAGCGACCAAGCAACATACACCTGCGTCGCTAAGAATTCGCAAGGTTACAGCGCGCGCGGACAACTCGAACTGCAAGTTATGGGTATGTTTATTCACTTAAATTTACATTTATTTGTATGTAAAGCGCTAAACGTAACTATAAGAAATATGTTTGAAAATTGAATTTGGAATTATAAAAATAAATGACACTTGTTTATGTTTGGCGCTTTTTCGTGCAATTCACACGAGAAGTTTCGATTCAATAACCCCTTTAACTCGTGTAGTGTAGTGATGGAAATAATCCTGTGTTTGGGAAAAGTAAAAACTCGATTTAAATAAAACACTTTAACGGTTTAAAACGCAATATATTAGTTAAACTTATTTGAAAATGATTTTTAACTTCGTTTAGGATGCTTTGCAGCAGACGTGACAGTCTGCTGCAAAGCATGAACTCGGGCCGAAGCTAAAAAGCACATTTTAATAAACGTTTAACCGTTAAAGTGTTCTATTTAAATGCCGTTTGACATTCAAAATATAGCCACAATATTTTTAATCTTTTACAGTAAATTGAAACTTCTCGTGTAGGTGACTTGAAATTGCACTTGGCAAAAACAAAAATGTACTTGTAATGTAAATTAATACATTGAAAATAAGAAAAATAAAAGTATTTCTATCTCAGAAATAGAATATGTATAATATTTCTCTCTAGGTTCGAATCCTAGCTACATGTATTAGATTTTATGTACTAGAAGTTACAAATTTCATAATAATATCGTGGCCAATATAGGCGGAAGGTGCCGCCATGAAGATTGAAAAATACACATGAAACAATAACAGAACCTTAAACTGAGTTATAGGCTTTTCAGTTAGTTATAAGAATTAATCAAGTTCCCTTTCAGATAAGATGGAAGATTACTTGCGTTATGGTGTGCGATTAAATATTAGGATGACTTGAATTTATACCCGCCAAAGCTACATCACAATGTGCTAACATATTCTCTTAACATGTTATCTTTAGTTCCCCCACAAATACTGCCATTTGAATTTGGCGATGAACCAGCAAACGCTGGGGACATGGCATCAATTTCCTGCGCCGTTAGTAAGGGTGACCAACCTCTGAACATCTCCTGGATTTTCAATGGACAACTCATATATAGACATAACGACTTGGGGATAGTTCTGACCAACATAAACAAAAAAACATCGATACTCAACATCGATTCCGTCAATGGCAGCCACAGAGGCACCTTCTCTTGTGTGGCTTCTAACTCTGCCGGTTTCGTAAACCATAGCGCTGTACTCGAAGTTAATGGTACAAGGTCACATTAGTTATTGACTTTGTTTTCACTCCCGTACTCCAAAAATCCTTAGCTTGTTATTTACTTTCAAATTATTTAACTCAGTTCCACCACAAATTACCCCTTTCGAATTCGGCGAGGAAATACTCAACGAGGGTGAAACGGCTTCCGTATCATGCGTGATGAGCAAGGGAGACCTGCCCGTTACTTTCAAATGGCGTTTCAACGGAGAAGTAATAATTCCACGCAATAACCTCGGCATAGTCCTAACCACGATCAGCAAGAAAACATCTATCTTAAACATCGAAGCTGTCAATGCAGTTCACCGCGGGTCGTATACTTGTGAAATCCGAAACGAAGCGGGCCACACTAATCATACCACTCTCCTTAGTGTTAACGGTTCGCTCTTATCATTTACTTACTATTTTATTTAACGTATTGCTTTCTCTCAGTACCTCCTCAAATCTTGCCTTTTGAATTCGGCGATGAGCCTGCAAACGCCGGGGACCCTGCCTCCGTCCAATGCGTCATGAATAAGGGCGATCTGCCTGCGAATTTTTCGTGGAGTTTGAATGGAAAGCTAATATCCCGCGCGAATAGTCTCGGTGTCGCGATAGGAAGCATGAGTCGAAAGATGTCCATCCTCAACATTGACTCCGTAAATGGAACGCACCGGGGAGTTTACGCTTGCCACGTACAGAACCTAGCCGGAAACGCAAATCATAGCGCAACGCTAGAAGTCAACGGTCTCTATACTTGATCTTTTAGCTTTACCTTGGTAGTAATGTAGTTTCCTTTGACAGTATTACCTCAAATCCATCCCTTCACGTTCGGTGACGAGCCCGCCAATGCGGGTGATACAGTCGGGCTGCAGTGTATGGTGACGAAAGGAGATAAACCCATTAACATCACTTGGTACTTGAATGGCAAATCGGTGTTAAACGTACCCGGAGTGACAGTAACTAAAATTGGTCACAAATCGAGCAGTCTGTCCATAGACGCCGTGTCCTTCATACATACAGGAGTTTACACCTGTTTCGCCTCCAATCAAGCGGGTCACGCTAATCAATCCACAGATTTAGTAGTTAACGGTAACTCGAGTATTTTGTTAATGTTCGCTTGCTGTCCTCGCAAATATTTTTACATTTATTTCCTGCCCTTCACCCCGAAAACACGATAGTCTAATGTCCTAGTTTGTTATATCAGTTTTAATGACAATCGCCTCTATCACAGTTGTACCGCAGGTCACACCTTTCGATTTTGGTGAGGAAATTCTAAATGCCGGGGATACAGTATCTCTCACTTGCACGGTAGGGAAGGGTGATTTACCACTAAAAATTCACTGGCAGCTCAACAACGAGGATCTTAATTCGGGCAATAGTGTATTCATCAATAGAAATGGAAAGAGAATATCAATTCTCAGTATAGAGAACGTTCAACACGAACACGTTGGAAACTATACTTGTATCGCCGAAAACGAAGCAGGCCAAAGTAGCCACAGTGCTATCCTCAAAGTTAATGGTACAGGAAACGAGAATTCTTTTTTAAACGGTCGCTTTTGTATATATTTTGTACTTTAATTTTTTGATCTATTTATCATCCCTAATACTTTTTTCAATCCCATCATAACAATACATTTATCTCTGTAAAACTGCTTTTTAAATGTAATTATTGTTGTGTGAACAGTCGTGCCCCAAGTAATGCCCTTCGACTTTGGATCTGATCCTGTCAATGATCAAGAAATGGTAGTCGCTATGTGTACTGTCAGCAAAGGTGACCTTCCGCTCACCATTCAGTGGTTTTTCAACGGGAGCCCTTTGAAATCGGAAACAAACGGTGTACTCCTCACAAATTCCAAACGTACTAGCCAACTCACCATAGAGTCTGTGACTCACCATAACCAAGGAAATTACACGTGCTTTGTCAAAAACCAAGCTGGAAGTGTTAACCATACAGCAGTATTATATGTCAACGGTAGTTATCGGTCCTTAATTTTTGTATGAGCTTAGTAACTTTTATTTTATTTCCTGCAACAGTCCCGCCTCAAATAATCCCCTTCGAATTCGGCGAAGAAACTGTTAACGCCTTGGAAATGGTGTTAGTAACTTGCACGGTCAGCAAAGGCGATTTACCGCTTTTAATAGAATGGTACTTTAATGGAAATAAAGTGAAATCAGGCGATATTGGAATATCTTTAATGAACACGAAACGAACCAGTCAGCTGAGTATTGAGTCGGTAACCCATCAAAATCAAGGCAACTACTCCTGCGTAGTCAAAAATCAAGCGGGCGTTATGAATCACACTTCACAACTTTTCGTCAACGGTATAAATCTCTGTAAAGTTAGTTTAGCTCTTAATCGTAGTTAAGATCCTTTGTCCCACCCTTCCTCAGTAACTTTGGCGGGCTATAAACAGAATTTAGGAGGTGAACAATAATCTCTATCGTTTATTTCAGTGGCGCCTATTATAACGCCTTTTGAATTCGATGAGTCGGTATTTTTCGGTGAAGGAGTTCAAGTGACTTGTCACGTACCAAAAGGAGATACACCATTAAATTTCAAGTGGAGTTTTAGTGAAGGAGATGTGAGTTCTCTGTCAGGGGTAAACATCATTAACGCTGGGGACAGGGGCTCGGTTCTCATTGTAGGTGCCGTTACAGCTAAACATTCTGGCAAATACACTTGCACAGCCTCTAATACAGTCGCCAAGGCAAGCCATCACGCAACGCTCAATGTCAAGGGTATACGTTCATTGTAAACAATGTCCGCTTTTCATATTTTGTTATTCCCCTCTGACCTGAAATTGGTGTTCGTAGTATACTCCACTAGTGTATATTTTATTTCATTTTACAGTGGCACCGATCATATCTCCTTTCGAATTTGATGAAGCAGTATTTTACGGGGAAAGTATACAAGTGATGTGTCGCACTCCTAAAGGCGACACTCCTATAGATTTCACTTGGTCTTTCCGAGGGCGACCCTTGCAAAAAATCGATGCAGTCACGATCACTAAATTAGGAGAAAGGAGTTCTATTCTAGTTATTCCGTCCGTAACAGAGAAACATAGCGGCAATTACTCTTGCACCGCTTCAAATGTTGTTGCAAACACACATCACACAGCTGCACTACACGTTCAGGGTACACACATATATTTACAATTAAGTACTTGTCCGTTTTATTTGTCTTTTTTATTTTATTTGCCAGTTCCTCCACACATCGTTCCATTTGAGGCTGAGGAGCCAGTTTTCGCTGGAGAGTCTGTACAATTAAATTGCCACGTTTCTAAAGGCGATGCACCCCTTACTATTACTTGGAGCTTTCACGGAAAAGAACTGTCCTCCCACGAAGGAATTATCACTACGAAGATCGGGCAACGAACATCGTTACTTACGATATCGAACGCCATGGCTGGCCACAGTGGCGAATATTCGTGTCACGCGGCCAATCACGCCGGCCTTGCTCTTCATTCAACTACAGTCAATGTTCATGGTATACCCGTACCCCCTCACAAATGTACCCGCGCACGCTGCACGCTTGCAAATATATTAATTTCGGCTTTCTAAATTAACAGTATTACCATACATCGTGCCCTTTGAAGCTGACGAGTCAGTGTTCGCTGGTGAATCGGTCCAGCTCAACTGTCACGTTTCAAAGGGCGACTTACCCCTTGACATCAAATGGCATTTTCATGGGTACGAAAATTCATCCTCGCATCTCGGGATTATGACGACAAAAATGACTTCGCGTACTTCTTTCCTTTCCATTGCCGCGGCTAGCGCGAGCCACAGTGGCAATTATACCTGCGTAGCTACCAATAGCGCTGGCTCCACTAACCACTCCACTGTCCTTAATGTTCATGGTCAGTTTCATTTTACATCATTATATCATCACGTTTTGTTAGAGGCTTCTCGATGCTCAGAGTTCTGCCGACGGACAAAGCACGGTGTCCCTTGCCAAACTTTTAGCAACGAGGGCTCGTTAAATAAGTTTTAATCTGTTGCCATCTTTGTTTTCTCGCTCATTCTTTTTTGTGCAGTTACACCAAACATTTTACCATTTGACGTCGATCAAGCCTTGTTCTCCGGAGAGTCTGTTCAGATGATGTGCCACATCTCAAAGGGTGACACACCCCTCGAAATACGGTGGAAATTCAATGGGGAAGAGTTGTCGCGAGACTTAGGGCACTTTTCGAAAGTTGGAGATCGGTCATCCGTTTTAGTGCTACCTTCTGTAATGGGGTCACATAGCGGCAATTATACTTGCGTTGCGAAAAATCGTGCGGGGACAACGTCTTATACCACCATACTTAAAGTTATTGGTACTTATTTTAAATCAGTGCCAAATGCTTAATTATTTTGACAACCACTTTTAATTTATGTCCATTTCCTTCCTCAAATTGTGTTTAATCGAACTTTACATAAAACGTTATTGTATTTAAGTGGTCCCGTACATAATTCCCTTTGAAGTTGAAGAGTCGATATTCGCTGGAGAATCAGTTCATATAACCTGTCATGTATCGAAGGGAGATCGACCACTTCAAATATCTTGGAGCTTTCAAGGAGTCGAAATTCCGTATCACAATAATATGGGCATAACAACCACAAAATTAGGAGAAAAAGCATCCGTGCTTAGCATTCCCACGGCTATGGGTCAGCACAGTGGCAACTATACTTGCACAGCAAGCAATCGCGCCGGTCGAGCCCATCATTCTGCTGTCGTCAATATTCATGGTACACCATGTCGATATAGCTACTCTTAGACAGTCCTCATTTAGATGGAAACCGATGCGAAATCGTAATAACTCAATTGCACGTTAGATTTGTAGATTTCAATTTTTTTATTTCTTTATTAGTTCCACCCCATATAATGCCATTCGAGATCGAAGAATCAATCTTTTACGGAGAATCAGTTCAGATGACGTGTCACGCAAGTAAAGGAGATCGTCCGATGACAATATCATGGACCTTCGAAGGCCAAGATCTCTCCACGCAGACGGGAATAAAAACTTTAAAGATGGCAGAACAAACATCCTTTCTATCGATCGCATCGGTCACTGGAGGTCATAGCGGCAATTACACGTGTATAGCTAAAAATAGGGCCGGAGAGGATAGATACTCTACGTCTCTTCATGTTAAGGGTATTTCTAAGAGATGTTATATTAGCATGTATATATATCAACTAACTATATATCTTTTTCTTTGCTCAGTCGTCCCCCACATCAAACCATTCGAGTTGGACGAAGCCGTATTTGCAGGAGAATCCGTGCACCTAGACTGCCATATACCCAAAGGCGATATTCCTCTTAGTATAGCTTGGACCTTTCAAGGACAGTTCATTACGCGTAGAATGGGGGTAAAAACGACCAAACTAAGTGAGCGAGTATCGGTCTTAGATATTCCGAACGTGTCGGATCTTAACAGCGGCAACTACACCTGCACCGCCAGCAATAAAGCAGGCGTAGTAAACCACACAGCAGCTCTCAACGTTATCGGTATTAATCCAGAATGAAAATTAACACATGCTTGCTTTTCGTTTAGTTCCTCCCGTGGTCCAACCATTTTCGTTCGGAGAGGTTGCCCTGAATTCCGGTCAAGTGGTAACGGCGGCTTGTTCCGTAATTGAAGGAGATCACCCTCTGCAGTTACGTTGGCTTTTTGACAATGAGGCAATCAAACCTAGATCAGGAGTCACAGTATTTAATATCGGGGAGAGAAGCGCCATTCTCAGTATCGGTTCGGTGTCACATAGTCACGCAGGAAATTACACTTGTGTATCAGAAAATGAAGCAGGATTTGATTCGCACACTTCATCCTTGATCATCAATGGTGCTTAACTTTTCCGCGATTCTTAGACAGGTTATTTAGGACTTAGTTTTTAATTTTGTATGTTTATTGTTCACCCTCATTTCTGTACCATTATTGACAGTGTTCAATTACATTTTCAGTACCTCCCAATATACTTCCGTTTTCTTTTGGCGAAAAACCCGCAAATGTTGGAGAATATTTACAAGCGTCGTGCACAGTGAACCTCGGGGATCTCCCATTAACGATAACGTGGAACTTTAATGGACAATTAATATCGCAAAGAAATAATAATTATCTAATGTCGAATTCTAAACGGAGTAGTTTGCTTATAATTGAATCGGTCGATGCGAAACACGCCGGTTCTTATACTTGCAACGGAGAGAACCGTGCGGGAAAAACGACGTATTCAACCGACTTAGTAGTGTATGGTTAGTCGATCGGAATGCAGTAGAATACAAGTTTATATAAATTAGATGACATTTGTTTCAGTTCCTCCGAAAATAGCACCCTTTTCTTTTGGGCCCGAACCGGCTTTCCTAGGAGACTACTTTGCCTTGCAATGTATTATCACTCATGGTGATCAACCAGTTAGAATAGAGTGGACCCTCAATAACCAATCGGCTAAGCTAGTTCCCGGTGTAAGAATAAGCAATGTTGATAGAAGAAGTAGCGTCCTCACTATCGAATCTATAGCGGGAACACATGCGGGCCTTTATAACTGTACGGCGACAAACGCCGGGGGTGTTGTATCATATTCAACCGAATTAGTCGTCAAGGGTGCGATACTTAAACTAGACTTTGATTGAAGCTGTGCTTTGGTTTTTACCCGTGCTCTGTAATTATTCTGAATGTTTCGCTTCATTACACATTTTTGCTATCCCAGTACCGCCGGTGATAGTGCCGTTCACATTCGGGGATGTTCCGTCGAATCCCGGGGACGTTGTGGTTGTCAACTGCGTCGCCACGAAAGGGGATTTACCGCTCGAGATCTCATGGACCTTTAGCAGTGAAACAATTGATTCGAATATGCACCGCGACATCACGACAACGCCGCTGGGTCCGCGTGCATCTGTGCTAACAATAGATTCTGTGAGCGCCAATCATCAAGGAAACTACACTTGCATTGTCCAGAACCCCGCCGGACGTGCCGAATATGCAGCGACCCTCGTCGTTAATGGCACGTTTATTGGGTTACATAAAAACAATTTAAATATATCTATGAACAATATAAAAGAAACTAACACCACAAATGAGCACCGATAAACCGACCTATACGTACACATCTATACATTCTGAAAGTGCTAACATTGCTTGCAAGTAGGAAACTTATTAATCCACTATTCTGTGGTTGGTTCCAGTTCTACCTCGAATCGTTCCATTCTCGTTTGAAACTCCACTGTATGCCGGCCAGGCCACTCAACTGACCTGCCTTATTTCGGAAGGCGATCTTCCTCTAGACATCCAATGGTATTTTGAAGGGCGACCTTTGAAAGAGTTAGCCGAAGTTACTGCAACTAAAATAGCGAAAAGGGCATCGTTGCTTCTGATCGACCCAGCTGGGTGGTCAAACACTGGCATTTATACGTGTCTTGCCCGCAACCAAGCGGGTTCTTCCAACTTCTCTGCCTCGTTAGAAGTACATGGTACATAATACCCTAATTAAAACATATTTAATCCAATGTCTTCCTAGCACGGCAGATGCTTTGCGTAGTTTACAATGTGTGCTTTTGATCAAAACGTTAATGGCAGAGTTATGTTCGGCTCCTTCAAAAGGCTAGTGCATTTCGTTGTATACTTGTAACACTGAAACTTTGTGATAGACATTTACAAAATAGTTAGGATCAAATAGAACTGTTCTTAGGAACCGACTGCGGCTATCATCGACGAATCACCTCTCTTCCACTTCCTGCATTATTTTTCTAATTCCTCTACCTTCCTTCAATTCCCGTCTTAGAATCCCTTTGTTTTATTTGCATTTTGATTTCGCTTGATGTCTTGCTTGACTTATATTTGTTGAAATATTGACTTTAAATTTTAAAGTAATTAAAAATGTATTATTGATATTTCTCTGTCATTATTTCAACAACAACGCCGCTATCGCTTGGTTCATTGGTTACTTTTGTTATTATTTTTTATGTTTTAGTAGTTAGTTTAGCTTTACATTTATTTTTGCATTTTAACATAATGATTACCAACGTTAAAAGTTTCTATGCCTTCTGCTTGAATCAACATCATTCATCTCATTCGCTAGTATTGCTGATGTTATAAAAATAATTACAAGATATACAATTTTCCATATATACATAGCATACATAGAGGCTTTTAAGTGGTCTGTTTATATTTTCTAGAGAATAATGGCTAAAACACACATGAAAATATATAGATATACAAATTTTGTATAATGACGTATCTGAATTGTACCATTATTCTCTACTCTTTGTAATTGTTATACAAAAACAATATTTGTTATTCGTTTTATACATATATTCATTATTAATTAGGTATTGTTTTTGTATAAATTATAAAAATGTTTTTCTATTTGTACTCAATCCCAAATTAAAAAATATAAGTTATTGAAAACAGTTGAACCGATTTGTCATTAAAAAATGTTTCAAAAGTTATTGAACGCGTACATATTTAACTATTAATAATGAGATGAAGAATAAGTCCTCTATTGAAACTTATTACTGAACTTCACTTTTAGAAAATCAGTCTTTCTTATTTTTTTTATTATTGTATATAGGCTGACTGTTTAGCTCGCTTCATGTACTTGGTATATTTTAGTTCCACCACGTTGGATTTTGGAACCTACTGATAAGGCATTTGCGCAAGGCTCTGATGCAAAGGTTGAATGCAAAGCCGATGGCTTCCCTAAGCCCCAAGTAACGTGGAAGAGGGCTGAAGGTAATGAAAAATATTAACTGGTCTTTCCTTCTTACAAGTATTCTATTATGGGAATCTGACTTCATTGTACTGACCTTGTGTTGTAATTTCCAGGTGATACGCCAGGCGATTACAAAGACCTAAAACCAAATAACCCAAATGTAAAGGTTGAGGACGGAACTTTGACGATTGCTAACATTCAAAAGACAAACGAAGGATACTATCTTTGCGAAGCTGTTAATGGAATCGGTTCTGGATTGTCAGCTGTCATTCTTATTAGTGTGCAAGGTATTTGGAAATCTTCTCTTTCTGTTCTTAAGAAGAGCTCTGATAATTTTATGGGGGCAGTTTAAGATTTCGTATGTTATATTTTCGATATTCGTTAAAAATTAATTATATAATTGTTCTCAGCTCCACCTCAATTTGAAATTAAAATGAGAAACCAAACTGCCCGACGAAGCGAACCCGCTGTACTGCAGTGCCAGGCCAAAGGAGAAAAGGTGAAATTCAATGTTTAAAAAAAAAGTAGAAATGAAGTAATTAAAGAAAAACTAAATGCACCTTTATGTTCTTAATGCACAACGGAGCTTATATAAAAAAGAAATATAATGATTCAAGAGTAAAAATTTAGTTTTTATAATAAAAATCTATTTTAGATTAAATACAATTTAGCTACCGTCCTTTGCTTTAATTAATCTCTGTAATTTCTTAAAACTCATAGATATATGCGATATACACAATTTTTTTAATCTAAAATTTTTAATTTTATGATGCCATCATATCCAATAACATGTGAAATGTTTTATTACACGATTTGATACTAAAATATACTTATCCTCTAGCCAATTGGAATTATTTGGAACATGAACAACAAACGCCTTGAACCCAAATCTGACCCACGCTACACAATCCGCGAAGAAATCCTACCTGGTGGCGTTGTATCCGACTTAAGCATCAGACGCACTGAACGGTCCGACAGCGCCCTTTTCACTTGTGTAGCCACCAACGCTTTTGGTTCCGATGACACTAGTATCAACATGATTATTCAAGGTAACTTGTATTTTGATTTCTAATGATAGAAGAGAACAGACAAGCTTGGCGCTCACTTGATGTTAGATGAAATTTCCCAGCCTATAGCGTCTGTGGTATAGACGGAATTGCTGATTTCCAGACGAAGTCCTACATGTTTCCGAAAAATTAAAAATTAATTAGAAAAATACTGTCTTTAGTTTACGCGAGTAGTACACATTTAAATAAAACACTTAACTTACTTGAAAATGTTTTTCGGAACGTCGGGCTGAAGTTAAAATTGATTTTCAAATAAGTTTAACTTTTATCGCGTTTTAAACCGAACTCACGCCCCTTGATTACCCGTACATTGCTATCGTTACACCAAGGGGCCCGTTAAAAGAGATCTTAGAACCCAAGGCGTAGGTAGAGGAACTAGAGATATGGAATTAGCTTTTAATAAAAGAGAAGGACTGTTAAATGTATTAACATGTCAACAATAAAGGTAGAGAAAACGTTTCTAAATTTTTATAGTTTTTCATTTTACGTTAAAAACTTATCATATACGCAATATTAGCAATTAATTTTAGTATCACAATATTACTAGATATATTCATTATGTATAAGTATATTATCGCCTAATACATTTATTACGTTTTTTAAACTTACATTATATTATATCCAACAGAGGTCCCCGAGGCACCCTACGGTCTGAAGGTATTGGACAAATCCGGAAGGACTGTTCAGTTATCTTGGGCTGCACCATATGACGGAAATTCGCCTATCAAGAAGTTCCTTATTGAATACAAACGGGCTAAAGGCAACTGGGAAAAGGATATCGATAGGTATTCATCTGTTTAAAATATCATGCCTAAATTGTACTTATGGCTAACTTTACTACTAAACTAAATATGTACAAAAATAACATTGAACAAGCCCCCAAACTTCAGCCGAACATATTAAGATATATTTTTTATTATTTAACGAAATGCTTGTTACGAGACTGAAGACAAACAGTCCATAGACATTTTATTGCAGATAGATCACACGACATACATAAAATAAGACAATAGAACTGATACAGAGTAGCACAAATCATACATTACATAAGTTGACACTAGGGCATGTTGAATTAATATAACAAAATTGTTCTAGTATGTGTTTACTAATTAATATACAATCATCCAATCTAATTAATATAAAAATGTTGCTTTATCTTACCAACCTTCAACAATTTCAGGGTACTTGTCCCCGGGGACGCTACAGAAGCCGGTGTATTCAGCCTCCGTCCAGCTACCGCTTACCACATCCGCATCGTTGCTGAAAACGAACTTGGAACCTCTGAACCTTCTGAGACTGTTACTATCATCACCGCTGAAGAAGCACCCACTGGAATGCCTCAAGATGTCAAGGTTGATGCTGCTGATAAGCATACTCTTAGAGTGACATGGAAACCACCACCACCTCAGGACTGGAACGGTGAACTGCAAGGGTAAATATTGAAGATCTTAGTTACTTCTATATGTGATCTTTGTCTTGACAGTAGAAGATACACTATTTTTAATCATGAATTTTTACAGTTATTATGTTGGCTACAAACTGGCGTCAAGCAACAAATCATTCGTGTTTGAAACTGTCGACATCTCGAAGGAATCTGGCAAGGAACACCATCTCGATATCCTTAACTTGAAGTAAGGCTCTAGGCTTAAAATATAAGTGAAATCTATCTTGCTCGCATTGTCCCAATTATTTCTTATAACATCAACGCAGTCAACTTAAATAACAGTTTAGAACTATCAGTAGTTAAATATTGATGTAACTAAGTTGAGTATAGTCTGTAGTTTACAAGAGTAGTACAATAAAATAAATCACTTTTAACGCTTTGCAGCCATTGTGGTCTGAACTATCGGGCCGTAGTCAAAATAATTTGTAAATAAGTTAACTTCGTATTTTAAACCGTGGAAATGGTTTTTTTACTAAGCCTGTTAAAACAGTAAAAAAAATAATTTATCGTAGAAAATAATTTATCGTAAAACTTTACAGAACCTACACTCAATACGCAATCGTAGTACAAGCATTCAACAAGATGGGTTCCGGTCCAGTATCAAACGAAGTTCGCGCCTACACTGCTGAAGGTGCCCCCTCTGCCCCACCACAAGACGTTCTTTGCACCACTCTTACTGCTCAAACTATTCGCGTGTCCTGGGTTTCACCGCCTCTTGCTGCCGCCAATGGACTTATTAAGGCTTACAAAGTGATCTATGGACCCAGTGAAACTTGGTATGGTGAGTATCTTGAAATATAAAATTAACTAATTATTATGTCTTACAATAAGTCTCAATAAATATAATAAGTCTCAATGTAAACTCTGCATTTGAAATGTGAAATAGTTTTTGATCAATAGTTATTTTATTAATTATATAAATTTTAACAAGAACATTACTAACGGAAATTTTTATACCATTTTAGTGCTTTTAATAAAATCTACAGATGGAGTATTGTATTGCATATTTTAATCAATTTGAACAAGCGGAGGATTGCATACATTGGTTATTTTAAAAAGTATTGAGTGTTATAAGAATGTAATAATAATATAAACTTTTTTTAGATGAGAAAACAAAAGACACAAAGATCACTGCTAGCAGTGAAACTATTCTACACGGTCTCAAGAAATTCACGAATTACTCAATGGAAGTGCTCGCTACGACAAACGGAGGAGATGGTGTTCGATCCGCCCCAATTCATTGCCAGACTGAACAAGATGGTGAGCATGATTCATCAAATTTAGACAAGTACAAAGACCTAGTTATACCAGTAAACATTCAATACTTTCTCTCTTTTTTATGAAAACTTAATAAAAGGTAAAATATAAATTGTCATGCCATATAACATCCAAACTGCTGAACAAAATGATTTTGCTATTAATATTCGGAAATCCACAGACTCATTGCTTTTTTCTTCTGTGGTTCTTGTGTGGTCTCCGTTCATTTAATATGCATACATACATTGCTACCACAATACCAACAAGCCCGTCGTCCCAACACGAACCTCTAAATAAAAACTGTTTATTAAGAATATGCTGAAAGTATTTTACAACAATTTACTGCAAATGTCTTTCTTTTGATTCCCACAGGTTCTAAATCCTTACTAATATTATAAATGCGAAAGTAACTCTGTCTGTCTGTCTGTTACTCTTTCACGCCAAAACTACTGAACAGATTTGAATGACATTTGGTATACAGATGGTCTAGACCCTGAGAAAGAACAAAGGCTACTTTTTATTGCGATAAAGGGGTTAAAAGGGGGGGGTGAATGTTTGTATAGAAATTCGTCGTTATTAGCTAGAACAATGAAACTTTCTTCTTTGGCTTTTTGGGAATAGGAGTGGGAGTGGGAATGAGAGTGAGAGTAGGAGTGATGTGAGGTGAGAGTGTTCCGGCAAAGTAGCACATATTGGCTGCGATAAATGCGCAATTACATAAATTATTAAACAGCCTAAATAATTAAAAATTCTCACGCGAACGAAGTCGCGGGCACAGCTAGTCATTAATAAACGCGTTTATTTTAAAGTACATACTTCAACTACTATTTTATTGTATACAAACTTTGCACGATACTTATTCTATTAACAGTACCCGAAGCACCACGCGCAGTCAAAGCTTTAGTCATGGGAGCGGAATCTATCCTTGTCTCTTGGAGACCACCAGCGCAACCTAACGGTGTTGTCACACACTATAATGTCTATACGCAAGCTCAAAACGCTGAACCTCACCCGAATAAGGTAATTTCAACCCTATTTACTAGGTATTAGGTTTCGTTTTATTTAACGTAATTTATTGTAAATTATATCTGTTCAGGTACCTGCATCACAAACAAGCTATTCCGCAACTGAATTGAAAGCTGGACGCTACGATTTCTGGGTGACTGCTTCTACCATCATCGGCGAAGGTCAACCCTCAGCGACCGCGTCTTGCAGCCCTAGTGACAAAGGTATGTAAAATTTATTTATTTTAAACGTTTATATTTTATTTCTTTTATTCGAAATTTTATATAAAAGAACATTCACTTCAATATTGAAGTGACTTCAACATTCTCATCTACATCAAAGAAACTTGAGACTTAAGAATTGAGGATTATTTACAGCTTGAAATAATTAAGGCAGGGACAATTGACGGCAAAAGATTGTAACTTTATTAAGAAGTACAGATATTTAATAGTTTAGCTTTATGTATTCTTAAAATTACTAATTATTATGTCTTTGAAATGGCGTTAAAAAGTATTATATTATATACAAGTAGTTCCTGAAATTGGAGCGTTCAAACATACAAACAATTTCTTCAGCTAATCTTTTTTTTCGTGTTTTAAGTTTTTATATATATAACAAATATGTAATGTAAATAATTTAGTTTAGTAATATAGGAATAAGTAAAAATTATTAAACTCGCCTATATATTTGTATTAAGTGTGACTATTTTTAAATAAACCGTATATATTTTTTGATTTTGTACTGACGCTTAAAATTTAATTTTATTCATTACTTTTTCAGTACCCGCTAAAATCGCATCCTTTCGACGAATCGTTTACCGCCACATACAAGGAAGATGTGAAACTGCCATGTCTTGCTGTCGGCGTTCCCCCACCAAACATTCTGTGGAAGGTGAGTTTAACAAAAAAAATCTTTTTTATCTGTATCTAAATGTTATCTCTTTTAATATACAAATAACATAAAAAACTTATCACTTTTAGCTTTATCGTTTAGCTTTTATTTTATTTATAAAACTTAGTTGAATTAACATTGTATCTGTAGGTTTCTTAAATGGAACACATTTTAACACTTAAAAATGTGAAATATATGAGTGAATTTATTTGAACCTTAATACTCAACTGTTAAGGTTGAAGTTACATTACGCGAGAGGTACATCTATCAATAGGTTGAAAAAACTTGACGATGACGTAGCTCGGTAGCCCAAGTTGTTAGAGTAACAGCACGGAACGCTGTGGATGTCGGTTGAAGTCCTGCCTAAAACCTCATTTCTTTTTAAATTTACTATAAATTTTTTATTTATTTGAAATACTTAACCATTTGGACGCTGTATAACACTATCTGGGCGTTGCCAGATTTTTGTATGAAGTATTAACTTTTTTCGAATTCTACAGGTGAAGGGACACCCACTAGAACCATCAGAACGAGTACGTCAACTGCCTGAAGGATCTCTTCAAATTGCTGGTGTTGCTCGCGAGGACGCTGGAGAATATTCGTGCCACGTTGAAAACCAATTCGGAACTGACACAGTCACACACACCCTCTCTGTACTTGGTAAGATACAATTTTTCTCAAAACATTTTGACCTTTTTCATACACCATACATTCATTTTATAACAGTTACAATTAGTTAGAAAGAATAATAATTAATTAATATCTTTAGTTTACGCGAGTAGTACACACTTGAATTAAACACTTTACCAGTTTAAAACACGAAATACTTATTTACAAACTGCTTTACCTAAGACCCGACGTTTCGGATGCTTTGCAGGAGTCTTTAAGGAACCACGGCTAAAATATATAATAAAATACATAGTTTGGTGAAAGTATTGAACTGCATTTTGCGACTGCGTTTATAGTGGTTATTTAAATATTCACAATAACGGTGTGACGCGGTTAGTTTCGCTTCGAAATTAAATAAGTTACTTGGGCGTTATTGCAGCTCCCCCCTTCCCACCACAACTTAGCATTGCGTCCTCCTCGGTATCATCTCTTACTCTTCGCCTGAAGCCACCAGTAGACGCTGACCAGTCACCAGCTGCTGGATACACCATCCACTACAAACAAGAGTTTGGCGACTGGGAAACTGTTCAGGTAAAATGAGCAAAGGTTTTATGAAATCATGAAATGTTTATGCTATCAACAATTAAAAGACTTTATACTATAGCATCAAAAAAACGATTATGGCTTTTTTAAGTTTAAAAAAAATGGAGAATTGACAACTTCTATAATTGGACTTCTATTTATTGTTTTTTTTGTACAGATTCCAAGCAACACCGATACTTATACTCTTGAAAATTTGTTCTGTGGATCAAGATACCAGCTCTACGTCACTGCCTACAATGGGTAATGTTATAGATTTTTAACATACAACAACAAAAAGAAACAACAGCGACAACTATAACAACAATGTTATGAATGACGGCACGTATTTCATCTTACATCAAGTGAAACCCTCGTTTGTGTTTACAAGTGAAACATGTTTGTCTATTTTTCTTTTATTATAAAAAAAAATTCATGAAAGTAGCTTTAAAATAAAGTAAGAGCATTAAATTTTGGTTCTTAAATAACGTCGTATATCTTTTCGTTATATTCTCCGTCAATTTGGTCTTATTTTGTTGTTTTATTTATTTTTTAACGTCGGGAAAAAAAAAGTTCAATTTGCCTGTTTTTGACGAACATAATATTTATTGAATATGTTGTTCTTAAAGTATCGGAACAGGAGAAGCTTCGGATGTGGTCATCGCTCGTACCCGCGGCTCCAAACCACCTGTTCCTCGCGCTGCTGACTTCATCGAAGTTGGAAGTTCTTCTGTAACTCTGCATCTGAAGCAATGGCTGGACGGCGGCTGCCCTATGAGTCACTTTGTTGTTGAAAATAAGAAGAAGTAAGTTGCACGAAATAGCTTAAAACTCCAATGAGAAATTTAATCTATACTCGTACTAATATTATAAAGCTCAAGAGTTTGTTTGTTTGTTTTAACGCGCTAATCTTAAGAACTACAGGATTGAATTTAAAAATTATTTTTGTGATTAGTTAGAGCACTTACAGGGGAAGGCTATATAACGTCAGACTGCGACTATTAGCGAAGAAGTTACTCCTAATTATCTTGGAGGGATACCATTACGTGCGCTTCGAAAAACTGTTTAAGATACCCAAAAATATGTATGAAAGAATTATGTTTCTTTTAAAAATATTAAACAATGACCGCGATAGTATATTTCTATCTTTTAAGATTAACTCACAAGAATCGTTTATGAATAATTGGTCAAAACTCATACGGCAGAAGATCGTTTGCCGGGCCAGCTAGTAAAAAATATACGCTTTGTTATATATTTTTGTAATTATATTTTCATTATTATGCTTTTACGTACTTTCTTCTTATGTGCCCAATGTTATATAATATTTTGAATTTGTGCAACAGGGGAGCTGCTGAATGGAACCAAATCTCGAATGCTGTTAAGCCTGGTGGAAACTTTGTTGTACTCGGTATGTTTTAATTGTTAGGAAACTTTAATATATTTTACATATTATTACATAAATGATTGGCAGTATGTAAGTTAAAAATTGTTGTATTTAGATTGAAAACAAAAATAAGGACACGGACAGGACGAGGGCACAGTCGCTCAATTTGTAAGAGCAGGACGGAATGCTGTGGATGCCGGTTCAACTCCATGCCTTATTTTTTTCTTTTTTTTTTATATTGTATTACCATATGTAGTTTCGCATAGTAATTTTGAAATTCTATATATTTACTTCATAAAATGTGTTTTTTTCTTGCTATTTAGACCTGGAACCTGCAACTTGGTATGTCCTGAGAATTACCGCCCACAACAATGCTGGATTCAATGTCGCTGAATACGAATTCGCCACTCTCACTATGACTGGAGGTATGTTTATCGTTTTTTTATATATATAGTTTTCTAAGTAAAGTAGTTTTCTCAATATCTATTAATAATAAATGTCTATATGAATAAAGAAAGTGTATAATAGTGTTAGCGGCCTGTATGTATTTAATAAAAACCTTGCTTTACGTTATTTCAAGAGTTCTTAGGTTCAAGCACGCGCAAATTAATACGTACGCTTCTTCGGTATGACAGGGCACAGGCGTGTGATCAACCACTTGTCTGTAAATAACATTTTTGTTACACATTAAAAAAAATCATGGATCATGTTTTAGACTGTGACCCTAAATAACATTGTAATTATTTGACTTAGTTGTAATGTACCTGAAATGCATTGCCTCAATTTACTGTAACTGTAATTGTGTTTAAATTAAATAGAGGTGTTGCATTTCAGGTACGATCGCACCAATACGGGAGGCCGGGGACGCGTCGCTCACGCCCGAACAGACGCTCAAGATAATCTTGTCGCACCTCAACCTTATTGTGCCCGTGGTCGCCGCCATTTTAGTCATTATTATCGCGATCGTCGTAGTCTGCGTCGTTAAGGGCGCTAGGGACCACCACCATAAAGGTACTATTTTTTAGGCACAATCGCTCCATTACCCGGAAACGCTGAGGACAAAGAACTACCCCCATGGGTTAAGGCTTGGCTGGAACCTGAAGTGTTAGTACCTATCCTGGCCACGATAGTGGTGTTCATTGTGGGAATGGTCGTGATCTGTTTGACGCTCGCACGAAGAAACACCCCCCACAGACTTCGAGGTCAGAAGGACTACTGTATGTATGGTGGCGTGGTCACCGCTTTTTTATTACTTTATACCCTTCGCTAGTTTCATCTTCGCCCTAAATTTTTAATCAGTGTATTAGTACCACTTTAAACTTTACCCATTAAGTCTTGTTTTGCTCATACATTCGCTCATTTTTCAATAATCCCACTTCTGATATTATTTGCTAAAATCATTAGTGATTAAAAAAAGGTAATTAATAACTTAATAGGCTAGGAGTACTAATTATTATTTAAAGATTCAATAATATTTTAAAAAATAGGTTTCTAAGCGACGTAGGAACAATCTATATTGTTATAATAATAATAATTGTTATACACATGTTTAGATGACGCAGTTTACAACGCATCTCAGGCGGCTTTAGGCGGCGGCGGTGGTACCCTGGACAAACGTGGAGGACTTCGCGATGAACTCGGCTATATTGCTCCACCCAACAGAAAGCTACCCCCCGTACCTGGATCTAACTACAACACTTGCGACCGTGTCAAACGACAAGCTGTAATTAGTAAGTGGAGATTTAAATATATGAAGAGTATCATGTGTATATGATTAAGAACAAACTACAGACTTTTAACGACCGAATTTAGGTTGATTTAGACTATTGAATAGGGATTAAGGACGTCGAAACAAACATCATCGCATTATTTTGGTGAAGGATCTAATACCTACTATTGCTGATCTATGAATGTAGTTCAGCTATGAGGTACTCAGCTTAAAAATATATAAAGATGTATTTAATTACATAAATGTATAATTGCGTATTTTTCCCCGTAGAAGTGGTGGCTGTTAATTTATTGTGGTGACAGTCAGTACTAAGCACTTTTATGTTTTGGCAAAAATCCTTTTAATTTGTTTTTTTTTTTATTTCTATTATTTATTATTTGCCATAAACCAGATTTTAAAAGGATTCGTCAAAGCATAAATCAAGGTACGTTTAATGTATATGGTGTATGGTTTTCTTTCCAACGATCTCATTGAAATGTCCAACATTGTACTAGAGGTAAAGTTTAAACCGTAATGGATTTTTTCACCTTAAATCCTGAATTAGTATATTATATAGTGTATTCTTCGTAACTTGGCAAAAGAACACAGCAGATATTGCCGATTTTTAAACCATAGAGAACTAGTTATGGCCTTTTATAGTGTGCAGTTGTTGCCACAGATGACACAGATACGAAACGATGAAATATAGATAATAAATGGACCAAACGACCTCAATATTCAAAATCAATGACGACCATTTTTTTTAATTTGTATGTAATTATTATTTAACTCGACGTTTGTAACATTTTTCACCGATAGTCCATGAGTGGGACTTCTACCATCTATTGTCGTTGACTTTGCTTACTCATTCTTATGTAAATGTTAATCTCATGAAATTTTAATCTGTCCATTTACGTAAATTCAATTTAGAATTCATTGGTTTAGTATAATATAATGTCTAATCAATGTAAACCTTGGGAAAAAATCACGATTTTACGTAAAGTGTGTTTGTTTACCAAAACTGCCAAGTTAGAAAAAATATACTACAGGATATATCAATGAGACCTTTGAAAGACCGATGCGTATGTGACTTGGCAAAATATGCATTTTAAGCCAAATTAGAGCTAATACTTAAGGCAAGCAGATTTTGCCATCGCATATGTACGTAGTAGCGCATGCGTAACGCAGTAGTATGGTTCAGTGGGGGCGCATTCGACGTGGGACCCGCGAAGGCACCACTATGAACGCGTGCGCAGACCGCGCATGCGTCGCACGGGATCTGGCGATACTATATCCACAGGTCAGTGCTTGTGCCTTATGCCAAGAGGCCTTATTTGTGTTGAGATTGATCCCGGCTTAAAGAATGTGCTCTTGGGTATTGCTTGTTTAGGTGACACTACATTTTGATGCTGGTATTAAAAATAATAGTATATACAGACAGAAGAAGAAACTAATAGTACATACAGCAGTTTGCGTTTGAAGTTGTACAATTTAGATGCTTCGTATAGTGCATACATATATACTAATAAAATGGACTATCGGAGTAAGTATGTATTTTTTAACTAACACAACGCAACAAGGTTTGTAAAAGAAATAATAATGTTTTGTGTTCGCTTTTTCTTAACCCCAGTTATTTTACTTTGCGTGTTCTGTTTAATGATTTTCTTGTGTTTGTTATTCACCTAGCTTTTGTTGATACAAATAATCAATTAATTGATTTTCTTTTGCGGATTCCTATTAAGAAAAATATTTTTTAAATGTGTAAAAATCAAGGAAATTTCAGAAGTCTTCATCGTATCTGGATTCGAAGTATGATAAATATACATGTGTGTATTATTCGTAAAACTTTCAGGCATGGAAGATGAAATCTGCCCCTACGCAACGTTCCACCTCCTAGGCTTCCGTGAAGAGATGGACCCCAGCAAGGCGATCGCGTTCCCCCACCACCACCCATCTCACGCTGGTACCCTGGCTCACCCCCACCAACATCCCCACCACCCCGCTCACTCCCGCGCCGGATCACAGAGCATGGTGAGTTCGTATTTATTATTATTTACTATTTGAATCATACTATTCTCAGATTACTACCAATGCACTTTCATCGTATTTTTAACCTACTTTGACAGGAGGGTCTATTTTATTTGTATAATATGTAAATTGTGTAAGGCTTTCACGGCCATCGTTCAGCAAATCATTGTCTTTCGGCCTGTTCGGCCGACGTGAGCGAGAAGAGGTACTCGACGTTTCGCCATCACGTGCGTTTCTTAAGCTTTCTACTTCTGTCGAGCTTTTCGACCACTAATCCAAGAAATTATTAAGTATCAGCATCAAATATGACTTGTTTTGGAACAGCTGTCAGATTTCAAGTTGTATTTTGGGATGTTTTTCGTTTAGGTGCCTTTATTTGCGTAGTTAAAAGTCAATTTTTGTTTCCTGTTTAATATTGGCTTTTTATCTCTGCATACATGTTCCTTTAATATTGTTGACCTAATAAATGTTTGGTGTTTACAGCCTCGAGCCAACAGCCGATACGCCCGTAAGAATTCGCAAGGAGGACAAAGCGCCATATACTCAACCGCTCCCGAATACGATGACCCAGCTACATGCGCTGAAGAAGACCAATATGTTAGTATTAATTAACTTGTGTATTTACATATACAAAAATTATCTGTGTAATACATAACGCATATTACACAGATAACTATTGTAAACTTCTTTATATAAATGCCATCTATAAAATGAACTAAATATAAGATATGAGTGACGTAGTTGTATCGACGTTATTTACATGAAATTGATTTTGAATTACACTTTAAACCAGTACTGTTACGAGTAAAACACTTTTAACGGTTTAAATCGGGAAATAAATAAGTTAATTTTTCCAATTTATTTAAATTACGGCCAGACGTTCAGGATGCTTTGCAGCAGCAGCTGAAAACCTATTACAGACTACAGATAATACTTAAACCGATTACTGATTATTCTTTAGCTTTCTAAAATAAAAGATCATTCGAATTTTAAAAAGCTTCTTATTGTATATCTACGACAGAAGTAACGTAATACTGCTTATAACCTAAAATAACCTTATTCGTGTTTCCTTTTGCAGCGTGCCCGCTACTCTCGCCCTATGTATGCCTGTGGACCTGAATATGACGAGCCCGCCTGTTGCCAACCTGAAGACGAACAGTACACCGGCGCCTACGGCACTCCCTACTCTGACCACTACGGATCCAGGCCCAGCATTGGTATGATTAGTAATAATAAATGAAAAAAGAGCGACATTTTAACATAGGGCGCAAAGACTCGATCTAACAATAGGGATTTTTCTATTAAACATAATTCTCTGCATTAAATGAATATTTATTTATGCACACCAATATGAACAAAATAAATATTTTTTTATTATTATAGAGGACGGACAATCGTGAGGTTCACGTGATGTAAGGTTAAATACCAGCTTTTTAACATCGAAACAATGTGTTGTCGACCTATATTTGCATTAACCACACCTGGCAATCCATAGACTGAATCCTAAATGAGATTAATATTCATGGCTTTTTCATGTATATCTTGCTGAACAAATTAAAATAATTATTTATTTGTTTAAATTTTTAAGGATAAGGAACTCAAAGCTTTATCTTAGCTTAGATTTTAGTGATAGTATTCTACTGTTTCTAAAATAGAACAAAATAGAGAGCCAATCACAAGTTTCTACAATTACATTTTAGAATAAGTTCTATAGTATCAACAACAAAAACAGTATAAAAACAAAACAAAACATGCGAAGGATAACCATAACTATAATAATGGACAAAAAGTAAAAAACATAATAAATAACTTGACTTACCATAGGTGCAATAAGAACCATAAGTAATCAATTAAATAAAAATAAATTTATTACTATTAAGACTAATATTACTTTAGGTACACGTAAATGCGGCGGATCTCCCGAGCCTCCCCCACCCCCACCCCGCAACGCTAACAACGACAACAACTGCTCCTCCTCATTCAACGAAAGCAAGGACTCGAACGAAATCTCCGAAGCCGAATGTGACCAGCCCCGCAACTACCCTGGTACGTTCGTGCATACTGGTAACACTAAAGGAATCACTTAAATTCAAATACAATGTTCCTATACTTTGTCTTATATAGAATGATAAGTTTGAAACGCACCTTAGCCTAGCCTTTTCAGTGAAAAAATATTTCCTGAAAAAATACAGAACCCTACTAACGTCCATACCAACAATCGATTACTACTTCTAAGAAATAATAAATGTTGATTCATTCAAAAACCCAACTACCTCATCCTTATGGTGAACTATCTTACTTATTAGCCTATATAAGACTAAATATAGTATAATTATATCTAATTGAATTATATTTTCCAAATAACTAATCGAATTGGTCCATGCGCACATGGGCGTCACCTGAACAGAAGACGGTAAAGCAATTTTGAATCAGTAATAGTTTTTTCCCCTATTAATACCTGTGACTGACAGCATGCAAAATTTGTTATAACAACGTGAAGTTTAAGCTTTTAGACTTTATCGCAATTGGCTTAATTTTGTGTTCAAAATTTTTCTCATCTTTCTTTCTTCAAAATAATATGACAAAATTAACAGATATTAAATCTAGCCATAAAGGATGGACATTTACAGTAATCTAGTTAGAAAATAATTTCTGATAATTTTGTCATGTTCCTAAAATTTCGGGGAGATGTTTACCTTTTTTAAGATTCTTATCACTGAAGCTTAGATGTGACTGTGTTGACTAAATCTTTCTCGGTTTGGTAGATTTAGTTTATGTTCATTTCTCTGACAATACCTGAAAATCTGCTTGGTTCTGGTAATATCACATTGGTATATGTAAATATAATTGATTTTGATTAGAAAGAGTTTCAGTGTATTGTCAAAGATCTCCGTAGAAAGCAGGTGGTTCGAGTCTTGTGATTAGTGTAGATGCGTCGTGACTTGTATGTTGTTACAGTCAGGGCCCACACTGCCAAGGACGGCTTGCACACCGAGGAAATGAGAAAACTCATTGACAGGTCAGTTCCACCAGGCCAAATACCACAGAGTTTCGAATGATAAATGCTCACAGATATTCACTATTTCAGAAACCGATGATTAACTCGTAATTGTTGTGGAATTTTTCTCTAATATACATGAGCAAGGGCGGATCCTAGAGGTCTATCTTCTGTGGGATTTTCTATTGTTTATCAGATTTCATGACCCTTTCGACTTAAAAGCTGGATCTTCCCTTGTACACAACTATAACTTACGCACCGAATTTATTCAATAACTTAACTACCAGATCCTTGCGTGTGCGCATCGAAGCGTGTGTCAATGATATCACAAAGTTATTTTAACTGATGAGAGCATCGTGTATAGTGTATGTCAGTATTAAGCATGTATTATGTTCTGCATCCATGGTCTACAGGAAACAGTAAGTCAATGTATGTCAACGAACAATAGTAATACGCTGAATGTTCTTTAATTTTGCCTGAAAATTTTGTTTCGTAAATAACCTTTGTGGCTAACACCTAATCGACCGTGCACTACGATATTTTGTTTGCTATAATTGATAAGGCTATGTTCTACTATAAACGCCGTTGTTTGACGTACAGCATAACGCGTTACGCTGCGTCAAGATGCTTACAAAAGTAATAATCAACAAAAGTTGTATGACGTCTAGAGCTCCTTTACACCAAAATCAGCATATGGGGAATAAAAGAAACCACGACAGTACATTTTTAAATAAAATAACGGAGAGTCTCCTCGTGACCACGGCTACTGCAAAGCATCCGAAACGTCGGGCCGAAGATAAAATCATTTTCAAATAAGTTTAACTAATATATCGCGTTTTAAACCGTTAAAGTGTTTTATTGAGATGTGTACTACTCGCGTAAACTATAGACAGTATTTAACGACAGTACATTATTGTAGTACCAGCGCGTCGTCACAAAGTGTACCGTGTGGAACTTTACGTAATCCATGGCGTTTATTGCAGATCAAAGCCTAAGACGACATTTGTTTTCCCTAAGTTTCATTAGCTCAAGATAACCAGTTTGTACTCCTATATAATCTTCACTCGCCTCAAATAGCTATACCTACATACATATAGGTAACCATTACAAAGCTTAAACGATCATTAACTATATATTTATTTCGCTAAACTGTGAGCGAATGAATTTTAATGTTGTTTTTAACATTAGACCGTTAGCAGCCAAAGAGATTTATTTTCTGTAGAGAATTTGTAATTTCATTATATGTATATGGAAAATTCCTTACAAGAGTGATGGTTAACTAAGTTACTCAATGTTAAATGTTTACAACTGTCTTTGAAGTGTCATTAGTATTTCCCTCGTGTGTACCCCGTATGAACAATATGAAGCCAACAATCTGAAAAATAACATTAAATAGACAACATTTTTTTATATTACAGACCAGAAGCAAACACCCCAATCCCCCAGCAAGCAGTCCACGGGCGGGGGGGACTCACAGCCTACGATACTGTGGCAGTGTAACCTATAAGCTGCTAATAACACTGCCCGACACTTCCATTTATTTCATACAAGTCATTGTTTAGGTGATCACAACTGCGCTGAAAGACCATAAGGCTTTGGTCTACTAATGACGCCGCGTTAAGCGTTGGGAAATATCAAGATGCTTTCAATTAGATCCTATTGATCATCACACGTAGACGACGGCAACAGTAACTGACAAATATTGCTGATGTCAAGTCGCGTGGGAAAGAGACAACAACATTACACAACAGAAAGCATATGCGGCGTGTATTGGAGATCACAGTCTATTCGCTCCGCCCTCTATTGTTTCATCGATCTATAATTTGTTGCTATATACGCGAGTTGCTTTGCTTATGCGCAGTTAGCTGTGTACGGTGGACAGCGCGGTTGTATCTCTTACACGATTTATTGGTGTTAGTTTATCCCAAGTTGCCAGACTTTTGTACGCACTGTAGTGCCATAAATTCGGGTTTTACTTTAACGTTGGCATGCCCGTTCACGGAGTTGGAAATGATCGTGTCGCTCGTACAATCCCGTAGTGAACCCTCGAAACGTCACTTCATAGCGTTACCAAGTCTATCGGAAATTATGGTTGTGGTAGGTAATTCAAATTGATATATTCCTCTAGAGACGTGACGTGAAAGTTTTTATCATACGACGCGACGCCTTTCCATACTTCGTAGTCGATTAAAAAACGAGAATCGAAACGTTTTTATTTGATCTTATTTGTTCAGCTTAATTTAAATAATGTTTTTTACGTGTCGCTGGTCTTGGGGTGTTTACGATTATTAAATTAAGCTCAACATGTAATAACGATGTGATATTTTGTATTTTTACCCATTTTATTTTTACGTGAAATGTACTAACATTATCGTTATTTATAATAATTGTGTAAGTCAGCTTTACATAACCAGTCGGCCGCGCGGTCGATATCAATGCTTCCTTTACGATGTTTAAGTTTTGTTTAATAATGCTTTTTACCATTTGCGTTATCATTATGAACTTTTGATGTTTTGCGTACCCATACACTACTCGTAGTAAGTTTAGATTTAAGCATTTTATTCGTAAAAATTAATCAACTCTTTTAACAATTACTGTATAATCGGTAGCTAGTTTGTAAGCATTTAATATTCATGATAATTTTTAAACTACTCCATGAAATATTCGTACGAATTCATTTCTGAAATTCAAGTACTAAAAACGCTGTATGTATCGTCGTTACCCTAAATACTGATATAAGGTGCATTTTTTATTCGTAACATTAACATTTCTAATATTAAATGATTTAGGTGTAAGACACTCGAGTGTCACTTTCTAGATGTCTCCCTACATGTTGTTTCGTGTAAGCTTTGCAAGTAGACACGTAGATAGGTTTTCGCGACTTCCTAGCAAACGATCTCTTCTATGAACCTTCCAAGTAGGCTTTGGATTAAAGTATAACTAATAAAAGATAATTGAAATGTAAGAAATTTATTCGAAATTAAATTTTAGGATGTTCGGAACGTAAAAATCAGCAAATCCGGTTTAACGCTAAGCTATGTTTAAGTGACTGAGTTTTTCTAATCATTTTTGGTGGTATGCTTATACGAATGTTTCATTTGCGGCTTTACGATTTTGGACTTGGGCAAAAGTCATTCGCTATTCGCAACTAACTGTTTGTACCAAAGTGTTTTGATTTGTGTTGAATAAAGTACTCAATGTCAACTACACAATCGACTTTTATTTCGTTCAGCTTGAATTAACAAGTTTCACTGATAGCAGACATTCAATAACAAAGAAAAAATTAACTGGCGATGATATTTATTGGTATTTTTACATTAAATAGAGTTGTTCTAACCATAAATACGACGTCTTATTCCCGAATTACGCAGATGCGGCCTTAACGATCTCTTCGGCTACTTCCACTGCGATCGCTGCCTCAGCTTTGGCCTAGAAAAGTCACTAGGTATATTATTATGTTTCTCTATGTGAAGATATAAGTGTCATGCTGATACACATTATTAAAAACTTCAATAAAAGGTCATACATACGTTTCTAGATTGACAGACATACATGAGAAGTCAAATATCACATATAACATGTAAATAAGGTGCACTGTCAACCTATATTGGATTTGTAGTTTCACAGGTTTTAACTGGGTGGTTTGTGGCCTTTTTGAATTATGTCAGAATATTTATACATTAATTAGAAACTTTTATGACCCAGTAGGGTTCCTACTATTAGATAAACAAGTCTGTATTTTTTTCCTTTTGCACTTTTGCTATTATTGTGAAAGTATAGGATACCTTTTCATTAGCAGCAGAATTGAATTCAGATTGTGCCTTGGATAATGTTTCTTGCGCTGCGGCTCTGTCCAAATTTTCTAATGGGTGTGCCTCTTCAGCAAGTACCTGAAAATATGATTTAGCAAATTACTAATAATAATAAATGCTTTGCAATCCAATAGCACTGCAATATGTAGTCAAAAGTATACCTGAACTGAGGAATCGTCATTGACTGTGACTGTGCCTGATGAAACAAAAATTTTGTTCTGTTTTCCATCATTCTCAAGGACTGTGACAACACCAGGTCTGAGAACAGCTGTAAAGTAATAATGTATTATTTAGAAAAAGAGGTTAACATTATTATAAAAAAATGAATAGTGTCTGTATTGTTGTTGTACAGTTAAAAGTTGATGAGTTTAAAACAATAGAGACTTCTGATAAGAATTTGTGACTGAAGGCTGCAAGGCTTTTGTAGTATAAAGCAATCAAATCACTAAGGCTTTTTACTAAATTTTCTTTTATAATCTTTTCATACATACCAAGAGTGGGTACATGTTTGGGTAAGATACCAAACGCACCACTGAAGGATGGGACGTCTACTTGTTTAACAACTTGCTTATCATAAAAGACCTGTAAAAAATTAATCTCTTTAAAAGATTAACAATTTCTAAATAGAAGGAAAAGTGTAATAGGGTTCCATCAAATAAGAAAATCAGGCTGTTTTTTATTACCCATGATAGAAATGTCAAAATTCATGCAGATATTTTTAAAGTAGAATGAACAGAATAGATTTAGGTGCCTGTACTTTAGTTTAGTTCTCTCATTTAAAAAAATACATACCTTATTACCAGCGGCAAATGTAAGTGCCATTTCACCTTCTTTAAGAGCTGGTGCATCTGCATAGCTACGAACTTGCATCTTTCTGAACATACTTCTGATTGAAGACCGCATAGCTGAAGCCATTCTATTTAATAAAAATTATAATCAACATATGCATCAATAATTATGAGCTGAAAGATAATCATAACCTAAACATAAAGTATTAATTGATAAAAACATAGAATAAAATTACAAGTTTAGAAATTCCATCAGGGCTATTCTAAAACTATAGAAGATTACCAAATGGCTTATGCACAAAAATATACAGTTTTGAATATTTTATTAAACGAAAAGTAAAAACAAAGATTATGTAATTGATTTTGAGATTTTAAATACGTATATAGTTCATCGCCATTTACATAGAGATAGCAAAGGCTTACTTACTTTCGTTAGGGTCTTTAACTGTTACCGATTTAGAAAATTAAAGGGTTTTTAGGCGTTTTTGCAATTAAACTTTAATCGCCAATTTTAAGTATCCTTAGAAATATTTGGTCACAGACTTACTTGTTCAGTTGTTCCTATTGACGACTGTGGTGAAGTTAGCTAAAAGACAAAAAGTATGTTTTTATTAATCTATGGTCGGAATCAAAATGGACCCTACAATTTTATAGCTCTGTGCTAAAACTGAAATATTCTATAATTAAACTAGCTAAATAAGTACACCCTCAGGTATATACATAATCTATGAAACTAGTGAAGTCTGTGGACTTGCAGAAGATATGGCGCCAAAGAGTAAAATTATAATTGTCAACAATAACCATTCTTTCGTCGATCGTGTCCCAAGTGCAATTTAGATAATTTTTCGTACCCTTTTATGCCCGGACCAAAGAAATATTAGGACACGACGCTTTATGATTACTTAAACAGTGTTAGTGAATATTTTAAGTGAAATGGAAAAACTATTACAACAAGTTGATAAAAACTCTATATCCAAGATTCTATCACAGCAAGTGTATCAAGTTACTTGTCTTGAGTGGTAAATTATTGTTTTGTTACCACATGCTTTTAAATTTTAATTTCGCTTTACTGTTAGATTTTTTGTATTACCTACCATTACATATTATATTTACATTTCAGTTGTAAATATTATATTGTGCCAACTACAGCAACATGCAACCATACTTTGTGCCACAATTGCTGGTATGGAAGGCATACATGTCCAACATGTGGAATGAAAATAGATCGCAAAAAGTTAAGAAATAACTTACCATTACAAAGCTTAACTGATCATATACATAATCTAGTAGATGCATTTAAGGATCTATTTAACATTGATCTTGGTATGTATTGTACTAATAGAATATTTTTGGAACCATCGAATTAAAAAATTAAAAGATTTAACATTTTCAGACGAGGGTCCCGCAATGAATTTGGAAATTTGTGAAACCATTAAGACAGACCCAAATGTAAATGTAAATAAATGGCTAGGCAACTCCCAAAATTGTTTCTCTGCTTCAATTAGCACACAAATGTCACCCTCAATCGATGTGCCTGTAAAAGCTACCGAAATTCAAGTGCCCTCAGAAACCATTAAACCTCTTAAAAATAGCTTATTGGATCAGCAAGATTGGGATAAAATAGAAGAACTACCTGATTCCGAAGATATTTTCAATAAGGATAAAGAAAATATAATTGGGCCTATGGATATTGAACCGTATAGCAATATTTTAATTATTGATGAGGACAAAGAGTATTCAACTGAAAATCCCCGTAGAAGTTCTAGGAAGAAAGAACCTGAATCAAATATGAAATTAAGACAACAAAAATCATTAACAAAAGATAATGAAGCCAATAAAAATTGGGCAAACGTAAAAAAAATGAAAAAAGAATTTGGTAATGTAAAAAAAAAAGAAATGAACAAATTAAATGTCTCTATTGAAATGTGTCAAGAGGTCAAGGACAATAAAAATAAAACCAATACAACTATACATGATGATAGTAGAAAATGGGCAATAACTAATGAAAATTACTTGTCACCTCAATATGGCAATAAACAATTGCAAGCCACTGAAGCAGAATTACAAAAAGAGGTAATAGAAAATTTGCATATTTCTGGAAATAAAAATGTGGCTGAAGAAAATTTTATAAAAGATAACATCCCTAATAAAGACACAAAAATAAATACTGTTTTGTCCCAAAACAATTCAAATACTAACATTGAATTGGTTACTAAGCCTTTACTTTCTGAAGGTAATGAAGAAAGAATTAAGAAAGCTAATTCAGTTACCTTTTATAAGAAAAGTGCTTGTAACAGTCAAGTGTACTCAAAACCTGAAAAGTATGAACAAAAACCAATAATAGACAGAAGTGATAATAATGATATTGAAATTATTGTAAAGATCGGAAATACTGCTGCAAACATTTGTATTAAGCAAAAAGATAAGTATGGTAAAAATAAGATAAGTGTTTCTACGTCTCCCATTATTGTAACTCAAGAAAAAGAAAATGTTGAATGTTTAGATAAGTCTATACAAGTCAACTTTGAAGAATTTAACACACAAAAAACTATTTCAGACAAGAAAAACACATCCTCAGCTGACACGTCTACTGTAAAGACTGGAACAAAACAGAGTTTTCCACAAAAAATAGTAGATATAAGGGAAATTGAAGACAATCAAAATGTATATAAAACAGACACAGGGATGATAAATGTTAATGCTGAGGAGGAATTAAATGATTTAGATATATTTGACAGTGAATCTGTAAAGGAAGGACAAATGCAGTATTTAAAAAAGACAGAAACAACTACATCTGCTATTTTTATGCCTACAAATGTTAGTAAACTGAAAACCCAACTTAATACTTTAAAACGAGTCAAACCAAATGGAGATGATGATTCACAGAGCAGTAAAAGATGTAAATTGGCTGTTGTAGAATCAAAACAAAGGGACATACAAAGAACACATCAAGACAGTAAATTATGTAATTATAATGACATAATGGATCAAGTGTTTGCGAATATTGATGCTGACATCCAAGGAGGAGATAAAAACATCCCAAAAAATATAAGTATTGTATCCAACACAAACGAAAATATTCAAACAAGTTATGGCCCACAAAAATATAGTGAAAATCTCTTTTCCTTGGCTGAGAATGATTTGGAAGGGGTGGCTAGACATGGAGTAAGTGCATAGTTAATATTTTAATTTAAAATAACTATAAATTTTATGTTGATTAAAAAAAACATGCAAATATTTCGTTTCTTATACTTATAGTTATCATTTAATTTGCAAAACCTCTAAAGTTTAGATTGTATTTTGTTATCATAAATCATTAGATAGATTTTTGTAAATTGCAAAGATGGAGAAATAAGTATTCATTAAACGTGGAATGCGCCAACCGTTACAGACGTATTTTTTCTTTTTATTTACCTCTGTATTTATTACTTCTGAGTGTTGATTTATGGTATATATTTTCAGAAGCCTAACACAATTATCGAATCAACGCAGCGGAAGCCAATAGGAATGTTATCCCAGAACCCAAAAGTGCAACCAGAAATCTGTAATACCGATTTAAATGTTGAAGATCTTAGTACACCTCAACACGATGATGACATGGATGTTGTTGAGGAAACTCCTCAAAAGTATGATAATAAGTAATCATATGTGCCCTGTCCTTTTGAAAACTTTTTTTTTAAATTCTAACCCAGGACCCCTGATGTCTAACTATATAATGAACGAGAAATCATTATTAGCTAGTAAAATTCATATTATTAAAATTACATTTTATTGTTTATAGTAAACGCGAATAGTACCAATTTAAAACACATTTTTAAACTACGACCCAACGTTTCGGATTCTGTGAAGTAACCGTGGTCACGGTCGGGCCTAACGGGTAACACTGTGGGCACCTCTAATTTTAAAGCAAAATCTGATACATCAAAATACATAATATAATGTATTTTTACTTCCTCATTTTTAGAGAAGTATCCCGTACAAGGAGCAAACGCAGCGACACGGTCATGGCGCAGAAAGTCATAAATAATTCAACTCACGCGTCGAATGCGAACAATGAGCCAGAAGACGCTACGAAGGAAACTTCCATCAATAGGACTGTCATACATTTGGAAACACCAAACTCCATGAGAAAGTTTATCAGTCAAGCACAATATAAATCTACACCTCTGGCAAAGAAATCGTTAAATTTCACAAACGACCGCGACCACACATCGTACAGTCCGTTTGTAGTGGCAAGAAACACGCAAGAAAAGGAAATAATGTGCAAAGCTTTTGAACAGGTGAACAGTCCAATAGAGAAGAAGCGGTTCAGAAAATACTGCCTGGCTGTGTCCTGTCTTAATCAGCATGAAAAGAATATTGTTAAGAATCTCTGCTCTTTAAGGAACTGGACTTTTGAAGAGCAATATACGAAAGATTTGACTCATCTTATCGTTAATGTTAATGAAGATAACCTAGCGCAACGGTAAGCTGTGTCAAAATTTCGTCCTGAATTCTAATTGTGGATAAACATGAGTTGTTGTTCTTACTTCGGTATCTGATGGAGGATTTATCGTTAATTTTTTTCTGAAATTAGATTTTCTCTTCAATCTAGAAATTTATTCTACAAATCCACAGTTCTATCAATTTGGACTCAACTCTCTACGGTTGTTAACTTGGTCTTTTAATTTCCAGATCGGTAAAATATATGCAAGCCGTGGCTAATTCTAAATGGATAGTCTCCTATGAATGGGTGGAACGATGCTTAAGCGATAAGGAAATACTAGATGAGGTTAATGATATCATATTAGTCTCCATAACTTTATTTAGCTTAGACTTACGACCTTTTGTTTATGTTAAAACACATAGAGACCGTTCTGAGATAAATATGAGCTTTTCCCTCGCTCCAAGAAAAATCAACTTTCATAAAGCATTGGTCATTGCCGCGAAACGAATAATGCATTGTCTGTAGTTTACGCTTAATTAAAACACTTCAACGGTTTAAAACACAAAATCTATTGTGACGACGACCCGTTATTTCGCGTGATTTACAGCCACCGCAGTCATTAAGTTATTAGACGTTATTAGTATTTATTAGTAGTAGTTATTAATAGTTATTACGTTAGCGCCATCTGTTCTGTCGAAGTTGGTATTTGGCGAAACTGGTTGGGTCCTTACAGAATTGACTAACGGTGTCTTCGCGTTTGCCGGTATGCTCTTTATTGGGATCCCAGGTGTTTGATAATTTGAGGCCGCCCTCCTTATTGAAATTTCGGTGTTTTTTGATTTCTATTGCGTACCAATTTTGGAAAAAATCGACTCTCCTTTGCGAGGCTCTGTACGGGTTGTTTTCTAAAGACGGTATGCCCATTCAGATATAGCCATACATAGCGTAGCAATTTTTTACTTTGACATCAGAGACATCCTCCATCTTTAGTCTCCCCGTGACCACGGCTGCTGCAAAGCATCCGAAACGTCGGGCCGAAGTTAAAAATCATTTTCAAATAAGTTTAACTAATATATCGCGTTTTAAACCGTTAAACGTTTGCATTATGGATTATTGTAAATTGTTTCAGGAGGCATTTGAAGTGCTGGATACAACAGGGGAGCCCGGGCCGAGACGGTCACGGCTCGCAAAGCAGAAACTCTTCACCGGCATCAAATTCTTTTGTATGCCGCCCTTTAGTGTGATTGATATTGATGTATTTAAGGTATAGTTTATATTTATGTTAGTTAGGCTCAGTAGGGGCTTAAAGGAAAAATACCTCAGCCATATATCAGAGTGCAGAACTTTTATATCCTGATTCTGAAAATTCAGTAAGTTATTCATTAACATAATAAATTCTAGGCAAACCTTCCAATTTCAATGCATCTACAAATTTTTAGGTTCGATATTCCCGTGATTGGAACCCAGGATCTGCAAACAATTATCGTGCCATCTACTACTAGAGCAACAAAATATGTAGTTAATAAGATATTTTCAATTCGTCAAAACTATCCGCCTGTGGAACTCTATCTACGAATCAGAAAAGCTCAATCTCTTTGTTCTTTTAAGACTTATAAATTTTACCCTACCAATTTTTAAATTAGTTTCTCTACATAATTAATTAGGCATATTTATTCTTTTCTCCTGTACTTCAGGTTGCCTGGAGGTGATCGCTACTTAGCAATAAGGCCGCCTTTTATTTATAAGTTAGTATGTAAGATTCATTTCGCTATATAAATAATAAAGCTGTAATAAATAAATAACAAAATATTTTTAAGGAATTACTGATAGCTGCGGGCGGAGAAGTAGTCGAAGAGTCTCATCAAATTAAAGCCACAGAAACGCCATCACTTCTTTTGGCTGAAATGGAAAACACACAAGAGGATCGGTTTATATGTAAGTTATATTTAGAACTTTCAATGTCCCACTGCTGGACATAGGTCTCCGCTCTTATAAAAGAGAGGGTTTGATAAAACCCACCACACTGCTTCAATCAGATTTTGCCAGCTCTAATGACTGATTATTACTAAGACCAACGGCTTAACGTGCTTCCGAGGCACGGTAAGTTTAAGTTATACATTATCCTAAAACGTTGCATCTTAATAATATTAAAATATAATATGTACTAAAATATATATATATTTTAACCAAGAATTAATTTCAAAATTATATAAGCATGATAATACAATAAAAAAAAATCATATTTTCCGTCTGGGTAACGCCATACATATTTCTTTTGTTTTATAAAACTTGACCGCGTCCGTTTTGCAATGGTTAACGAGTAAATTGGTTCTAGTCTTTGTCTAGTAGGCACAGGCAGCTAATAATCGATTATAGAAACAGACATAAAAATGTTTTTGCATATGTGAAATAAGGTTTACACACTTAATAAACATAGGAATAGAGACGCTTTGAATATTCACGTAATAAAAATATTACGTGTCTCTTTTATCATATTGATTAAGGAAAAGCCGAGTGAAATATTAATGCGAGTGATGCAATTTTCCTCCCCATTCATATGCAACTGCCATTGTTATCAAGGCAAATTGTAAAGTACACAATGTATTGTTCATCAATGATTGATATCCTCGAGAAAAACTTTGACGATATCTATTTTTAAATAATTGTTAAATATATATAGCCCGGTAATTTTAAACCCACCTAACATAACACTAACAGCTTTTTTTTACGCGAAGAGGTGTCTTTTTCACACTAAGTGGTGTTTTTCCAAACTAAAAAATGTTTTTATAAAAAAAGGAAATACCGCACGAGGTAATTTATTTTTTATTTATTTATGATTATATGTAATTTCTTTATATTGCGTCATATTAGTACAAATTAGAGTTGGATAGTCATTATCAGTCAATCTTATAAACTAGACGAATTGTATATCATTGTTTTTCAGCTAAAGAATTAATTCTTCGAGAAATCAAGGATCTCACGATGCCGTCCGCTCGTGATGGCTTAACGTCGAAAACCTTTTCTCGCTCACGTCAGCCCAACAGCTCGAAAAGCAATGATATGCTAAACGATAGCAATTTATTAGACAAATTTTGTTGTAAAGACCATATGTATTATAATGTTTACGGTAGGTTTGAATAAATAAAAAAGCTTTTTTAGTTTAAATAAACTACTACACACACCACTACAACTACAAGTAGTGCCTAACCAAAGCTACACAGTGTCAAAGTAAAATACTCTAAATCTAAGAAAAATACTTTAAAGATACTCAAATTTAATTTTCAATTTTTAGTTTTATTCAAGTTGCATAATATATGTAGCAAATATAAAAAAAGCATATAAAAAATATATCAGTATAGTTACAGACAACTAGCTATTAGACAAAACGATATAGGCGACGTTAGCACAGCCCTTAAAAATATTTAAATTTAAGCCTTTAATTATCTCGTGCTGTTATTTCTATCCAAATTGGTGCAGAATTTTAAACATACAGATTAACATATCCACCGAGTGGACAAGCATTCCATTGTGCATGAGACCGTAGCTTCTAATTCTGGGAAAGATACATATTTCGTTCGGACAGAGCACTAAAATCTGATCACGCCTGTACAAACATTCAATCAGTAAAACACAGAAATCTGTGTGAAACCTTTGAAATTAGGCACGCGTCGCTGTATTTTAAAATATATAAATGGCACTAAGCAAAACACACCACGTTTATTTTTAAGTATTATCACCTCTTACACAATACTCACACTATTTATTTTATTATATTTTATTGCATAATTAAAGAAGCAAATAAATTAACTAATAAAATTAATGAATGTAACAAATAGTAATACCTAAAGAAACCAGTAAAATAAACTTTGACTGACATTAAACTACTTACTACACATACTTACTACATCCCGGTTTTTTTCTGTGGCGCATGGGGCGACCATTCTGTATGTCACTGCTGGATCCTATTTACACTTAAGTATTAAACTATAATTCTGTGACGAAAAATCTTTTCTTTTTCTCGTCAAAGCGACGAAGCTATAGAAGCGTATAGTCTCTGAATACTGACTTATCTTTCGTTCACGACAAAACGAAATAATTTTTGCTCACAGAACACTGGTTAAATACTCAAGTGTAAATAGAAGGTCCTGGGTTCGTATCGCGGGGAAACAATAGATTCTTTCCGTCGGACAGGGCACAAAAGTCTAACTACTTATCTGTATAATAAAAACGATCACAGACATGTGTTTGCATCCTGTGCCCCACGAGTGGGAAAGGGATTTCACTTAATAGCTTTAAGTCTTTATTTAAGTACACTTAATTGAGAATTCTTGCAAATGACGATAATCGGTGTATGATTTCAGATCTCTCCATGCATTTAGGAGTGGTGCCTGTGAACTTTGAATGGGCGCTCAACTCTTTGGGCAGCTATACATTGTGTTCCATAATGGGCCAACTTTTGTGTCCGTCCACACTTCTTCCATCCGTTATAGCGCAGTGGCCTCTAGCGCTTATCACTCAAGATGACGACTCGAATTTACAATAGCCCTCTATAAATACATATATTATTTTTAGAGATGGGCCGAGTACTCGGTTGATACTCGGTACTCTGCATACTCGGCGGGTTTTTTGATATTCGTATTCGGCCGAATAACTCAGATATACTTTGTTATTTAATAACGAGTGCACTTTGAATAATTAAAAACATTGCATTTACGTTGATATTATTAAATTAACAGTGTTAATCCAAAAGTATTTATTAGTAATTTAGGCAATCTTTGAAAATCTCAATTAATAAAATCAAAATTTTCTAATTAATTTTTATGTATGAGACAAAATTACGAGAACAGTAATAAATATTTAAAATTTAATAGGAATTCGATTAGACCGAGTTACTCGGCCGGGTACTCGGTTGAAAAAAATTAACAGAGTACAACTGGGTACTCGTTACTCGGCTCATCTGTAATTATTTTTATCAACAGATCGAAAAGAATACTCGCTTAAGCTTTGCTTACTGTTAGACAGTAAGCAAAGCTGTTTATTTTGTACCAAAATTATAATTTAAATATTTCTTTAGATATTTTTTCTATGGATAAAATTTAAGCTTAACTTATGTTAAAGAATTTTTTGTTTTTAAGCATTGCCATATTATTTTATCTTCTTAATCACTACAATATTATGTTATTAACCGTGACCATTTTAATTTAATAAATCTTTTCCTAAACAAAAATGAGTTTTCCTTCTTTAAGATAAAAATAGAACGGAATTTCGAAGAGTGTCTTGGTTAAAACTTTAATCTTGTAACAGACGATTAATAAATAAGTAGAACTAAGTATTATCTGTAGTTTAGAGTAGATTTTTTTTAGATAGAGGGGGACAGACATGCATTGGGTTGGGTTACTTGATGGTAGGCAAAATACTCCAAGCATATAACTTGTTACAAATAAGATGCTTTTTCGGCTTTGAAAACCAAAACACGATTACACGTCACGGGTTTTCATCTGTGGGTGGTGGTTCGTGATCCCAATTTCGATGTTTCTACCACTAATTTAATAAGCAGATTTGCAGACGAAGTCGAACATGTTGCCGAAAAATTCTACATTAATAAGAAAAATATTGGACCCGGTGGGGATCGGACCCACGAACCGTTGTTTGTTAACTAAACATTACTACCATTACATTAACGATCCCGTCAAACTGACACTTTAAAAACGAATATATTCGCGGTTTATTTTATTCAAATATGTATATAAAGCCAAAAGCGAGTCGATACACGCTCAAAGGGTTTCCTACCTTTTAGAAATTGCAAGCTGCTTCATTATGCTTTTCTTTATTTTTAATACATATATATCGATAACAGGAATTCATGTACTTGTCATTTCTACTGTATCAACATTACGGTCCGGTTTCTTCATATAACATAAGTGAATTTTGTAAAATGCTTAATATTAGGTCCGTTCTTAGACACTATTATTGTTTTGTACGCTTATATACTTTTATTGGCTTTTCGCCACATACCGTACAGCACATTGTATTTGAAGCGAAACCGCCAATAATAATGCACACGTGTTTAAATTCGATATTATTATTTTGACATTATTAATAATAGTGAATTACCATCACTAACATCACTGAATTTGAAGACTGTATTCAGAAATCACAGTACCTACCTATTTGTTATTTTTTTTTATTACGCGAAACCATCGGAAACATTCGGACTAAGTTTTATTTTCATCAAAGCTTAAGTATATATAATACTATTAGTAATATTCAGATAAAAATACTAGTACTAGTATTTTAAACACTAACAATCTGTACAGAATTTTTGTACGAAGCGAACTTCAGTCAAATGTTTGCCTAACCATCCAGAATTTTTTAATCCAAATAATGTGACCAATAAATACTACTTCGTTATTACAGCCCTATAAAATAGTCCCACTGCTGGGATTTAGCTGTACTAACATGGCATATAAGTTTTAATCTAGCGACGCTAGTTAATTTTGTATTGTCATATTAAAATTTTAAGGTTTAGCTTAATAAGTTCATCGCAATGTTTTCCTTAACCCGTCGCACGTGTCAGAATTTACATATAAATATTTTTGAAACTCGACTGGGGATCGAATAGCAACATGGCGATCGAAAGTCACGTCTGCTCACCACTGGACCACTGGGCTCTATTCGAACTACACGAATCGATTTATTATGAGACGCATGAGCCGTCAGTCTGTTCTATAACATAAGAAAAACATTTTAATATTTAAATTGACACATTTTGTTAACTCTTACATTCATTCATTTCGTTTATTTTGAAACACCTACAAAAGTTTTAAAATCCAGATTTTGTTTTTTGTCTATCTTGACGTATATAAATAACAGATAGTAAATTGTGTCGATCAAAAACGCCAATTAACATACACTTATGAATTCGTTTCACAGGCTTTTGATAATTTTTTTAGGCATAGCCATGTGTCTTAAATTTAAGAACCGGTTAGGCCAAGAGGACGCACGTGTTCTTCACGCGACCTGACACTTGCGTCCCTGTCATCCACGTGAGTTCACGCTCGGACTTTAGTCCAAGGGTCATTGGGGTACCTGTTATTGTTAACTGTTAATGATGCTAGAATCGTTAAAATCGTAAGTCATCTTAAGTTGACATGATGCAATATCATGACATCATCAAAAGGCGCCTACGCACACACTGTGTCCTAAGTTAAAATTTTGGCACCTAATAATTCTATAATTAAATGCAAAAATCTGTACAAATTTTTTTTTGTATCATGGCGGGTAGTTCAACATTGCATGTTTTTATAGTGGAAAAAACAATTTCAGCTATTATTGATGTTTATTTAAAATTATTCTTATAGGTCATAAGGTTAATAGGTACTTTGAATAACCAGAATTATTACAGTAGAGTAGTTTAACATTTAAACTTGACAGCAATTACGACTATTTATATTTTATACTTATTAGTAATTAGGAATAGTATTACGATGACATAAACGAACTTTGAAAAAATTACATTCTAGTAAAGGTAAAAGTTTTATTTTATATGCTCAAAGTGGCAAAATTTTTTAATCATGTACTTTTTGAAAATCTGTGGTGTAAAAACTAAAAACACGTGTTTTGTAAGTAATTAAGTACTTAGTGGTTTTATCATAAACAATTGTTAGACCTATAATTAAGCATTATAGGTCTAACAATTGTTTTTCCAACTTTGAGCCTTGTTTGGCACAAAAACTAGTTGAATAATATTTTTTTCTGATTCAGAGTTCATGACACTCACAATGAAATGACGAAATGCGCCCTGCGAGCCCGATCACATTTGCGGGTCGTGGCTGCGCGATGGGGAATGACGTGGTCATAGTATCGCGCCACTTTGTCATCCAATCCACGAATCGTGTGTATAGCGTTCCCTCCACATCGACAGCGTACCGTTTCGTTGTAGAGGTGAACTAGACTGTACGCTGTCACTGCACCACACTGCGATCGACGGTTCAAGTTAAACATTACGGTACGAATCACACGTGAAGTGCCGGGAAGAATCAATATTTTTCTAAGTATAAATATAAAGGGAAAAGTGTTTTATCTCGCATTAGTGAACGTGCAGTGAATTGTGCATAAGTAGTTTTTAATTTCGGTACGTAAACGCCAATTAATTAGAACGAAAATATATTGACAATTCTAGGTATTCGAAAAATAGATATTGTCACATAACATAATTTCCTGATCCTAAAGTATTTTTATTTTAGGTGCCCTTCTATTTTGCGTATTATTTAAAAAGCAAGAATAGTTTCTCGACCTTTGTTGCTTTTTCAAGTATTCATTGTAAAAGTCCCCTTAGTTTGCAAAATAAAACATATTCGCAACATAAGCAAATTGTATTGCAATTTCTTGGTTGTAGTAATAATTGGTCTAAAAGTGTCCTTAACAGTGAGAAATTAGGAATAATCGCATATATAGATTTTGAGTTCTATTTTATAAAAGTAATTTAAATAAATATTTGTGCTTAATATTTTAATCATTATTTACTAGGAAGCACAAAATATTATATGTCGTGACTGACAGTCCACAAAGACTAGTTCGTGTTTCCTAAAATTTCAGTCTTCATTTAGTAGTGATCTATTTTTGAAATTTCCTCTCGCGATATTTTTATACGTGACGTTCCGTGATAGATTACAGATAATACCATAACATCAAACAATATTAAACTTCACGTGATTTTCTACACGTGCGATATTGATATTGTTATGTATGCTTTGCATTATGCCTGTTGCCGTCGTATAAGCTTCTAAGTTCTACGATCAAGTAATCGGCGATATAGCCGTATTATCTATTTTCCTTTCCGATATCGTCAAATAGTTTATTATCGAATCTTCCGATTTCAGTCCGCGCGTTACAGTAAAACGTAGTGTTATATTTTTACTGAATCGTTTGTTTTGTTGTGACCTTCGCTGACTTTCAGACATTTCCCCATAAAAATCTATAACTAAAACGTCTGTCATTTTATTTCAGGTTTGAACAAAATTTGAGCACTATGGCACCAAATTCAGCAGATGCGAATGGGGTCTTATTTGAAAGCGACGCTGCCACACCAGACATGGCACTTACCAATGCTCCAGTAATGAAAGCCGATAATTACCCAAAGAAATACGTTTGGCGAAATATAATCGCATTTGCATACTTGCACATAGCAGCTATTTATGGAGGCTATTTGTTCTTATTCTCTGCTAAGTGGCAGACTGATATATTTGGCAAGTATTTTGTACTTTCTCCATAATATAAATATGTGTCATTTAATTCGCATGAATCAGAATTTTATTATCACCCTGTAATTAATTAATGTTATTTTGCAATAATGAGAAAACTACAGACTCTATTAGTCATAACCAAATTCTAATCTAATTTATATGGAAAATTCACAAAGCAATTATAAATTTTAATTAGGTTATTTAGCAAGTAACGTGCATTAAAAGTAATTATAACAAAGTAATTTTGAAAAGGTACCAAGTTATTTGTATGCAAATGAAATATCAAAAAAATACTTTCAGACTGTTATTTCTGTTACTCAACCAGTAAACATTATGGCTGAAAATTTGTCCAAAGTTGATTCTTCTTTTTGTTAGATTATCTTTTATCTTAATTTAATTTTTGCAATTGTAGCTTTTAGAAATTAGAGTAATATATATGTTGTTGTAGATAGTATTGATTGCTGTGTGAAAAATGTATGCATATTATTTGTATGTTATTAGACATTAACAATATGTATGTTTTTGCAGCCTACATACTATATTTAATGTCTGGATTGGGAATAACGGCTGGTGCCCACAGACTTTGGGCCCACAAGTCTTACAAAGCAAAATGGCCTCTTCGTCTTATCCTTGTAATATTTAACACTTTGGCTTTCCAGGTATGTAACCAATAGTTTTTAACAGGGTTTTTGTAATAAGTTGGTATCCTCTGTAGTTTTATGTTTAAGCTCATTGCCAAAAATATTTAGTTTGGGGTGTTCAGAAACCAGATACCTTTCCAATTTAACTATGAAACAGACACTCTATTGTGCGTTATAATGTCACATCAAGGAGAATTTTAGTATTTTATACAAAAACTTTTATGACAAACAAAATATTCTATTGTACCTAAACTTACTTTAATTGCATTAATTAATATAAAACAATTAATTAAATTGGTCCATTATTTTAGTAGCTTAATTAAATTTCCTTATAATTGTGGTAAATTATTATCTCATAATTGTGAGTAAGTTTTAAATGGATGGAGGAAAAAAAAATATTTGACTATCCAAAGCCTGTGAAAACATATAAATTGTTAAAATGTAGCATATTTTAACAATTTATGTGTGTTATAATTTAACAGATAAAAAACTGAATTCATATTTAAGTACCTATTTTCTTTTACTGTGTTAATCATAGTTTACTGTTTATTTATAGTCATTGAATAATATAAGATGTTTTGATATAAATAATCTCGGACATCTCTTGCAACAAGTATTGAAGTTTACATAGAATTAATTTATGTATAGAAAGAGTATTTACAAATTAAATTGGGTGTGAAATAAGCTTTAACAAGTTTACATATTACAAATTCAGTTAAGATTTAAGTGTTTGTACAAAAATATGTTTTTGCTTAAATATATTTGCATAATATTAATGGAAGTTCATGGTTAGAGGATGTCAGTTTTAAACAAATACCTGATTTACTATGTTATAGTAAATAGGGAAGTTTGCTTTTTATGTATTTTTCGTCTGGCAAACTATATGTTGTCTTAAATGAGATCATAGTGACTGTTGCAATGTTATTTGGCTTAAAATTATTGCATTTTTTTTCAACTAGTGATTTTTTTCTTGCATATATTATTGCATTGAATTCTGCAATTCTTAGTAGATTTGAAGATACAGTTTCAGCGTTAAAATCATCATCATTATAAAGTCTGAATTTGAATTAAATTTGAGACTAATGAGAAATTTTTATGAAGCTTCGATGTGCTAAATAACATGAGACTATGGTATTTGCTAGGATACCTACTGACTGTTGTTGTTATAGGCCTCATGTAAGCGTACTATCAAAATGTTGCTAGATCAGACGGTTTTCAAACGATGTTTTTCATAGACGGCATTTAAATAAATTGATCTATAATTTTTTTTAGGATTCAGCTATAGACTGGGCTCGTGACCATCGCATGCATCACAAATATTCGGAGACAGATGCTGACCCGCACAATGCTACGCGTGGTTTCTTTTTCTCCCACATCGGGTGGCTTCTTGTTAGAAAGCACCCAGAACTTAAGAAAAAGGGCAAGGGTCTAGATCTGAGTGACCTATATGCTGATCCCATCTTGCGCTTCCAGAAAAAGTGAGTATACTATTTTTTTAGTTAAAAGGTCTTTCCACATAAAAACTAAATGATCTATAAACAAATACTTAATTTGCCACAATTTCCCATTTCGCCTTTGTTCTTACGCTAATAGTATCGGATAATAGGCTATGTAAATGATAAATGAAAAAATAATTTATCTGATTTACACCTATATAAGTAAAAAAGTCAAAAATTATTTATTCATGTAAGTTAATTAGTAGAAAAATATAATTAATTGACATAAAATTCAAACTGTTTCTTATTTTTCTTGGTTTAGTTGAAATTAAACATACATATTCCGAAATGGCTGATATGCACTTAGTAGGTTATTTTCCGTTGTTCGAGTGGCTTAGATAAGATGATAGCGGTGCTGTTTTTACGTCATACATTTGCAATTACTCACTTGCAACACTTCCTCTTTGTCCCAAATATTAGTCCCATGAAGGCTTATGAAGATTTTGTTAATAAAAAATTACTTAACAAGATATCAAAAGATTATGATTATATGTAATTTGGATAGATTGTCTTTTTATGATTATATGTAGTTTGAAACTTTATTATTTAGCACACACATTATTTATATTAAAAAAATGCGATACACTGGTGGGGCTTGAGCCGGCATCTTCACCATCTGAACTAACTACTACTAATCTTTAAAATTTGCTTGACATAGTCTACTGTATAGGAACTAAATACCTAAAAATAAGCAAATAACTAAGATTGTGTTTCAGCTTATTTCTGCTGCAGCTATGACAGCCTAGTATGCTACATATTCTTTGTTTTATTTCAGATACTACATGTTACTCATGCCAATAGCCTGCTTCGTTCTTCCAACCGTGATACCAGTGTACTGCTGGGGAGAATCCTGGCTGAACGCCTACTTCGTAGCCGCGATGTTCCGTTACGCCTTCATCCTCAACGTAACCTGGCTGGTGAACTCCGCAGCCCACAAATGGGGCGACAAACCCTATGACAAGAGCATTCAGCCATCCGAAAACATGTCCGTCGCTATTTTTGCCCTGGGCGAAGGGTTCCACAACTACCACCACACGTTCCCATGGGACTATAAGACGGCCGAACTCGGGAACAACAGGATCAACTTCACCACCAGTTTCATTAATTTCTTTGCTAAGTTCGGATGGGCGTACGACCTGAAAACTGTGTCTGATGAAATCGTACAGAGTCGAGTCAAGAGAACGGGGGACGGAACCCATCCGCTTTGGGGCTGGGGTGATAAGGATCACTCTAAGGAAGAAATGGACGCGGCTATAAGGATCAATCCCAAGGATGAATAAAAATATAATTGGTCGTCTTCAAATAAGTGTTAATTGTCTAAAGTCTATGCGGTAACGTGCGCAAGCGCTGCTTCTTATTTAGGTATTTCTGTTCGAATATTTTCACCGAAATCATTAATGACGGCTTTTTTTTAATGATTTCGTCGTTTATCTCTATAAGATCTTTATATTAGTGCTGAGTGGACCTATGTTATTTTACTGCTAACTCTTTGGTTAGTAGGTATTTTTGATAGTTATCACTATACTTTTGAGTTTCTAATAATTTATGAATTAACATAGGCTATATTTGAAGTATCGATAATTTAATTTTTTCGCACTGAATTCTGAGACTGTGAACGAAGGTAGAATTAAGTTGATGATTTAGACCGCTGCGTATATAAAATGTTATACCGACTTTTCGTACGCACGATATTATGAAAAACTTACGTATAGTGTATTTTGTGTCACTTGAAAAGGGTCCGCAACAAATATTTCAAAGCCCGTTTGAAAATGAAGTTGAGGTTTTTTATTAAGTGGATTGAGGTATATCATTAGTTTAATATGTAATCCAGTCTCTGAAAGCGTTTTCAGTAAAAAAATCACGATTTAATAATAAATTATGTGTTTGTTTACTAAAAATGTCAAGTTAGAAAAAATACACTATTCGTTTGTTAGGTATATGCAGCGTTCTTTTTAACTTCAGTATTACGCACCACTTACTAGATACAACTAGTCTGTATATTTGCATTTTATTTATTTTTCGGTCACTGTTTGCCACAAACACAAACCAGGGTCTAAGTCACGAATCTCCGGGGATTACTCGACTGAAGGTATCATCAACCAGTAATATAATATACAGCTTTTATAACCAACAAGAGTATTCAAATAAGCATATGTATTTACAGAAAAAGCAAAAATAAGCCGACAGCGCAATTTTATATTAAATGGGCTGTCATTTATCACCTCTGATCAAGTTATCCCAATACTTGTTGTGATTTAAAATTGGAATAAAAATCGAAAATAAATTTAAAAAAATTACATATCGGCCAGGACTTGAACCGGCATCGTCAGCGTTTCGTGCTGTTGCTCTACCAATTGAGCTACCGAGTCCTACACATTATTTTCGATTTTTCATTTTTACGCTGTCATCATGTGAAAAATATCAAAGTTTTCAAAAGCTATAAATATTTTTATCCCGGAGTCGTGACGAGTCCTATATTTTCGCACATACAGATAATATTATTTATGTTTAGTTATAGTGGTTTGATATTAGCAAGGCGATTTGGGAAAGAAACGTCGATGTCGCTTTCGTAGCGACTCGCATGGTGGACTGATGTGTGCAAAAGATTGTGATATTAAGTATAATATAAAGCTCTTTTCAGACGATGTTTTAATATAATTGCGTATAGTTCTTCCTGTTATAGCGTAGTCTGAAAAGAGCTTCAGTCGTGTTGATCGAAGAATAAAAATAACACGGTCTTCAAAATATTTATTTAGAGCCAAAAGCTTATAATAACCTGATAGATGTCTATCGTTCGCACTCAGTGTTGTTTATTAATATGCTGGACATACTAGCAAGTAGCAATTATATACAGTTCTAGAATTGAATGGTTGTTTTTTTTAAATATACTTTAACAATTTTAGAAGGGCTTGTTGGTTGGTTGGTATAGCTAATAATCAACGGGTCGCAGGTTCGATGCCCACTGGGTACAACACTTTTCTCATCAATTTATATTTTTTCCTAAAACATGTTGGACTTCGTCTGGAAACCTGGTAGTTCAATTGGTGGTAGGAATATCAAATTTCGTCACATAAGAACGATTGATGAATGAATAATTGATTGCCGAATATCCACGGCCATAATAGGACGACAGCGCATTTGATTTAGAAGTTATGTGGTTAGGGTCTTTCACCTACCATGCAGATGAACACTTTGCTTGTCCGATTCTGCTCTATCATAAAGAAAGTTATAACGATTGTCTTTAGATATCTACAATGACCTCAATTCCTCGCCCAGTCGGTGAAAATTTTTGACAATTAACATTTTAACGCATAATATCGAACGAGTTTATTAAAAAGTCATTACCAAGTTCACATTTATGTTAAGCCGAGAACTTGACCTCAGCAGCCGATTACGCAATAATGTATGCACGAAAATAATAAGGTAAATCATCAACGAAAATGTGCTTAATAGCTTTTTAACTACACTCGGACGTTTCGAAAGCTTTAAAGCAGTCGTGGCCATTCAAGGTATACAGAAGAAGCAACGGGTTTTATTTTAATAAACATGTTGATATATACTTGTGTTCACACTTCCACTTATTCAAAAATTGTGATATTTTATAAAGCTTATGTGTCTTTTCATAACTGGTCTTCAACGAAACTAAGGCATGATTTTAGTTTTACGAGTATACCACTTGTGTACTATTTTCGTATATGAGATTTCAGATCATATATTTTCACCGTAGAAGAGGTCGTGCTCATCATACTTGTCCGGTAGACAGACGAAGAATTCAATCAAATTCATGATGGGACCCCTCGAAAACGGGTTTTGGTAACGGCCTCTCTTGTCGCGCAGATACGGATACCGCTTGTAGTTAAACATCTCGTTCGTCGTTAGATTCATGCAGGCGTGCAAAACCTAGAAAAAATAATAGTTTAGTAACATAAAAATATTACTTGTTTTTCGAGCTCCATAATACATAAATAAATAACACATTGGACTCTCCAATGAGGTGTAAAGTTTGATTTATTAGTTCGTTTCTTAGTCATACGATATTTTGTTGCAAATTTATACTTAAAAAACCGAACACATAAATTACAATACGATCAAAGTACAGCTTTGATTGTTGATATCTTTAAGTATCGTCCTTTACAGCCTATTAAATATGTAGACTAGCTGATAGTGAGATAAGAGTATAATCAATTACTCTGATTTAAACAATTTCAATTCAAATTTGTGGATTTCCAAGTATCCAAATCAAAAAAAAAATCGACAGCGCATCTTTTTGATTTAGATATAATATGGCTGGGGTATTTTATCTTCCCTCAAGTGTACCCCAAGCATGTTTGTCCTTCTCTATCATAAGCATCAATAACACATCAGCGTAGACTAGACTAGATCTGTCTGGACACGTGGTTTGTCTAAAGTTTGTTAAATAATAATTAACAAAGAAAGTTCTTCCTTTAAACCGTTTACTACTAACCGAAGTGCATGTAAGAATCCATCCAAGTGCGCAAAAAGTAATGGCCTCAAGTAAACCCAGCATGTAAAGTATCCCGAAGCCTTCTAGGTAGAGGCAGTAGCACGCGAAGTAGATAGAAAGTGTACAGTTGATGGCAACACTCATCACGAACAAAAAGAACCACATTCGATTTCGTACGCCGATACAGTTGTATATGAACGGGCAGTGATGGTCGAAATAGGCCACGCAGCGCTTGCATATGCGGCAATGTTTTGCCCTGCAAACAATCGAGAATTTGAATTAGCATATATCGTTGATAACGGGTTCGATTTTTATTACATGTAGCATGTTTGGAACTTGACCCGGCATCGATAGCAATCTGTGCTGCTGCTCTAAGTAACTGAATATCCGTGACGTTGTAAGCACCACGTATCGCTATGGATGCCGGTTCACGACCCGCCCGTGTCGTATTTTTTACCAGCGTAGAGATAGTACGAATGTCTTATTTGATATTGGAGTGAAACTACTTTGACAAAAATAAACAAATCATAAAGCCGATTTCATATAAACAGCTGTGATTAACCAATTAGATTCGAAATTAACACTTGTTACATAGTCACACACAAAAAAGCGTCTATTTATATTTCAAATTGAGTTCATTAACCTCAAAGGTCGTAGACATCTACATGTGTGGCAAAGTCGGGAAAGTATGACGTTCCTTTTCTTCCACTTATCGTAGTATGGTATTTGCCTGATCGCTCTGTAGTACGTTTCGGAGTTCTGGGGTATGTACCCTGGGTCGCAGCGGTTCGCTATCAACCAACTTATCCACATATTTGCATTCCAATAGAGAAAGAAATAATGCGATAGTCGTAATGTATTCCAAGTTAATGGTATGCACTGTGAAACAAACGTGGATTACTGTTATATTAACTGCAATATTTAATATTGACTTGGGATTAATAACGAACGAACAAATAGTAATTGTCTGTTTACATAATTAATTATATATACACAGTTCCTTCGGTCGTGGGAGTACGAGCCTCGATGGACAAATATTAAAAACATCTTAGGATCAATTAATATCCTCTATACAAAAAAATATGTAATGCACTTTAAGTACGTGAAGACTCTAAAGGCGATAAACGGAGTGCCGGCGAGTTTCTTGCTGGTTCTTCTCGTTCGTTCTACGCCCTTGATTTGAGAACTGATAGTAAATGAAATGTTAGATTCTTTAGTTTTGTGATATCGTCATAAGGATCTCTTTTGATTGTAAAACTGTACTCTCTAAATTCTATAAAAACTTCGTTTACCTTTATTGTTTTATAGGTACTTTTTATGTTTATAACCACCATTAAAGAAAAACATAACTCACATACACTTACACCCACACATACAAACAAAAACACATCCCCATCCTTGGACACATCCTAAATACAGTTCTTGTATTATGCACCTATAATATATAACCTTGTCACTTGGGTAATTTTATTATTATCATTTGTAAATCCTTGTAATTGGCGTTATTGTCTAATTATAAATGATGAAGAGATGATGAATGAAGACATACCCGGATAATGTACATAGGATAGCCCCACAACAGAACAGAGACAAGAAAGAATAGGAGAGGTCCTTTAGAATCGCCAGCTCCTCCAAACAGGAGTGCCCAGAGCTCTGAAAGCGGTGGCATCCAATGGGACTTCCGTTTCATCTCCTTTTGAAGTAGTTTCACGACTTCCGCGTGACGATGGCTTTGAGCGAGCATGAGTGGGGTTTTCCCATTCTTGTCTCTAGGTTCAAGTTCGGCTTTTACCTGTAAAATTTACTCTACGTCACTTTTAATTAATCCTCATACAAAATTTGCTATTGAAACTATTTTTATTCTTTCAAATCTATGTGATATGTAGATTTTAATGGCAATGACTAGTTTGTGGCCACTTAAATTCGTTATTGATGATAATGATAATTGTGATCGCATCAATCAAATGAAAATTACCTTTTCGCAGAGCAGCCGAACGCACGTAAGGTTTCCTGACAAACAAGCCAAGTGCAAAGGCGTTGATCCAAAATTATCCGTGCAATGCAAGGGCACTCCTGAATAAATCAGGAGCCGGACGAGGTCAGCGTGGCCCTTATACGCAGCCCAGTGTAAAGCCGTGTCACCATTAATATCGGAGAGCCTTGTTGCTGCTCCCATCCCGAGCAGATAAGCTGCTGTAGCCGTTTTCCCATACATACAAGCTGTCATAAGTGGCGTCAGTCCTAAAAAATACGATATCGTTGTTCTCTGTAGCGTAAATCGTAAATTTACAGACAGGCAAAACTATATATAAATTTGAACCATCAAAGTGCATAATTTGCTTAAAGCCAGTGTAAAATATTGGAATAATTAGGTGCTATTTCACTCCCTGAAAATTATTGCAACAATTTTGTAAATCTCAGGAACTATTTCGAATTGAAAAATTGATTTTATCTTGAATATACCATTTATCGAGGAAGGCTATATTATATATAACATTACGCTACCACCAATAGGAGCGAAGGAACAGTGGGAAATTATTTAACTTTCAGGGCTTCCATAGCGTGCACTATGAAACCGATAAAGAAAATAAAAAAAATATGTAAGAAAGAATGATTCCTCTTTAAATTATCTACAAAAATGTCCGTGTCTTTGTAATGTGTAATCTTCAAGATTAACTCGCAAAAGTAATTAAATAAATAAAGGCTTACCTTTAAAATCCGCAGCGTTTACGGCGACACCAGATTGTAACAAAACTTGTACAACCGAAGCATGGCCTTTGCGACATGCCCAATGTATTGGACGCGGGCCCTTTAAGTAAATTCCTTTCAATAAAATTAAAGAATAATTAAAATAGATAAGATGGCTTCATCATACCAAAAATCTTAACTACGAAAAATATTTTTAAGGAGTTGTCTTAGAATTTAGTTTACCTGGGTTCCTAGACATGATAGATCAACAGGTGCCCCACGTTCAACAAGATATCGCATAACAGCCACGCTTCCGTCCAACGCCGCCCAGTGGGCTGGTGTGTAGCCATGCTGGTCGCGGGCGCTCAGAATTTCAACTCCAAGCTTTTCCACTAACCTTTCTATTTCCGACACCTCGCTAAGAATGTGAGACATAATAATTAAAACCAAACTTGTATAAGAAGTATTCGGTATTGCTATTGTTTAAAACAAATCAAAAACATTAACATAAGAATTAGTAGTAAGAAAGTTAAAACGCAAACGATATTAGTAAATACATTTCTAATATGTACGCAGATGGTTTTCCATGTTCGCAAGACGTGGTCAAACGACGGGATTTTGTTAATATTAAGCCTAAACAAAATTTAATATAACCACATTTATGGTAATATTTTAAGTATTGTAGCTCGTCGTATATCGCATATATAAAAAAATATAAGTATGACAAGTTTTTGTAACTCGCTAATAAAATTAAAAATGATTATATATTCTTACTGAATAATTGAAACCGTTAAAACTTAAATCGTCAACGTAGATATTGTATAAGACTATTAAAAGTTCACCGCAACCATTGTTCTTCTTCTTAATAATTTCGAATGCAAGTCGGCAAGTATGTTTGTAATATACGTAACGTAAATTCGTAAAATGTTATAACTAACCCAGAACGTACTCCTTCAAATATGAGTTGTTCAAAATCCGAATGATGACTGAGATTGGTTGTTATTCTAGGTTGCGTTGTGGGAGCATCGGGAGATATGGGCGAGCACGGGGGCAGAGCCTCCTCTGCCGCCATGGTGCACGGGGGCGGCTGCGGAAGTGCCCATACTCCGCGCGCCGCCCCCGGGCTTGGATAAACCTGGAAAGTTAAATTGGACGTAATATTTTTACAGCCAGCATTCTTATGGATATGTATATATTTAACTGCTTTGTTCGCACATCGGTACATAGAAGTTAGTAGATTAAGCGAATAAGTGTTTCTGCTTTCTAAAGCTCTCATTATATTATATTAAGACGATACTTATTTTTATATGTTTTTCAAAATATTATTCCACTTTAAGGTCTATAAAATTTATTTATAGCATCTACACCCGCAATGCGGTCGCACACTGAACTCATTAGCAACTAGGCCGCATCGTATGGCCTTGAGAGTTGAGACTATACATATATAATAAACAAAATGGGATTTAATATTAATTTATACCCCATTTAGGGTTTGACCACAATATTAAATATATGAACCGAGCGACATAATAGCCCTGTAAATGTGGAGGTTGATATTGATGACAAGTGAAAATTAACACTAAACGTGAAAATTAAGGCAAATTTTATACTCGTACCGTCAAAACAAATAACTATTATTATTTCTTATTGAAATTCAGAAGATGCACGATTGTCGGTCATTTATAGAAAATAATATCAACAACTTCGTGCGCTCTCCTTTCGAATTGACCTTCTATTTGGCTAATATTTTAGTTTATAGACATTATAGGGGTTCTTTACATACCTTGCTATTCACGGCGAGGCCGTTGCCTGCCGCCAAAGCAGAACCCTCGCTTTCCGCCACGGCCCTTTTGCGGCCTAGCTTGATATTGTTAACGAAATCTTTAACAAAAACCTCCACAGCAAATCTAGATACTAACACAGCATTGTAAATACAGTATGGATTGAATACAGTGGAAGTTTGGGCATGCGCGTTATGGACTTATCTCCAATGTTCAGTTGTAACGCACTGCATAGCACGCGGGAGGTTCGAAATTTGAAATTCAGCAAACGATAGATCATTTGTTTCACTTACAGAAAGTGAATGTAGAATGGTCATCTGTTACAAAATAGTCTGTCAAGACACTCGTACAAAGGAAAAGTCGTCTTAAGTTAAAAAAACAAAGTTGCAAAGGTGATAGGGTTTTGATCATTCTCTCTCGAATCTATTTTATTACAGTGCAGTAATAAGTCTTAGCAGCCTTTCAGTTTTATCAAACTGGGGACCTATAGCTGTGTTATTTACACGCTCTATCGAGAAAGTGGGCTAATTATTCGATAACTATGTAAGATGGGAATTTCAGACAAGCTGGGCTATGAAATCCCACGTGTAATAATTAATCTGCTCTTTCAAAGTTATGTTATAACTAACATATGACAAAATTAATAGGTCAAAATTGACATTTGATATGACATGAGATTTATAAAGGTCCAAATATGACCAAGTAAATTAGGCATCATTGTGAAATAAAAAAAAATACGCAATAATTCGGACTTAAGTTTTCGACGGTTTGGATGTTATGTCAATCCGCTTAATTAAAATTTACTATTCTACGGGTCTGCAAGACCATTCACTATATTATTTGGTCAATGAAGAACGATATTTTTTGTTACGCTTAAAAGCACCATTGACTACAGCGCCATCTATACGTCTGGTTCCTTCTCTCTATGCTCATTTGGCTGGTTGGTCCCTAATTTATATAGAATATTTTTATTGACTAGAGAAATGTATTCATTCCATGTTAAAAAAAAACATATAATCTTCCGTTAATATACAAACTAAAATGCCAACTATTAAATAAAAATGAACATATGTAACAAAACAAATTTTAGATTAGTAACAAACAAAAATTGTTAAAATAAAAATAAATAATGTGGAAACACAATTTATTGAATTAATATTTCACTTTCATAAAATATGGACAATGTTGATTTATAATATACATTCTAAATAATTATTTAAATAAAAAAGGTTCATAAAAATTGTGAAAATGAACTTTAATTCAGCAAGTTTTATACTAAATGTATAAATATGATATAATCTAGATTTCGTTTTACTACCTAAATAGACATCATGTTATAAAAAGTGTACAACTAACCCTAGTAGCTGATTAAACATCTCACAGTGGCTTATATTAGTTAGTTACATTAGATCTTATAAAGCACATTCTTGTTTTTATTATACTTAAACAATAATAATAGATAGTGAAATAAAAAATCAAAGCACATAGCTCACAACTGATGTTGAACTCCCAAACAACAATCATCTCAATACAAATCTTAAAACTCTAGTAAACTTGAAACATTTAACGAGCAAACTGAATAAATTATTATTCATAATAGGAAACAAACTTAACAATGTCGATAGCTCAAATAATATTTTCAACAAGAGAAGACAGGCTGCACAATTATAAATTATACAATGTGGAAACATTAAAATTCCATTATAACTAATATTTTATATTAAAGTGTTACTCTATGCCAATCAAAGTCAAAAAAGTCAATTTGTCTATTAATTACTGTACTGATATTGTAAAGTGTAGACAGTCAATTTGCACCATTATCTCTTTTGCGTTTTAAAACTTACAGAAAGAGGTTGTCCTTGCAGGACGCAACCGTTCAAACCTTGTATAGCCATTGCAGCCTGATCATAATGTCTCATAGTTACAAAACCAAATCCTTTACTTTTATTAGTCTGATGATCTTTGATTATCTTAACTGATAAAATAGCACCATATGGACCAAAAAGCTGCCACAAAGTCAATTCTTCCACTTCGGGAGCAATATTGTAAATATAAATAGACCACGTACTCGGAGAATTATGGTCACCGATAGCACCCATATGATTTATCCATTGATAAGGCTTAACAGCTGAATTCTTAGAAAAGTTATCATTGTTTTTATGTTTATTTGGATTACTTTTATTAGCATACTTAACAGTAAGGGGTTCCAAAAAGCCAGTAGGTATAGTTCCGTTGATATTTTGGATGGCTCTTTCTGCCTCGTACTGGTTTTCATATAATACAAAAGCTATGCCCGAGGCTATACGGGAATTGACTATTTTACCGAATTGTGCGAAAAGTCCATGTAAATCCTGTAAGGTTAGTTCGTTTGGCAGGTTACATACGTAGAGGTTCCAGTCGGCTTCCGGCTTGGTGGGAGGTTTCAGCTCCGGATTGAGGAGGGCATGTGATACTTTGAGGGTCTTATTCTGCATTAACAAGCCGTTAAATGCCTTTCGTGCCTTCACTGCATCGTCAGGACGAGCGTACTCGACGAAACCATACCCTCTGTTCGCTATCAATTTACAACTTTCTAATTTACCCATGGTCGAAAATAATGAAAACATCATATCCTGGGTCATGACTTCGGGTATATAATTGACGATAAGCTTCGTTGGTGATTCGTCGGGCCCATATTCATAATTTCCATGACAATTACCGTCTTGACACGAATCCGACATTTTTTAATTGTTGTCTTGGAATGACATTTCTATAACAATGTTGCCTGAGTAGCAATATCTCACGTTTCGTTCAGAAATCGATGAATAATACCAGTAAAAAATATATGTGACACTATTAACAAATAGGCGCATTCTATAAACATTTTATACATTCAACATCTTTAAAAATAAAACAGATACGTCATCAGTTCTTTTGTAATTATTTTTAACTCAGATGATTTTTGATTTTATGTTACAACTTCACACAGAATTGCCAAACTGGCAACATATTTAAAATCATTTAATACATAACAGAATATATTTAATTAAATAGAATATAAATGCACAATACGCCATCAGATACGTGTCTTTTTTTAATTTAATGAGTATACTTTGATTATAAACATTAAGTAAACTAATAAGAGAAAACAGCTAATTTAGTTAGTTCTGGTCTATGCAATATATTTATCGATTTTATTATATATAAGATATAAGTGTAATTAGAAATATGATATAGAATAGATTTAAAAAAATGGCGCTATAACTATATAAAGTTATCGTGATAGGCTTAGGACTCACTTAAGGTAAGCCAAGTAACTAATAATTTAAACTGCTAGAAAATATTTTTGAAGCTGCAAATTTTATAGAATATTTGACCAAATTAGGATATGAAATAATAAATATTAATCACAGTAAATGCTTTAATGGAGAAGATAATATTTGGTAGCTTAAAGAATACACAATATTTAAATTCAATTACATTGAATTTTTGATCACATTAATAACACATCAATTTGTTTTAAGCTAAATTAGTTACACATTTTTAACAGGACAGTATTACTTATTTTTGTATCTAGATTTAACTTTGAACGATCGTATTGAAATTTTATCAAATAGAATCTTTCTACATAAATAATTTACTTGAAGCGCGCAACTTGACCGATTTGAGACCATTGTGCTGATATAATACAAATCGCGAACAAAAAATATATGAACAAACATATACAATTACTACGTCTAATAAAAAGTTTAAAAATAATAAAAAAATATAGTGTTTTTTTGTAGCATACCTACATTATAGTATTTATATACTATAAGTAGTATTTTGTATAGTATAAAAAATATTACAAATAATTGCCATACCAAAAAAACTGTATTAATCTATTAACATTGAATATTTTTGTTTACACAATTTACAGTAAAGGTATCACATAGAATTGCATACAAAACAAATAAACCGTTATCCCTAGTGCAATCAGAAATGTTACATCACAAAGCAGGTCAAGTAAACAATTGTAAACAAATGCAAACACTACAAAATTGCCGTCTTCATACTCTAAAACACGCAACAACAATTACGTATTACATTAATAACTTATAATCATTACTTTGATTCGAACTTTGGAAACTGTCATAACAGAAATTAAGTAAATTTCTTATACAACGAAAAGCTATGAATAATTTCATATGAAAATAATATGACGTCAGTCTATCGTTATAGTATAAAAAAATCGTCGAAAACTACGTGCAATAATAAACTACATATCAATGCGTCATTTGATAAAAAAAATATCACAATAAAAAAAGCTAAATAGTATCTAAAAATTTCAATAAAATAATACTTTAAACACTTAACATTAAGCCATTTTTATTCCACTTTTATCCTAATCAAGTTCGTCAAATTGCCTATAGTCTAGAATTCTAAATAAATATTGAACGTCTTAAAACAATTTTGCGATAATATTATTGTCATGGTTAAATCTTTGGTATTAATATTTCGGCTAATTTCCACATTAAGTATGAGAAGAGAGGATGTTTTCTATACTGGCGTAGGTCCCGAATACAAAGCCGGTTATTCCGAAGATAATTATTGCGATGTCCTTCCACATCTTCCAGTCGTATTTTCCGAGTCGGTCTGGCCAGAAGGTTATAATCTCAATGATTGGTGGGAATATGAGAGCCAGGGCGGAGCTGCTAAATGCGCCAACGAGCGATATAATCCCGCTCAAATTCGGTATCAAAGCAGCTGCGATAACTGTAATGAAAATGTATTAATGAATACTTGCATATACAATTTTATATTTGGTCGTACATTACAATATAAAAATCGAAGCATATTGCCACCGTCTGTGTCATTCGCCTTTCTAATCCTTCAAAAATACCGACCAACTCTTTTAACTTTTTCTACAATTACAGTACTTCAGATCCTTACCTAACAGTTTTAAAATGCACATTTTACACTTGTAAAATTCTTCATTCGAGTTCGAATCTAAATAAATTTAACAGCAAGATAAATACAATCATTAAATTACGATTGAAAAGATTTGGGACTTTAAATAAATACCAAGAAGACTTATAGGACTTTTTTAAATTTTAAAGGTTCATGATAGGACTCGAATATACAACCGCAGCATGGTAGCAACTAGCACGCAACGCTATAGTCGTGTCTTTTTTCAATTTAAAGTTGATTTTTAATATAGATATATTCTTTCCCTCGCGCTCATAATGTATAAAACCCACGATGTCGAGAAATTAGCTGGCATTTAAACGGTAAATTGCTTTTTTATATAGCCGTTATAACAATAATATCGATAGTGATTCATGAGGTGGTTCACAGATCACTCTGGGCTCTTTCCACGCCTGGTTTCTTATCGCGCCGTAAGTTTCCTAATTGAAGAGGTCAATAACAGTTTACTAATTGCCTAGAGCCGAAGCACAATGGCTTAATAACCTAGCTTTCAAATTTCGGTCAAAAAAGTTAAGTCTTACTTATCTATACTTATATTATAAAGCTGAAGGGTACGTTTGTTTGAACGTGCTAATCATAGTATCTATTGGTTCAAATTTATATATTCTGTAGTGGATAAACCATTTATCGAGAAAGGCTGACAAGAACCGTTTTTATGGTAATCAAATTTAGTCGATATACTTCATATCGTAAACCAACGTTTGCAGAGCTAGTTCAGTGACACGGAAATATGTGTGCCCCTTTACCCCTAAGATGAATGGGTAATATATACATACATAGATACATACCCATTATTGGGTTCATAATTGCCGAGACAGTGAAAGTCAGGACCGTTTAGGTGCATCTCCGTTATTTGAATGTAGGCCACTATTAGACACGGTCCGCGAACAATAAGTGAAGTGATTGTAAACATTCAAATGTAACTTCTAGGACTATTAAGAATAATATAATTTTATATATTTTGTTTAGGTGATCGAGTTAACATATATTCTACCTATACATTTTGATGGCCTCGTTGGTCTAATGGTAGCAATGTATATCGACGGGTCGTGGGTTAGATCCCCAGCGGGTCCAATGTGTTCCAATTTTTCTGAAACATGTTGGAGTTCGTCTGTAAATCTGGATATTAAATGGGCGGTAGGAGTATAGAAATTCCGTCCGGGTCACGAACCACCGTCCACAAATTGAAAGGCCTTAAAGCTTAATCACGCCTCAGTTTCAGTAGATTTCCGAATATCTAAAGCCGAAATAGGTCAACAGCATATCTTGTTTCGATGCTATAGGCCGAGGTATGTCACCTACCATCAAGTGAACCCTGTGCTTTGTCCTCCTCTATCATTAAGAAAAACGTGTTAATGGATATATCTCCATAGCCCCTTGAATACCCTTCCAATTCTGGATCCCGGATACCAAAGGAAGGATGCCGAGGTGGCAAAAATTCGTTGGCACGTGTCGCAGTTCATGATTCAAAGACATGTTGGTTCTTACGATATTTTACTTGAACTGTTAGCACCTGTCATAATATAAATTAAAATAATAATTTTAGCAACACGACCGAAAATCGAAGTCGGGAATAACGCCGACACTGCACTTAAGCACAAATAATTGTCAGTGTATAATAGGTACTGGTTAGTACAATAAAATCAAACTAATACCATCATTTCGATTATCGATACCTATCACTTGGAAAATATTCCACGATAATACAATCAAAGCTACGGAATACTTTGAAATGTCATGTTTGTTCTTCCACGCACTAATGGTTTAAGCGATTTTAATATTTTTTTTATTGACGCATCCGACATCCGAAATCGATAGGGGAAGGAAGAGAAAATTTTATGATTCTAATTTTAAATAAAACACTTTAACGGTATAAAACGCAATATATATTAGTTAAACTTATTTCGCTGCAACTTATTTAATCGCCGTGACCGCGGCTGCTGCAAAACATCCGAAACGTCGGGCCGTAGTTAAAATAGTTTTCAAATAAGTTTAACAAACATATATCGCGTTATAAACTGTGTTTTATTTAAATGTGTACTACTCGCGCAAACTGCAGACAGTGTTCAATTTTAATTTCGCTTTACTAAAATTCACATATCAATCAAAATGTGTACTGTAGAGCTACTAGTGTCACTGCATAATAAAGAAGGGGGAATTATTATGACGATTAGATTAGAATTTCATCTTTCTTCGTGTGTATTCATTCACGTCAAAACACAATGTCTAAGCGTAGGAAACATTTAATTATTCATGTTACAGCGGGTCACTCTTTGCGAAAACAAAATAAATACAAGATAACGGAAACAATTACAAACATTTTCTATGAACGAGTGATAACCTATGAGCATTTTATTTGGGTTACACGAAATCGGTTATTTACTTCCAGATAGTTGATTGTTGTGTTTATTTAATTAGATATTTTAAGTCGACAATTAATTTTGTGTGTGAAAATTCCGAAACGATATTTTTATTCAACTTAATAACCATACACAGTTTATAGCATGCTTAAGTGTGTGTTGACGGCGTATAATTAAAAATATTACATTATTTGAGACAAGAGATGTATGCGTTCTCCTCTCACTTTAAAACCCCGAACTGGTACTAGAAAATTTAGAACGCAGGACTCTGAGATCAGCACCAGTGTAATAACCACGAGGCCAAATCTACGCTATTACGATAGACCAAGTTTGGCCCGGGCTGAACTTGAACCGGCATCCACAGCGTTCCCAGCTACTGTCTAACCAATTGAGCTACCGCGTCCTACACGTCATCGTCGCATTTCTTTAACTGATTGATACAAGCGCCTGTTGCGATTTTAAATTTCAACCAAAACACTAGCATAATATGTGTGCGTGTTTTTTTCATCTTAATAACGTAAAGTGATATCAGAGAATTTATAGCGAGCTAAGACTTATTGTTAATCTATTCGATAAATAAAGACAAGGACTTGTGGTCAGGCTGTCTAAACAAAGTTGATAAATAACTAGGTTACACGATATTGTTTGTTTTAAGTACGAATTGAAACACCTGTAGGAAAAAAACATGTTAGCTTAACTAAGCTATAGAAAATGTGTAAGGACCATTACCATTTTGTGGGTTCAACCCACCCAATGTCTATAAATATCCCCCACTATTCTAACATGCTAAAACGCTGAACAGAATAAATGCGGTTCACGCTTAAATAGGTTGAAATAATTCGACGATGACGTGTAGGACGCGGTAGCTCAATTGGTTAGAGCAACAGCACACAACGCTGTAGATGCCATTAAGTCCTGCCCGTGTCGTAATTAAAAAAAAAACTAAAATCGATTTTCAATTTACAGAACAAATTTTGCCCTACATTATACAGTGTAAATGAATACTTACACGTTAACGATATCAATATAAAGCGAGTAATAGCTTCTCCGTAGGCTAGAGCTTTTTCTGACGTCAGCTTCGATTTGATGAAAGGCCACACGATGTTCATGGGTACATAGAACTGAAGGCCGTAGGAGAGGAATATAGCTATCGCCATCATAGCTCGAACGCTCTGTGCCAATCTGCGAAACACATTAGTTGATTAATTGAATAACAGCCTCGTTTAACGGACGCCCATAAACTTTGCTCACAAAATCTACATATCAAAGAATGAACGCATTTTATATTTTTTAATGAACCAAAGAGTAGGTACTGCTTGTAATATTTAATAAAACCCCACGCATGATATTTAAAGTAGGAGAGAAGGAATAATTGAAAAGAGAAAATGACAATACAAACAATATAATAATACTTAAAACTTAAATAATACTCAATAAATAAAAGTAAGAGATTAGAGCCATATAGACGAAAAATCGGACATTGCTTGCCGCTGGTAAAACATTATACTTGATCACCTCTAATTATTTATTCAATGTACAATTAATCGAAAAACTAAAAACAATAATAATAAATACAATGCTTAATAATAAATTAAATTTATACGTCACTTAGCTTTTTATACCTGTAAGTAGGCACAATGCCGATTTAATTAATATATTTTTTTAACGAAGTCGTATTAAAATAAAACACTTTAACGGTTTAAAACGCGATATATATTAGTTAAGCTTATTTGAAAATTACTTTTATCTACGGCCCGTCGTTAGATATCTCGCGTTTTAAACCGTTAAAGTGTTTTATTTAAATGTGTACTACCCGCGTAAAATAGAGGCGGTATCGAATAGTCATAATGTATTTGCTTTTAAAACGAAACGGGTGTTGAATTTAAGTTAGTTTATAGAGAGCGAAATATTTTACGTCTCCAAAGTCTTGTTAACAACTTATATAATAAATGCACGTACGGTTCATTCGGTAGATTAAGCGTGATGCTGCCAAGTACGTGGTTTCCATATTTGAGATATCCAAAGAATCCAATAGCTGTGTACAATGCGGCTACTATAACCATGCCTGTATTTAGCACTCCGGTCCAACCGCCGAAGTCTTGTGGTGTTTTCATATTGTTCTCAAGAGGGAGTACCTATCAGTAAAGGAATTAAGTTATTGCACCTAAATCAATAAAGTTAATGTAATATTCATAGTATAATAAAGGCAACAACGCTAAATATATCGCGCCCTATCAAATATATAAAAAACCGAAATATTAATCGCAATTATAATAATTGTATAATTATAATTTAGTCACAAAGAAATTCACAGTCACATTAATATGCACCTACTTAATTTAGACCCTCTGTTTGTCAAAAACTACGATAGTAAGGCCAAATCGAAAAAAAAAACTGAAAATCTATTTTTTAAAAGTTTTGATGTCAAAACCTGACACGGTAGCTCAATTGGTTATAGCAACATCTAAAATCGATTTTTGATGAATATCATGCCATCATAACATGTGAAAAATATTAAAGTTTTCAAACGAAATCTTAATAATTTTTATTTACGTGAAATCTAATAATTCCAACCGAAGTATAGTTACGACGGAATGTTATAGCTACTATCTATTTTTATATATTATACATATACATATATTATATGTTTTCTCTGACCATATTTCATTGTTCCCTGGAATTTGAACCGAGGGTCTCATAACGCATTGCGGCACAGACCTTTCAAGTCTTAATCATAGACGTGGAACATAACATCGTTTTGTTATCAGTTTATTGTTCGGCAAACGGAATAATTACGTATTCTACAGACGTGCGGAGTGAATTAGATTCGTGTCCTATGAATATGTAAACGTAATAAGCCTAAGCCAGCAATTCTTAAACGAGAAATTTTCCCGCATATCTCTCCTTATTAATCGGAGTATTTTAATTATAAAAGACAAATGTAAATTCTTACTGTTATTCTATTACGCTAAATCTTATTTATTATATCTTGTTTTGATTTTATACAGCTGGAGTGGTCACCTATTATCCAGTGAACCATGCTTATCTACCGTCCTCGACCATAAAAGAAAAATGAAAGAAGCACATTTATCACATTAGAATTTGTAAGACATAAACATTTTTTGTTAAACTATGTTGAGTTGTTTGTTTAGCTTGCAAAATCAACAAACACCACAAAAAAATAATGTAACTTTATTTCGTGTGTATATTCCCATAATGTATTTAACTTTTTGTGATATTTTAGTTATAGAATAAAATTTTAATTATATAAAAGGCTAAGAGAGCTAGAGCCTTTGGGATTATAATCCTATAAGCTAGTCTTGTATGCAGGTGTACATATGAATTGCTTTTTTAACTTATGACAGTTCATGTAGATAAATTATCGCTCTCGTTTCAAATGCCAACAAAGTATTCATAAACTTTTTGATAGCCATCTGTTTTAAACATACAGAAAATCAATATCTCAACTGCATGCGTCACGTTAACAGTATGATATTTGATATCACAAGTAACAGCTAACAAGGTATTCATTACAAAAAAGCTCGTGGTTTTACAAGCTAATAATGAGTATTGAGTATTTCATATGTTAAATACTTCTATACGGAGTAGTACACATTTAAATAAAACACTTTAACGGTTTAAAAGCGATATATTATTAAACTTATTTGAAAATGATTTTTAACTTCGACCGTCGAAGTGTCTCCCCGTGACCACGGCTGCTGCAAACTCCGAAACGTCGGGCCGAAGTTAAAAATCATTTTCAAATAAGTTTAACTAATATATCGCGTTTTAAACCGTTAAAGTGTTTTATTTAAATATTTCATTGTTTTTTTTATGAAACAGGAGGACAGACAAACATGGTTCACTTGATAGAAAATGAAATACGCTGTCGACTTATTTTGGCTTTGGATATTCGGAAATCTACAGACTGAAACCGAAACGCGCTTAAACATCACGGATTTTTCATCTGTGGATCGATTTTTACCACCCATTTTTAGAAAAACTTTAAATTCAAAATTAGAAACATGTGGAGTGTGGTGGGGATCGTACCCTACCATTAGACCACCGAGCACATGTAATCCGTAGAAAAGTGTATAACGAAAGTTAGACTTTACGTTAGATAAAATCATTTATATATTAGCACGTTTAAACGCGAACACCATACCTACATTTTAAGTACACTCGATGTTTAGGCTGATTCGTCAATCTTCCCCTTACTTCCCTTATTTTATTTTATCTAAGTATATCATTAGAGTACAACTAAATAAGTACTTTTTTATGTTCATGATTTAAGTAAATTTCTATTCAGACTAGTAGTTGAACTTCTGCCCGACCGAAAATGTATTTACCCGGGATTCATATCCCGGATCTCTAAACGCGCCTAACGCACGTGTAACCCGTAAGCCGCAGAGGTAGCCTTGATTTGACGAGGTACAACATATATTTTTACGATATACAAGAAATAAGTACACATACATTATTAGAGCGATAAAAGAAATTGGTAGAATATGCAAATATGAAGGGCACTCACCACGCCGATTCCCTCAAATGCGTAAATAGCTGTTCCGAAATAGAGGGGTAGCTGATGCCAACTAGCGAATGCTCTCACAGTACTAGTATGCGGTAGATCTTGTAATATATAGTAGAAAGTAATCACCAAGCCCCAAGCGGTCATTATAGCAGCTATGAGAGAAACCGGTGTCAAGTATTTTAGGTTCTTCAACATACCCAAGGCTAACATGGGCGGAAAGAGTAAGGCTAAGTAGCTGTGGACACCCATGTTTATTCGGAAAAAGTGCATTGTATCTTGAAGGTTAGTTGCCACAAAAAGAAAGTACACACAGCAAAATCCCAACTGAGTTATTACAAGAAACACATTGACAATGTTCCTGAAAGAATAAAACCTCATGCATTTCTTCTGTATATACATAGATAGACATAAATCAAGAGTCAAGGACACATTTTGTGATACTGTCCACTTGCAAATTATCTGCAGTTTACATAATCTCTCAGTAATACAAGTGCAGTTATAGATAGTGATACAAAATATAATTTTAAACTATCATATACTAGTCTTTAATTCCATATGCATAGAGTAGAGAGTATCTCACTATAATTCAACTTATTAATTAGGTATTTGCTCAAGACTGCTAATTATTTTTTTCCAATGTAGATAAAAATTCCACTAAATACCTTGTAGCTTTTAATATTGAACTGAATAATATAATAAGCATAATATTGTGGTCTAGTTATAGAAAGTACAAAAAGTATCTCATGTTATGGGAACACACAACGTTCGAATGTACGTAAGTTAATTATTTTGCTTACCTAATATTTTTCGCATATTTTCTCAAAGGTATGGGACCCATAGCAAATGCGTCTTCTACCACTTCCGCGAAACTCATTGCTGGTCGCTGATTTCGCACACAGAGTTCATGGGAACAAAGCACTAATATATGCATACAATGCGTGCATATTGCTCCCATAAATAAAGTACCAATAACTCCTGTAAGGCATTATACTTATAGTAATTAAGAATATCGTACCACTATAATTAAAATTATATAGCATTTAATTTACGTACCCAGAAATAATCCCGCATTTTTAAAAGCATCGGGCATAGCTAATATCCCTGTACCAATGTTACCTTTCAGCAGATGAATTAATGTATCAAAATTAGAGGTGGGATGTTCTAAGTAACGTTCAGACGCCGGATTATATTCAGTTTTCTTTTCATCTTTGCTTTGTCCTGTAGGACTAGTCACCAATTCAACAACTTGACTTTCAGTATTATCAATAGGAATACTAGGCCCCGTAAGGAGTGGTTGTTTTTCATCATTCATTTTTGAAGGATTTTATAAATAAAATGGTCTTATATATTCCAACACAATCTGCTTTTACATTTTATAGATATATTGCGTGTATAATAATTGATCCATCAATATCAACAACAGCACACGTACACTCCAATCAAACATCCAATATAGAACTGATTACTGATGTGACAATCCGACGTCCCAAGCCCAAGGTGAAATTTATTTATTGACTTAGTCTATGGAAATAGTAAATTGACTTAGTCAATCATTATCTGTCTTACTTTTTCCGTCATTTCCAAAGTCATTTCATTGACGTTTGATAACAATACCATTATAAAAATACAATAATAAAATACCAAGTTTAATTAGTAATTAATAAACAACGATTCACTTTAGTAAGCGTGGTTCCGAATTCTAATACTTTATTAGTATGTAAACATCATTTAAAAACAAAGCTTGAGTCTTTGCGTCAAATATTGTTCTTACCAATTTATTCAAAAACCGAGGATGGGTAATGCAGGTAGCAATCAGCCTAAAGAATGGCATAAGGATCAATTAAGCAAGCAAAACGAGACTGGGCCATCATCGCCTACTAAAGAAGGTGAGGCATTCACATTTGACAAGAAAATAGACGATGACCGTGTTGGACGAGACGATGACAGTAATATTGAGGACGATGCTCCGTATTTTACCAAGGCCGTTCCTGAACATGACGTTGAAGAACCAATAACTCGACAACGGTCCAACACCTTAACCGATAGTAGTAAAAGTATTGAAGATGTACAAGTATTACCAACAGTATTCAAATGGGAGGGTGGAGGCAAACAGGTGGAGTAATAAATATGAATGCTTTCATTAACAAAAGTGCAACTAGAAATACAATTATTTGCTGTTTATTTCAGGTTTACATTAGTGGTACATTTACTGAATGGAAGACAATACCAATGGTCAAGTCTCATGGAGATTTTGTAACTATTATTGATTTACCTGAAGGTGAGCATCAGTATAAATATTTCGTAGATGGGGAATGGCGACACGATCCTACTGTAGTAAGTAACTATAATGAATATTTTACATACACATGCAAAATATTGTGCTAATCAATTTAAGTTTTTCATACATTTGCAATATGAAGACTAACATTTTCCAGGGTTGTTCATGGCCTGCCCCTATTAAAACCATTTGCTTTTATTGTTATTTTTTACATTGAGTTTTGTTTGAATATATTTTTAATTTTACAAACATTGCTTGCATATCTCAAACAAATAAATATCTTTTTACTTCTAATTTTTCAGAAAGTTGTGGATAATGGAATGGGATCTAAAAACAACTTAGTCACTGTAAAAATGTCGGATTTTGAAGTATTTCAAGCTCTTGCAAAAGATAGTGAAGGTGTACATAGTTCTGCTCAAACAGAATATTCTCAGGTTAAATTTTATTATATTTTTATTTTCCTTGTTTTTAATATTTATCAGTACATGTATTCTCAAGAAACATTAATTTTCTAGGAAATCCCACAATCTAAACCATGGGAAAAAGTATCTGGACCTCCGATACTCCCACCACACTTACTGCAGGTTATTTTAAATAAAGACACACCTTTATCGGTAAGTTCTATATAATTATTAATATTCTATGCTATTCCAATAAATTTCATTTTAATAACAAACAATATTTCAGTGCGAGCCGACACTTTTACCAGAGCCAAACCATGTCATGTTGAATCATTTGTATGCATTATCAATCAAAGATGGTGTTATGGTATTATCGGCTACACATAGACACAGGAAGAAGTATGTCACAACATTGCTGTACAAGCCCATTTAAACATGCAATAAGAAAAATTGCTTCGATTTAAAAGTGAGCTTCTCAACTATTTATTTTATTTAATATTTAGAATCATTTGTAGTCAATTGTATAATTTGTTTATGAAATTATGTTTTGGTGTATAAATTGAGTAAACTGTGTCAGTGACTATAATTTTATTTAATAGTTTTAGGAGTATAATACTAAATAATACTTCTTAATAGTATTCATATGAAAAAAATCTTAAGAATTTATAACAGTACACTGGTAACATAAAATTATTCACGACAGAATTAGCTAAAATGTCCACACATACAATGTGATGAAATCTATTATATCAATCAGTCACAGCTTCAAGCTGCCTAACTAAATATACAAACATTGTGAATTAAACATCAGCCTTAAATGCTAGGATTAAATATTATATATCTAGTAAAAATACATATAGATAAAATATCTGCGACATAATACTGGTATGTATTATGCGAAAGACATTTTGATGTTTAATATGGGTGTACATACACTCGTGGATCTTTGGTTTCAACAATAGAGACCCAATTACACTGATAAATAATGACATTGAGTGTCTGTAGTTTATAAGAACAATCAGACATATTAAATAAAATACTTATAGTTGTGATAGTGGCGCCTGAAAAGCATTAAAATTTAAAAATGTCAAATGTATAATCAACAACTTAACTAAAATATATTTTGCAGTAATAAATTTAATATGTTAAATGCATTTATTTATTAGTGCCATTAATTAAACTTATTGGTAATCAATAGTTTATCAATGTTATGTAGATCTCTTCTCTTTATATAAAACATCATTATTTGTCTAGGAAATAGGTCAAAGTATAATAGAATAACTAAACTAAATAAAATCAACGGTAAAATAAAATTAAAAATAGTTAAGCAACACAGCCTCTATTGTACCTTGGTGTCTTGTTACATTGCCTATTCCACTGCTACATCTAAAAGCGGTGCTTTATCCCTTCTACTTCTTTCAGTGTCAACATTCACATTATTAACTGGATTCTTAAAATACATAGCTACAGATATAACTACTAGACAAATGGACACTATTGTGTAGAATGTTATGACAATCTTGAATAATATGTAACATACTACCGCAGTAATTATCAACTCTAAAGCACTGGCATATGTCTTCAAGATGGAATTCAGATTTTTCAAGAAAAAGCTAGTCACTATTCCAACTATAGCACTATTAATTGTAATCAATATAACAAACACATCACCTAGTGACTGGAAATCTTGAAATACAGTCCCTATCTCGCCTTTGAATAAAAGAATGAAAAAATTACAAACAACAGAATCTAAGTACATAAATACATTTTGTAAGAATATGTCTCCATTGTTTCCCTTTGTTTTTAACAAGTATTCATTATAAGTACCGGCTAAGCAAGAGCAAAAGTTTTGAAAGTTGATAGATAAAAAGTAAATATTAAAGATTTGAGACCAGAGATCCACATTATCACCCTTTGATGTGATAGTTGCTGCATCGAAGTTCTTTATCATGCATCCTATTGTGAGTATACCTAATGATATCCATTGGATGAATGCTAATTTTTTCTTGAACAGAAACTGAAAAAAATCAAACAGAATTATGTCATGTATGTATTACAAACTAATATATTATATAGTAATGACTTCCTGCCACAAAATCATAGTGATTCACTTGTTATCATTATCATTAATATCATAGATATATCTTTTTTAATCACAATAATAAGAACTTAAAGAATTCAAATGAAGATAAGAGGTAAATTAATTCTTTTATATTTTTTAGTACAAATATTCTGAATTGGAAACTGACCTGAAATATGAATGCTGTTAGCACTACTCGGAATTGCAGCAATATATAATATGATGTAGGATCATAATGAGATAAATTGATAAATGCTAAATTATTATAAAAACAATATAGTAAGGAAGGTATAAAGTATTGCAGGAGAAGATTATAGTTTATTACAATAGCTTTGAAAATATGTGGCTTGTCTCTGAAACAAAATGCATAACATTAATTTCAAATTATGAAATAAACAATTGGTAGTTTATAACTAACTTACCCTTGTTTTAATGTATAAAGAAGAGAGGAGATAACTAACTTTAACAATTCAGATAGAAAGACAACCAGTGTTGTGTTATAATCATAAATTCCATTTTCTGTTTTAGAAGCAGTAATAAAAACACCTGTAAGATACAAATTTTTGTACATACATGAAAAGTATGCTCTATTTACCTTATAATTTTAAATGACATACCTTGAAAGACAAATAATATAATGTACAAAGCAAACACAATAAAACCTTCCTTATTAGGAAATAATTTTTTCCACTCATTCATTTCGTACTTCCAAATTAATTTGCTTTTCCTGGAGTTGATTTTTAATGCCCCACCTATTTTTACTCAATTTTTCTCAATATGTTTGCAAGTCCAATTTGGCACATAACAGTATTAAAACTAAGTAAAAATTGTTTTCTCTCTGTTACATGTTTAGTACTAGCTACATAACATGACCTTAGAATTGTTTTATTTTATACACAGGTGTTCAGCCAACGTAATAACTTTAAAGATAATAACTTATTGTTTCGTTTTGTAGACATATATAACTAAAGACGTATATTAACAGATACTGATTATTAGTATAACATGTTTCGTTGCTAATCAATTACTTTATTCATATTATTTTATGACCTATTACTAATTCCGTTAGTTTTGGCTGAAATTTTCTTTCACACAACACCACTGAACACCTAAACACAAACAATCAAAAATGCTACCTATGTAGTTCAAAAATTATTCTCTTGGATATTGAATATTGATTGACGTATGACAGTTTACGTATAATATGTGCAATTTTTTAATATATTTTATGGCCTGGTAACGGGACCTTTAAGCCCAAATAATATGTGACAAGTGCATTCCATAGAATTTTTTTTTGTAATATTTTATAGCCTTGCAAAGAGATCTTTAAGCCATTCCATAGCGTATCAGAAATCCAGAGACAAAAACTTCACACAGAATGATAACAATTGACATAGTAAAAAACAATTGACATATTGACTGAAGTTACCTGTATATATTGTAGCTGATAAAAGTCAACATAAATAGGCAATCCGACAAATAAGGAATAATAATCATTAATCAGTAATAACTTATTTTTATGGTGTATCTCAAGTTTGAAAATTATTACCATATTGTTACTTAATAATTATAATTCCCGATCGAGTTATTATTAATATGTAAGAAGATATACAACCGTCTTGATTGATTAGTATTACTATTCATCAGTGTAAAAATGACGGAAGACGAAGATACAACTTGGTAATTTTTCTTTTTAATTCTTCTCTAAAGTATTTTTCACGTGGGAATCAATTTACTATTTAATCAAACTTTCAGGTTGATTGAGTTGGAAACAGCTCTTTTAGATGGCTGCAGTTCCTACGAAATAAACAACATTACTAAGGGAAAAAAATCCCCGATAGTCTGCGAGCTGATGTGTGGCTGGTATGTCTTAATTGCCAGGATGGTATTAATCAGCTGTTAATGTTTGATGAGATATTTGATCTAACAAATCAAAATGAACTCAGAGATGATGTAAAAAAGTTTGTGAGAAAGCTGGATAATGATGATGATGAAAAGCTATCTGTCATTTCAGATATTGAGTCCATTATAACATTTTATTGTAAGTCTAAATCAATGAACTATGCATCTAATAATGGCTGGATTGAGATTTTATATCCCCTATTAAGCCTTAAGTTGCCTAGGTCTGACACTTATAATCTTTTTGAAAAAATATTAAAGCTATACATTCCAAATGGCTGCTTACCAAATGGTGTACCATTCCATATTCTAAGATTAATAATTCAATATCATGATCCTGAGCTCTGCTCATTTCTTGACACTAAAAGGATTACTCCAGAGCAATATTGTATGCCATGGCTAAAATCTCTGTTTTCTGGTACCTGCAATCTAGAAGTAGTGCTATTTATGTGGGATTTGTATTTTCAGAGATCTGATCCCTTCTTTATATTCTTTCTCTGTCTTATAATGATAATAAACGCTAGAGAACAGCTCTTACAAATGAAGAATGATGACAAAGCAACTGTCATAGAAACTTTGAGAAAAATGCCTAGTGCACTGGAAGCAAATGATGTGTCTGACTTTTGTTCTCTGGCGCATTACTATTCTCTTAAGACACCAGTATCATTTCGGGAAGATGTTTTAGAGGTACTCTTCTCTGAAAGTGGTCTTGAAATAAACTCTAAATTATATTCCCAAGCACTATGTCTTCCGTTAGCTGTCCATGAGCTAATTGAAAGTGCAACTGTAGATGCAATAGATTCCGATACAGTGAAATTCTTTTTAGTTGATTGTCGACCAGCAGAGCAATATAATGCTGGCCATCTTTCTACTGCTTTTCATTTGGATTGTAATTTGATGTTGCAAGAACCTAATGCTTTTAACACTGCAGTACAAGGTTTATTAAGTGCACAGAGACAAGCATTAGCTGCAGGATCCCTGGCTGCTGGTGAACATTTGTGTTTTGTGGGCTCAGGGAGAACTGAGGAAGACAGCTACGCGCATATGGTTGTAGCTTCATTCCTCAAAAAGAATATTAAGCATGTTTCTATGCTCGATGGGGGGTTTGTTGCTATACATGACTATTTTGGCCCACATATGACAGACTGCTTGGAAGATCATAATCCATCAAAATGTTTAGTCTGTGCACCAAATAATAACAATTTTGGTAAAGAAATAAGAGAATCAAAGAGGCGAGACAATATTCCAGCCATTCAGTTATTTGGTAAACTCTCATCTGCGATGAAAGCTAAGAGTCAAGAGGTGAAAGGAAAACTGATAGAGTATATTGTAAATCCCAATTCAACAACAACATCTAATGACTGGCATGTCTCTGTATCAGACAGGAAGGAGAACAGATATAGAAATGTACCACCAGTATTCAGCATCAATGATGAAGACGATGAATCATACTCGGACATCAAACAAGATGTTGTAAACACTGAAATAATGGATGAAGTAGTGGAGATAGCAACATTCCTCAAAGGTTCGAATGTAATTAATAGTTTCCAATGTCAAGAAGTGCTATACAACGGCTATATGTATGACTCATATCTAGTGATAACGGAAACTCATTTGATAATTTTACGCGAAATTCCTAATAAGAAAGGCCTTGCCAAAGTATTATCTAGGCGATTGTTATCAACGATTGTAAAAATTACAGCAAAAAAACGACACCCAGAGTTAATCACATTCAAGTATGGTGTGCCCGATGGTGATAACCTACTTATTAAGGATATGGACCGATTTCTTATTCCCAACGCTTCACTAGCAACGAAGGTAGTTTCAAATCAAATAGTAATACAGTTGGATACTAAAGTTGAGTAATATATTTCCTAATATTGCACTTCTGCCTATACTTAAATGTAATAATAGATATTTAACTAAAAAAATTGTCGAGTGTGGTAGAACTTCTAATTAATGTGACGTAAATTCAGGTTTAGAATGCACATAGGGTACATATAAATTAAAATTTTTAGATATAAAATACCACTGTGAAGTATTCTATGTGTTGAAATTATAATAATATTAGATGTTACTTAATGATATCTATTGACAACGTGCCTATTATTTCTTGTTATAGTATGGCATAAACACTTCTGTCCTTTTAAGTATAGCGCAACTGTTGTTATTTTTTTTATATAGTGATGTCTAATTTAGCAGGTGAAAATAGTCAAGACACTTATTGACGACACGACATTTATAATGATAGAAATAATATTTCCTAAAGAAAAGCACAAGTCCACGAAACAATAATAGTGATTTCACGTAGTATATATTTTAAGTAAATATGGAATATTTTAATTACAAGGTTACGCCATGGCAAAGTACATTGTTTAGCTTTTTTTTAAGAGAATTTCAGAATAAATCAAAATTATTTAAAAACATGTTCACTCATATACACATTTTATTTTCTTATTTCCAAGTTTTAGTTTAAAATTTGTGATATGTTAATGATTGTAATACTGAAGATCTCATGATCATCTTCATCCTGTCTGTAAATCAATCATCCTATATGAGGCCGCTAGAATCAGAGTAGCCTAACTTAACGTTTTTTAGTCTATGAAAATATAAATAACTGAAGTCAGTTGCAGTTAGGTTACTGTCTGCCTCTGGCGGCCTCATATCATCTAGAAAAAATACCTATCTACATTTGAGGTCTATGTTGCCAGGCCTAGTGTACCTACCCCATAATGTTTGTGTTCACATTGTGCACGAAAATAGTGTAAATAATATATAAATAATTTTTTCATACATTGTTAAAAATCACACAGGCGGCATTTGTACCGGCATCCACGCCGATGTTTTTTAGATTATATAGATTTTTAATTCATGTGATCACTTGTGAAAAAATAATAAAGTTTTCAAATATATATAATACAAAATATTTGCTAGAAACATTATGTATAAAATACTCTATAGTTACGCGAGTAGTCACATTTAAATAAAACACTAACCGGTAAAACGCGATATATTAGTTAAACTTATTTAAAAATGCGCGTAATATCGCGTTTTAAACCGTTAAAGTGTTTTATTTAAACATCTGTATAGCTTTATTTTCTATGTGCACCATATTAATAATATCTATTATTGCCATAGGGAATGGCTTTGTTATTCTTATAAAGATGTTAGTTACTTTATTTTTATGCCTGTTTTATTTATACGTTAGATAACAATTTTTTAGCCATTTATTAACGTGGCTCCCCATAAAAGTTTTTCTCTATATAATTTTAATTTATTTCCTATAAAAAGCTTGGCACAGTCACAGTCAACGTTGAATAATTTAAAGATTTTATTAACAGTTATAATTAATTTAAACAATTGAAATATATTAGTCCAAATAAAACTGTGTTTTTTCTATATTGCCTTTTATTAATATATTTTTGCAATAGCTTTAAGGAAAGGAACGCTGGAGGTCGGAAACTAAAAAGAAAGAAAAGATCTCATTGTTTTAATACTTATTATATTTCTTTATCAATTAATTAAACAATTTTATAACGCAATTTGTTTATCTTTTTTACAAATAAAAATTCATTTATTCGTAATAGTGTAATGTTTTTTGTTGTTAATAACCTATATCAAATATGGTTTATTGTATATCATATTTCGATAAAACGTTTATGAATACAGAGATAAATGATTAAACGAAATTTGTATATTACGTTGCCGGGTAAAATAAAAAAAATAATTGAGTAGGTAAATAACGCATATGTGTATAACGATATTAGTATAAATTAATCATATAAACCAATTTATTTTCAACATTGACAGCTTAAAAGTTATTTGCTAGTAAATGTGCTAATTATTAACTATCTATCTAGCATCCAAACAAAAAATCAATAGATTTTTTAATCTAATACTTAACAATTTATAGTTTTAGCATATTTGATCCCAAGTAAATAAGGAATATTTACAAATAAACTTTCAAGAATAGCTGGTTAAATAATTAGAATTTTCATATTACATGCCCACATCTTATTTAGTTACATATATAAACACGTTTATAATTAAATTTAAAAATATGTATTAAATAAATTGTACTTTTTGCTGCCAAAGAGTTATTACGTTTTAGAAATCGTTCGAAATGGGGATTTAATCTATTTACTTCTAACTGTTAAATTTTGTCTAGAAGAAAAGTTAAGTTTTCGTTAATAATTGTTAAAACGTACTCTATAAAGGCTTACTTTCTCGTTTTAAATACATTTGAACTACATAGTAGATATTATAAGAATTGACATTTGATAGTAATTATGACAGAATTAGGTAAGTATTAAAAAGTTAAGGAATAAGTATTTCGCTTAATAATAAAAATATAAACCTACCTCTTAATCGTAAGTACTTAAATTTACAGGTATATATATAAATTATATTAAACCTTATCTCCCGCGGAGTAGTGATATGTTTTTTTGGCGATTTCGATAAAATCTAGGCACAATAAGGTAATCTCCATAAAAAGCCTTATTCAATATCGATTTTCAATAGTACTTAAGTATAAATAACTTCGATGTCTACGCGAATGTTTCTTGACAAAATTCTTTTAATTACTTTTTATTCTTACCTATATGAAGCGTGATTTAGCAGTTCCCTAGATTCTGGAGATAGAATTCAAAGAAGTTTCATAAACAATGCGTTATGATAATGCGTAGTTAAACTGGATAAGTAGACATGTGGAACACAATAAGTTTATTTGTTGTAACAATTGTATGCTGGGACAATGTTTTTATCAGTATATATCATGTAAGTTCTTTTTTCGTGAAAATCATGGGAATATTAATAAATCTTTTAATATATTAGATTTGTGTATTACATAAGAGTCTGCTATTTACACAGATTTGTTACAATAAAAGGTAAATTGTACCTGAACTTTTTAGTATTTTAATTCTCATTTTTTGATGGTTATACATTTAAAAGTAACTTATCTCTATATAAGAATTAAGACGAAAAGTACTTATAAATGATTCAGATTTTTATCGCCACAATACGGCAGATTTTGAAAGACTACTTCATTACGTGGACGGTACTAATATTTCTACGTAAGTACTTAGATAGATACCAAGTTATAATTATATTTTTTGAGTTAACATAAGAAACTTTACCTATGAACACAACAAAGGAACATTGATGAAACAGACGAGTTATGTAACATTTGACACTGTCTGTGTGTTGTGTGTCTCACAATTCTTTAATACATGACTTTTTAGACTCCAAAATATAAATAAAATTTATAATGTAACAATCGCGTTCAAGTAACTGATATGTTTTCATTTCAAAACATTGTCCTCAGCTTGTACCTAGCTATCGTTATTACTTAACTAGCTGTGTCACCGAATTCGTCCGTAAAATAGTAATTTTGAACATCAAAGTTTGCTTTTGCACACCTCTTCTTCATATTTGCTTCACCCGCGACATCGGTCGCGTCCCGTGGTTCTTGCAATTAACGCTTTGGAAACTCACATAAATAAAACATTTCCCCCTTTCTTCGCTCTTATTATTCACAGCGCGATTTTATACCTCGATAAATGCTCTACCCAACACAAAAATAATTTTTCAATTGAACCAGTTCTGGAGATGAACGCGTTCAAACAAACAAACAAACTCTTCAGCTTTATATAATAGTATAGATTATTTATCATGACATACCGATCACACAATCGGACAGATGATGGAACACTTTACTCAAAGCTCTACTATTTTCTATAAACCCGAGCAGCTAATTTCGAATAATTATCACAGCCAGATTATAAGTGTCGGAAACTTACACAGTCAAATGAGATATAAAACAAATATGTAATATATAATGTGCGTAATAGATATAAGAGGTTTCGTGGCCTTCGAAGTGCTCTCTCCAGTTGTGAGATTTGCTGCTATTTCAGCTTGACTTGGTCTTATTACATCCACTGGAAACATAAGATACTTATATTAAAACAAATGAAGCCGTCTGTAGTTTAAGCGAGCAGTACGCGATATATATTAATTAAAATTATTTGAAAATAATTTCCTCTCTCCTCGTGACGACGGCTGCTGTAAAGCATCCGCAACGTCGGGCGTAGTTAAAATAATTTTCAAATAACTTTACCTAATATATATTGCGTTTAAACCGTTAAAGTGTTTTATTTAAATGAAAGCGTATTAGTGTTATTACTTTGGACCAAAATTGTCTTCTTTGTGTATATTAGTGTAGAATTTTAAGGAAAACTTGTTGATCTTGTGATAACTAATTTGTGCACTCGACATTCGTTCGTATGATCGGCTATTCGATTCCCGGCGTGCCAAATAAATAAATCTGTTCATCAATTTTTTTGATGGTCTCGTTGGTGTAACGGTAGCGATGTATAGTTAATAATCAACGGGCCGTGAGTCCGATCCCCGCCGGTTCCAACATGTTTTCCAATTTATCTATCTAAAAATTTTGTGGTATTAATATAGAAATATCGTCCGGGTCACGAACCACCGTCCACAGATGAAAAAGCCGTGAAACTTAATGGCGGTTAGGTTTCAGTCTGTGGACTTCCGAATATCCAAAGCCAAAATAAGTCGATAGCCATCTTGTGTAAATGTTATCTTTTGACCTCCCATGAAGTGAATCTGATGCTTGCCTGTCCTCAATTATTAAAAATTAGATGTCTTTTATATATCCCAGTTGGGGGAAGTGTAAAAGTGCTGAATACAAATACTAATGTAGCGCAAAATACGTTTTATTAAATTTGACAAGCGCTTACCTATAACAGTTTCGTTCTTTACATCAGCAAATTTGTCTTCAATATTTCGGAATTCCGGTATAGTGCTGACGCACGTGACTTCCAACCGTCCAGTCGCAACCAGCTGGAGTTCTGACACTGTTATGTACAATTCTTTGCCTCTACTTGGCCTCCTCGTCTTATGTCTACTTGGTCCATGGATGCTGTTATCTTCGTTTTTTGATAAGCCTTCTTTCTGGAATTTTTAATAGGTATGTTAAAATCTCGTATTGATTTTTTCTATGATATAACTATTAATTATATATTTTTTGGCCAATAGATACACTTTTATTGATTTTGTCTGTTGTTTGTAACACAACTACAAAAATAAGATGTTGTATTGACCTTTTCCAAATTAATGACAATGATCAAATAACTTTGCAGTTCGCTTTTTTTTTGTAACATCTACTCGTATATCTTTCCTCAGATCGATATTGTAGCATTTTAACACGTTCTCACGACATTCGAACTGGCGACGACGCAATATTAGACGCATTTTACATCTCCACTACTCAATAAATTTTAAGAATGTCGATACAAAACAATGGTGATTGTGGTAGGTATAAATGTAGAGTTTGCTTCCGGATATAACAACTGTAAGATGTATTGCCGAGTCATGACTGTTGTAGCGCATACTGCATAAGGCTGTGGTCTCTTATACATGCCGTGCGTAGCGTAAGGGTTCTGTCGAATCGCGGAAGGAAGGGGCGAGAGGGGAAGGGGGGAAACTGCACTGCGAAGTTTTAAAGTTTATGCTACGAAAATATAGGTCCGTTTACACCACTGCGCTTGGTAGATGTGCGAGGAAGATGCGCATCTCAAATGCGGGTATACCGCTCGTTATGGCGTATAGCAGACATCTTAACACCCTAGCACGCAAACTTCTATTAACAAAAACATATCTCAGTTAAATCCATTCCTGCTAGTGCTAAGCTATGTGCACTAATGGATAATGATTTGTGGATATCAAACGCATCCTAGCATGCACATCTCTACAGGAAAAACTTCTATACATAGTTTGATTTCTTGGCTTTGTTTTATAATACTGTAAACATTACATTTTGCATTGCCGACGAGCAATAGGCAGATTAATAGCTAATTATGAGTTAACTTTAATGAAAAACCAGTTTTCCAACCATATGTTGTCTGTATCGTTAAAATCCTCATTTTCTTCGTGAAACCTTTTGGGTAGTCCACGTCCTACTGATGCACAGAGCATGCAGACGATTTCGATGGAATAATCCACTGAGACCAGGTTTCAAAAGGATGCTTATAATTATATCCAGCACAGAGGTCCGTTAGTTTAGATTATCTAGGTTATCTACATAAGACACTTATAAAAGTCGCGTTCTATTTTCAACGTCAGTGTTAAGGAGACAACAGCACAAATCTATATGCGATAGAAAGCAACGTGATGCGCGTGCTGTACGATCTTCTGCGTTTATAGGCGACTCCAGCCTACCGCATACTAAGTGAACGGCATAGCAAAGCGTCGAGCCGTAGCCCGTAGGTCGGACTGGTTAATTTGCATACAAGTAATTTCCTTAACCTTAATGGGAAAACTTGTTAAATGTTTAATAGCTATCGTAAAATTAGAGCTAATAGAAAGCTATTTCGAGCGCGCCGCGAAAACTTCGAATAATGTAACTAAATCTTCAATTTGTTTTAGAAGTAAAGCCATTAGCCGAACGTTACGCGTGAAACATTTTTCTGTGCGTATTTTACTACGAAATAGTAATTAATTTTGTATGCAATGAAAATTTTTGAAATATTTAAACTCATCGAAGTTTACAGCGACTACGACAGACTGAACATGACTGAAAATCAGTTCAGTCCGGTCCTTATCAGATAACACATAATTAGGGACAGATTGAAAATCAGCGCTTAGAAAACCTTTCTGAGCACAAGCTGGGTCTTGATGCCTTTTAGCACAAAGTTAAAATTGCATATTTTTAAATATAAGTTTTTTTATTAGTCTTTTTAGTTGTAAGTTTTATACTATTTGATATTAAACTGATTATTCATTTATTTAACATTGTTGGTTGACGTCATTACATAATGGTGAAATGGCCTTTTAAACCCACATATTTCAATAATGTATTTTTATACGTAGTTTTATAATCTTAAACTATTCGAGATCCTTTCTCTAGTTTTATTTCATTCTGTGTTATTATATAAATGCAAATTTTCAGTGAGTTCTGCCCACTTAGACATTCCTGTCGTACCTACTTGTAGAATATTTCGTGCATACTAAAAATGTCTTCTCTTTTATAAAAACTTAGAGTATGAAAACTTCTTAACAATAAATAAGGAAAATTAACTTATGCATTCATACAAAAAAGGTTGATTCATGTAGATGTTTCGTAGAAGCGTACTTATGAATTAGTTATTTTGGGCATCAGATTAGGTTTTGCAAACCCCGCTCATCTTTTTATAAACTTAAGCCACGACGTCGACGTCGCCCCCCCATCGCGTCCCTTCCCGTCTTCTTGCAAGTTAATCTTAAAAGATAGACATAACTACCCTAGCGGACTTTTTTATTTTAAGTACAGATTTGTTTAGCTAACTAAAAATAAAAATTTCCCCTGTTTTTTTGAAATTTTCCCCTTTTTATTCACAGTTTTTACAGTTTAAATGGCGAGATAAATGCCATAAAGACTTACAATAAAAGAAATCAGGGGGCGATCCTCAATTAAATTACAAAAGTTTTACCCCGATATAAGTCGACAAATATGTTAGATCCGTTTTAAACTAATGAAAGAAGTACTATTCATGTACGAATACTAATATTATAGTACTCTTTGTGAACTCAGGGATTTTGTAGGGGATTAAGTTCTGGGTCTTTGTACATAGTAACTGAAAAAGGAACCTCACCTCTTTATCTTTTTGACTGCAACCGGGTGGTCTCGTTGCGACGTGGGAAATATGCGATAGGGTAAGTACTGGTAATTCTGAAGTCAGATTTTTTTGCTCGGAAGCCTGTAAGCCCCTTCTTGCGCCCCAACTTCTTTCATTCATGGACACCCTGTATTTGTGCGAGTTTGCTAAAAGTTCGTCCATCTGGAAGAATAAATTAATATGTGCAGTGATTTTTGTATTATTTAATTATGGTTGACTAAAACCAGTTGTATCTTATTACATTCGGCGAACTAATTAGCTAAATTTTATTATACAAATGTAAAGTAATAAATCGTATTTGTACGCACAAAAAAAACATCCCAAGCATTCATCCCTATAACTGCTTTAGCGCCATAGTGGTTACTTTTTTTTGTTTAATTATATACATATGGAATGGATGGGATATTGAAAATATCTGTCTTAGATAGAATTTTCTATTGGTCCTGCCTGTGTCGCATTTTTTTATTTTAAATTGATTTTTAATCTAATATCCACCATTACAACTAAGTTGTAATGTGGAATAATGTTGATATGGATATTAGATTGTTGCACTTAAGTGCAACCTGTGTTATGTTATTGTGCATATTAATTATATTTTATACTGCCATAGCCTTATTTGTGTAGAATATAAAATAAATATTAATGTTTATATTATTTTTACCAGTAGCTCGCGTGACCGCGACTTCGTCCTCGTGGAATAGTTATTCCGTAATTAGTTATGGTAGTTCCTGACATTAGCGCGTTTAAACAAACAAACATACTCTTTAGCTTTATAACATTAGCATAGATATAGTATGCAATCTCTCCTCATACCAGCCGGAAAATAACAGTCATTGTTTATTTAACGGGAATTGTAAGAGCATAACTGTGAATGGAATATGAGATTACCTTTTTGCCATTAATAAACCAAGTGATGTGCGGAGCCGGTAACGAAGGCGCTGTAGTACAGTTGGCACGCAGGGTCTCGCCGAAGTTGAGGAAACGGGTCGGGAAGTCGATTCTCGGGTGATGCTTTTGTGGATCTATGGATTAAGTTAAGTATCGTATAGATTTGAGCGCGATTACTCTTTCATGATAGAGAGGACAGGCAAGCATCGTATTCACTTGATTGTGGGTGAAAGCCTATATAAAAGATTTCCGAATATCCAAAGCCAAAAATAGGTCGACGGCGCATTTTAGAATATTGTATGGTTCTTGTATTTCACCTACTATCAAGGGAACCACATTGTTCCCCACCATCCATTTCCTACCAACCCGCCCACCTCAAGCATCAAGGGAACTTGTGGTTCCCTCGATGCTCAACCCACAGAGATAAATAATTTCCCCCGCTTTTCCACATTTGCCGCTGTTTCTTCATTCCTATGAGTCACAGCGCGATGTTTGTACCTTCCTCAATAAATGCTTTAACCAACACAAAAATATTTCAATTTGAACCCGCGGTTGCTTAGATTAGCTCCTTCAAAAACAAACAAACAAACTCTTCATCTTTATATATTAGCATAGAATTGATAGCAACGTTTTTTTATTAAGGTGTTGATAAGTTGTTTTTAGATTAACTTTTTATTATGATTTTAATTGGTAAGTTTGAAATGAATAAATTAATTGATAAAATATGGAGGCAGTTAACTGTTAACACTGGAAACTGTAGTCTACGCGAATGCTTTCCAGTCCATTAGTTAATTTCCTGAAACTGAATGATGTCGTTTACTTCCTCACCCCGGGATCTACTCCAATTATGTGGTGCGCCTTCCCATTTCGACTGTTGGATAGTAATGGCAGAACATGCATTAATAGTTCATTGTATGTATTTATAATCGGACTAATTTAATCTTCATTTTTAAACGCCGTACCACAAAACTTGTGTCAAAGTATAACCGTTACCTTTATTTTTTGGCAAATTTAAGTTAATTTTAATAAAACACTTAACGCGATTTAAAAGGAGAAAATATTACGGGGGATGGCTGCTGTAAGGCATCCGAAACATTATACTTAGTTAAAGTAAGATAATTAATATATTACGCCTCAAAAACGTCGTCTGCAATTTACGCGAGTGGTATACAATTAGATAAAACACTTCTAAAGGTTTAAAACGCAAAACGTATTAGTTGCCGTAATAAATAAATTGTAAATAAGTTTATCTATTACTTTTCGCGTTTTAAACCGTGAGGAGTGTCTCACTTAAAATAAAAAAAAGTATTTTTTAAATTTGTAATATGCGATTTTTAAAGTGATTTATTTAAATATGTACAAATAGCGTAAAGTAGAGACAATAGTTAAAACTAATTTCTTTTACGGAAAGAATATTGCAACAGCTAACAAAACGTCATTATATTATGTATAACAAAGACCAATTCTAAATGAATTATTCTGCGTACACGATTTAATATTCTCTTTGTCTCTAATTAGTATAATTTAAAGCGGCCACGGTATATCCCGCTTCCATATTGGTTTAGTGGATAGTAAATTAAATTGCAGATCTCACAATTTAGAGTTTAACATACATCGTTATTTCAAACCTTTCCAATATTATGTATATGCCTAACTTCGTGGCCGCGGCTTCATCTGTGTAGAATAGTTATTTTGGCCATCCAAATTTGTTTTTGCAAACCACCTCCTTATCTTTATATATTTTAGTTGTTACCCATGACGTTGTCCGTGTCCCGTCGTTATGGGTTACTCTTGAAAGATAGACACTAAACTGTCAAGGAAATTTTTTTGATAGTTTATAGAGGAATCATTCTTTCATTTGGGTATCTTGAATAGTTTTCGTAGCGCATCCCCGCGGAATCCCAAAAAGATGAATTTTAAATAAATTCATTTTTACAATTTTTTCAACACAGCTTTATAATTTTAGTATATTTAAATAAAACAATTTAATGGTTTAAAACGCGATTGAACTTATTTGAAAAACTCTGGATCCCAATAAACAGTATACTGGCAAACGCGAAGACACCGTTAGTCAATTCTGTAAGGACCTGGTCAGTTTCGCCAAATACTTCGACGGATCAGTTGGCGCTAGCGTGGGAGTTTTTTACTTTAATGTCAAAGACACTCTCCATCTTTAGTCTCCCCGTGACCACGGCTGCTGCAAAGCATCCGCAACGTCGAGCAGTAGTTAAAACAATTTTCAAATAAGTTTAACTATTATATCGTGTTTTATTTAAATGTGTACTACTCGCGTAAACAATAGACAGTATTTAATTTTAGTATAGATTTTGAGAGCACGTCAAATTATCGTTTTCGGATGTCATCACTAATGTAATGGTCATGGTAAGGTCTAAGCTTTATTCTATCTCTTAAAAGAAGTTTATCCTATTTTAGGATGACCTGTGAGCGGCAGAAGGTGGAAAGCAATTCTTCTCGAATCGATATATAACTCGCCATGGAATAACGAATACTCCGCAATAAAAAGGGCCCCGCAATATTTGTTACTCGACCCGTACTTGATAAATATCCCGATCAGGGAAATAAACAACTACAGCCTTCCTTCGTGAAACCTAAAATGTGTTTTACAATATGTATAAGCAATAGAACAAAAAGTATATATATTAAGCTAATGAATTTAAGTGAAGACCCATTTCTCCCCTGTGCAACATTTTAATTTACAGCCGAGTAGTTGAAGACTTCTCTGCCCTGCAAGGCCGAAACAATTAATTTATTACCTATGATTTGACCCAGTCTAAACATAACCTAGCTACAGCGACGATCAAGTCAAAAAATACTGTTTTTAAAATGTTCTATTTTTAAAATACATTGTTCTATTTTTAAATCATCTTTCTAAAAGCTATTTGTTCTAATCTCAAACATTAGCCAAGTACGGGCTATCTATTAATATTAGGTCTGTTGGTTCGATAGTGACAGATACAATGGACGGAATCGGTGATTTGTGGACCAATACGAGTAAAATATAGAACGATGGTCCTATTGGGGGTTAGGCTTTATATTGTAGAAGTATTATAGATTTCGCTTTATAAAAATCTCTTAAACTGTAAATCACTTTAGATGCGATGTCTTTCCTTCGTGTTGTAAATTAGTGTTTCAAAGTTTGTTAAAATTAAAAAATTAAAAGACTACAGGTGTCCTTCTTGTATCATATATTATAATACATGATACAAGTTCTATTCTAATAAAACTATTTACTGTTTGTGAATCTAATCTACCATTATCTCATTATCCCTCTGGACCATAAATTTAAAATATTATTTTTCCAAAATATTCTCTATTTCTTGCCTTACTGTAATCTAATATGTCACTATTAAAACCCCATTTTAATTGTATAAAAGGATAGAACTGATTATATTGTAAGTGTGAGTTGCTTGTTGAGTTTTTCTTTCATTCAACACATATAAACGCCGCATTTCGTTCACATATTCCCTAAAGAAATCATATAGTCTCAACTAAGGAAACAGTTGAGCGTATGAAATAAATGAATTAAGTTTGTGTCAAAGTTAAGATTATATTTAAACAATAATTTAATATTGAGTTTAAGTTCAATGTTAAACAGAATTATTATGGTATAATTAACCGTTCCATGGAATACGTTGTTATAATTGTATAACTGTGTTGCGTTTTTAGGTTATATAAAAAATAGGCTAATTAATATTTAAATAAAAATTTAAAGAAAAATGCAAATAAAGTTTAGCTATGATATATCGCGTTTTAAACCGTTAAAGTGTTTAATTTAAATGTGTACTACTCGCGTAAACTATAGACAGGCTAATTGTAAAGTGTTTTATTCAAATGTCGAAATGTCAAGTATTCAGTCTTATTCTTTGATTAAGCTAGCTTTTAATAATATCGTTTATTTTTGTATAAAATTATAATACTACGTATATGTATAAGGATAAAAGATACATGATACGCTGCCTTCATCAAAGTCTTCGTTAAACACCATGACACGAAAGGGGAAAGCAAATCAATTAATCTTGTCGCTCATTGTTTAGACCTTTAAAATTTAACCAACCGATTGCTTTGACCCTTCTTGTTTATCATACATTAATAAATACTATATAAAACATATATCCATAGTAACACAATGTAATAATGTTGACAATATGTGGCCGCTAAAGCCAAAGTAGCCTAACTCCAATTTTATGACTCGACTTATTTATATTTTCATAGTCTTAAAAAGTTTATTTACAAGAGCACTGTGACCGAAAACTGTTAACATAAATAATAGTACAAATGAATTTTCGCCTAAGTTAATTTATTTTTATTTTCCTCCTTAGTGAAAATCACGATTTTAGGTTAGGCCACTCTGCCTCTAGCAGCCCCACATAATTATTTATTACGTGTTAACGTTGCTCATGGTAACTTTATATAAACCTAAAAACTTCTATACATTAAAAAAAATCGTTAACCTGGAACCATTTTTACCTAGGTACGACCGCGGCGTTCTGAAATGTTGCTCTGCTAAGGGGGCAAGGTATATACAGGTTATAAAACTCACGGAACACGGTAAGTTGCTTTTCCGTAGAGGCTTTTGTGTAGATAGGAGTGTCCAGAGATACTTCACAGGAATAGCTGCCACTTGCCGCAAAGTCCAGGTTCTGAAGGATGATTGAGTTTTCAGTTGCCAAGGCGACCTGTAAAAATATTTATTACCTATGTATGTAGTTTGAAACTATAATTTACACTGAACAAAGTCGAAAATATTTTAGTGTGTAACATCTATACTAATATATAAATAGTTTGTTTGTTTGAACGCGTTAATCTAAATAACTACTGGTTTGAATTGAAAAAATCTTTCTTTAAGAACTGGCAAGAATGACGGGACGCGACCGACCTCGTGCGTAACCGCGAAAATTTTAAAAGATGACGCGGATGAAGTCACTGCTAGACAGTAATTATTAGTAATGAATATGTTTACAAGAAATCAGAGTTCTAAAAGCTATGAGTAATATTTATTTTAAAATATATTTCTTCTATAAAAACGGTTTTTATAAATAAGCTCTTGTTAAGTAATGGGTACCATTTATATGATTAAATGATATCAAATATATGAATGGATTGAAAAGCGAACTGATGAATTGATGTTACATAACAATTTACCGCTGGTTTTTAACGCGGTCGTTTATAACAGTCAAGATTACAAAATAAGATATCATTTATTTCACGAGGAAAAGAACTTTGTTAATCCGTGTTTTAGGTTATGACAAAGGTGAAAAGACAAGGGTGGGGCTCACTGGAAGGTGAAATAGGATCATAACATAATTTAGATGCTTCGCCGACCTATTTTGGCTTGAAATCCACAGACTGAAGCTGAATCTGTATTTTTATTATAAGTGTATCACGATTTTAACATTTGCGGACGAGGGTTCAAGACTCGGACAGAATTTGAATGAAGTAACGACCCATTTATCTTGTAAGTTTTTTAGAATAGAAATTTAAAACATTAACCGAGGTCACTGGTACTATACCGACGAGCGTCATATTGGATATTAACAATAATTATTTTAATTAAAATGCTTGTAATTTGTGCGTCTTAAACAATACAAATTGATTAGTTAGATTTTCATTACACTCGAATATTCTAAAACAAAACACGTTCGCGTTATTTTTTGACGAGTCATAATAAACACCTTCATATCAATTAATTTTTGTTAAAAAAAACCAAATTTTTTTTGGCAAAAAAAAAACCCTAAAAAAAACCCTTTCCCGGTTTTAAACCCGATTTTTTTTTTTTTTTTTTTTTTTTTTTTTTTTTTTTTCCCCCCCCCCCCCGGTTTTTTTCCCCCCCCCCCCCGGGCGGGGGGGGGGGGGCCCCCCCCCCCCCCGTTTTTTTTTTTTTTTTTTTCCCCCCGGAATTAATGGCACAATAAACAAAGTATAATTAAATGTTTTTCACAAGTTATATTTTGTCTGGAATTCTGAATCTTCCGAGAGACAAACCACCGTCCGCACATGAAAAATCCGTACAAACTTCACGGGTTTTTACAACAAGTTCGAGATTTAAGTCATTAGATTTTCGAACTTTAATAGTAGACCGAATTTCATCTTATTAACATGTTATTCGGCTGATGTATTTGACCCAAGTGATCCCCGTGCTTGTCTGTCCCGTCTATATTTGAAAAAAAGTTTCGTGAATCTCGCTAAAGAATCAATTGTCGTCGGGAGTGCTGAAAAAAATGTAAATTTCAGATTTGCATTGAAGCCACGGTCTCGCTACAGCGTAGCACTCGGCACTTAGTCGATTCGCAATATCAGACTCAGACTGACCTGGGGAGCGAGGTCGACCTGTTACGCCCTCTATGCTCGACAGAGACAGCCACATGCAACTAGGGCTATAATCTTTACTTATATTATTAAGCTGGCGTGTTTGTTTGAACGTGCTAATCTGCGAAACTGCTATGTCGAATATAAACGAATTTTTACTGCTGTGTAGATCAATACAATGCAGGAAAAATCATTTGCCAAAAGGTTTTGCGTCAGCATAAGCTGATTGTCAACAAAACTGTACTGTTCATATGTTGGACAGCGCTCATACAACAGTGACTTAAGCGGAAATCATTAGTAAGTTGAGTATACGTACTATTGTAATTAAATACTGTCTATATTTTACGCGAGTAGTACACATTTAAAAACACTGACGGTTCAAAACAAGATTTATATTAGTTAAGTTTATTTGAGAATTATTTTAAATACGGCCCAATTCATACATATTTTTTGGATATCTTAAATAGTAATAATATATTCGCACCGCAAGTAACGGAAAACCGCACTGATGACAATTTTCCCCGTTTTTGCTCATTTTCCTCTCTTTCTTCGCTTCTATTGGTCGCACCTGCGATTAGCGCGTTTTATGAATATATGAAAGAAGCAAGTATTTAAATAATACAATACTGTATATAAAATGACCGAATTCAACTAGCAAGTAGATTAAAATAACATAGTTAATATCTATAAATATATAATAATCTATGGCTCCTGACAGTAGATAACCCTATTTACGGAATGCTCACCAAATTAAATTAAATGCACTTTTCCAACGCCATTTATTTCAATCTGATTGCCCTCAGCTGAATAGGTAAAAATAAAATAGTAGCATCGTCAATACGGCTAAGCAGGATTTAGAACGCTGTATGTTATAACTGGCTATGCCCGTGGCTTCGTCCGCGTGGTATTTTGGACATCGAAATGTATTATTACAAACAACCTCCTCAGTTTTTCTAGTCCGCATCCCGTCGTTCTTGCGAGTTAATCTTAAAAGATAGACATACACTTTCGCGGTTATTTTTTAGAACATTCTTTCATACATATTTTTTTGTTTCGAACCGTTTTCCGCGCAAGCAATGAAAACTCTTAAGGATAAATAATTCTCCCCATCTTTTCCACAATTTCCACTGTTTCTTTGCTTCATTTGGTCGCTGTGATAGTTTATTTAACCCAAAATAATATTTCAAATCGAACCAGTAGTTCCCGAGGTTAGCGCGTTCAAACAGATTGTTAAGCCCTGTTAATATTAGTATCTAAGATTACCTTTACGACATTTACAAGTTAAAAAAAAAACACAAATCGACAATGTAGCTGAACTATTTTTTACAAATTGAGAGATAAGAGGCTTTTAGGCCGATTTAACTCATTACGTCATTTCCCGCGGCGAGCAAAGTCTTACTGTTTAAGCTTTACTTACAGAGGTTGGCGTATTCATATAGACAAAAAATAGCGTCCAATATTTCTTCTTACATTAATAGTTATCATCATGTTAATACAAATGCAACTTACATGAATTTAAATCTTCTTTTCAAATGTACATAAATTTATTATGATACTAGCGACCCGCGCCGGCGTCGCTCTGGTGCAACGCTGAAAATCTGTGAACGTTGTATTAAAAAAACCTTCCTCTTGAATCACTCTATCTATTTAAAACCGCGTCAAAATCCGTTGCGTTGTCTTAAAAATTTAAGCGTACATACGGACAGAAAAAGCGACTTTGTTACTTATTTTTGTCAACCTGGACACTTCAGGTGAGCTTTGCTTTATATCTCTAATAAGCTATTATTGACTTTATCTCCTAAAACAAAATATTTAATTGTTAAATTGTAAAATGGTACTAACTATAATAAGTTATTTCTTAGCATTGTAAACTTACATTATCCATCTATCACACTTATTCTTTACATACCTATATTTATCAACATACATAACACTCTCTCACTTCATACATACACTAACACACACATAATGCAAATATTCACCTAAATAGACACTACTTTAAGTAAACATATTAGCTTAGATGTTTTTATTTATTGTAACCTATCACCTGGAAGAGACTAGTCACCCACGAACGGCTGCTAGGGGGACTAGGATTTCGATTCTCACCATGTATATGGAAACAATAAAGATTTTTTTTTTTTTTTGTGATACACACAAATAATATCTTTTTTAACTATGAAGGAGGTATTTCTTTTAGTGCTATTTCTAAATTTAATGCTGACCTAAGCACATAACTGGTCCTTAATTAGTTATGTCACCTGTGTACCTGCGGAATACGGGTTGCGGCTGACCCAGAAAATTAACTACATCCGGGCTATTAGCCTGACAGGGTCTCCCTTCTAAGATAGAAGGTGACTCCGTATATCCAAGAGCTTGCAAATAGTTCGCATTAGCTTAAAATGTGAATAATACAGAGTTTGGTCCCTTTATTGTTCACGTAAGTAATATTTCATCTTTCGTATTTATGTCGATCTATTTTGGTTTTGACGTTAAACGTATTGCCTAGAATTGCGTTCAGCGCGAGAGGTCCTGTGAAATCCGGGGAAACAGTGAATTGTTTCGGTCGGGCAGGGCATAGAAGTCTGATCAACTACCTGTAAATAAAACCGATCAGTAAAACGGACACAGATGTGTGTTCGCCCTATGCCCGACGAGGAGAAACGGGACCCTTTAATTTTGGTTTTTGATATTCGGAAATCCACAGACTGAACCAAGACACGATTAAACTTAACTGTGTTTTCATCTATGGACGGTGACAGGAATACTACCGCCCATAATATCCGACACAATTAAGTCCAACACGTTTCAGGACAATTATAAATTCATTAGAAAAATGTCGGACTCAGTGGGGATCGAATCCACGACCCGTTGATTACTGACTAGTAATCGTTACCATTACACCAACTAGCCCGTCACATTTTTTGGTATTGTATTTTACGAAAGAGAACCTCTAAAGAATTGTTAAAATGTATGACGTCAGCGATGCCGACTTAACAAATTTTATTCTCTAAACCATGACATCTTTGTAACCAAATTACAAATACAATTTAAAAATGGAAAATAAATTGAAAAAAATTACGACTGGGGCAGGACTTGAACCGGCATCGTCAGCGCTCCGTGCTGTTTATTATCGATTTTTAAATTGTATAGTGCCTTCATGTGCAATAACATGTAAAAAATAATACAGTTTTCAATACCACAAATGCTTAAGTTAATCACGTAAATAGGTAATATTTGCGCCGATATATATAATTCCAGACATTGAAAATTATTAACCGATCGGTCTTAGCATAGACAACTGATCAGCTTATTGTTGTTAAAAAAATTATGAGTTAAAACAAAAACCGAACAGTTTCCGGTTGTAGAATAGGATTTAACTTCTCATTATCAATGAAGATCTTAAGTCGAATTGATATACAAAATAATTGTTGTAAATAGTACTAGTGTCATTGTACAAACATCCAACTCTACGTTAGTTAAATATTTTCACATGGCTTAAACATTCCTGCACTTTTTTAATTAGAAATGTTAAAAAAGTCCAAAAAAATAAGCTACATTTCCGCGACTGAAATTTGTATTCCATTCAGGCTGAACTTCATTTGGGAACCACCTGCAGTTTAACATAGACAAAGTGAAAACATTTTTTATTCGTGATAGATAGAGAGAAGAATTTTCTCATTATAATTCAATGGGTGAGCATTTTGTTGTAAACAACTTACTGTAAAAGCGATTTGCTACAAGTGTTCTTGAGGAGTGTAAATAACTAAATAAGTATAATACCCCCGTTTATATTTATTCAAATTACTGATTATTATGATGTATAAAAATAACAATAGTTATTATGTAACTAATTACATAAGTTAACTAATTGTTTACTTTATACTCTGTGCTTTGTAGCATTCTGGAAATTAGTTTATTTTGCGTTTTAAATAGTTAGAGGTGAGTACTGTCTGTACTTTCCACGAGTAGTTCAATTAAAAAACTTTGAACGGTTTAAAATGGGGTGGTCACGTTGACCACCGTTACTTCCGACTACCTCTGACAGTAGCGTTAACTGCAAAGCATCCGCAACGAGCCGTAGTTATTATAAAATATATTGTCAATAAGTTAACTTATAATTGCGCGTTATGACCGTTAAAATTGTTAGGTAAAGTTCTCCCCATGACCGCGACTGCTGCAAAGCATCCGAAACGTCAGGCCGTAGTTAAATAATTTCAAATAAGTTTAACTAATATATATCGAGTTGTAAACCGTTAAAGTGTTTTTATTTATAAGTACTCTGCGGGGGGTTTGCAAGTTTGTAGGAAAATTACAGCCGGGGCATTTTTAGATATTACTAAAAGAGGCATTGTTAAATACAGATTTTGGGTGTCTTGAACCGTTTTCGCAGCGTACGTCTGAATCCCACGGAAAAATTTCCCCCCTTTTGTTCACATTTCCCGCTTACTCGAGTGCCTTTAAGGCCTTCAACGATAAATTAGTTCTCACCAACAAAACGACATTTTCAATTCGAACCAAACATGACACGCGTTCAAAAAACAAACTTTCAGCTTTATTAGTATAGATAGATTATTAATCTTATTATTAATTTCAAAGAGGTATGGCAAAATATTCTTTCATTGTTTTAAAGCTTTACATTGTTGTCTTACTAATTGTTACCTTTGATTTAATAACTCAAGTTTAAATGAACGCTGTTTGCTCTAGTAAAGCGCAGAAAATTTTAAGTTATCCAAACAACTTTTGCGGCTGCAATAGAAACCATCGTACGAATTTCTCGAACAGCAAAGTGAATTGAGTTGTAATATTGAATAAGTTATATTATAACGTTATGCCTGACTTTACGAGTTTATTTTACCATATTTCCATGTCTGAATTAACATTGGAAATGTAATCCTATGTACATTGAACAGTACTCTCGCTACGTTTATATTATTTGTGAGTATTTTACCTATCTATCATAATAGTAATACGTTAGTAATTATGTGTAGTCGACCTAGGTTTTAATAGAATTTCGCGAGAGGTGCAATTATCAATAGAGCAACAACACTGAACGCTGTTCATGCCGGTTCAAGTCCTGCCCGAATCGTAATTTTTGTTCCAATTTATAATTGATTCTTAATGTATATAGTGCCATCATGTGAATTACATGTGCAAAATGTTAAAGTTTTCAGAATTGCAGCTATTTTGTAGTTTTAAGATCAGGTGATGGTTGCTTTGAATGGATGACAACGATATATTCGATTATATTTACAACGATTTTTATATTCACGAATCAATTACTATGAGCATATTGTAGTCATGGTGGATGTCTTTACGCAATTTGACGTTTAAAAATCATAATAAAGTTATTAATATGATTTTTCAAGGCTGTGCATTTGTTAGTTTTAAACTTTGTCACCGTTTCGTAATTGTTAACTTGGCTACGACCCCTGTAACGTAGTATTTGAAGGAAATTTGAAATAATCTGTACCATAAATCACAGACGGTTATTATTTCCAACGAGACTTACTGTCGCATAAATAAATTAGTGTCGCCTTGTATACAGGGAAAATGTTGCAATTTCCTTCATTTATGACCGTTGCTTGCGGCTGTATCCGCAATAGTATCTAGACAGGCCGAGGTAATTCAAGACGACGTTAATTATCACTTTAGAATTATGAGACATGTAATACTATATCTATATGTTACAAGTCATATATCCTTTAAATCTATAATTGATCGATTTGATATATACACGACATCGTTCGTACCTCACCTGAAGTTTTTTGTATGTTCTTCGTGGACAGACAAACATTAGATTCACTTCGTAGAAGGTGAAATACTCTAGTCATATAAAATCTAAACAAGATGTGCTGTCGATCTATGGCATCGGAAATTAACTCTAATAATTAATTTGACATTAATAATTTAATTCAATATCATTATATACACTATATCATTATATACTTACAACATATAAAAGATATTTACATATGTATTTATAAGGTACCAGCTACGCTGCTGCCGCGAGTTCAAGTTCCGCCCATGATTTTACTATCTAAATTATATATATGCGTTTTAAACCGTTAAAGTGTTTTATTTAAATATCTTAAATTATTTTAAACGGTAAATACAATTTGAGCAAATGGTATTAATTGATAAATATTTCTTAGTTATTTTGTTTCAGGTTATTTGTGGAGTTTGTAAATAAATTTGACTACTTTAGTGTGTTGAATATTTTTAAAGTACTTTCTTAGCGGATGTCTACGTCACTATAACTTCGAGCCCAACCCAAACTTTTAACGTTTCAAGCTAAACGTTGATAGATCAGCCTGTCAACTACTCACGTTAACCTATGTATATATTTAGACCGAAATATTACGTTAACATCCGCCATAGCTCAGTGGTAATATGTGTTGCTTTTCCTAAGTGGTCCTGAGTTCAAAATCAATTCATAAATGAGGACACAACATACTTTATTCTCTTTAAAATTTTAAAAATTATTTAGATTCGTCAAAAAAAAAATAAAAATGTTCGTCTTTCTGTTCGTCGTGATTCTACAGAGTGTTCAAAAGAGCAACAACCAAGAAGAATACCCAAGAAACTCAGGCGGGCTTTTTTTAACATGTCTTATAAACTAATAAATTTTTCTGAATTTATTTACCTAAGGAGCAATTCATATTACTGCCAGGCGGTCTTGTCATTAAAGAAATAGTTCAGGCAATAATACAATTCAGACAATCTAAATTTTATAACTTTTTTATATTTATTTATCGATTAATTTGACACCTCAAATATATGTTTGACCTATGCGATACAAGATTAACTCTCACTCACGTTAAGTACAGCACCAGGAGTGGTGAAGTTTCTATAAGGTGGTTTTCTGTCTCTAATATACTGGAAGATCTTGGTGCCGTGTCTGAGGAAGACCACCTTATCCAGGAGGTGTGGAGGCACGTCGTGGACGCAACGAAGCCGCACTGAACCTCCGCGAGCCGCCCATCGCTCCATTTGAAGTTCCACTCGCACTTCTGTGTGACCTCGTGCTAAAACCAATCAGATAATTTCTTTTAAATAAAACACTTTAACGGTTTAAGGGTCAAAATATATTTGTAAAACTTATTAGAAAACTATTTTAAATACGGCCCGAGGTTTCTGATTCTTTGCAGCAGCCGTGATCGCGGGGAGACTAATGGACCGCCTAATATATTTCACGTTTTAAACCGTTAAAGTGTTTTATTTAAATGTGTACTAGTCGTCTAAACTACAGACAGTATTTAGAGAATTTGCCAAATTTCTAATTCAATTAAAAAGAACAAATTTAACCAAAAGAAAAATGTTATTGCATTGAATTGCTGGGTTTGAAATTTTAGTACGCCATTTGAAAATTTCGAAAGTAAATCTATACTAATATATAAAGCTAAAGACTTTGTTTGTTTGAACGCGCTAATCTCAGGAACTACAGCTTTAAATTGAAAAATGTTTGTGTTGATTAGATCATTTAACGAGGAAGGCTATAGGCTATATAACATCGCGCTGTGACAAATAGAAGCGAAGATACAGCAGGAAATGTGAACGAAACGGGTTAAATATTTCATCTGTATAGGTTTTAGATGCGTACGCTGCGAAGGTACCTAAAAAATGTGTATCAAAGAATGATTCCTCTTTCAATGATCTAAAAAAAACGACGCTATATATCTATTTTTTAAGATTAATTTGCAAGAATGACGGAAAGGGACGCGATCGACGTCGAACTAATTTGGATGCCCAAAATAACGATTCTCGCGAGTCGCTGGCACAGCTAGTATATAATAACGCTGTAAACTTTACCATCGCTATATATTATGTCTAAGTTTTGGCATTTACACAAACCTCATCTTACAATATTGTCTCACTTGTATTTGCTCAATTCTAGGTTACCTTATTTATAAAACATTCTACATACAAATACTTCTAAAGATTTACTATTAAAGAAGCTACAATTTTACGCCTATCTTAGCTAAAGATGGTAGTACGTGTCGCGGTGAGATTTCCAGATGTCCAAGATGTTTTAGAAAATTTGTAAGGTAATTAGAAACATATAGACCCGGTGGGGATCGAACGGGGTTCCTGTATTCTGATTATTTAGCCATACACGGCTACCATAAGACCAACAAGCCCCCCCGTCGCCCGTGTGCGATGTGTATAACAGCTTAAAAAAACGAATTAAGACGTTTTGCTTAAAAAGTATAACGGTTTTTTAGTTGCTTAATTGGTTTCACAAAAAAACATACCTGAACTTAATGTTCGTTTTGTGGTGAAGATACGTTATTTGCAGTTGGCTTACTGTCAATATGAAAATGTGATACATTTTTGTTTTATGTTTTCAATGAACTAGTCAATTTAACAAATTTAAGGGTTTTAACTAGAAATTAAACGTCAAACAATTGTCTAAATAGAATACTTTAACAGTTAAACGCGAATCTTGTTAACATTACCTTGCAAGAACGACAAGTTTAACATCGCGTTTAAAACCAAAGTTTTTTTTTAAGTACCCCCAAAAACTATAGCAGATTTATTGTAACATTACCTTGCAAGAACGACGGGTCGCAGACGCTGTCGTGGGTAAAGCTATAGTTTGTAAAGGGGGTTTGCAAAAATAAAATTTGATGCCCAAAACAACTATTCTACGGGGAAGCTGATGGCAGAGCTGCTTAAAGTGAAATTGCTTATTATAAAAAGCACTGCTTACGTATTAGCTTTCGCTTAAACGCTTACAACTACTCGTGTGTTTCCAACGCTGAAATTGGAAGGTGCGGGCAATATAATTTGCAATGTAGGGGAGTGAAAGCACGTGGAAACATCGCATCCTCCTCGCGTGCCGTAAACCATTCCCTTGGTTGCTATTATGATTTGCACGGCTTTACGAGTTTCACCTCGACTATGCAACTTAGTTGGTACGCAGGGGTACAAAACCGAGAAAATACATTATGACTGAAATTATTTAACAATTCGTTATTTATAAAGTTTCAAATTCCAAGAAAACGATTCACGATTCGCGTCTGTAAATATATATTTTGCGTTGTTGATTTCTTACTTTGCTGCATAAATTAGTTTGTACAATGTTCGATGTGCAAGAGTGAATATATTACTGAAAAAACTTAGTTATGAAAACTTTTTTTATTTTTTACATGTTATTTATTGCACATGAAGGCAGTCTGTCTGAGCATTTGTTCAGAGCAACAGCACGGAACGCTGTCGAAAATTTTTTCAATTTATTTTCGATTTTTAAAAACTTAGTTATATAATTGTACTAGTGACCCGCCCCGGCTTCGCTCGAGTGTAATGCTCATACTAACTACACTACAGAAAAACTGCGAACGTTGCATATAACATTTCTCGTGTATCATATATCTATTAAAAAACCCGCATCCAAATCCGTTGCGTAGTTTTAAAAATTTAAGGGTACACAGGGACAGGAAAAGCGACTTTGTTTTTATACTATGTATTGATATCTTAATTGTTTCAAATGGTTTTCTTTTTTGTACATTTTAGTATTCACTCAGTCTTGTAACTTTACATGTCATGTCTGTCTATAGCCGTTTACACATTTTTTTTACTTATTTAAAATTAAGTTATGCTATATATGTCAGTAATTGAGACAAACGTCGACAGTCCTTAATTGAATAAATAAATCAAAGCATTTGATGCACACACTTCAATTTGTTTTGAGTTGGAAATGTTCATACATAAAATGAACGAAGGGCGGTAGAAGAATCGTCTTAATTTAGGATTTGTTACTTTGCTGGAATAAATTAGGGTTTACAATGTTCGATGTGCAAGAGTGATATATTGCTGAAAAAATCAACGCAGTTTCGGCTTGCCGGCAAATTTACACAGATAAGAACGAATAGCTGTAGAGGAATCGTCCTTTAAATTTAAAATTCAAGCGAGTGAAGTATATAGAATACGATTGTTACTGTCAGAATTGCGCGAGAATTTCTCGCAATATCTTGAAAGCTTCGTTTCGAATACCTATTGTTGGTCTTTTGTTTCTTTATGCGGGAAAACGGACCACTTTTTAACAAAGAAAGAAGACAATATGTGGAGACGGTATTTTTAGATAGTAACGGAGTGACTAAAGTTGTGTTTCAGGTTTGTACGAGTGAAGTCACAAAATATTAGACTTGATTTTTCAAACTAATATGTTAATACTACATTTTTTTTTATGATAGAGCAGAAAATATGGCTTATAAATCTCTTTGTCTAGATACGCTGTCGACTTGGTTCTATTTTTGACTTTGTAAATTCGGAAATGCACAGATTGAAACGAAAACTGTGGTGTGAGTGAGGACTGGATGGAATTTAAATTTTATAGATTCTTATTTCTTACTACTACTACTATAATTATAAATTTAGAAACAAAGGACCCGGTGGGGACCAAAGCCACTATCCGTTGATTATAGAAGTTGACTAAAAGATGCTTACTTCATATAAGCCTGATAACAGCATTGGTATATCATATTTCTTTGCGAACATGGTGCTTTGCGTTAAGCTTAACCGGTCTTGGGTTCGAACCATGCCTAAACGAAACATCGATTTCCGGTAGGATCTGAATTCTAATCAAATTGATCAAATCAGTTGATTTGCCTGCCATATAGATGATACGGTGGTTAGCATGCTCAGGTAATAAAGAGATATACCAGTATGAAGGTTAATTAAAAGTACAAGTATACATATATATATAATAAACGCTGAATTAGACCTTTATTGATATAGTCTGTGAAAGAGCACAGGTATACGAAGCGCGTTCCACTCAAACGACGAGTACGTGTCTGGTGTGAAAATGATGCATTAGAACCAATGTTTGTGCCTTTCTTCTGATTCCGGCTTCGTTCAAATATGCCGTTAAATTTTCTTACGCGGTATATTTAAAGTGTTCTAATTCAGTAAAACAAATTTATTTCTGTTTTGCTTAATACCATCCAAACAGAGGGGAAAGTTTTTACTTAGCCACTTATAGTGGAATAGTTATGAGTTTCAAAATTTATTTTTGCAAACAACCTCCTTAGCTTAGTAAATTAAATTATGCCCACGATCGATGTCGCGTCGTTCGCGTCATCGATCGTTCTTGCAAGACATACACTGCCACATTGTTATAGTTCATTTATGAGAAAATCATTCTATAGTTTATTTTTTGGTTAATTCAACCCCTCAAAGTCACTTGTCATGTTTTCCACTGTTTCTCGCTTCTATTTGTCGGTTAAGTTAATAGTGCAAAGCCTTCTTCAATAAATGGTTTAACACAAAAATATATTTTCAATTCGAACCAGAGATTAGTGGGTTCAAACAAACAACAACCTCTTCAGATTTATAATTATAGTATAGATACGTTATTAAAAATAGAATTGCTATAACTCGGCATAATTATTTGCAAAGTGGTTTGAGCTAATTTCCTAGAGAATAAGCTAAGGGCTAACTCCACACGGCACAATAAAAATATGAATATGCAAACTACGATATACAATGAAGTGATTAATCTATACTAATATTATAAATGCGAAAGTAACTCTGTCTGTCTGTCCGGCTTTAACTCTGAAACTACTGAACTGATTTAAATGTAAATTTGGTACACATATATTTTAGAGCCTGAGAAAGGATATTTCATCATCAGGCATTTTTAATACCAAAAAACGGTTAATAGGGTTGAAAAAGGGGAATTTTGTATGAAAATGTAGTTTTTGAAGCTGAACAGTGAAACTTTCTTCTTTGGCTTTTTGGGAATAGGATGGTGGGCGTGGGCGTGATAGTGGAAGTGAGTGTAGGAATGAGAGTGGGAGGTAGAGTAGGGGTGATGCGAGGTGAGAGCGTTGTGGCAAAGTAGCACTTACCATAGATTGGCTGCCTTAAATGCGCCCTTACATACATTAATAAACAGCCTCAATAATTAAAAATTCTACCTCAAGTCACTTTTCCACGCGGACGAAGTCGCGGGCACTGCTAGTTATCTATAATTATGATAAAAGTGCTCTAATCCATTTTTTAAATTAACGGCCTAGTGTTCCTA